ACTTCCCAAGGCTGGACGTGCTACCAGACCAGGTAGCACTATCCCAGCATGGAGAAGAAGAATTGAGGACCGTATCGCAAAGGTAAGGGCCATCATCGGCAGGCTGATAAGCTTCAGGTCGGGCACTAATAGGCCCAGAATTGTGCGCACCGTTAGGATGGCGTTCGCTGGGACCAACATCAACTTGTCCCAGCCGGATATTACGCAAAAACTAACGGAGCGCTTAGATGACCTGAAGCAGAGGATTGCTGCTTGGGGGAAGCGGATTCGGAGATATACCGAGAGGACGGCGCGGTTTAGCCAGAATCGCCTCTTCCAGAGTGACCAAAAGAGGCTCTACAAATCTTTGGAGCGACCAATGAGCTGTGGAACGGGCCAAGGACCGGACCAGGCAGACACTGTCGCCTTCTGGCGCAGCCTGTGGTCAGAGCCCGTAGACCACAGCGAGGGCCCTTGGACACAAGTCGTGGCGAGCCAATGTGCAGACATTACACCCATGAACCCCCGTCGTCATAACACCCGACGACGTATCTGAGGCAGTCCGTAGAGCCCCGAACTGGAAAAGTCCGGGACTCGACGGGCTGCATCACTACTGGCTGAAGGGGTTCGTGGTGTGTCATGCTGTGCTCGCCCGACAGTTCCAAGAGGCTCTCGATCAGAGGTCGCTCCCGAGCCTCTTTACTACTAGGGTCACTCATTTGGTTCCTAAAGATCAGGTTACCACAGACCCGAGTAAGTACCGCCCCATAACGTGTCTACCTACAATCTATAAGACACTGACATCTATTCTGAGCATGAGAATCACCCGGCATATTAATATGAATCGGATTATGTCTCGTGCTCAGAATGGATGTCGGGGCGGTGGTCGTGGAACCAAGGAACCACTTCTCATCGACGCGGTCATTGGCAAAATGGTTAAACGCAACCGTCGGAACTTCTCCGCCGCCTGGATAGACTACAGAAAGGCGTTCGACTCGGTGCCCCATACATGGCTAAAGAGGGTCCTCGAACTGTACAAAGTAGACTGTACAGTAAGAGACTTCCTCGGGTACTGTATGGGGCAATGGAGTACGATCCTTTGTCATCTAGGCGAGCGGATGACGGCTGCGGAATACCGGATAAGGATACGACGGGGTATTTTCCAGGGCGACTGTTTGAGTCCAATATGGTTTTGCCTCTCCCTGAATCCTCTCAGCGTGTTACTGGAGGGCTCGGGGGGAGGATTTCAGCTTCGGAGAGGAGGGACAAAAGTGACCCACCTTTTCTACATGGATGACCTCAAATTATTCGCCTCCAATCGCTCCCATTTGATGGAATTGCTTAAAGTCACTTGTGATTTCAGCAATTCTATCAAAATGGAGCTTGGGACGGATAAGTGCGCGGTCCTCCATGTCGAAAGGGGTAAGTTCTCCTAATACGGAGGGCATAGACCTATCTATGCCCGTTAACATAAGGACCCTCTCTGAGGCTGAAACATACCGATACCTGGGTATGTCACAAAACATGTGTATCGATGAGGCTGGCATGAAACAGTCAGTTCGTGACGTGTTTTTTGCACGCCTGACAAAGGTATTTAACAGCCATTTGTCAGGCGTGAACAAGGCACGCGCATTTAACGGCTGGGTCATGCCAGTCCTCATGTATACCTTTGGCATACTCAGGTGGACTCAAACTGAGCTCAACGCCCTGGATCCAAAAGTCCGCACAACTATGACGTCCCACATAATGCATCATCCGAGATCGTCAGTGATGAGGCTGTACCTGCCGCGGAAGCATGGCGGGAGGGGCTTTTTAAGCGCCCTCACCATGCACAATCGCGAGGTGTGCAGCCTCCGTAACTACTTTCTGGCGAGATCGGATGAATCAATCTACACGGACGTCATTAGTTGTGATAAAGGACTTACCCCTCTATCCTTAGCCAACGAGCAATGGCAGGACCCGGGAGTACTGAGCGTTTCCGATTATGGAAGGAGAAAGAGCTCCACGGGAGGTTCTACAAGGCTCTACACGAGCCTTTCGTAGATACCGTTGCCTCCCTTAACTGGCTACGTTTCGGTGACCTCTTTGGGGAAACCGAAGGTTTTGTCTGTGCGATACAGGATCAGGTTATTAAGACGAACAACTATCGGAGATACATCCTAAGGGATGGCACCGCGGACATCTGTCGAGCTTGTCGCTATCCCGGGGAGTCGCTACGGCATGTTATCTCCGGTTGTTCCATGCTTTCTAACTCTGAGTATCTGCATAGACACAACCTAGTAGCCAGAATTATACACCAGGAGCTCGCTCTGAAATACGGACTCGTGGAACGGAAACTGCCGTACTACAAGTACTCTCCGGAGGCCGTGCTCGGAAATGACCGCGCCAGGCCCTATTGGGACCGGCCCATCATCACGGACAGGACGATTGTCGCGAACAAACCTGACATCGTGGTGATGGACCGGGCACAGTCGCGGGTATTTTTGGTCGGCATTACCATTCCATATGACGAGAACCTCGTGAAAGCCGAAACAGATAAGAAGACGAAGTATCTGGACCTGGCTCACGAGGTAACCGACATATGGGGTGGTGTGCCGACCGAAATTATCCCAATAGTCGTGTCTGCGAATGGTATATTCCCAGTCAGCCTCTCGGAACATCTGAGGCGACTGGGACTCCGGGACGAAACGCTCCAAGCTCAAATGCAGAAGGCGGTGCTCCTCGATACCGCCCGCATCGTCCGCCGGTTTCTCTCCCTCTCACCCTAACCCTCGGCCGTTTGGTCTCCCCTGCCGAGGGCTTCCGTCTGGTTGGGTCCTATTTATTTATGTATTACATATTATATTTATATCTGTATATTTATTTTTATTCATAATATTTATTTTATAGATGCAATATATATTTATGTATTTATTATTTATCCCCAAACCCAACCAGACGAGAAAACAAATAAATACCCCCAAAATAATAGTAAGTATCTGGACCTGGCTCACGAGGTGACCGACATGTGGGGTGGTGTGCCGACTGAAATTATCCCGATAGTCGTGTCTGCGAATAGGTTAATCCCAGTTAGCCTCTCTAAACATCTGAGGCGACTGGGTCTCCGGGACGGATCGCTCCAAGCTCAAATGCAGAAGGCGGTGCTCCTCGATACCGCCCGCATCGTCCGCCGGTTTCTCTCCCTATCGCCCTAACCCTCGGCCGTTTGGTCTCCCCTGCCGAGAGCTTCCGTCTGGTTGGGTCCTATTTATATATGTATTATATACAACATTTATATGTATATGTTTATTTTTATCCATAATATTTATTTTATATATGCAATATGTATCTATATTTTTATTTTTATTTACAAACCCAACCAGACGAGAAAACAAATGAATATCCCCCCAATAACTATGACGTCCCACAGAGTGCATCATCCGAGATTGTCAGTGATGAGGCTGTACCTGCCGCGGAAGCATGGCGGGAGGGGCTTTTTAAGCGCCCTCACCATGCACAATCGCGAGGTGTGCAGCCTCCGTAACTACTTTCTGGCGAGATCGGATGAGTCAATCTACACGGACGTCATTAGTTGTGATAAAGGACTTACCCCTCTATCCTTAGCCAACGAGCAATGGCAGGACCCGGGAGTACTGAGCGTTTCCGACCGAGAGACCGTATGGAAGGAGAAAGAGCTCCACGGGAGGTTCTACAAGGCTCTACACGAGCCTTTCGTAGATACTGTTGCCTCCCTTAACTGGCTACGTTTCGGTGACCTCTATGGGGAAACCGAAGGTTTTGTCTGTGCGATACAGGATCAGGTTATTAAGACGAACAACTATCGGAGATACATCCTAAGGAATGGCACCGTCGATATCTGTCGAGCTTGTCGCCATCCCGGGGAGTCGCTTCGGCATGTTATCACCGGTTGTTCTATGCTTTCTAACTCTGAGTATCTGCATAGACACAACCTAGTAGCCAGAATCCTACACCAGGAGCTCGCTCTGAAATACGGCCTCGTGGATCGGAAACTGCCGTACTATAAGTACTCTCCGGAGGCCGTGCTCGAAAATGACCGCGCCAGGCTCTATTGGGACCGATCCATCATCACGGACAAGACGATTGTCGCGAACAAACCTGATATCGTGTTGATGGACCGGGCACAGTCACGGTCCATCTACACGATATCATATTTTTGATCGACATTACCATTCCATATGACGAGAACCTCGTGCAAGCTGAAACAGATAAGAAGACGAAGTATCTGGACCTGGCTCACAAGGTGACCGACATGTGGGGTGGTGTGCCGACTGAAATTATCCCGATAGTCGTGTCTGCGAATGGGTTGATCCCAGTCAGCCTCTCCGGACATCTGAGGCGACTGGGACTCCGGGACGGAACGCTCCAAGCTCTAATAGAGAAAGCGGTGCTCCTAGATACCGCCCGCATCGTCCGCCAGTTTCTCTCCCTTTCACCCTAACCCTGCCGAGGGCTTCCGTCTGGTTGGGTCCTATTTATATATGTATTACATATAATATTTAATATTGTATTATATACAATATTTATATCTATATATTTATTTTTATTCATAATATTTTTTTTATACATGCAATATGTTTAATTTTTATCTATAAACCCAACCATACGAGAAAACAAATAAATATCCCCAATAATAATAAATAAATATTCTTTATTGCACACCAAAATGAAATATACAAAAACAAAAACTTTAAGTTTAAATGATAGGTACAATGGGCGGCCTTATTACTAACTCCTTTAACTCTTTCCTAATTTTATGTTGTGTAATAATTAACTTTTGACTAATTTTAGCTTTAGCAATTTCAGTCTCAAGAAATTAAACATTGCATTTTTAATTTAGCCAATTAGACTTCAAACCGTGCCACGCGTTTAAATTCGCTCTACGTAAGTGAAGCTGGCTTACTTATTGATTCCAACTTAGGGGTTGTATATTTCGACTTTATTAATTATTGTTTCTTTATTAATTATCGTACTGCTTTTCCTTATCTTTCCTACCTTTTGTCATGTCATTAAAAGTCGGTCTTATAATAACTGTACTGGTGTCGGGTCTTTTTCCGGAAACGCAGGTAAGTTTTTGTTATGTATATGTAGTAATTGTAAAAGACATTGGTGGGTACGTATTGGATTTAAAATAAATTTTATAAAAATTAAGTTTTGAGAAAAATCACTAATGAATTAATCAACAAGCGGATTTCTCCGGTCATTTATAATTTTCGAAAAAAGAAAAAAAGAAATAGTGAAAAGAAAAGAGTATTTTTACTATGGACTAAGAAAAATCGAACAATCGATATGAGTATGACGTCGCCCGCTTCCTATATTTATCATGTTGGCAGGGCTGTGTATTGAGTTTTTGAAGTCAAATTAATAAAATAACGGACATTCTTAGTGAAAATTGATATTTTACGAAAGTATTTTAGTAATACCAGAACTAGATAATGTAAAAGTATTAAATTCAGCGTTGCAATTAATTTTTTTCAACATTCTCTCCTTCATTGCAACCCCATAGCCACGGACAGACTTCAGTCTTCGTTTGCGACAATGCTTTTGTAAGAATATCGGCAACCATATCTTGAGTCCCAATATAGCAGAGTTCAATTTCCTTTTGGGCAACTCTCTCTCGAAGAAAATGATATCTTACGTCAATATGTTTGCTGCGAGCACAATAAGAGTCAATACAATTTCAATACAAATTGTGATATTCAATCTGCAAATTTAATTACACTTTGAATATCACAATAAATTATGGTAGGCCCAACTGTAACCTTCCAATGTAGTTCTGACTCTAAATGCCTTAGCCACGTAGCGTCCTATGTGGTAGTAGCCAGTGCCATGTATTCTGCCTCCATGTTTGATAATGCAACTCTGTTCTGACGTTTAGAACACCATGAGACCGCAGCACCCCGAAAATCTATCTTGCCACTGCCTTTTACTGCTATTGTTTTATTGTGCGCAACTTTAATGTTGTTGATTGTAGATGGAGAAACACCATACATCCAATTCCTATTATTGCACATATGCGCAATGACGCTCCGGAATCAACATACCAGCAGTTTTCATCCAACTCGACAGCAACTGGAAAAGCAGCATAATAACTATTATTTTTTGTATGATTATTGTTTGAAGACTTTTTCTTTTCATCTTTAAAATAACAATCCCTACTCACGTGCCCATACTTACTACATACAAAGCATCGTGGGCCTTTGGGTTTCCTTTTTTCTTGTAATTGGTTATGTGGATTTTTCGGTGTTAACTTTGCCATATTACATTGTTTATTATATGACTTGGCATAGTAAGTAACAGAATCTGATACCTTGACCTCTTGTAATAACTTAGTTGTTACATAATCTGCTCTCTAAAGCCATTATCATTGGTTTGTAGTAATCAGGGAATCCAGCGAGCAGCAACGTACCAAGCCACTCGTCTCGGACAGCAAAATTGATATTCTGTAACTTATGAGCTGTTTATATTACTTTATTAATATATTCATCGACACTCGAGCAATTTTCTAAATCTGTGGAAATCAGATCTCTCAATAACCTACTTTTCTACTGAACCCTGAGTCATCAAATACTTTTTCAAGTTTTGTCCAAACCTGTTTCGCTGTTGTAGGCTCCTGAACATGGACGTAGTTAATTGGGTCTACCAAAAGTATCATTTTTGATGTTGCTTTCGTATGTTTCTTGCTGTCGGATACATAACCTAATTCAGCTTCAATCTCCTGCCCCAATTCTTCATGTTCCAAATAGTTTTTTACGGCAAATTTCCAACTGTGGTAATTTTCTCTTCCAATTAGCTTCTCAATAGTGCCCATTGATATTTGTGAAACCATTTTTAATGCATATTTCGTCAAAAAAATGCTGAATAGAAGAACGACCACACCGGTAATGGCCGGTTGCGAAGTTACTAAATTAAATCTAATTGAATCGCGGCACTTTAGTATTGAATTACGCTCTGATTACTTTCGGACATCTATAGCCCATAACAAGTTTTAAATATTTTATTCTCGAAAACTATAAGCGACCGCAGAATTCTGTTTGTGGATTAATTCATTAGCGATTTTTCTCTGTAGTTTGAAATTTATTTTAGATACAAAACGCGCCCGTCAATGTCCTTTACATTAACCTTTATATTTTTATTCAATGGAATCACCTTGTGTAGCTTACTTGACACTTATACGTCTCATTTTCCTTATAGTATACGCTTCAGAACTTAGTTTATTAGCAAGTTTTGATATATGGAGGCCCCATTGAAGCTTTGCATCGAGAGTTCCCCATTTATAATCACATCGGTAGTACCCAAATGTTTAACATTACGTGTTGAAAATTTCATAAATTTAGCTTTAATACAGGCAGCCTCGTATACTGATGCTTCTTTTGGATACGTAGTACGGACTGAATAAATAAAATAATTTCAGCGTTGATCGAGCTATACAGCAAACGCTTATACTCAATTCGTCCCATTTAGACGCATTGATTAACTAATCAATGTTTTATCCACAGGGAAAAACTTGTGAAGGGATTTTTTTCATTTGTAGAAGTTTGTTGCAGACAGTAAGTGTTTTTTATTAAATTAAATAATAAATTTAAAAATCTTTTCGAATATTAATTATCCAATATTTACAAAATTAAATATCTCTAAATTATATATTATCTAATAAACACAGTCCACGCCGGTATGCTGCCAAGAACGCTAGCTGCATTCCCTGGCTGAAAAGTTAATTTTAAGTTATATTATAACTCATATGTTATAACTTTCAGCGAGAATAGAAACATCTGTGTCTTAAATTGAGGATCTGTGATTCTCAACTTAAGACACAGATGTTTCTACGAGTCGACGAGTTTTCTTTTTCACGGTTGTTACCACTTGACGTGGGTCTTGGTCATGGGTCTCAGGGAAAAATGTTTGGTCCGTTATGGCTCACAGATTTACATTGCAACAATAGCCGCGGCATTAAGCCTTGGATGTAAACCTTTCAAAAATTGCGAAGTACGGGGACCCCAGGGATAGTACCTATTACTACTAATATTATTATTGTAATTATTAACTACGGGTGATTTTAAATATTTATAATTTTTTATATACCATCATTTATGTCTAGAATTTAATGAAAAAAAATGATAAACTTAGAAAAACCGCACCTATATATTTCACAGTTTATTTTTTTTATTTATTTTAAAATGACATCAGCGACATCGTTTAAGTAGTAAGATATACATACAAATTCTGATGCATATGTTAGATATGTGATTAATTGAGGATTTTAATTAATTTTCTAATTGAAATTTTATCTCATTAGGTTAAACATTTCTTTAAGTGGTGATTATAAATAGTCTTACAATTGCCAGGATACCCAATTATTTTAATGTTTAAGTAATGTTGGGGTTAATAAGCCAAATAAATGTAACATAATTAATGTATTTTAAGCTTCTTTATAATTAGAAAGATCTCAAATTATTTTAACTCTTTAATAATATTAGGGTTCGAATCTTTTATGGCTTATTGCCAGTAATAAAAGATTCAATACGTAATGATTTATTTAGGCTTCTAATTGAAAGTCAAAAACTACCACCGGTTCACTAACTAGACCTGTCCAGAGAAGAACCGGCAAGAAACTGTGCGGCCTCTATTTTTTACGCTTTCTTTCTTTCTTTTAAATTACATAAGTACAATTATATAGTATTATCGTACCTTAGCTGTTAACAGTCTGCTCGTCGAGAAGCAACTGAAGAACTACCCCATCGAGTAGCAACTAAGGAACTCTCCTTCTACTTTGCTTCTCTCCTATTTTCTCTATGCTCTTTTATATCTACTCACAACATCAAACGAGCCTAAACGTCAAACGACTTTTTAAAATCCTTATCAATCAAATTAACAACTGATTGTAAATTCAATTCTATTACAAAACGATATTTAAAACACAATTGATTAAACATTTTTATACATTCGTATATCTGTTACAGCATAATCACAACATCAAAGATTCACAAATGACAGATGAGCCGAAAAATCAAATTATTTTGAAGTTCTTATCAATTAACTTATAAATAATTCGTAAACATAAATTCTATCACATTTCGTAAACATAAATTCTATCACATTGAACAAAAACAATAAATGCAAAAAATTTTAAAACAATTAATTTCAGAACAAAATAAAGAATTAAGAAGAAGAAACAAAAATGTAAAGTACAAAAAAAAATCAATGAATTACAAAAATCTACATTTAAACTATAATGATTAGGAATTAAAATATTAACAGATGTGACTTGATTAAATGACAAACGATTTCGTTTCACATATTCATAGTCTCATTACTCTGGCTCTTTTTCAGCGACCCGCTTTCTTTGGTACGATTAGAATTTTTCTCTTCTAGATTCTTGATCCGTGTTCTATGCTGATATTCATGTTATTAAGTGATTGTTATAAAGATAATAAACACGTCTTCATTACACAGTAATGATTAACCTAATGAAAGAGTATTCCAACAGCCCTTTGTTTTTACCTTTTTATATGAAAAGTTGCCAAGCGAGCAGGCGGTTCACCTGATGTTAAGTGAATACCGCCGCAAATGGACATCTGCTACGCCCGAGGGTTGCAGATGCGTTGACAACCTTTTGAAAAATGGTTTGGAATGCTTTACATCGAGATGGTGTGGGTGAAATTTCTGGTTTTGAAATTATGGGGCCAAATTTGCACTTTATTAGAGGTTTAGACGTCGTGCCGAAGTGAAGTACAGTCTCGCCTTACTGAGCACACCTTGCTTCTTTGAGGCCAATTTGGCCTTACCTTTCAATCGACCGCGGAAATGGACGTGGCTCGAAATATCGACGCCAACTATTCCGATACTAATTTTGACAGATAGGGGAGTGTTCCCAAAATGAGTAATTAGGACAAATTAGGACTTTTTAGTGCAAAGTGCACGCGAATATATGAGACGTTTCATGTTCTTAGAATTTTAAGCATTAAAACGTTATTTTGATATGTCTTGACCAAACGTTCTATATTGAAATTAATTATAGCATTATCTTGCAGGTTCAAGAGTACAAAGTAGCATTAAAGGATCAAATGCAAAGCTTAAACGGAGCAGTAGAAAACAAGAAGGAATTTAAGGTGAGCCGATTTAAACAAATTAAAATTTTGCATACAGACTTTTCTTAACTTGAAGGTTGGCTTGGCTATCTCGCCGACCAGACGAAATGTACGAAACATTCTTATAAGGTAGAAAATAGTAAATGCTTAGGTATAGTAAAATTTCTTAATGGAATTTCCGTGTGACATTTAAAGAACACAACAAAGCATAATAATGTTACGTGTTAGGGTTCGAAGGATTTGGAGAGAAAGACCTGCTGATTCTTTTGAAGACTTTATTCACTAGCACTAGGTCCAACAAAAAGCAGTAAGTCCAAACACTAAGCACTAACGATGTCCTAGGTCGTAACAAAGTTGAAGGTTTCACTGTTATCGCTCTTGATCACTAGTTTTCACTCCGGAGTGCCTCGAAGGTAGCTCAAACTGAACTGCCTGGCTCGCCACGCTGCGGCTATTTATATGGGCCGAGATGAGTCCCAGACCATTCCAGAAAGTTCCTTTCTGGAACGTACCCGACTCGCGCGAACATGATCGACCGGGTTGGATGATTCCGGAAAGTTCGTGCATGTACCCGGTTTTCGAGACTATACTTCTATAGTTCCACAGTAGTTCCTCTAACGCCATCTAGTATTGAGTAGGGGGTTTCATGTTGTCTTTGTTCTTTTAGTGGTTTTACTGGTTGACGCTAGATGGCGTTAGTTTCTTTGTGCTTTTGGTGTTCGTAACAATACCTACATCAACTAGTCTAAAATATGCAAATAGTGGTCAATTTTGCTTCAATATTGATTTAATTTTTTTATTAGAAATTTTGTTAGTTGAAGCTTACCTTAAAATGTAACGAATTAAATAAAACATTAGCACACAGATATCTCGTATTGTCAAAGTCGCAAGTCGCTGACCGTTTAAGTTTTGAATTAGTATCTCTGATGGGGATAAAACCCAGTAATAAATATCTTGTTCAATGTAATAGTCACAAGGAGTCTCCTCTGTGATTTGAGTACCCCTGTTTTGAATTCACATACATATTGCCTAAGTGTTGTTCGTCTTTTGAATATCTGACGTATGAAAATCATCATTGCAGTCATGACAGAGCACGTCGATAAGCTACACATATGTCAAATTTGGGAATGATATTATATACAACGCAGATATGACACTAGCACACCGACTGAGGCATTCTAAATAAAACAATTGGTGCAATTCTACAGACTGCCATCTCTTTCCGTATCATAAGTTATATATTATCTGTCACATTCATTTTATATTCATATAATGTAAAGCGGAACAATTTTTATAATAATTTGTTAATACAGAATAAAGTAATGAATATTTTTCGCTTACAGGGTCCAAATTCCAGAGTAAGTCCCCATGTTTTTAATTCTAAGAAAGCAACGGATTGACAAGATTTTTAAAAGTTGTTATTTTAGATCAGATGAGTGACGTAGTCCACGGATTACCTCGAAGATGTTTTATTATTATAACAAATATTCTTGATTTCGTTCTTTCTTTATGACAAGAATTTTCATAAGGTGACTTACATTTTTGAGGAAAATAAAGGCATATTATGAGAATTATAAAATTACTTGAGTTTGTCCTTCTTTTACGTCGAAAAGCCGTAAATTATGATTTTGAAATGGAGATATTTTTTAGTTCTGGAGAGGGACATAGGCTACCAGCAACTCAAAATCTTCCCAGAATGTCTGATTTGGCAATGATGCAAATATGAGGTAGATTCGAGTGCCCTAGTATCATACGTAACTCACGCACTCAAATTACGCCAATTGGTGCAATTAGATTGCAACTCTATAGACTGCTATCTCTTACCGTATCATTCGTTCTATACAATCTGTCACATTTACTATATATGTCATATAATGTAAAGCGGAACAACTTTTACACGTTGCGCAATAAGGACGTGCGTCATCTTTATTAAAACATCATTGAGATTTGACAAAATAAAGGCTCGGTCCCTCCATTCCGTTCTTTGTACCATTACGTCAATGAAACCAGTTAATCCCTGTAACTCTATTTAAAGCCATCGTAACTTGGACACATGAAATTGACAATATGCTTTTCTAAACAAGTTAACAACAATATAAATACGATAAATTAAAGAAGACGAATGAAATTGCTCAGATATGAGAAAATTAAAAACGATTAAAATCTGTTTCATTGCTACTTAGGGTGTTACCTGAAAGTACTTTATAAATAAATAATATCGTCATATTATTTATAACCCTTATCAGAGCTAGTGTGAAGATCTCTAGATCTGTGACTGTGACTGAACTCACTTCTTAATGAAAATTATTTTGTTTGTATAGAAAAAACTTAAAAATATTACCTAACTTACAGAGTGTTGTAAGCCACGGAGTAAGTCCCCATATTTTTAATATTATTTCTTAATATGAACAGACAACAGATTCACATGATTTTTTTAAATTGATAGTTTTAATTCAGAAGAGTGATATAGATATATCAACAAAACGACGTTCTAATATCATAACAAAAATTCTTGATACCTTCCGTCTTTCACTATTCAAAAAAGAAAAAAATCAATTGCTTGACAAAACTTTTCTGTTGGAATAGGGCTATTTGTATGTAACGCGGTAGCGATGTGTTTTCCGGCTAACACTCAAGAACAGTAACCGCACCGCGCATCATTCTATAGTGAATAAGGTACTTATACCCTTTTGCTTTACAGTCTCCAAGCATCGTGGTAAGCCCCCATCTTTATTTTTTAAAGAACTTCGTCAACTAATACAATTTTGGTATAGACCTTTTATTAGACCTCGAAGAACCGATAACCAATAGTCATCGTAGTGTAGGGCGACCCCCAATAGATGGCGTGTCGACCTGTGCAAGTGTGCAGGAAGTCGTTAGATACGGGTGGCTCAGGATCGTGCTTTAAGGCAATCTGTGGGAGAGGCTTATCTTTAGCACTGGATAATGATGAAGAATTTTAATTAATTTTAAATTAAAAAATTAATTCTAAGCTACCTTCAAGATCAGAGCCTTTTCTTAACTTGAAGGAGGTTAACGCTTCCTCAGTTTCTGTGATGTTACGAATGCTCATCGCACGCAGTGATCACCCACTATCTGTGTACTGCTTTTTTAATTATTTTCTTCCTTTTGATATTCAAAAGGAAAAAAAGGTAGTACTGTTTTTTTATATAAAATTACAGTAGTACTGCGTCACCTGCGTCAAACTTTCTCTACTCCCAGGCTTGACTGGAAGAGAATGTTTATCAGCATTAAGTTTGGCTTTTGTTTAGCCTTATTTTGAGGTGTAAACAATAAATTTTTAAACAAATAAGTAAATACTGTAAATTTTCAGGTTACTATAGGTTAAGGCGAGTATCAAAATAATTTTGATTCCCGATACAAATGAGAAATGTAAAACAATGTCTACTATTTTAAGGCTTAATTATGATAAATCTAGTCTAAGTTATGAAATGATCTTATAGACGGTCGCTATTACGCTGAATAAGTTTTTTAGACTGGAGTTTTTACGCCATCTTAGTGATAATACCTGGAGGTTTTTTTTTGGTAAATTATGTATTTTGGAAATTACATTTAGATACAAATAACTGAGTAATGAAATATGCATAATATTTTTCGATCTTACCGACTTAGTAATAAGAAAATAGGTGTTTTTCACAAAAGAGAGAACTTTAAAAAAAGGTAAAAAAATAACAAAATCATCTGGATCTACAAAAAATAAAAAATAAAGAAAGCAGTGATCTAGAATCGAAAAAAAAGTGTGTAAGTGATCGTGACAATTACCACGGCCTTCTGTTTCGGGGCCGCCCGATTACCGACCGAGCTATAATGATTTTTTTTTTCATATTCCAATGATTCTTTTTATTCCCTTAAAACAGGGATAAAAGGACATTTTCTAAAAATTCAACCGGGCTAGATCGATTTTTCGCCGACGAATCTACCCACATACTAAATTTCATGAAAATCGCTCGAGCCGTTTCCGAGATTCTGATTATAAATATATATATAAATATATAGGCCGCCTGTTTGTACACTATGTTTCCGGTATCTTCTTCCTTGTAATTCCTTGTGTAAAATAAAAGTATATTCATTCATTTATTCATATACAGCTTGTCGTTACCATCGCGACAATAAATGAACACACGTCTAACGGTACTTGCCAATAATCATAAAAAAATATTAACATTAAACAAAATCCATAATTAAAAAAAAATATTTTTCAAACAAACTAATTAAGTAAAAAAGAAACAAAGTTTGTATACCTATACAACTCACGCCACAGCGTCGCATTACAAGCTTCTCCTTCTAACAGTATGTTTTGTTTCTTTTAAATTCATTCAACCCATTCATATGTTTTGTGACCTTTACAAATGAACTATACGTTACAGTTTTATACGTAAGGGTGTTCTAAAATTGTTTGTTTTGGAAAATTTTATAACTGGGTTAATATTGATGTTTAAAGAATGTAAACATTTACTACAATTTTAAAAACTTATCCGCTATATGTGTGTTCATTTATACATATATATATATATACATACAAAAATTGCTCTTTTAATCTTAGTAATATGAGCCCTGCGTAATGGTTTAATGCAAGAGTAACAAATCATAATACATTGTGAAATAAAATCAATACTTCCTATAGCACGATAACCTAAATGACCATATTGTGGCATTCAACCAAATTTATTCACGACAGAAACCACTAATATCTTTCTTAGATTTTCAAACACGAATTTTAGACTTTTGTGCAGTACCCTGAGAAAATAAGAACTAACATATCTAGTTGGGTTTAATTGAAAGTAAGATAAAGTAAATGTATAACATAAAAGACGCAAATTCATTTCCTGGAAAATCAAAAAAGTTCCAATGATTGAACTCGTCAGAAAATATAAGCTTAATAGACCCAATTTACTCATATATATTATGTATTACTAGTGGCCTGCCTCGGTTTCGCACGGATGCTATGTATAAAATACTATAAATTCATGTAAAACTTCCTCATGAATCACTCTTTTTAGTATAAAAAGATCAAGATCCGTTGCGTAATAAAGATAAAATCCTGAAAGATCTAAGCATAAATAGGGACAGACAGACAGCGGAACGACTTTGTTTTATACTTTTTTTTTATTTATGTCGTGATTATTTACTGTTTAAAAACATTAAAATATTTACTTCTCCAACCCTGAATTCTTTATACTGTGACGTTCTTTGCTATTCACAAAACCATTTTCTTCATTGGATGAAAAATCGATTTATGATGATTTAAAGCACCTCTTAAGGAATTTTTTTTAAATTCTTGCATGTTTTAACAACAACGATAAGTTTTGGCCATTTCATAAATACATATATAATGCTAAAGGGCGGAAATACTTTCGATCCGCAACTATGAAATTTTTTGTGATTATCATTAAACACCGTAAACCACACACTTATGGTCTAGTTACAAGATGACATCGCCAATTTCCTCTTCAAACTTTCGGATATCAACAGAAACATTGAGTCGTAGCATATTCTTCTTATTGAAGTTCATATTTATTTATAATCATTAATTTCATATGTTATTTAGATGACTGCTTTCATCGTGTTATCAAGAAAGTTCAAGAATCGTAAAAGGAAATTTTTCTGCAGTGTTAAATATATATTTCTAGTACGGTGGTAAAAATTCTATGTACCACTAACAACATGCAATAAAATAATATCCTCAGATTTGTATGATTTCATTTTTTTTTTTTCATATTGTTTATCAATATATGTTAATAAATATTACTCGTGAGATCTGGCTACCTCACGAGTAGTATTTATCTGGCTATCTCTGCGTTCGAAGTTTTATTAGTTTATGAACTGAAATGAAGATGAAATTTAATAAAATGTGCAGATAAACTGTTAAAAAAGTTTGTTCTTCGCTTACATTTTTTAAACACATATATTAAATTTGTATTTGAAAATTACCATTAAAACGGTATTTTATTTATTTAATAATTTAACTTTTAAACAACTCATGCAATAATCAAATCTTGAGAATCTAACTCAGTGTTTCCCAACCTTTTTTGTGCCATGCGATACCTAAGCCTTTCTAAATTTCTATATCGCCCTATGCTACTTACATAATTTTTAACATTAAAAAATTGAATTGTTCACTTAAGTAAGTTAAGTGATAAGTTTTAGGAAGAAATGACTAGGCAATTGTTAACGAAACACAGTAAGTAAATTTTCAAAATATATAATGAAAAACTAAAATTCAAATTCCAAATAATTTCAATAAATATTTTTCTTTATTAATATACAATTTTAATTTAGTGAGATCCTTGCGCTTGATGGTTGCTGCACAGAGATTTAATTAAGTTCCGATTTGGGTAACTTTGGTCTCAAGTCTCCACGATGTATTATATCCTAATTAATAATCTAGCTAGCAATAAACTAAAACAGAGTCGTGCTCCTCCAAAACTACTTATAGATTCTAAACTTATTACTAAGACAGGCGAGATTTGCGAGATATTCAACACATATTTTTCAACCATGGGGTCTCAATTAGCGGACAAAATACCTAAAAAATCCCATGATGGCTTGAACTATCTCATCTCTCTCGTACTGCAGTACATGATCGCTTAAATAACTATTAAAACTCCTTTTGATTTTATATCCGAACGGCAATATGCATTTCGAGCCAAAAATAATAATACTACCGCAACAATAAATTCCACAACTAACATAAAGGATGACATTGATAAAAAGGTATTTTTATTGATTTGAAAAAGTCTTTGATACCGCAAGTCAAAAAATTACTATTAGAAAATTTAGAAAGCATCGGTTACAAGGGCAGTGCTCTTAAAACTTTTAAATCGTATCTAACAAAGAAATCCCAGGTAGTCAAGATTGGTAATTCCCAAAGTAGTATATTACCGTTTACGCACGGTGTGCCACAAGGCTCCATATTGTGACAACTCTTATTTTAAGATACAGGGTGGCTTTTCTAAAGGTGCCCAAAATTACACAGGAAGTTCAGAGTCGGTAGTATAATTGTTTATTGAGATAATAACAAACTTTTTTTTTTTTTTCAAAAAATTGACGTTCTATTTCCTAAAAAACGGAACTTGTCATTCATAAATACCTAAATTTTACTGTGCACGCACACAAACAAAACTAAGTGCTGGCGATAAATCGGAGACGAGCTGGGCCGTTACGGCGTCCATAGCGTTGAGTTGTAAAAATTCGTTCCCTTCTCCTCCACCCGCTCGATTTCGATTCGATTCGAATTCGAATATGCGGCCGCTGCCCTTAGCCCTTCATTAGTTTCAATTTGACCGTGACCTAATTACAGCCGTACGTGCTATATTTAGATGGCTTATCTCTAACGATGTCGGAACAACAAAGCAGTTATTAGAACCGCGAGTATTACAAGATAGTACGGTACTACATTTTAAGTGGTGAAAGTTTTCGTGGTGCGCAAAGACTTTATGAAAGTGACACTTCACCGCGTTCACAAAGACAGACAATGAACTCAAGTGTACCTAATCGAAGGATGATTTTGGCAGCCAACCAAAAGTTATAAGATTTTTGACAATTTACTACACCAGCGCATACAATGTTTTTTTTTTTTATGTTAAAAGTTGCCAAAATAAGTAAATCACCACCCATCTGCTACACCCGAGGGTTACAGATGCGTTGACAACCTTTTGAAAATTGGGAAGACGAAACGTGAAAGTATTTTTCATATTTCCACTTTACGCCGGTCTTCTGTTAGATCGTGGTGCTTACGCGGACGGGCCTGCCCATTCGTGAAACAGCCGAGGTTGCTGCGTGGCCCAACCACCGTCGAATGCTCACACAAATAATGTTGAAAAATAGTTTGAGAAAGCGTGCTCAGCTTTGTATTGAGAGAAATTGACTCTATGTTGAACAATTGTTATAATATCAATGAGTGTTTTTCGTGACTAAACGAATAGGTAAGTATAAGTGTTGTAAATAGTTGATTCTATTTTTTAAATAAGCCATAATAAGTACGAATAGTGTTCGTACTTATTGTACGAACAATATTCGTACGGTGTGTGATTTTAAAATAATACAGTGTGTTTTAGTATTCACTTTGTTATGAAGGTCCTAAGGCCGTTTAAAAGAAAATTGGAATCATAACTTACTTGTGCTATGATACGCCTGTAGTACAGGACTTTAGTTGTGTGCGTGTACAGATAGATAGATGTCGTCGACATTTATCGTAAATTTATGAAACGAAATTGTGTGCGTGTTAGTTATGAATGATCGCGCGTAAAATAAATAAGTTGCCTATAAATCACGCACTTTTTGAGATAATTTCAAATGAATATAATTAATTAATTCAGATTGATTTTAAATATTTATGATTTTTATATAACATTATTTATTTTTAGAATTTAATAAGTAAAATGGATACACTTATAAAAGCCTCCTTGTATGTAAATAACGTAACAGAACTAGGATTACATGGTCATATAACTTTATATGCAGATGAAACAACTTTCATTGATGATTTCTCTTTTGAAGTCGGTTGAAACGTCATTTTTTTACTAACGAAAAACAAAAACGACTTCAAATATCTCGCCCTGTAAAATTTTATAATTGATTTTTAGGACTTTCCTACGTATTTCCGGAGCCCAAGATCCAATACCAATGAAATTAATATGGGTCCACATGGGTAAAAAACCTAAGTTAATTGTTGCAATAAATATTGCGGCTATCTAATAAATATTTTCTTCTACATAATTTTATTAATGTAATTATTTTTGCACCGTTATCCCACATTATCTAAAATCCTGTACCCTAAGGTTGCCTGGAAGAAACTGCTACTTTAACAATAAGGCCGCCTGTATGTACACTATGTTTTCTGTATCTTCTTTCTTTGTATTTTCTTGTGTGCAATAAAGTATTAAAATAAACAAAAAAAACAAATTGGTTAAAAGATAGTATTTAATTATGTAGGTATCTAATCCACCTAAAGTGTGTAACAAACTTAAGAGAATGATGTTATACTCAGATCAGGCTCATATCATACTTGGCTTATGAAGGTTAGGTAGGTAAGATTTTCAAGATTTTATTATACGGCCACACTAGCGGACCGGGCAGGCTTTGTCCTGTTCACATGACTTAAATCCGATAACTTGTGAATAAAAAAAAGCAATTGTTAATCTAAACCATCCAGGTCACCAACAAAATAAAATCATTCAAATCGGTCCAGCCGTTTAGGAGGAGTTCAGTGACAACACACGTACAGTAGAATTATATATACATTATAAAGATTTAGTATTACTATAAAATTATTAGTACCAATAGAGTTAAAATACGGCTCAGGGAATGCTGCAAAAGTGCAATGTATTAGTGTGTGATGAAAGCACTATGTCAAAGAAAAAGCAGTCGAAGCTCTCAATACTACCTATATAATAAGTGGGATTGTATACCTGGTGATTTCCTCCAATATCCACCGGTTATTCTATAATATCTGCAAACGTAACTAAAGCATGACTCAAGTCATCAACACTTCGGGGATGCGTAGCCAAATTCTGCTTGTCAACAAAAATGAGAAGGTATATTTTTACAACAATATTAATGCTGGAATCTTTGTTGGAGCTGTTGTTGATGACCATGAGACACTACCGGGGGAGTTTTGTAAATTAGTGCGTTGATTAATGATCGTAAGATGACATTATTAAAAAATAAGTGCCGATATACAGAGTGAGACAGCGGTGGCAGAACAGAACATTTGTCAATGCACACAGGTATGGATAAAGAACAGAGAACCTTAGTAATACTTTTATAAGTAAAACTGAAATTATTCATAACAACCTTGAAACTACACATGCGTTTGTATTCAATTAGCGGGTGCTGCCCTGTTCTGTTGCCTTAGTTATTAATTATGTACTTTAACTCTTTCCTAATTTTATGTTTTGTAATAATTAACTTTTGAATAATATTACCTTTAGCAATTTCAGTCTCAAGATTAAACATTGCATTTTTAATTTACCCAATTAGATTTCAAACCGTTACCTGCGTTTAAATTCGCTCTACGTAAGCCATTCATTCATTCCAAAATACGGGTTATATATTTCGATTTCATTAATTATTGTCTTATACGTACCGCTTTTTCCTGTTCCTTCCTCCTGCGTCATGTCATTAAAAGTCGGTCTTATAATAACTCTACTGGTATCTAGTCTTGTTCCGGAAACGCAGGTAAGTTTTTGGTATTTATGCCATGATAGCTCAGTGTCCGGGCGCTCGCCTTTAATTCAATATACTCGAGCAACCTGAGTTCCATTCCCGGTGCCGGCACCGATGAAGTTTTTAACTTTAAGTGCTGACTTATCACGTGCTCCGCGGTGAAGGAAAACATCGTGAGGAAACGTGCATATTTTCGAAATAATAACAAAAAAATATATATTTCGAAAGATATGTGAAGTCCGCCAATCCGCAGTGGGGCCGCGTGGTGGACTATGCCCTGATACCCTCTGTATAGAGGAGGCCTTTGCCCAGCAGTGGGACGTGTATAGGCTGTTACTTTACTTTTTTTCTTTTTTATACAAATATAAATTTTAAACGATAGAGAAAAATCACTAATGAATTAATCAGCAAGCAGAAATCTCCGGTCGCTTATAACGGGTGTCTCAGTAAGAGTGCACATTTAAATTTTAAAACAAAAACAAGTATTTTATGACAGAGTTGTGATATTTTATCGTATTGGCATCGACTTCACTTTGCTCCATTACCCATTAAACGAATTGCCGGCGCTTTCCGTAGTCTGCTGGTTTGAGATTCTGAGTTAACTGAATCTTGAACGCATGAAGGTGGTCTTTAGTCAAAATTTGATACGCAGTGCTTCGTGAAATTTGAAGTTGTTGAGAACGATTTCGACACTCTCGTTTACAGCAGCAATGTTTTCAAGAGACCGACCGGTACGTTGACCCAAAGGATTCTTATTTAGGCATAATTGACCCAGTTCTTCAAATTTTTCGACCACTCTTCGAATGGCTGACACATTAGGTGCACTTTTTCGGCTGAAAATTTGGCGAAGTTTGCAAGCGGTTTCAGCGTAACTTTCCTCATTTTTGTCATGAGTTTTCACAAGTATAACGCGTTGTTAAGGCGGGAGCGGAGGTCTAACCTTTTTTTTTTTCTTTTTTTGTTAACGTGGGGGAAATGCCTACGCATACCCGCCCTCGCGGGGGCAAGAGCGGGCTATGTCGGACTCGCACCGACTAAAACCCCCACGATGTTACACCTAGGCGCATATCGGCAGGGTCACGGGAACGCTTTCGCACGCTTCCGCAACCCTGCCAGCGCTGGCCGCCTTAGCAGCCCCCTCACGGGGAGCAACTCCCCTCTCCTCTAGGTAAGGCGCATTGGAACATTCAGCGCGCCTTCCTACTCGACCCCATTTTCACGGCCAACGGACTCCCCCGAGTAAGCTGACCGGGGCCATGGGAGCCAGGAGCGCCAGTGCTAATAAGCAGCAAGCCTCTCAGCCCCCAGCGGCGGACCTGGTCTGTGGCTCCGCCGCTCAACACGTTTCGGCCACGGAGGATAGGGAGAACGGCGCACCGCAATACCGACACTCCTCTCCCCCCGCGGCCCCACCACCACTGCATCAGCGGTGTAGTCCCGCCGAGTCGCGGAGGATAGGGAGCACGGCCAACGCAATACCGACACACCTCTTCTCCCGCCACTCCTCTTCGGTAGCAGAAGACAGGGAGAGTGGCTCCACCTCTACCACCCTCGACCTGTCCCCTGCACCCTCCAGCACGCATCCAGAGTGGGCTCCATGAGCCCACTCGGAGCGGCCCTCTCGGGCCGGCCTTACACCACAGGCCAGCCCAGTGTAGGTTCCTCTTAGCTTCACCGTGGGGGACCAAGCCACGGCCTCCGCCACGTCAAGGCGGGAACTCGGTCGGAAGGGAAGCGGAGCTCTAACCTAATCTATCCGAGTCAGATTGCTTTCTCGGTTCTGTGCCTCATTAAATTAAAGAAAAATCGAACAATCGATACGAGTATTACGTCAGCCGCTTCCTACATCTATCATGTTAGCAGGACTGTATATTGAGTTTTGAAGTCAAATTAATAAAATGGCGGGTTTGGACAATAACAAGTTTTAAATATTTTTTTCTCGAAAACTATAAGCGACCGGAGAATTCTGTTTGTGGATTAATTCATTAGTGATCTTTCTCTTTAGTTTGAAATTTATTTTATTATTATCATGTCGGCAGGACTGTTTATTGAGTCTTTGAAGTCAAATTAATAAAATGGTGGATTTTCTTAGTGAAAATAACAAGTTTTTTTTTTTTTCACGAAAACTATAAGCGACCGGTGATTTCTGTTTGTGGATTAATTCATTACTGATCTTTCTCTGTAGTTTATAATTTATGTTATTTACAATACACGCTCGTCAATGTCCTTTACATTAACCTTATTTATTTTTATTCAACACAATCATCCGGTGTAGCTTACTTGATAGTTAGACATCTTATTTTCCTTATAGTATACCCTTCAGAACTCAGTTTAATTAGCAAGTTTGGATATATGGAGGCCCCATTGAAGCTTTGCATCGAGAGTTATTCCAAGAAAAAGTCTTATCCACAAGACCTAACTCCACCCCATTTATATTCACATTGGTAGCACCCAAACGTTTAACATTAGCTGTTGAAAATTTCATACATTTAGCTTTATTACAGGCGGCCTTATTCTTTTGGATACGTAATATGGACTGAATAAATTCAGCGTTTCTCGATGTATACAGCAAACGCCTGTACTCAATTCGTCCCATCATCACGCATTGATTAACTAATTAATGTTTTATCTACAGGGAAAAACTTGTAGAGGAATTTTTTACATTTGTAGAAGTTTGTTGCAGACAGTAAGTGTTTTTTATTAAATTAAATAAAAAAATTAAAAATCTTTTCTAATATAATTTTTTTCCAATATTTACAAAATTAAATCTGCGAAATAAACACAGTCCACGCGGCATGGTGCCATGAACGTTAGCTGCATTGCATGGCTGAATGGACCCCAGGAATAATAACTAAATATATAATCTTGAGAAAACATCGTGAGGAAACCTGCATATTAATAACAAAAAAATAATATTTCGAAGAAATGTGAAGTCCTCTGTATAGATGATGCCTTTGCCCAGCAGTGGGACATGTATAGGCTGTTACCTTACCTACATAATCTAAACAAGTTTGTTTAGATTATGTATTTGTGCCATTTGCCGTTGAATCTTTGGGTCCGTGGGGTTCCCGTACATCGAAATTTAAAATAAATAATATGTAACTCACTGTAAGCGTAAACATCAAATTAAGATTTTGTCTGAAGGGGATATATATTTCACAATTTATTTATTTATTTTAAAAGGACACCAGCAATACATACATTCAAGGTTTAAGTAGTAAGATATACATAAAAATTCTGATGCATGCATGATTAGGTGATACAGCACTGTTACAGGTAGATACAACATTGAACAAAAATGATAAATGCAAAAATATTTTAAAACAACTACAAAAAAAAAACAGAATGAATTACAAAAATCTACATACAAACTATAATGATTAGGAATTAAAATATTAACAGTCGTGACTTGATTAAATGACAGAGGATTTCAATGTACCATCCCGCGTTAGCATCATTACGGATTTTTCTATCCAAGATATTAAGCTCCGCTGGTTTAAATTGAGACCGGAACGACTTATAATAACTTATTTTATTCAGCTCAAATAAACACTTTTGCGGACTTAAATAAATCGCTCACCATTTTACTGCGGCCTAGTTGTTGTCACGTTTTAAAATTAAATGCAACCTTAGCACACTACCACTACAAGACTTCATGATTAAATTAAGACTTTCTATGTGGTACTTTCTATGTAAATATATTTAAAAATATAAAATTGTACAGGTTAAGATTAAAAATGACGAGACGATTGGACGATTTGACGTCTTACAGCTTAAACCGCCTAGTTATCATGAGTACTGTAAAGTGTTCGGAATTTCAAGTTTGATTTTAAATTGAACATTATAAAATTCGTAAAATAGTTGCGTTTTAGAGTGTTTTTTTATGGGGGCAAACGGGCAGGAGGCTCTGATGAAAAGAGATCATTGCTGTCCATGAACTTCTGCAATACTTGGCAAATGCGTTGCCAGCCTTTAGGGAAAGAATATGCTCTCTTCTTAAAGGTTCTCAGGTCGTAACTGTTCGCAGCGACCGCCGGCACCAGCTGTTTCTACAGAGTGGTTGTGCGAGGCAAGAAATGCCTTCAAAATCTCGCTGTTTTGGAGCGCTTTACATCCAGATGGTGTGGATAAAATTTCTCAAATTTTTTTTTAATTGTGGGGCCGTATTTGCACTTTATAGAGGCGTAGACGTCGTGCCGTTCATGTGAAGTTCAGTCTCGCCTTGCTGAGCTCACCAAGCTTCTTTGAGGCCAAATTGACCGCGTAAATGGACATTGCTCGAAATATCGACGCCAAGTGTTCCGATACTAACTTTGGCAGATATTGGGAGTGAGGGAGTGTTCACAAAATGAGTAATTACGACAAATGGGGGCTTTTTAGTGTGAAGTGCACGCGAAAATGTGAGACGTTCGGTTAATGTTCTTAGATTTTTAAGCACTGAAACGTTATTTCGATTTGTCTTGACCATAATTATGTCTTACGTTGAAATTAATTATAGCATTATCTTGCAGGTTCAAGAGTACAAAGTAGCATTAAATAATCAAATGCAAAGCTTAAACGGAGCAGTAGAAAACAAGAAGGAACTTAAGGTTAGCCGATTTAAACAAATTTAAATTTTGCATACAGACTTTTCTTAACTTGTAGGTTGGCTTGGCTATCTCGCCGACCAGACGAAATGCAAATGTACGAAACATTCTTATAAGTTAGAAAATAATTAATGCTTAGGTATAATAAAATTTCTTAACGGAATTTAAAGAACACAACAATTCATAATACTAATCAACTGGTCTAAAGTATGCAAGTAGTGGTTAATTTTTCTACAGTATTGATTTGATTTTTAGGTTTGAAATTTTGTTAATTGAAGGTTACCTTAAAATGTAACAAATTAAATAAAACATTTGCTATCGCAGATATCGCGTATTGTCGTTTAAGTTTTGAAATCAGTATCTCTGATGGCGATCGTTACTAACCACCAAGGGCCTTTGGAATACTTTTTCATTTGGTTAATCATTACTGTGTAATGAAGATGAGTTTATTGTCTTTATCACAATCACTTAATAACATGAATATCAGCCTAGAACACGGAGAAGAATGTAGAAGTGAAAAATTCAAGTTGAACCAAAGGAAGCGGTTCGCTGAAACAGGGCCAGAAAATATGTTTCGGGACAGTTCTAGCATTAGGACATTATAACACCTAGTAATACAATATATCTTATTCAATGTAATAGTCCCAAGGAGTCTCGTCCGTGATTTGAGTACCCCTGTTTGAATTCACATACATATTGCCTAAGTGTTGTTCGTCTTTTGAATATCTGACAAATATGAGGTAGATACGACACTGGTGCACCCAAACTGAGGCATTCCGATTACGTCAATTGGTGCAACTCTATAGACTGCTATCTCTTTCCGTATCATAAGTTCTATATCATCGTTCACATTCATTTTATATTCATATAATGTAAAGCGGAACAATTTTTAAGATGATTTGTGTGTTTCTATATCATCTGGCAAATTCATTTTATATTCATACTAGCTGGCCCGCGCAACTTCGTGTTCGCCAATTCTATCGGGTCCATACGTTTCTACTTTTAGCATAGCGCCATGTTTCGGATACTTACTCAATCCAGTCATATATTAGACAAATTTATCTTACGCCGCCATCTCTCATCTTATGGGACTTAAAATCAAAATCAAAATCAAAAATATATTCATTCACGTAGACGCTGGCGCGTTCTTATGAAACGTCAACATTTTACATAAAAATTAATACTTTCGTAAGTATTAAAGGCGATTGATTTTTATATCTTCCACAAACCTATTCGTTATTTCATTGCTTCGTCGGTATAGGTAGGGCCTCACCCAACATCGCGGTTTCCTTCTTCGTTTCTCGTTAAGCAGACTACATAATAAAACACAGTCTGCAGTACATAGTACTACGTTTTCCTCCCCGTCCATATTAAAAACTGAAGGCTGAAACTCTGCTGTGTGAGCATGTTTATGCACAAGTTACATACAACCTTACCGGTGGATTCAGGGGCTAAACGCGACATCGGCTTAGTACATGCAGCGCTGAAGTTTAACAAATAATGTTTGTTAACAAAATGTGGTGCACACTATTTTGGAATTGTACCATTATGTGTGAAAATCATCGTTACGGTCTTCACAGAGCACGGCGATAAGCTACACATATGTCAGATTTGGCAATGATGCAAATATGAGGTAGATTCCAGTGCGTGAGTTTCGGTGCGTTAGTATCATACTAGCGCACCAAAACTCACGCACTCGAATTAGTGTGAAGATCTCTAGATCTGTGATTGTGACTGAACTCACTTCTTAATGAAAATTATTTTGTTTGTATAGAAAAAACATTCAATAAACATAATATTCCTAACTTACAGAGTGTTATAAGCCACGGAGTAAGTCCCCATGTTTTTAATATTATTTCTTAATATAAACAGACAACAGATTCACATGATTTTTTTAAATTGATAGTTTTAAGTCAGAAGAGTGATATAGATATATCAACAAAACGACGTTCTAACATCATAACAAAAATTCTTGATTCCTTCCGTCTTTCACTATTCAAACAAAGAAAAAAATCAATTGATTGACAAAACTTTTCTGTTGGAATGTTTTCCGGTTAACACTCAAGAACAGTAACCGCACCGCGCATTATTCTATAGTGAATAAGGTACTTATACCCTTTTGCTTTACAGTCTCCAAGCGTCGTGGTAAGCCCCCATCTTTATATTTAAAGAACTTCGTCAACTAATACAATTTTGGTATAGACCTTTTATTAGACCTCGAAGAACCGATAACCAATAGTCATCGTAGTGTAGGGCGACCCCCAATAGATGGCGTGTCGACCTGTGCAAGTGTGTAGAAAGTCGTTCGATACGGGTGGCTCAGGATCGTGCTTTAAGGCAATCTGTGGGAGAGGCTTATCTTTAGCACTGGATGATGGTGAAGAATTTTAATTAATTTTAAACTAAGCTACCTTCAAGATCAGAGCCTTTTCTTAACTTGAAGGAGGGTAACGGTTCTTCAGTTTCTGTGATGTTACGAATGCTCATCGCACGCAGTGATCACCCACTATCTTTTTTAATTATTTTCTTCCTTTTGATATTCAAAAGGAAAAAAAGGTAGTACTGTTTTTTTATATAAAATTATAGTAGTACTGCGTCACCTGCGTCAAACTTTCTCTACCCCCAGGGTTGACTGGAAGAGAATGCTTATTAGCATTAAGTTTGCCTTAAGTTGAGGTGTAAACAATACATTTTTAAATAAATAAATACCGTTAACTTTCAGATTAATTTAGGTTAAGGCAAGTATCAAAATAATTATGATTCCCGAAACAAATATTAAATGTAATATAATGTCTACTATTTTAAGGTTTAAATATGATAAATCTAGTCTAAGTTATGAAATGATTACGCTGAACAAGTTTTTTAGACTGGAGTTTTTACGCCATCTAAGTAATATGAGCCCTGCATAATGGTTTAATGCAAGAGTAACAAATCATAATACATTTTGAAATAAAATCAATACTTCCTATAGCACAAAAACCCAAAGGCCAATATCATGGCATTCAACCAAATTTATTTACTACAGAAACCACTAATATCTTTCTTAGATTTTCAAACATGAATTTTAGACTTTTGTTCAGTACCCTAAGAAAATAAGAACGAACATATCTAGTTGGGGTTAATTGGAATAAGATAAAGTAAATTTACAACATAAAAGACACAAATTCATTATCTGGAAAATCAAAAAAGTGCCAGTGATTGAACTCGTCAGAAAATATAAGCTTAATAAACTGTTTATTAAAATTGTTTGATTAAACAACTGTACTTAAAACCCATCTCATTTACTTATCTATATTATATGTTACTAGCTACCCGCCTCAGCTTCGCACGGGTGCAATGTATATAATACTATAAATACATATAAAACTTCCTCGTGAATCACTCTATTTAATATAAAAAACCGCATCAAGATCATACATAAGGATAGACAGACAGCAGAACGACTTTTTTTTATACTATGTAGTGATTATTTACTGTTTAATAAACATTAAGATATTTACTTCTCCAACCCTGAATTCTTTATACAGTGATGTCCTTTGTTATTCACAAAACCATCTTCGCCATTGAATATGAAATCGGTTTGCGATGATTTAAAGCATCTTTGGGGATTTTTTTGAGAATTCTTTCATGTTTTAAGAACAACGATAAGTTTTGGCCATTTCATATATATATACATATTGCTAAAGGGCGGAAATACTTTCGATTCGCAACTATGAAATTTTCTGTGATTATCATTAAACACCGTGAACCACAACACACTTATGATCAGGTTACAAGATGTCATCACCAATCTCCTCCTCAAACTTTCGGATATCAACAGGAAAATTTAGTCCTAGTATATTCTTCCTATTGAAGTTCACATTTATTTATAATCATTAATTTCATATCTTATTTAGATGACTGCTTTCATCATGTTATCAAGAAAGTTCAAGGATCGTTAAAGGAATTTTTTCTGAAGTTTAAAACATATATTACTAAGTACGGTGTTAAAAGTTCTGTGTACCACTAACAACATGCAATAAAATATTACCTCATATTTGTATGATTTCATTTATTTTTTCATATTGTTTATCAAGATATTAACACCTTATAACTCTAATACTACTGAGTGAGATCTGGCCATCTCTGCGTTCGATGAAGTTTTATTAGTCTATAAACTGACTTGAAGATGAAATTTAATAAAATATGCAGATAAACTGTTAAAAAACTTTGTTCGTCGCTTAAAAATTATAACACATACATTAAATTTGCCATTGAAAACTACCATTAAATATGGTATTTTATTTATTAATTAATTTAACTTTTAAGCAACTCATACATTAAAAAGTTTAAAGTAATACTAAATCCAATATAATCAAATCTTGAGAATCTAACCCAGTGTTTCCCAACATTTTTTGTGCCACGCGACACCCGAGCCTTTCTAAAATTCTATACCCCTCATGTTACTGACATAATTTTTAATATTGAAAAAATGAATTTAAGTTAAATGATAAGTTTTAAGAAGAAACGTGTTCGTACGTGGTAGAGCCACGTATCGGCATTTGCTGATACTGACTTGGGCCGGCACAAACCGGGGAATTACCACGGCCTCACAGAAGAACGGCGGTATTTTTACCTTTGCGTTTTGCCCGGTGAATGAGGTTACTGGAGGATCACCCACCCTCCCATCATGGTAGCAGTATTAAAAACGAACATACCCCAGGTGGGTACCAGCACACCCAGTTCTGGAGAATCCCCCACTGGGCGTCCCCGCTCGGATTGCCTTTCGCCATCAGGGCGTGGGCGCTCGGGCTGCCCCACGTTTTCCGCACAAATTTTCAAAATTCCGCACTCCATTCCCTCTGCTCGAGGCAAACTTAGTAGGCAGATTTTTGTAATGTTAGGGGACTTCACTCCAACCTCAATGCCGTCTACTACCACCTTGAGGCGGCAAAGCCGTCCTTGCTATTTCTAACTGAGACTCAGATATCTTCTCGGGCAGACACATCATATCTCTCATATCCGGGGTATAAATTAGAAAACACCTTTGTGCCCCGAGCCGGAGTTTGTGTGTATGTTAGGGGGGATATCTCACCAAACACCTGGGGCTCATAGACAACCTGAAAGTTGTACTTCTCCCTCACCATCTACCGGGACTATACAACACGGAAGCCGGTCACCTCTCGCGCAATCGCACCTGCTCCGAATGGCATCTTCTGAGCAAGGGTACGTCGAACACACAACCTACAGCTGGAAGCTTGGCCAATTTCGGGTGGTACTTCTTGACAGCATCTTGGTCCCCTGAAGAAAAGCAGCTTCTGTCAACGTGTTGGAGGGCTTCTACACTTAAAACTTACACCCCCATATGGATCAAATGGTCACAGTGGTGTAATCAACATAACCTGAACTGTCGGTGTCCGGCACCTGCCCTAGTAGCTCGATACTTAACAAAACTATTTCTTACTGATAGACTTGCATACCGTACTATTCTTGTGCATAAATCAGCTATAGCATCAGTTTCTGAGACGCTATCGGTTATTAAAATATCCTCGAATAAGTTGGTTAAGCATATATTAAAAACAGTGTCGTTGGCACGAAAAATGTCACCAAAATTGCCAATATGGGATGCAAGAATTGTATTTCAATTCTTAAAATTTCCATTGCCATTCTTTTGTTGGCCTCGAGTCGTTGAGTTCACGATTTGACTCTTTTACATTGTGACCTAAACATCTGGTTGATCAGGGGGACTCAATAACCTTGCTTCCTGTATTTGGTTCCAAAACTGATTCAGCATCGTACCAACAGTCTAAGTGGACTTTACTAGGATCACCGGATAGAAATAAAAATCCTTTGTTTTGGTTAAGAAAGTTGATTAAGTTATCAAAAAATATTAGAGGTCTGACTCTGACAAATTTATTTATAACGACTAGAGAACCTCGTAGACCAGCTACAGATGTCATGATAGGTGGTTGGGTAAGGCGAACTCTTTCTGATGCCGGAATAGAGGCTACGCCCGGTAGCTTTAGGTCAGTATCTAATCCACCTAAATTGTGCAACAATCTTAAGAGAATGATGTTAGAGTATAACATCATTCTCTTAAGATTGACATCAGGGATACTCGGCTAGGTAGGTTAGATTACAAAGGTTAGATTTTCAAGATTTGATTATATTAGATTAAGTGTTACTATAAACTTTTTAGTGCTAATAGAATTAAATACGACTCAGGATATGCTGTACCACCCAAATGCATACAAAAAATTCATTCAAATCGATCCAGCCGTTTAGGAGGAGTTCAGTGACAACACACGCACAGTAGAATTTTTTTTTTAAACATTGCCCTTACTTTAGGATATCATTATCCTGTGTTGTAAGGACGTTTTACAAACATAAATTTCACGCGGACAAATACCCAGATACGAAACAACTATATTGTGGGTCACACAAATTGTTGTCCCGTGTGGGAATCGAACCCATGACCCCCGACGCCGAAGCCAATATTATGACAACTGCGCCACGGAGCCACCAAAGAATTATATGCAGCGTGTCGTTACAACCGCGACAATAAATGAACACACATATAGAGGATAACTTTTTAAAATTGTATTAACAATTTGCATTCTTTAAACAATTTTAGAACACCCTTACGTATAAAACTGTAACGTAAACTTCATTTGAAAAGGTCACAAAGCATATGAACGAGTTGAATGAATTTGAAAGAGATAAAATATACTGTTAGAAGGAGAGACTTGTAATGCGCCGCTGTGGCAACCAAAGACAAAGTCTCTGAATGTATGAATCAGTCCGTTGTTGTTAGTTGTATAGGATGTTACAAATTTTGTTTCTTTTTTATTTAATTATTTTGTTTGAAAAGTATGTTTTTTATTTATAATTGTTTAACGTTTATATTTTTTTAATGACTATTGGAAAGTAGCTTTAGACGTGTGTTCATTTATTGTCGCGGTGGTAACGACACGCTGTGTATAAAGATTTAGTATTACTATAAACTTTTTAGTGCCAATAGAGTTAAAATACGGCTCAGGGTATGCTGCAACAATGCAATCTGTTAGTGTTGATTGTTGACCTTTTAGTGTAGGTAGTGTTAATGTAAGGGGGTGCTAATAATAGAAATTCGCGCAGTGGAAGCGTGTGTATGTGATTGTTGTAAGGGGAGAAACTTTTTACAGAATTTTTGATATCTCTTCCTTTATAGTGTATTGTTTTCTTGTATTGTTTTAGTTGTTATTAAGAGTTTTGATTTTTGTTGAGAGTGTGTTATTGTTGTTTTATGATTGGTGGTTTGTTTGTAGATAATTTCTAATTTTTGGATTTTCTATACTTGTCTGGTGTTATGAATCTATATCTGAGATTAAGGGGGTGTGTTGATTGGTAATCTCAGATTATACATACTCTCTTTATGTCAGTTTGATTTATGTAGTATGTTTAAATTACTTTTTTGGAATGTTAGTTTTATTTCTTCAGACTGAATTGTGTCATATTTGGTTGATTCCGTAAAAATTGCTTAAAGAAGTAACATGTCTAGCTATCTAACATAACTCTTATATTTTACATAAATTTCATAATGATTGTTTCATCCAAAATAAGTTCAAAATGTTTAAGTTAAAATAAATAGTTTTCTTATCAGTCCTTAAGTGTCTTTTTGATTTGAAAGTGATCCCATTAGCCACACCTACCATTGATGAGTTAGTGTCATGAAAACACTATGTCAAAGAAAAAAGCAGTCGAAGCACTCAATATTACCTGTATAAAAAGTGGGATGGTGGTTTTTTTAAGAAGATGTATTTTTACAACGATATTAATGCTGGAATTTTTGCTGAAGTTGATGTCTATCGCCATGTGACACTACCGGGGGAGTTTTCTAAATTAGTGTGTCAATTAATACTCGTAAGATGACGTTATAAAAAATAAGTGCCGATATATAGAGTGAGGCAGTGATGGCAGAAAATGCTCTATTTGTCAATAGATATCATGTCAATAGACAAGAATGGACAAAGAACAGAGCACCTTAGTAATACTTTTATAAGGAAAATTGAAATAATCCATCAGAACTTTGAAACCACACATGAGTTTGTATTCAATTAGCGGGTGCTGCCCACGCAGTAAACTGTTCTCTTAATAAATAATTATGTCCTTTAACTATTTCCTAATTTTATTAACCGACTTCAAAAGGAGCTTTCTCAATTCGACTGTAAGTAAGTAAAAAAGTAAAGTATCAGCCTATACATGTCCCCCTGCTGGGCAAAGGCCTCCTCTATACAGAGGGTATCAGGGCATAGTCCACCAGGCGGCCCCACTGCGTATTGGCGGACTTCACATATCTTCGAAATATTTTTTTTTGTTATTATTTCGAAAATATGCAGGTTTCCTCACGATGTTTTCCTTCACCGCTGAGTACGTGATAATTCAGCACTTAAAATTGACAATTTCATTGGTGCCGGCACCGGGGATTGAACTCAGGTTGCTCGAGTATATTGAATTAAAGGCGAGCGCCCGGACACTGAGCTATCACGGCTCTCGACTGTATCTATTTTTATTTTTTTATGTGTGTTCGCGGATAACTTCTTCGTTAATGAACCTTTCTGTTTTTGTCGGAAAGAAGATATCCTAAGGGCGGTACCACGATAAAGAAACCCGGATCTGATGACGGCATTCTTGAATGGTAGATGTGGCTAATGGGATCACTATCAAGCCAAAAAGACACTTAAGGACTGATAAGAAAACTATTTATTTCAACTTTAACATTTTGCACTTATTTTTAACGAAACGTAATCATTATGAAATTTAGGTAAAATACAAGAGTTATGTCATATAGCTTGTATCTTGTATCTTGTATTAACTGATGTTTTTGCTTTCAGTCCCGAGACTATTAAAGCTTCATCTGACGCAGAACCGGTGGGCTAGCCAGAACCCACGGGTTTGGGCCCTCCGCTGTGGGTAGGGCCACGCATGTGCTCATGCGTGCGTTTAACTATGGTGTGTCATCTAAGGGCCATCGAGGTCGTGGTTCGGACCGAAACCCCGATGGTCGTCGACTGTGCAATTAGCTAATCGGTGGCTGAGGGCGGTGAACCGCCCCGGAACGCGGGTGTACCTTGTATACGCGTTGTGTTGGTCTCGCCGTGCTCGGAGGCGAGGGCGAACTAGTGTGTTTGTTGTTGCACTAACTGTGGGTGTAGTGTTGTCCGGCGGGACCCCCGGCAGTGGGTCCGGCGTGTCTAAGTCCCCTTCCTCGACCGGGTCGATTAGGACGTTTCGCGGGCGACGCTTGTTGAAATTCGCGTTTTTGTCGGGTTGGTAATTGATGGGATGATGTTCGGCTCTATCGAAGAACCGTTTGGTCAGGTCTTTAAAATATTCGCGAATCGTCGGGAGTCTGCAATCGCTGTGCAGGTCGACGTTGCGTTGATACCACTGCGCACCGGTTGCGCGGCGGATGAACTTATTTTGTACTATTTGCAGCCCCAGTCATATAGCTAGACATGTTACTTCTCCAAACGATTTTAACGGAATCCATCAAATATGACACAAGTCAGTCTGAACAAATAAAACTAACATTCCAAATTTAAAGTAGGTAATTACATAAATCAAATAAGTCAGAGTTGATAAAAGTATGTATAATCGGAGATTACCAATCAACAGGCATCCCAGAGAAATCGAGGGCCATCATTGAATATTTTAGGTATTAACAATGTTTTTAATTTTCTGATTGAAGTCGGTGTTTTTTGTTACGAATTATGTTGTGTAATAACTTGACTAATATTAATTACCTTTAGCAATTTCAGTCTCAAGATTAAACATTGCGTTTTTAATTTACCCAATTAGATTTCAAACCGTGCGTCGTGTTTAAATTCGCTCTACGTAAGCGAAGCTGGCATACTTATTGATTGTATATTTCGACTTCATTCATTATTGTTCAATACGAACTGGTTTTTCCTGTTCCTTCTTCCTTCGTCATGTCACTAAAACTCGGTCTTATAATAACTCTACTGGTATCTGGTCTTTTTCCGGAAACGCAGGTAAGTTTCTGTTATATATATGTAGTAAATGTAAAATACATTGGCTACGTGGATGGATTGATTCGTATTGGATTACGGAAAAATAAAGGATTATTTTTACTATAGAAATCCGGCATTTTGTTGATGTCAATATGTCAATTCTGCTCCTATTTTTGGGCGTTTATAAAAAAATAACCAAGAAGGTTAAGGCGGGAGCGGAACTCTAACCTAATCTATCTGAGTCGGAATGTTAGTATTGGGAAAATAACAAGTTTTAAATATTTTTTTCTCGAAAACTATAAGCGACCGGAGAATTCTGTTTGTGGATTAATTCATAAGTGATCTTTCTCTATAGTTTAAAATTTATTTTATTTTCAATACACGCCCGTCAATGTCTTTTACATTAACCTTATATATTTTTATTCAACAGAATCATCCGGTGTAGCTTACTTTATAGCTAGACATCTTATTTTCCTTATAGTATACCCTTCAGGACTTAGTTTATTAGCAAGTTTGGATATATGTAGGCCCCATTGAAGCTTTGCATCGAGAGTTTTTATTCCAAAAAAAAAAAACAGTCTTATCCACAAGATCTAACTCCACCCCATTTATTTTGCATTGTTAGCACCCAAATGTTCAACATTAGGTGTTGAAAATATCATACATTTAGCTTTATTACAGGCGGCCTCAGTATACTGATGCTTCTTTTGGATACGTAGTATGGACTGAATAAATAAAATAAGTTCAGCGTTTCTCGATGTATACAGCAAAAGCCTGTACTCAATAATTCGTCCCATCATCACGCATTGATTTACTAATTAATGTTTTATCCACAGGGAAAAACTTGTAAAGGAATTTTTTACATTTGTAGAAGTTTGTTGCAGACAGTAAGTGTTTTTGTTAAATTAAATAAAAAATTTAAAAATCTTTTCTAACATTATTTTTCCAATATTTACAACTTTAAATTTACGAAATAAACACAGTCCACGCGGCATGGTGCTAAGAACGTTAGCTGCATTGCCTGGCTGAATGGACCCCAGGAATAATAACTAAATACATAATCTTGAGAAAACATCGTGAGGAAACCTGCGTATTTTCGAAATAATAACAAAAAAATAATGTTTCGAAGATATGTGAAGTCCATAATAATTTCTTGTATTTACGCGATTACACATTATAAATGAAACTAATTTTACGGATTTATCGCGTTTATTTTTAATTTTAATTCCGCGATTTCGACCCATTATAAGCGTTCATGAACAGACTAATTTTAGACGGATTAATCGGGCTACCGTCAGTTTTTGAATTATTAATTTTGGACACAATAGGTGTAAACATAGATCGGACACAAAATTAATAATTCAAAAACTGACGGTAGCCCGGGTTAACTATGACAATCAGACGTCTAACACCTCAGTCTGTCCCGTGACCATGAACGCTGTAAAGGGTTCGAAACGTCGGGAATTAATATTAAAAATAAACGCGATAAGTCCGTAAAATTAGTTTCATTTATATGTGAAGTGCGCCAATCCGCAGTGGCGGCCCCACTGCGGATCTGCGGACTTCGGATTGGGGCCGCGTGGTGGACTATGCCCTGATACCCTCAGTATAGAGGATGCCTTTGCCCAGCAGTGGGACATGTATAGGCTGTTGCCTTACCTACATAATCTAAACAAACTTGTTTAGATTATGTATTTGTGCCATTTGCCGTTGAAACTTTGGGTCCGTGGGGTTCCCGTACATTGAAATTTAAAATAAATAATATGTAACTCACTGTAAGCTTAAACATCAAATTAAGATTTTGTCTGACGGGGACATATATTTCACAATTTATTTATTTATTTAAAAAAGAAACTAGCAGTACATACATTCAACGTTTAAGTAGTAAGATATACATACAAACTCCGATGCATGCACGATTAGGTGATACAGCACTGTTACAGGTAGATGCAACATTGAACAAAAATGATAAATGCAAAAATATTTAAAAAAAACTACAAAAAAACAGAATGAATTACAAAAATCTACATTAAAACTATAATGATTAGGAATTAAAATATTAACAGACGTGACTTGATTAAATGACAAACGATTTCGTTTCACATATTCATAGTCTCATTACAGAGGATTTCAATGTACCATCCCGTGTTAGCATCATTACGGATTTTTCTATTCAGGATATTAAGCTCCGCTGGTTTAAATTGAGGCCGGAACGACTTATAATAACTTATTTTATCCAGCCCAAATAAACACTTTTGCGGACTTAAATAAATCGCACACCATTTTACTGCGGCCTAGTTGTTATCACGTTTTAAAATTAAATGCAGCCTTAGCACACTACCACTACAAGACTTCATGATTAAATTAAGACTTTGTATGTAGTACTTTCTATGTAAATATATTTAAAAATATAAAGTTGTACAGGTTAAGATTAAAAATGACGAGACGATTGGACGATTTGACGTCTTACAGCTTAAACCGCCTAGTTATCATGAGTACTGTAAAGTGTTCGGAATTTCAACTTTGAAATCACGCTGTTTTGGAGTGCTTTATATACATACAAGATGGTGTGGAATAAATTTCTAGGTTTTTTTTAAATTGTGGAGCCGTATTTGCATAGAGGTTTAGACGTCGTGCCGATGTGAAGTAAAGTCTCGCCTTGCTGAGCACACAAAGCTTCTTTGAGGCCAAATTGGCCTTAACTTCCAGTTGACCGCGGAAATGGATGTTGCTCTAAATATTGACCCCAGGTATTCCGATACTAACTTTGGCAGAAATTGGGAGTGAGGGAGTGTCTTAAAATTATTAATAACGACAAGTGGGAACTATTTAGTGTGAAGTGCACGCGAAAATGTGAGACGTTCGGTTAATGTTCTTAGATTTTTAGCACTGAAACGTTATTTCGATTAGTCTTGACCATAATTATGTATGAAATAAATTATAGCATTGTCTTGCAGGTTCAAGAGTACAAAGTAGCATTAAAGGATCAAATGCAAAGCTTAAACGGAGCAGAAGAAAACAAGAAGGAATTTAAGGTGAGCCGATTTCAACAAACTTAAATTTTGCATACAGACTTTTCTTAACTTGAAGGTTGGCTTGGCTATCTCGCCGACCAGACGAAATGCAAATGTACGAAACATTCTTATAAGGTAGAAAATAGTAAATGCTTAGGTATAGTAAAATTTCTTAACGGAATTAAAGAACACAACAATTCATAATACTAATCAACTGGTCTAAAATATGCAAATAGTGGTTAATTTTGCTGCAGTATTGATTTGATTTTTAGGTTTGAAATTTTGTTAATTGAAGGTTACCTTAAAATGCAACGAATTAAATAAAAACATTTGCTATCGCAGATATCGCGTATTGTCGTTTAAGTTTTGAAATCAGTATCTCTGATAGCGATCGTTACTAACCACCAAAGGCCTTTGGAATACTTTTTCATTAGGTTCGCTGAAAAAGGGCCAGAAAAAATGTTTTGAGAGAATTCTAGCATTTACAAATTGTAACACCTAGTCAAACAATATATCTTATTCAATGTAATAGTCACAAGGATGTCAATGATTTGAGTATTGATGAGTTTGAAATCACATTTATATTGCCTAAGTATTGTTCGTATTTTGAATTTCCAACGTGTGGAAATTATCATTGCAGTCATGACAGAGCACGTCGATAAGCTGTCATGAGAGCTGATATGTCAAATTTGGGAATGATATTATACATATACAACGCAGATATGACACTAGCGCACCGACTGAGGCATTCCAAATACGCCAATTCGTGCAATTCTACAGACTGCTATCTCTTTCCGTATCATAAGTTCTATATCATCTGTCACATTCACTTTATATTCATATAATGTAAAGCGGAACAATTTTTAAAATAATTTGTTGATACAGAATAAAGTTACAAATATTTTTCACTTACAGGGTCCAAATGCCAGAGTAAGTCCCCATGCTTTTAATATAAGAAAGCAACGGATTAACATGATTTTTTAAAGTTGATAGTTTTGGATCAGAAGAGTGTCATAATCCAAGTTTTACTAAAACTGTGGCATTCCAATTAAGCCAATTAGTGCAACTCTATAAACTGCTATCTCTTTCCGTATATAAGTTCTATAACATATGTCACATTCATTTTATATTCATATAATGTAAAGCGGAACAATTTAAAAATAATGTGTTGATACAGAATAAAGTTACACATTTTGTTAACTTCACATAATTTCGAAATACATTTTTTTTGTTATTATTTCGAAAATATGCAGGTTTCCTCACGATGTTTTCCTTCACCGCGGAGCACGTGAAAATTCAGCACTTAAAGTTAAAAATCTCATTGGTGCCGGCACAGGGAATCGAACTCAGGTTGCTCGAGTATATATTGAATTAAAGGCGAGCGCCCGGACACTGAGCTATCATGGCCACGATATACGAATGAAATTGTTTAATCCATTAAACTATATTTTTATATCTGCCACAAATCTATTCGATATTTCATTGCTTCGTCGGTATAGGAAGGGTCTCACCCAACATCGCGATATCGTCCTTCGTTTCTCGTTAAGCAGACTACGTTATAAAAAACAGTCTGCAGTACAAAGTACTACGTTTTCCTGCCCGTCCATATTAACAACTAAAGGCTGAAACTCTGCTGAGTGACCATGTTTATGCACAAGTTACATACAACCTTGCACCTGGATTCAGGGGCTAAACTCGATATCGGGTTAGTATCTGCAACGCTGTAGTTTAGCACATAATGTTTATTAACAAAATGTGCTCCACCCTATTTTGGAATCGTACCATTTTGTGTGCAAATCATCATCGCGGTCGTGACAGAACACGGCGATAAACTACACATATGTCAGATTTGGCAATGATGCAAATATGAGGTAGATTCGAGTGCGTGAGTTTCGGTGCGTTAGTATCATACTAACGCACCAAAACTCATGCACTCGAATTACGGCAATTAGTGCAATTAGATTGCAACTCCATAGACTGCTATGTCTTTCCGTATCAGACGTTCTATATAAGTATAAGTCCAATATATGTCATATTATGTAAAGCGAAACAATTTTTACACGTTGCGCAATAGTGACGTGCGTCATCTTTATTAAAACATCATTGAGATTAGACAAAATAATAGGCTCGGTCCCTCCACTCCGTCCCGTGAACCATTACGCTAATTAATCCCTCTAACTCTATTTAAAGCCATCGTAACTTGTACACATGAAACTGACAATATGCTTTTCTAAACAAGTTAACAACGATACAAATATGATAAATTGACGAAGAGGAATGAAAATGCTCAGATATGAGAATATTAAAAACGATCCAAAAACATTACTGTTTCATTGTTACTTAGGGCGTGACCTGAAAGTATTTCATAAATAAATAGTATCGTCATATCATTTATAATCACCCTTATCACAGGTAATGTGGCGATCTCTAGATCTGTGACTGTAACTGAACTCGCTTCTTAATAAAAATTATTTTGTTTGTATAGAATAAACATAAAAATATTTTTCACTTACAGAGTATAACCATCGGAGTAAGTCCCTATGTTTTTAATTCTAAGAAAGCAACGGATTGACATGATTTTTTAAAGTTGATAGTTTTAGGTCAGAAGTGACACAGTCCACGTTTCACCCCGAAAAATATATTTCAACAGAAAACGATGTTTTACTATCATAACAAATATTCTTGACTTCGTACTTCTTTCACGTTGAAAGAAAGTGGCATGAAAAGAATTTTCATAAGGTGATTTACATTTTTCAGTAAAAGAGAGGCATACTACAGCTCCTTTTTAAAAAAAGGAACCATATTATTAGAATTACAAAATTACGTAAATTATGATTATGAAAGGGGGATCTTTTGTAAGCCTGGAGAGGGTCATAGGCTACTAGCAACCCAAAATCTTCCCATGATATGCGAGTTACAGCTTATACATGTCCCAATGTTGGGCAAAGAGGCCTCCTCGGTGCAGAGGGTATCAGTCCACGACGCGGCTCCACTGCGGATTGGCGGACTTCACACTTTTTTTATCATTTAGAAAATATGTAAGGTTACTCACGACGTCTTCCTTTACCGCTGAGCAAGTGATAAGTCAGCACTTAAAATTAACAATTTCATCAGATTCAGGGATCGAACTCAGGTTTCTCGAGTATATTGAATTAAAGTCGAGCGCCCGGACACTGAGTTATCACGGCCACGGTATACGAATGCAATTAATAATTAAATCCATTTAACTAATCGATGTTTATATCTTCCACAAATCTATTCGGTATAGGTAGGGTCTCACCCAACATCGCGGTTTCCTTCTTCGTTTCTCGTTAAGCAGACTACATAATAAAGCACAGTCTGCAGTACAAAGTACCACGTTTTCCTGCCCGTGCATATTAACAACTGAAGGCTGAAACTCTGCTGAGTAAGCATGTTTAATTTTGATGCACAAGTTACATACAACCCTGCCGGTGGATCCAGGGGCAAAACGTGATTATCGGCTTAGTACATGCAACGCTGAAGTTTAGCGCATAATGTTTGTTAACAAAATGTGGTGCACACTATTTTGGAATTTTACCATTATGTGTGAAAATCATCGTTGCGGTCATGACAAAGCACGGCGATAAGCTACACATATGTCAGATTTGGCAATGATGCAAATAAGAGTTAGATTCGAGTACGTGAGTTTCGCCGCGCTAGTATCATACTAGCGCACCAAAACTCACGCACTCGAATTACGCCAATTGGTGCAATTAGAATGCAACTCTATAGACTGCTGCTGAACAGGTTACGTTGGGATATAATAGGATTATCTGAAGTACGAAGACAGGGGAGGACACGATAATCCTCTAATCCGGCAACCTGTTCTACCACCGGGAGGGCGACCAACTGTCCCAAGGAGGTGTCGGATTATCGTCCACAAGTCTCTCATTAACAACGTTGTTAAAATCGAGAGTGTGTCGTCGAGGGTTGCGTACCTTATACTCAGAATACCCAAACGGTATTCGCTGAAGGTCATACAGTGTACGCACCAACGTCGACACATCCCGATGATGAGGTGGAGGCAATGTATGAGGACATATCACGAGCCATACATTCCTCCAAAACTCAGTACGTGGTTTTAATGGGAGACTTCAACGCAAAACTAGGCAAAAGAAAAGACGATGAGCTGAGAGTAGGTATTTTTGGAATAGGGCAACGGAACCTAAGGGGGCAGCAGCTGGCTGACTTTATGGAGAAGGAGGGACTCTTTATGATGAACTCCTTCTTCAAAAAGCAGCCCCACAGAAAGTGGACCTACACTAGCCCCGATGTTTCTGTTAAAAACGAGATAGATTTCATTATGACGAACAAACGGCAAATATTCAATGATGTCTCTGTGATCACAAGGGTGAAGACCGGTAGTGATCACCGATTGGTGAGAGGCACATTGAATATTAACATCAGGCTGGAAAGATCTCGTCTAATGAAGTCTCCGACCATCTCGTGCCCATGTCCAGAACTCCGAAAGCTTTCAGCTCGAGCTACATAATCGCTTCCAATGCCTAGAAAATTGCAGCTCGTGGAAACTGTCCATACCGTGGGCCTTAAATTTTATAAGCCCCGCCGCACAAATAGAACGCAAAAACTCTCCGATCACACTCTTAACCTCTTAAGAAAAAGACGTGAGATGCGGCTGCAGTCTTTAACTGACATGTCAGACTACAGGCGGCTTAATAGGCAGATCTCCAAATACATGCGGCGAGACTTACGCAACTTCAATACAGCCCGTATTGAGGGAGCTATAGAGCGGAACCTAGGCTCAAAAGTCTTCGCCAGAGATCCGTCTATCGGACAAAGCCAACTGACTAAGTTGAAGACTGACAGTGGGGCTATCATCTCCACTAGACCAGGGGTTTTGAGTGAGATTGAGAGGTTCTATGAACAGCTGTACACATCGTCGTTGGAGCCACACACATGTGTGAGTAACGACCCAAGAGCAAAGCTTATCCGACACTATTCCGAGAATATCTCGGATGTCAGTCTGAGCGAGATTAGAATGGCTCTTGACCATCTTCAGAATGGCAAAGCATCGAGAGAGGACGGAATTACAGCAGAGCTTCTGAAAGCGCGTGGAGAACCGGTACTTGTAGTTCTTCAGAGGCTCTTTAATTCCGTCCTTCAGGGTGGGCTACACCAGAGGCGTGGAGTAGAAGTGTGGTGGTGCTGTTCTTCAAGAAAGGCGATAACGCTCTCTTGAAGAACTGTAGACCAATATTCCTTCTGAGCCGCACTCTGATGCTGTTCTCAAGAGTCATATTGAATCGTCTCGCTTCCAGACTCGACGACTTCCAGCCTCCCGAACAAGCCGGATTCCGAAAAGGCGAATTCAGTGCGATAGACCACATACAAACCTTGCGGCAGATTATACAGAAGACCGAAGAGTATAATCTGCCTTTGTGCCTAGCGTATGTGGACTATAAGAAAGCCTTCGACTCTATCAAAATTTGGGCGGTACGCCAGGCTCTGCCAAATTGACTGTCGGTATATCGAAGTGCTGCGGTGTGTGTATAACAAGGCTACGATGTCCGTCCAAGTACAGTCCAGTAGTACAAAACCTATCCAACTGCAGAAGGGTGTTGTAATACAGGACGATGTCATATCCCCGAAACTCTTCACCGCTGCGTTGGAAGATGTTTTCAAGCTTCTGGACTGGAAAGGACGAGGTATTAACATCAATGGCGAATACATCACCCACCTTCGATTTGCCGACGATATAGTCATCATGGTAGAATCGCTGGAGGACCTGGGTGCTATGTTCAATGACCTTAACAGTATCTTCCAACGGGTGGGCCTTAAGATAAACATGGACAAGACGAAGATCATGTCTAATGTCCATGTCACGCCTATACCGGTTGTTGTTGGGAGCACTGAGCTCGAAGTTGTTGACGAGTACAGAACCGAGACGTGGTCCTTCACTGCTGGCCGTATGAGGAAGCTCAAAGTCGCTCAGCGAGCTATGGAGCGGACTATGCTCGGTATTTCTCTGCGTGATAGAGTTCGTAACGAAGACATCCGCAGTAGAACTAAGATAACTGACATAGCTCAGAGGATTAGCAAGCTGAAGTGGCGATGGGCCGGCCAGATAGCTCGTAGAACCGATAACCGTTGAGGAAGAAAGGTTTTCGAGTGGCAGCCTCGTACTGGCCATCGCAGTGTAGGACGACCCCCCACTACATGGAGTGACGACCTGTGCAAATGTGCAGGAAGTCGATGGATACAGGTGGCTCAGGATCGTACTTCATGGCAGTCTATGGGGGAGGCCTATGTTCAGCAGTGGACTCAAACAGGCTGAAATGATGATGATGAGACTGCTATCTCTTTTCATATCAAACGTTATAAATAATCTGCCACATTCACTATATACAGGTCGGCTTTTAGGCTGGTAGGTGGCTTAAAGGTGCCTCAATTCACACAGGAGGGTCAGACTCGGTAGTACATTCGTTTATTGAAATAAAAACAAACGTTTTTTTTTTTTCAAAAAAATTGCGGTTCTATTCCCTAAAAAACAGAGCTTGTTAACAATGCGGTAGTCGTTAATAAATGCGACTATACTTTTGAAATGAACTTGTGAGCATGTTAGTTATGAATGATTAATGGAAATAATTTTGTTTGTATAGAATAAACATAATAATATTTTTCACTTACAGAGTATAAACCAAGGAGTAAGTAACCATGTTTTAATATTAAGAAAGCAACAGATTGAAATGATTTTTAAAGTTGATAGTTTTAAGTCAGTGGAGTGATATAGTCCACTTTTTATCCTGAAAAAACATCATATTTCAACGAAACGATGTTTTAATACCATAACAAAAATTCTTGATACCTTCCGCCTTTACCTCGAAAAAAATCAATTGCTTGACAAAACTTTTCAGTTGAAATCGGGCTATTTGTATGTAACGCGTAGCGAGTGCTTTTAATATTTATCATTTTTACATAACATTATATATGTCTAGAATTTAATAAAAAAATGCATATACTTAGAAAAACCTCCGTGTATGTCATATAACGGAACAATTTTTACGCGTCGCGCAATATAGGACGTGCGTCATCTTTATTAAAACATCATTGAGATTTGACAAAGTAAATGGCTCGGTCCCATCATTCCGTTCCGTGTACCATTACGTTAATGAAACCATTTAGTCCCTCTACCTCTATTTCAAGCCTTCGTAACTTGTACACATGAAACGGACAATATGCTTTTCTAAACAAGTTAACAACAATATAAATACGATAAATTGATGAAGACGAATGAAAATGCTCAGATATGAGAATATTAAAAACGATCCAAAAACATTACTGTTTCATTGCTACTTAGGGCGTTACCTGAAAGTACTTCATAAATAAACAATATCGTCATATAATTGTTACGAACACACAAAACACAGAGAAACTAGCGACATCTAGCTTCAACCAGTAAAACCATTAAAAGAACAAAGACAACATGAAACCCCTACTCAATACTAGATGGCGTTAGAGGAACTACTGTGGAACTATATACAACTATAGTCTCGAAAACCGGGTACATTCGCGACCTTTCCAGAATCACGATCACGTTTGCGCGTGTCGGGTCCGTTCCAGGAAGGAACTTTCTGGAATAGTCTGGCACTCGTCTCGGCCCATATAAAATGCCGCAGGGAGGCGAGCCAGTTCAGTTAATTTGAGCTATCTTCGAGGTGACTTCGGAGTGAAAGCTAGTGATCAAGAGCGATACCACTGAAACCTTCAACTTGACTACGACCTAGGACATCGTTAGTGCTTAGTGTTTGGACCTAGTGCTTTGTGTTGGACCTAGTTCTAGTGAATAAAGTCTTCAAACGAGTCTGCAGGTCTTTCTCTTCAAATCCTTCGAACCCTAACACGTAACATTATTTATAATCACCCGTATTACAGGTAGTGTGAAGATCCCTAGATCTGTGACTGTAACTGAACTCGCTTCTTAATGAAAATTATTTTGTTTGTATAGAATAAACATAAAAATATTTTTCACTTACAGAGTATAAGCCACGGAGTAAGTACCCATGTTTTAATGTTAAGAAAGCAACAGATTGAGATGATTTTTAAAGTTGACAGTTTTAAGTCAGAAGAGTGATATAGTCCACTTTTTATCCTGAAAAAACATCATATTTCAACGAAACGATGTTTTAATACCATAACAAAAATTCTTGATACCTTCCGCCTTTACCTCGAAAAAATCAATTGCTTGACAAAACTTTTCTGTTGAAATCGGGCTATTTGTATGTAAAGCGTAGGGAGTGATTTTAAATATTTATCATTTTTACGTAACATTATTTATGTCTACAATTTAATAAAAAAAAATGGATATACTTAGAAAAACCTCCGTGTATGTCATATAACGGAACAATTTTTACGCGTCGCGCAATATAGGACGTGCGTCATCTTTATTAAAACATATTTGAGATTAGACAAAGTAAATGGCTCGGTCCCACCATTCCGTTCCGTGTACCATTACGTTAATGAAACCATTTAATCCCTCTACCTCTATTTAAAGCCATCGTAACTTGTACACATGAAACGGACAATATGCTTTTCTAAACAAGTTAACAACAATATAAATACGATAAATTGATGAAGACAAATGAAAATGCTCAGATATGAGAATATTAAAAACGATCCAAAAACATTACTGTTTCATTGCTACTTAGGGCGTTACCTGAAAGTACTTCATAAATAAACAATATCGTCATATAATTGTTACGAACACACAAAACACAGAGAAACTAGCGACATCTAGCTTCAACCAGTAAAACCATTAAAAGAACAAAGACAACATGAAACCCCTACTCAATACTAGATGGCGTTAGAGGAACTACTGTGGAACTATATACAACTATAGTCTCGAAAACCGGGTACATTCGCGAACTTTCCAGAATCACGATCACGTTTGCGCGTGTCGGGTCCGTTCCAGGAAGGAACTTTCTGGAATAGTCTGGGACTCGTCTCGGCCCATATAAAAAGCCGCAGGGAGGCGAGCCAGTTCAGTTCATTTGAGCTATCTTCGAGGCGACTTCGGAGTGAAAGCTAGTGATCAAGAGCGATACCACTGAAACCTTCAACTTGACTACGATCTAGGACATCGTTAGTGCTTAGTGTTTGGACCTAGTGCTTTGTGTTGGACCTAGTTCTAGTGAATAAAGTCTTCAAACGAGTCTGCAGGTCTTTCTCTCCAAATCCTTCGAACCCTAACACGTAACATTATTTATAATCACCCTTATTACAGCTAGTGTGAAGATCCCTAGATCTGTGACTGTAGCTGAACTCGCTTCTTAATGAAAATTATTTTGTTTGTATAGAATAAACATAAAAATATTTTTCACTTACAGGGTATAATCCAAGGAGTAAGTCCCCATGTTTTAATGTTAAGAAAGCAACAGATTGACATGATTTTTTAAAATTGATAGTTTTAAGTCAGAAGAGTGATATAGATATATCAACAAAACGACCTTCTAATATCATAACAAAAATTCTTGATTCCTTCTGTCTTTCACTATTCAAACAAAGAAAAAAATCAATTGCTTGAGAAAACTTTTCTGTTGGAATAGGGCTATTTGTATGTAACGCGTAGCGATGTGTTTTCCGGTTAACACTCAAGAACAGTAACCGCGCTGCGCATCATTCTATAGTGAATAAGGTACTTATACCCTTTTGCTTTACAGTCATCACACATCATGGTAAGCCCCCATATTTATTTTTTAAAGAACTTCGTCAACTAATACAATTTTGATATAGACCTTTTCTTGGCTACATAGCTCGAAGAACCGATAACCAAAAGTCATCGTAGTGTAGGGCGACCCCCATAGATGGCGTGTCGACCTGTGCAAGTGTGCAGGAAGTCGTTAGATACGGGTGGCTCAGGCTCGTGCTTTTAGGCAATCTGTGGGAGAGGCTTATCTTTAGCACTGGATGATGGTGAAGAGTTTTAATTAATTTTAAACTAAGCTACCTTCAAGATCAGAGCCTTTTCTTAACTTGAAGGAGGGTAACGCTTCTTCAGTTTCTGTGATGTTACGAATGCTCATCGCACGCAGTGATCACCCACTATCTGTGTACTGCTTTTTTAATTATTTTCTTCCTTTTGATATTCAAAAGTAAAAAAAGGTAGTACTGTTTTTTTATATAAAATTATAGTAGTACTGCGTCACTTGCGTCAAACTTTCTCTACTTCTAGGGTTGACTGGAAGAGAATGCTTATTAGCATTAAGTTTGCCTTTTGTTTAGCCTTAAGTTGAGGTGTAAACAATAAAATTTTAAATAAATAAATACCGTGAACTTTCAGATTACTTTAGGTTAAGGCGAGTATCAAAATAATTATGATTCCCGAAACAAATATTAAATGTAATATAATGTCTACTATTTTAAGGTTTAAATATGATAAATCTAGTCTTAGTTATGAAATGATTACGCTGAACAAGTTTTTTAGACTGGAGTTTTTACGCCATCTAAGTAATATGAGCCCTGCATAATGGTTTAATGCAAGAGTAACAAATCACAATACATTATGAAATAAAATCAATACTTCGTGTATACATATCGTGGCATTCAACCAGATTTATTTACTACAGAAACCACTAATATCTTTCTTAGATTTTCAAACATGAATTTTAGACTTTTGTTCAGTACCCTAAGAAAATAAGAACGGACATATCTAGTTGGGGTTAATTGGAATAAGATAAAGTAAATTTACAACATAAAAGACACAAATTCATTATCTGGAAAATCAAAAAAGTTCCAGTGATTGAACTCGTCAGAAAATATAAGCTTAATGAACTGTTTATTAAACTTGTTTGATTAAACAACTGTACTTAAAACCCAATTTACTTATCTATATTTTTCGCTTCGCACGGGTGCAATGTATAAAATACTATAAATACATATAAAACTTCCTCGTGAATGACTCTATTTAGTATGAAAACCGCATCAAGATCATAGGGACAGACAGACAGCGGAACGAATTTGTTTTATACTTTGTAGTGCTTATTTACTGTTTAATAAACATTAAGATATTTACTTCTCCAACCCTGAATTCTTTATACTGTGACGTCCTTTGCTATTCACGAAACCATCTTCGTCATTGGATATGAAATTGGTTTACGATGATTTAAAGCACCTCTTTGGGGACTATTTTAGAATTCTTACACGTTTTAACAACAACGATAAGTTTTGCCCATTTCATATATACTGCTGCATCTATACTACTATATATATATATTGCTAAAGGCTAGAATTACTTTCGATTCGCAATAGATTTGTGGAAGATATAAAAATCGATCAGTTAAATGGATTTAAAAATTGCATTCGTATATCGTGGCCGTGCTAGCTCAGTGTCCGGGCGCTCGCCTTTAATTCAATATACTCGACCAACCTGAGTTCGATCCCCGGTGCCGGCACCAATGAAGTTTTTAACTTTAAGTGCTGACTTATCACGTGCTCCGCGGTGAAGGAAAACATCGTGAGGAAACCTACATATTTTCGAAATAATAACAAAAAAAAAGTATTTCGAAGATATGTGAAGTCCGCCAATCCGTAGTGGGGCCGCGTGGTGGACAATGCCCTGATACCCTCTGTATAGAGGAGGCCTTTGCCCAACAGTGGGACATGTATAGGCTGTTACTTTACTTTACTATCCTTAAACACGGTGAACCACACTTATGATCCGGTTACAAGATGTCATCACCAATCTCCTCCTCAAACTTTCGGATATGAACAGAAAAATTTAGTCCTAGTATATTCTTTTTATTGAAGTTGATATTTATTTATAATCATTAATTTTATATCTTATTTAGATGACTGCTTTCATCATGTTATCAAGAAAGTTCAAGGATCGTTAAAGGAAATTTTTCTGCAGTGTTTAAAATATATATTACTAAGTAACGGTGTTAAAAGTTCTGTGTACCACTAACAACATGCAATAAAATATATCCTCATATTTGTATGATTTCATTTATTTTTTTCATATTGTCTATCAAGATATGTTAATACCTTATAACTCTAATACTACTGAGTGAGATCTGGCCATCTCTGCGTTCGATGAAGTTTAATTAGTCTATAAACTGACTTGAAGATGAAATTTAATAAAATTTGCAGATAAAGTGTTAAAAAACTTTGTTCGTCGCTTAAAAATTTTAACACATACATTAAATTTGCCATTTAAAACTACCATTAAAACGGTATTTTATTTATAAATTAATTTAACTTTTAAACAACTCATACATTAAAAAGTTTAAAGTAATCTAATATAATCAAATCCAAAACCACGGCCTCACAAAATATCGGCGGTATTTTTACCTTTGCGTTTTGCCCGGTGAGTGAGGTTGCCGGAGGATCACCCACCCTCCCCCCAACTGTTCATGTTCTGTAATGTTAGGGGACTTCACTCCAACCTCAATGCCGTCCACTATCACCTTGAGACGGCAAAGCCGTCCTTGCTATTTCTAACTGAGACTCAGATATCTTCTCCGGCAGACACATCATATCTCTCATATCCGGGGTATAAATTAGAAAACACCTTTGTGCCCCGAGCCGGAGTTTGTGTGTATGTTAGGGAGGGTATCTCACCAAACACCTCCTGGGGCTCATACACCACACCAGACCTATTCGCTTCAAAAGACGCCCACGTTGTGCAAAGGTATGTTTCGCTAGACTTATCAGCCTCGAATGCTTACTTTCACAACGCTTTCAGCAGATGCTGAATATACGATTTGGCGTGAGTCTTTCCTCCACCAAGTCTGCTCTCACGGGTGCTACACCATCTCTACTCTGCAAAAGGCAAGTTCATGGTCATAACCCCCAAGTGGAAAAAACCTTTTTGGCGCCCAGATCTGAAGAGCCGCGCCCCAGCACGGCCCATGAAAATAAGGAACCTGAGTGTATCATTCTTGGATACGGTCACAGGTCACCTAATCCAGCTCAAGTGCACATCCTACAACTGGAAGCTTGGCCAATTTCGGCTGGGACTCCTTGACAGCATCTTGGTCCCCTGATGAAAAGCAGCTTCTGTCGACGTGTTGGAGAGCTTCTACAGTTAAAACTTACACCCCCATATGGAACAAATGGTCACAGTGGTGTAATCAACATAACCTGAACTGTCGGCATCCGGCACTTGCCGAAGTAGCTCGATACTTAGCAAAACTATTTCTTACTGATAGACTTGCATACCGTGTATTCTTGTGCATAAATCAGTTAAAGCATCAGTTTCTGAGACGCTATCGGCTATTAAAATATCCTCGAATAAGTTGGTTAAGCATATATTAAAAACGGTGTCGTTGGCACGAAAAATATTACCAAAATTGCCAATATGGAATGCAAGACATATATATAACTCAATAATACAACTCCGGAATTTCTCAGTCTATATGACGTTTCGAGACGCACGGCCGAAATTCTTTTGTTGACCTCGAGTCGTTGAGTTCACGATTTGACTCTTTAACATTGTGACCTAAACATCTGGTTGATCAGGGGGACTCAATAACCTTGCATCCTGCATTTGGTTCCAAAACTGATTCAGCATCGTACCAACAGTCTAAGTGGACTTTACTAGGATCACCGGATAGAAATAAAAATCCTTTGTTTTGGTTAAGAAAGTTGATTAAGTTATCAAAAAATATTAGAGGTTCTCTGACAAATTTATTTATAACGACTAGAGAACCTCGTAGACCAGCTACAGATGTCATGATAGGTGGTTGGGTAAGGCGAACTCTTTCTGACGCCGGAATTAAGGGCTACGCCCGGTAGCTTTAGGTCAGCAGTCTCATCTTTAAACTGTTTAGAAAAGTACCCTATAAACGATATTATAGCTAAGGCTAACTGGCGCCATGAAAATACTTTTAGAAATTATTACTGCAGAGATGTCAATGATAGAGACCTCAACAATAAGTCAGAGAAATCACTTTCTAGGTATTTTTCACCCACAAATTAATGTTATTTAACGATTTGGGAAATGCGTTTTATAATTTGTTATTAAAACCAAGAAGTTTAATTTAAAATTAAATCAATCATGCTGTTGATTTTCTTTAAGTTTTTTTGGGATTTCTTTAGGTAATATAGAAGTATCCATATATTTTTTTTTTTTTTCATTGTAAAAACAATATAATCACATTGTTGCTTTTATTATGCAAGCCACCAGGAGATAACAAACATGTCTCTCATAATGGACTTCGGACGGCAAACGAAACACATAACATAGATATTTTACCTTAAAATAAAATTTGTATTATGTTTCCTAAGACGTCCAAAGTCCAAATAATGTCTTCCTACCTACACTCATACCATCATTCATATCATTATGAGCCGAATAATGACTACAAAACGGAGGCTTGCTGTGTGCTGCGGCTGTTTAAAATTAGTTCCAGATTAGGCCGCTAGTGGCGCCAAAGGCGCGGTCACGGGGCAGTAAAGTAGCGACATCTAACTACAAGGCAAGGAAAAATGCGATGGCCTCTCTCATAATGGACTTCGTACGTCTTAGAAAACATAATACAATTTTTTATTTTTATTTTAAAAAAACATTGCCCTTACTTTAGGATAACATTATCCTGTGTTTTAAGGACGTTTTACAAAAATAAATTTCACGCGGACAAACACCCAGATGTTAAACAAGTATCTGTGCGACACACAAATAGTTGTCCCGTGTGCGCATCGAACCCACGACCCCCGACGCTGAAGCCAATACCTTGGCAAATGCGCCACGGAGTCATCGAAATTTTAAGGTCAAATTTCTATATCGTTTTTATTAACGAAAAACAAAACCGACTTCAAATATGGGACATTCTAAGTTAAGAGGTAATTCGTTGTATGAAGTGAAACTGCTAAGTTGAAAACGTTTACAAAGTGGCGAGTCAATTTGTTGGTTTTATCTCGTTTTATAAGTGACCAGGGGAAATACACAGTACAGGGGAGAGACAAGGTGTAGAGGACATTTTATGAACAGGGAAAAAATAACGAATAAAAATACCAAGGCTATTTTTAAGAATCATCCTTATTTATTTTATTTATGAATTATTGACAATCAGACTTTTCACTTCTTAGCATTCTTCTTTGTTCATAAAATTAAATGTTTCGTAAGCGCTAGGTACAAAACATGAAAAGGTTCTTACTTTTCTTGACTATCAAAACAAAACTATATATAACTTTACTATCAATAGGCAATAAAAAGAAACAAAACTAAAAATTTTCTTTTGAATAACAGTATTAAACTTTGCTTGAGCTTAAACTATAAAAAAAATTGAATTTTTAAAGGTAACTAAAAAAATTGTTTAAACGTATTCATTTAAAGCATAAAAAATACGCTGACCCCTGGTTTTTAAGTTAGGGCAGTTAGTTCTTTTATAACCTGATCCCAGGTGATAAAAGAAATATCGTCATCATTAATTTTGAAATTTTTTCCAGTTTCATCACAGATTTTTTTCATCACATCTATCAGTCTTAATTTCTTTTTCATTTTACTCAAAGGTTTCATTTTCATTTCTAAAGACTCTTCTTTCTTGGTTAGTGGTGTGATTTGAAAAATTTTCATTAAGTTTTTAAGTAACAACTTCACTGAAAAGCAGTTTCTTCTGTTTAGTTTCTGCGTCGCCTGCATTTACTGCTCTTACAAGTGAATTTACTTTAGTAATGGTTGTGTTAATTGGCGGTTATTTGATCCATTGTATTTGTTTTCTGTAGCGTAGGATTGCAGACTTAAGTTGAGCTATTTCAGCCGCTTGTTTTTTTATCATCAGGTTTCTTGTTTTTCTTGCTCGAGTAGACATTTACTGTGCTGCCAGCGCTCGCCTGTTTATATTTTGAGGTGGGCCTTCACTATCCGAACATGGAGGTGTTACAAAAGCATTACTTACATCTTGGAGTACTAAACGACGTCTATGAATTTTTGCTTTTTCTCTCAACATTTTTCTAGCCTTCCGCTGCTCTCTGGATGTCATTTGTTTCACAGTCTTAATAGTTCCTTTATGTTTCTTCTTTTCATACTTCTTTTTCTCTTTCCTTAACTTCTTTTTTGGCGTACTTATTCAGGTCATTTTTAATCCTTTGATAACATAATCGTTCTGCTATCCTCTTTTTTTCAAGCCGTTCTTCGTGCTTCATTTTTTTTTGGTTTCTGTTTTTCTGTACAAAAACGTAATATTTACATTGTAAAGCTAAGTAATAATAATAATAAACATAATGCCAAGTAAAGGTTTAGAGAAAACTAGAAGTATTAATGAAAACGCGTACAAATGTATCTCCACTGGACATTAAGTATCTCCCCTGCCACCAAAGAGCCAGGCGAAATAAGCCAGGCGAGATACATTTTCGATAGAAATCTGAAATAGGCGTAAAAGTATTTCTCGCACGTAATTCACAAACAAACGTAACAATGTATGCACTATTCATAGTTAATATTTAAGTATATGTATGTTACAAATAATTACATAGTTAAACTTACCAGAGGAAAGACTGCACTCACTCAACACTTCTACGTCCAGCGAGTGGCGTGACTGAAATGACCAACAACATGGCTGCGCAGTTGAGTTATGTACCGCTTTGCTGCTAACTTTACGTTACACACTATGTATCCAAGGTCACAACTTCCACAGCAAGCAAAACAAAACTGATTTTTCAACGAAAACAAAGGCCAGGGGACGAGACACGAAACACGGAGGACAAATTTCGGCGTTAATATTTTTTTATAAAGAATTGGAATATAAGCAATTTTACTTGTAAGATACTATTACTAAGTTGACTGTCTTTATAAAATTAACGGCGATAAAGAAATTATTGAATTTTAATACATTCATTATAACGTTGGTTAATACAAAGTAAGACAAATAAAGTTGGTTGGGGGACAGACCAGGGGAGAGACATTTTGCTTATATTAGCTCTTATTGTGACTTAATTACGTACATTTTTGTAATAAATTTAAGTGATCACGACGAAAACATTTAGATTTAACTGATAAATAGGTTATTTATGAAATTAATATAAAAAAAAGGTTTTCTTTTGTCCTTGCCGTCGAAAGTACCTCTTAACTTAGAATGACTCATATCTCACTCTGTATTCATTTTATAATTGATTTTCAGGAGTTCCCTACGTATCTCCGGAGCCCAAGATCCAATACCAATGAAATTAATATGGGACCACATGGGTAGAAAAGCTAAGCAATAATTAATATTGCGGCTATCTAATAAATATTTTTCTACATAACAGTATTAATGTAACAACTTATATATCTATATCCAGTATCTACCCTAAGGTTGCCTCGAAGAAATTGCTACCTTAGCAATAAGGCCGCCTGTATATACACTATATTATTATTATTTACGGGTTGAATTGGACTAGGTTTAGTCGACCCCAGTCTGAGACTTTGGTTAACAAAGTCTCGACCTCAGACACAAGCTTGTTCCGACTCTCGTAGACGTTTTCCCGAGAAATGTTATGTCGGCCAGTGTAAGAGACATCCACAGTGCTATCGTCTGCATAACAATGGACGTTGCTGATTTGCAACATATCATTGATATGCAGAAGAAACAGAGTAGGAGACAGTACGCAGCCTTGTGGAACACCAGCATTGACAAATTTAGGATCGGAGCATGCACCGTCGACGACGACCTTGATGCTCCGATCTGCCAAAAAGTTGGTGATCCAATTGCATAGTTTCTCGGGAAGCCCATAGGAAGGCAGCTTCGAAAGAAGCGCTTTGTGCCATACCCGATCGAAGGCCTTCACTATAGGTACGTGGGGCAGCCCCCCTGGGGTAGGTTTTTTTCCGATACCGCTAGCATTTTTTTTTTTTTTTTTTTATGCGAAAAGTTGTCAAACGAACAGACGGTTCACCTGATGTTAAGTGAATACCGCCGCCCATGGACATCTGCCACACCAGAGGGTTACAGATGCGTTGACAACCTTTTGAAAATTGGGCTCCGGCTACCTCACTCACCAGACGAAACGCGAAAATATTTGTTATACTTACACATTTTACGCTGGTCTTCTGTGAGGTCGTGGTACTTACCCGGACGGGCCTGCCCATTCGTGCAATAGCCGAGGCTGCTGCGTGGCCCTACCACGTTCAAACTATTTCCTAATTTTACTAAGCGACTTCAAAAGGAGGTTTCTCAATTCGACTGTATGTATTTTTATTTTTTTTATGTGTGTTCGCGGATAACTTCGTCGTTTATGAACCTTTCTGTTTTTGTTGGAAAGGAGATATCCCAAGGGTGGTACCACGATAAAGAAACCCGGATCTGACGACGGCATCTCAGAGAAATCGAGGGCCATCATTGAATGTTATAGGTATTAACAATGTTTTTAATTTTCTGATTGAAGTCGGTGTTTTTTGTTAAGAATTATGTTGTGTAATAACTTGACTAATATTAATTACCTTTAGCAATTTCAGTCTCAAGATTAAACATTGCGTTTTTAATTTACCCAATTAAATTTCAAACCATGCCTCGTGTTTAAATTCGCTCTACGTAAGCGAACCTGGCTTACTTATTGTTTGTATATTTCGACTTTATTAATTATTGTTCAATACGAACTGGTTTTTCCTGTCCCTTCTTCCTTCGTCATGTCACTAAAAGTCGGTCTTATAATAACTCTACTGGTATCTGGTCTTTTTCCGGAAACGCAGGTAAGTTTCTGTTACATATATGTAGTAAATGTTAAAGGCATTGGCGGGCACGTATTGGATTTAAAATAAATTTTAGAAAAATTAAATTTTGAGAAAAATCACTAATGAATTAATTAACAAGCAGATTTTTCCGGTTGCTTACAGTTTTCGAAAAAAAAGAAATAGTAAAAATAAAGGATTATTTTTACTATGGAAATCCGGCATTTTGTTGATGTCAATATGTCAATTCTGCTCCTATTTTTGGGCGTTTATAAAAAAATAACCAAGAAGGTTAAGGCGGGAGCGGAACTCTAACCTAATCTATCTGAGTCGGATTGGTCTGTTGGTTCTGTGCCTCATTAAATTAAAGAAAAATCGAACAATAGATATGACGTCGCCCGCTTTTTATATTTATCATGTTGGGAAAACTGCTTATTGAGTTTTTGGAGTCAAATTAATAAAATGGTGGATTTTCTTAGTGAAAATAACAAGTTTTAATATTTTTTTTTCACGAAAGCTATAAGTGACCAGTGATTTCTGTTTGTGGATTAATTCATTAATGATCTTTATCTGTAATTTCATACATTTAGCTTTATTACAGGCAGCCTCGTATACTGAAAATATTATCTTTTGGATACGTAGTACGGACTGAATAAATAAAATAAGTTGAGCGTTGCTCGAGCTATACAGCAAACGCCTGTACTCAATTCGTCCCATTATCACGCACTGATTAACTAATTAATGTTTTATCCACAGGGAAAAACTTGTGGTGGGATTTTTTTTATTTGTAGAAATTTGTTGCATACAGTAAGTGATTTTTTATTAAATTAAATAATAAATTTAAAAATCTTTTCTAATATTATTTATCCAATATTTACAACAATAAATCTACGAAATAAACATAGTCCACGCGGCATGGTGCCTAGAACGTAAGCTGCATTGCCTGGCTGAATGGACCCCACGGATAGTACCCAAATACATAATCTAAGCAATTTTGTTTAGACTATGTATTTGTGCCATTTGCTGTTGAAACTTTGGGTCCGTTGGATTCCCCCCGCACATCGAAATTTAAAATAAATAATATGTAACTGCTGTCAATATTTCTTATTTAGTAATAGGGGAGGGACAGTGCTTGTAAATGAAAATTATCTAATTATATTAATTTAAAATTAAAAGTTTAGTTTAATATTAATTTAATAAAATGCATCCCACGTACTGATCATACGAGAGCATGTTTACAAATTGGCCGTGAACAAAACAGAAGAGAACCTTCCGTAAGACCTCCATCGTCTCTCTAATCTACAACCGGCATCGGAATCAAACCAGGTCCAACTTCTTAAATACATTCTGTAATTCTATAGCGGGACCCTCACGGAATGCGCGGGACGCTGGACTAAAGCTCTCGAGACATTGCCATCTGCATGCTCGTTATAATTTTTATTTTCCATGAGCTCTATGCTTTATTAAGCTTTTTATACTGACCGTAAGAGTAAACATCAAATTAAGATTTTGTCTGACGGGGATATATATTGCACAATTTATTTATTTATTTAAAAAGAACATCAGCAGTACATACATTCGACGTTTAAGTAGTAAGATATACCTACATAAAAATGACGATGATTAGGCGTGCATGATAAGGTGACACAGAACTGTCACAGGTAGATACTAGATTGAACAAAGAAAAATATTTTAAAACAATTAATTTCAGAATAACATAAGAAATAAAGAAGAACAAACAAAAATATAAACTACAAAAAAGAATTGAATGGATTACAAAAATCTACATTAAAACTATAATGATTAGGAATTAAAATATTAACAGACGTGACTTGATTAAATGACAAACGATTTCGTTTCACATATTGTATCCTTACCGATGATTTCAATGTTCCATCCCGTGATAGCATCGTTGCGGATTTTTCTATCAAGGATATTAAGCTCCGCTGGTTTAAATTGAGACCGGAACGACGTATAATAACTTATTTTATTCACCCCAAATAAAATCTTTTGCGGACTTAAATAAATCGCACACCATTTTACTGCGCCCCAGTTGTTATCGCGTTTTAAAATTAAATGCAGCCTTAGCACACTACCACTACAATACTTCATTATTAAATTAAGACTTTCTATGTGGTACTTTCTATGTAAATATATTTAAATTATATATGGTAGTACAGGTTAAGGTTAAAATGACGGAACGATTAGAACTAACACCTTAAAGCAACTAGTTATTATGAGTACTGTAAAGTGTCCGGAATTTAAGGGGTTTGATTTTAAATTAAACACGATAAAATTCGTAAAATAATTGCGTTGAAGAGGGTTTTTTTATGGAAAATAGGGGGTACCTGCAACACTGGAAGGCTTGCAAATGCGTTGCCAGCCTTTCAGTAAAGAATATGCTCTCTTCTTGAAGATTCCCAGGTCGTAACGGTTCGCAGCGACCGCCGGCGCCAGCTGTTTCTACAGAGTGGTTGTGTTGAGGCAGGAAATACCTTAAAAATCCCGCTGTTTTGGAATGCTTTACATTGAGATTGGTGTGGATGAAATTTCTGGTTTTGAAACTTACCTTTCAATCGACTGCGGAAATGAACGTGGCTCGAAATATCGACGCCAAGTATTCCAATACTAACTTTGGGAGATAGGGGAGTGTTCTCAAAATGAGTAATTACCACAAATGAGGCCTTTTTAGTACGAAGTGCACGCGAAAATATGAGACGTTTCAAGTCTTAGATTTTTAAGCATTAAGCGTTATTTTGATTTGTCTGGGTCCCAAACGTTCTATATTGAAATTAATTATATCATTTATCTTGCAGGTTCAAGAGTATAAAGTAGCATTAAAGGATCAAATGCAAAGCTTAAACGAAGCAGTAGAAAACAAGGAGGGACTTAAGGTGAGACGATTTAAACAAATTTAATTCTCATTTAATCTCACCGACTAGAAGAAATGCAGATGTACGAAACATTTTTATACGGTAGAAAATAGTAAATGCTTGGGTATGATAAAAGTTTCTTAATTGAATTTCCGTGTGACATTTAAAGAACACAACAATTCAGAATACATCAACTGGTCTAAAATAATGCTTAATTTTGCTACAGTACTGATTTGATTTTTGATTTGAAATTTTGTTAATTGAAGGTTACTTCAAAATGTAACGAATTAAATAAAACATTAGCACACAGATATCGCGTATTGTCAAAGTCGCAAGTCGGTGACCATTTAAGTTTCGAAATAGTATCTCTAATGGCGATCTTTACTCAGCAAGGGCCTTTGGAATAATTTTTCATTAGATTAATCATTACTGTGTAATGAAGATGTGTTTATTTTCTTTTAACAATCACTTAACAAAATGAATATCAGCCTAGAACACGAAGAACATTGTAGAAGTGAAAAATTCAAATTGAACCAAAGGAAGCGGTTCGCTGAAAAAGGGCCAGAAAATATGTTTCGGGACAGTTCTAGCACTTAGACATTATAAAACCTAGTAATGAAATATATCTCGTTGAATGTAATAGTCACAAGGAGTCTCATCTGTGATTTGAGTACCCCTGTTTGAATTCAAATGTATGTTGCCTAAGTGTTGTTCGTATTTTAAATATCTGACGTATGAAAATCATCATTGCAGTCATGACAGAGCACGTCGATAAGCTACACATATGTCAAATTTGGGAAAGATATTATATACAAATATGAGGTAGATATGACACTAGTGGACCGACTGAGGCATTCCAATTACGCCAATTGGTGCAATTCTATAGACTGCTATCTCTTTCCGTATCACAAGTTATATATTATCTGTCACATTATTTTATATTCATATAATGTAAAAGGGAACAATTTTTAAAATAATTTGTTGATACAGAATAAAGTTACAAATATTTTTCACTTACAGTGTCCAAATTCCAGAGTGAGTCCCCATGTTTTTAATTCTAAGAAAGCAACGGATTGACATGATTTTTAAAAGTTGATAGTTTTAGGTCAGAAGAGTGACGTAGTCCACGTTTTACCTCGAAAAAACATCATATTTCAACAGGAGAAGATGTTTTATTATTATAACAAATATTCTTGATTTCGTTCTTTCTTGATGACAAGAATTTTCATAAGGTGACTTCCACGGTGGCTCCCACTTTTACGGTGGTAGGGCCACGCAGCAGCTTCGGCTGTTGCACGAATGGGCAGGCCCGTCCGGGTAAGTACCACGACCTCACAGAAGACCAGCGTAAAGTGTAAGTATGACAAATACTTTCGCGTTTCGTCTGGTGAGTGAGGTAGCCGGAGCCCAATTTTCAAAAGGTTGTCAACGCATCTGTAACCCTCTGGTGTGGCAGATGTCCATGGGCGGCGGTATTCACTTAACATCAGGTGAACCGTCTGTTCGTTTGACAACTTTTCGCATAAAAAAAAAAAAAAAAAAAGGGGACAAAACAAATTTTTGAGGAAAATAGAGGCATACTATGAGAATTATAAAATTACTTGAGTTTGTCCTTCTTTCACGTCGAAAAGCCGTAAATTATGATTTTGAAATGGAGATATTTTGTAGTTCTGGAGAGGGACATAGGCTACCAGCAACTCAAAATCTTCCCAGAATGTCTGATTTGGCAATGATGTAAATATGAGGCAGATTCGAGTGCGCTAGTATCATACGTAACTTACGCACTCAAATTACGCCAATTGGTGTAATTAGATTGCAACTCTATAGACTTCTATGTCTTTCCGTATCAGATGTTCTATATCCGTCACATTTACTATATATGCCACATAATGTTAAGCCGAACAACTTTTACACGTCGCGCAATAAGGACGTGCGTCAACTTTATTAAAACATCATTGAGATTTGACAAAATAAAAGGCTCGGTCCCTCCATTCCGTTCCTTGTACCATTACGTCAATGAAAAAAAAACCAGTTAATCCCTGTACCTCTATTTAAAGCCATCGTAACTTGTACACATGAAATGGACAATATGCTTTTCTAAACATGTTAACAACAATATAAATACGATAAATTGAAGAAGACGAATGAAATTGCTCAGATATGAGAAAATTAAAAACAATTCAAATCTGTTTCATTGCTACTTAGGGCGTTACCTGAAAGTACTTTATAAATAAATAATATCGTCATATTATTTATTACCCTTATCAGAGCTAGTGTGAAGATCTCTAGATCTGTGACTGTGACTGAACTCACTTCTTAATGAAAATTATTTTGTTTGTATAGAAAAAACTTAAAAATATTACCTAACTTACAGTGTGTTGTAAGCCACGGAGTAAGTCCCCATATTTTTAATATTATTTCTTAATATAAACAGACAACAGATTCACATGATTTTTTTAAATTGATAGTTTTAAGTCAATATTTTTTCACTTACAGTGTCCAAATTCCAGAGTGAGTCCCCATGTTTTTTATTCTAAGAAAGCAACGGATTGACATAATTTTTAAAAGTTGATAGTTTTAGGTCAGAAGAGTGACGTAGTCCACGTTTTACCTCGAAAAAAACATCATATTTCAACAGGAGAAGATGTTTTATTATTATAACAAATATTCTTGATTTCGTTCTTTCTTGATGACAAGAATTTTCATAAGGTGACTTCCACGGTGGCTCCCACTTTTACGGTGGTAGGGCCACGCAGCAGCTTCGGCTGTTGCACGAATGGGCAGGCCCGTCCGGGTAAGTACCACGACCTCACAGAAGACCAGCGTAAAGTGTAAGTATGACAAATACTTTCGCGTTTCGTCTGGTGAGTGAGGTAGCCGGAGCCCAATTTTCAAAAGGTTGTCAACGCATCTGTAACCCTCTGGTGTGGCAGATGTCCATGGGCGGCGGTATTCACTTAACATCAGGTGAACCGTCTGTTCGTTTGACAACTTTTCGCATAAAAAAAAAAAAAAGAAAAAAAAATTTTTGAGGAAAATAAAGGCATACTATGAGAATTATAAAATTACTTGAGTTTGTCCTTCTTTCACGTCGAAAAGCCGTAAATTATGATTTTGAAATGGAGATATTTTGTAGTTCTGGAGAGGGACATAGGCTACCAGCAACTCAAAATCTTCCCAGAATGTCTGATTTGGCAATGATGTAAATATGAGGCAGATTCGAGTGCGCTAGTATCATACGTAACTCACGCACTCAAATTACGCCAATTGGTGCAATTAGATTGCAACTCTATAGACTTCTATGTCTTTCCGTATCAGATGTTCTATATCCGTCACATTTACTATATATGCCACATAATGTTAAGCCGAACAACTTTTACACGTCGCGCAATAAGGACGTGCGTCAACTTTATTAAAACATCATTGAGATTTGACAAAATAAAAAAAGGCTCGGTCCCTCCATTCCGTTCCTTGTACCATTACGTCAATGAAACCAGTTAATCCCTGTACCTCTATTTAAAGCCATCGTAACTTGTACACATGAAATGGACAATATGCTTTTCTAAACATGTTAACAACAATATAAATACGATAAATTGAAGAAGACGAATGAAATTGCTCAGATATGAGAAAATTAAAAACAATTCAAATCTGTTTCATTGCTACTTAGGGCGTTACCTGAAAGTACTTTATAAATAAATAATATCGTCATATTATTTATTACCCTTATCAGAGCTAGTGTGAAGATCTCTAGATCTGTGACTGTGACTGAACTCACTTCTTAATGAAAATTATTTTGTTTGTATAGAAAAAACTTAAAAATATTACCTAACTTACAGTGTGTTGTAAGCCACGGAGTAAGTCCCCATATTTTTAATATTATTTCTTAATATAAACAGACAACAGATTCACATGATTTTTTTAAATTGATAGTTTTAAGTCAGAAGATTGATATTTTTCACTTACAGTGTCCAAATTCCAGAGTGAGTCCCCATGTTTTTTATTCTAAGAAAGCAACGGATTGACATGATTTTTAAAAGTTGATAGTTTTAGGTCAGAAGAGTGACGTAGTCCACGTTTTACCTCGAAAAAACATCATATTTCAACAGGAGAAGATGTTTTATTATTATAACAAATATTCTTGATTTCGTTCTTTCTTGATGACAAGAATTTTCATAAGGTGACTTCCACGGTGGCTCCCACTTTTACGGTGGTAGGGCCACGCAGCAGCTTCGGCTGTTGCACGAATGGGCAGGCCCGTCCGGGTAAGTACCACGACCTCACAGAAGACCAGCGTAAAGTGTAAGTATGACAAATACTTTCGCGTTTCGTCTGGTGAGTGAGGTAGCCGGAGCCCAATTTTCAAAAGGTTGTCAACGCATCTGTAACCCTCTGGTGTGGCAGATGTCCATGGGCGGCGGTATTCACTTAACATCAGGTGAACCGTCTGTTCGTTTGACAACTTTTCGCATAAAAAAAAAAGAAAAAAAAATTTTTGAGGAAAATAAAGGCATACTATGAGAATTATAAAATTACTTGAGTTTGTCCTTCTTTCACGTCGAAAAGCCGTAAATTATGATTTTGAAATGGAGATATTTTGTAGTTCTGGAGAGGGACATAGGCTACCAGCAACTCAAAATCTTCCCAGAATGTCTGATTTGGCAATGATGTAAATATGAGGCAGATTCGAGTGCGCTAGTATCATACGTAACTCACGCACTCAAATTACGCCAATTGGTGCAATTAGATTGCAACTCTATAGACTTCTATGTCTTTCCGTATCAGATGTTCTATATCCGTCACATTTACTATATATGCCACATAATGTTAAGCCGAACAACTTTTACACGTCGCGCAGTAAGGACGTGCGTCAACTTTATTAAAACATCATTGAGATTTGACAAAATAAAAGGCTCGGTCCCTCCATTCCGTTCCTTGTACCATTACGTCAATGAAACCAGTTAATCCCTGTACCTCTATTTAAAGCCATCGTAACTTGTACACATGAAATGGACAATATGCTTTTCTAAACATGTTAACAACAATATAAATACGATAAATTGAAGAAGACGAATGAAATTGCTCAGATATGAGAAAATTAAAAACAATTCAAATCTGTTTCATTGCTACTTAGGGCGTTACCTGAAAGTACTTTATAAATAAATAATATCGTCATATTATTTATTACCCTTATCAGAGCTAGTGTGAAGATCTCTAGATCTGTAACTGTAACTGAACTCACTTCTTAATGAAAATTATTTTGTTTGTATAGAAAAAACTTAAAAATATTACCTAACTTACAGTGTGTTGTAAGCCACGGAGTAAGTCCCCATATTTTTAATATTATTTCTTAATATAAACAGACAACAGATTCACATGATTTTTTTAAATTGATAGTTTTAAGTCAGAAGAGTGATATAGATACATCAACAAAACGACGTTCTAATATCATAACAAAAATTCTTGATACCTTCCGTCTTTGACAAAACTTTTCTGTTGGAAAAGGGCTATTTGTATGTAACGCGGTAGGGATGTGTTTTGCGGCTAACACACAGAAACTCAAGAACAGTAACCGCAACACGCATCATTCTATAGTGAATAAGGTACTTATACCCTTTTGCTTTACAGTCTCCAAACATCGTGGTAAGCCCCCATCTTTATTTTTTAAAGAAATTCTTTAACTAATGGTACAATACAGTAAATATGGTTGGGAAGAATAAGTAGGCGCTACTTAAATACAATTTTGATATAAGGTCTATACCAAAATTGTATTCTCTTTTTTACGAACCTTTTCTTGATTACGAACCGATAACCAATGGTCTCGAAGAACCGATAACCAATGGTCATCGTAGTGTAGGGCGACCCCCAATAGATGGCGTAGAGGCGTGTCGACCAGTTCTATCATGTGCAAGTGTGCAGGACGTCGTTGGATGCGAGTGGCTCAGGATTGTGCTTTAAGGCAATGTGGGAGAGGCTTATCTTTAGCACTGGAGTCAAGCAGGCTGAAATTAGGATGATGATGAAGAATTTTAATTTATTTTAAAGATCCTCCACAGTGGTTCGAGTGTAAATCTGGAGATCATCTGCATACAAGTGGTAGAGAGAAGATATTTGGGAAGTAATGGTATTAATGAAAATTGCAAATAGCAGTGGGGATAACACGCCACCTTGTGGAACACCAGCTACAGTATCAAGCCATGAAGAAAATCTGTCCTGAACTCGAATACGCTGCTGGCGTCCATACAAGTAACTATGAAACCAGGAAATTACAGTTGGAGATATGTTACGAGAACGCAGTACACCTAACAGAATGTCATGATCTACAGTATTAAAGGCGTTGCTGAAATCCAGCAAGACCAATACTGTGACTAGACGACTGTCCATTCCGAAGCGAATGTCGTCAGTGATTTTCAATAATGCTGTCGTACTACGACCAGATCTAAAGCCAGACTGAAGCGGATCGAGGATATTGCTTTTAGTGCAAAAGGAATAAATTTGTTCTTGGACAAGGCGTTCAAGGACTTTAGAAAGGAATGGGAAAAACTCGAAGGATTTGCTTTTTTGGGTAAGGGGATCACATGTGCATTTTTCCAGAGGGAGGGAAAGGAAGATGTGGATATGGAAAAATTTAGGATGTGCGTTATAACAAGTGTAAGAATGTCAAGCAAAGGAATGATCATTTTACGACTAACGTCATCACTCCCAACAGCGTCGGAATGAATGGAGTGTATGTGTCTCTTAACATCACAATCTGCAAATTGCCTAAAGACAAAAGGAGGACAGTCAGGAGTGGGAAGTAGGGAAAGTTGAGTAAGGGTATTTGATTTAGCAACATTATCACACATCTTGTTGCATTGATTCCGAAGGAGCCTGTATTTTTCCTTAATTTTATCATTATTGGGATTTGACTTGTACTTCGACTTTGTATCATTCTTTTTAGACAACATTTTTTTTAGGTTATCCGTCAACCAAGGAGCCGGAGAGTGTCGTATTCGAACTGGACGAACAGGGGCATATACATCATACAGTTGAAAAAGAAGACAATTAAATACAGCTACTTTTTCATCTACTGTGCTTGCATTAATTACAGCACTCCAATCTGTACTTGCAGTCTGGTTTCGCAGTCCGTCTAAATCCATTTCAACAAAATTACGCTGCAGAAGTATCCTAGATTTGGCTTTGGGGGGTTTTATTTTATAAGAAAGAAATAAAAGATTGTGATAGGAAAAAGCGTCAGCTGCGCATTGACCATATTTGTCAACATGGTCAAAAGAAGAAGAAACGATAACCAAATCAAGAAGAGAGGGGGCACAGTTTGGAAAAAAAAACATGAGTTTCAGAAAGCGGAAGGATATTTAAATTGGCCGCTGCGACAAGGGATTTCAGGCGCAAAGATCGCGTATCATTTTTTAGAAGGCAAGTGTTGAAGTCGCCCATTAGCACCGTATGTGAATACAGAGGAGTGAGCTCTTCAAGAATGCTATCCAATGCATTAAAATAGTCAACTGTAGAAGAGGGACTATAAAAAACGCCTAAAAGTAGTTTGGTATGCGATAGGAGTACTTCAATAAACAAGTATTCTGCTTGGTTCTCAGTATGAAATTGAGATGATAAACGGATAACAGAAAAAGGAATATGAGAGCGAAGATAGATTGCAACACCACCACCGCCTCGAGCAGTGCGGTCGTTGCGTATTAAATGGAAACCCGGAAGAGAATAGGATACAGATGGAAGACATGGCTTTAACCATGACTCAGAAACTAAAATCGTTATGTTATTATTTTCAAAGCTTGCTAACATATCAGAATAATGTGCTGGAATACTCTGTGCGTTTATATGCACAATATTGAAATTTTTAAAAGCGTGAGAAAATGTGGCGTCTAGGGTCTCTTTTAGGGAAGGTATGCTTACAAAACCGTCGTCACTACTCAATATATCATTAGCAGAAGTAAAGGAACAGGAATCTTGATCGTGATCACTTTCACCAAAAAACATGTTTTCTTACAAAAAAAATAAATAAAAATAAAACAATAATAAAAATAGTAGAAAATAATAAAGAATAAAATGTATAAAAATAAACTAAGTCGCAATAACTAATTATTTTAAACTTAAAACTAGGTTTTATTAATTATTTTCTACCTACCAGCATTGACAGGGAGATATAATATAATTACTTAATCTATGCAGTAAGCCTAAAAGAAATAATAAGTATAATAATATTACATCTAGAAATTATTTAATGTCATAATAACTTAAGTTTAAAGACTGCAATGCTGGCAACACTAATACACTACAGAAACGTCAGTGTCACTTCAACTTTCAATAGGTCGTCAAAAAGTTTTGTTTACATTATACATAATAATAATTATTTGGTATGTTGAAAAATACTATGAGATTTACCTGCATATTGTAACAACAGAAACAAACAATAAGAGAAACTATCTATAAATATTAAACTGGTGTATAATTAACGGTGAAAGGAACATTGACTTCATTATAAGGAACATTGACTTCATTATAAGATTATATAGAACAAATTTGACATTGGAAAGTGACCATGAACGTTGAAACCGGTGTGTATATCAAGGTCTGACATTCACCTCCCATGGAATGTGTATATGACCATCCCTGGTCCAGCAGTTGCTTATGCCAAACCTGCGCCTTGCTTCCATGAATACTTTGTGACGATCTTTAGTTAAAAACTCAGACATTGTGACTCCAGAGCCTTTTAGTTTAGTTTTGGAAAACCAAACTTGGTCACGAACTGGAATATCAAAAAACTTAACCAGAACTGGTCTTGGCTTTTTTCCTGTTCCGCGTCCAAGGCGATGACAACGGCCAAAAGAAGTCTGAGAAACAGCGACCTTAAGTTTGTCCATCAGAAGAGATGACACCAGTTTAAATGTATCCTCAGTCTTATCCTCGGGGACCCCATGAAGCAGCACAATTTTACGTCGGCCTCTCATCTCCAGGCGCTCAATATCTCTCCCAAGAAACTCAACCTGCCTTTGCAGGGTCTCAAGAGCGGCCAATATAAACATTCTAAAAGAAGAAAACTCAGCTGATAATGCAGATGTGGAGGCTACATTTGGGCTGGTCTTCTGTAAATCCTGTTGGAATTCATTCATACGTGCGTTGAACATTTCTGACATGGCTGACAGTGAACCTTTGATTGCTTCCATGGTGATTTTGTTGTAGTGTCAAAAAAAAGATGAAGTTGTGAAAAAATAGTAAGGGAATTTAATACTGGTAGGCAGATGAAATGTTACATGTATTTGTTAGACATTAAAAGCAGTAATTAATTATTTATTCAAAATTTTTAACAGAGAACAAAACATGTGTTACTTTATTCACTTCTACCCACATCTATCAACCTTCAAGATCAGAGCCTTTTCTTAACTTGAGGGTAACGCTTCTTCAGTTTCTGTGATGTTACGAATGCTCATCGCACGGGGATCACCCACTATGTGTGTACTGCTCTTTTAATTATTTTCTTTCTTTTGATATTCAAAAGGAAAAAAAAAGGTAGTAATGTTTTTTTTATAAAATAATAGTAATACTGTAAACTTTCAGGTTACTATAGGTTAAAGTGAGTATAAAATAATTATGATTCCCGATACAGATGTTAAATGTAATACAATGTCTACTGTGTTAAGGTATAAATATGATAAATCTTGGAAAAACGGATCTACCGTTGTGCAGTAAAGATAAAATCCGAGAAGATCTAAGCATACATAGAGACAGACAGACAGCGGAATGACTTTGTTTAATACTATGTTGTGATAATTTACTGTTTAATAAACATTAAGATATTTACTTCTCCAACCCTGAATTCTTTATACTGTGACGTCCTTTGCTATTCACAAAATCATCTTCGTCATTGGATATGAAATTGGTTTACGATGATTTAAAGCACCTCTTTTGCGTTTTTTTTTTTAGAATTCTTACATGTTTTAACAACAACGATAAGTTTTGGCCATTTCATATATATTTATATATATATATATATATATATATATATATATATATATATATATATATATATATATATATATATATATATTGCTAAAGGACGGAAATACTTTCGATTGGCAACTATGATTTTTTTGTGATTATCGTTAAACACCGTGAACCACACACATATGATCTAGTTACAAGATGAAATCACCAATCTCCTCCTCAAACTTTCAGATATCAACAGAAATCTTGAGTCGTAGTGTATTCTTTTTATTGAAATTCATATTTATTTATAATCAATAATTTTATGTTTTATTTAGATGAAGCGCTCATCGTGTTTTCAAGAAAGTTCAAGGGAAAGTTTTCTGAAGTGTTAAATATATTTTCCTAAGTATGGTGTTAAAAGTTTTATGTTCCACTAACGACATGCAATAAAATTTATCCTCATATTTGTATGATTTCATTTCTTTTTTCATATCGTTTATCAAGATATGTAACAACCTCATTTCCACAGAGCAACACAGCTGCCGTTATACCCTTGCCCCGAGCAATTTCCACCGCTTGACAGAAATAAAAAAGCCACCAGATAAGAAAGAACTGGTGCTTCTTCGATAACGCAACCACATTCTACATGTCCTTGGCGAAGGGTGATAACTTTACAACGTGTTCGTGGTCCACGTTCCAGATGAACTCGTTTATACTATTAGTGTCCTTTCGTCGAAACGCTCTCTCTCTAACAATACGAGGACAGTATTTCCAATGTCGTCTCGTCTTATATGTGGTGCGTTTCTTAATAATCTTGTCTCTCACCACAGCTCTTCGCCGTTTAAGCAATGTCATTCCGTTTTTCGAGGATGACACTCCTCGCTTCTACGCAGCAAAACTTTTTTTTATTTTATTTTTTATTTTGTTTTATTTCCAAAAAATACAAATTACTTTATCAAACAAATTATTTACAACCACTAACCAAATTCCTTCAAACTGATCTCGAAGGATTGGTTATAGAAATGGGAGACTAGACCTAAAAGTGCAACTAATAACATAATATTTCGCATACGATTGAACGCTTAGGCCCGTTTTCACCATCGATCCCTAACTTTAAGGGACACCTAAAAAAAATTTGAGTGCTAGTTTCGTTTTCACCACCGCTTAAGTGTGACTTAAAGTCTTAAGCGTCTTTTTTAGGATGTTTTTTATTTATTTATTTATCAGCAACGAAGTACATATCGAAACCGAATAAATAATCATGGTTCACAAAAAAGTGATGAGTTGAACATTAATTACGCGTAAAAACTACTTTTAAGAGACAGTTGAGACACAAATTGTTACAAAACTAAAGGTGAAATACGAAAATTATAATAAAATATAAACATTAAACTAAAATACAGTAAAAATAAAAATGAACTATAATATAAAGAATATTACTAAAAAAATATGTTACAAAAATATATATATATATATTGAATGGTGACGATAGTAAGAATTTATAACATGATACAGTTTTATTGTACGTCTGAATTTATTGTTGTCAAAAATATCCATATTAGTTTCCTTATTTAATGAATTGATCGATGATGAAAACGGACATTAGTCTTATTCACGGTGGTAGGGCCACGCAGCAGCCGCGGCTGTGGCACGATTGGGCAGGCTCGTTCGGGTAAGTACCACGACCTCACAGAACACACGTTTCGTCTGGCGAGTGAGGTAGCCGGAGTCCAATTTTCAAAAGGTTGCCATCGCATCTGCAAACCCTCGGGTGTAGCAGATGTCCATGGGCGGTGGTATTCACTTAACATCAGGTGAACCACGTGCTCGCTTGGCAACTTTTCACATAAAAAAAAACTTCGGTACTGTAAGATTACAAAATTCAATAAGCACTTTCTGCCTCGATCAACCGCAAAAATTATAATTTAAAAAGTGACAAAGGTTTATAGATGCCTAACCACGAATTACCGAAAAACAGATTTATTTGACGCTGGCATTAAGGCTTCGGCAAAGGATTCTGAACCGAGATGGAGAGGTAAACAACTTAATAACTACAGAGTAATATTTATTAAATAATTACTGTACGCCTATTCTTCGTAGTCAATGCTCTGATCTGGCCGGCTGTAAGTAAAAATATATTTAATTTAATATTTTTAATTGTCAATTTGTTTTTTTGCTCTCTGTTCAGCTTAATTATTAGGATTTTATGGGCTCTGTCTATGGGAACACTTTCGTCACAGGATACCATTTAGATAGACAGATACCATTTTTTAGATACCATTTAGATTTAGATAGACACACGGGACAATATTTAGATAGCATTAGCTAGAAACTGATTCGTGTTTCATTCTGCATTCATACCACGTCTGGCTACATTACACTCATTCTTTCTCAGCCGGTGCGAGTTTGTATTAAAATATACCAAAGTTATTTTTACGAAGCAAATTGTAATACTTACCTTAAGCCTACGTATATTTTATAATTGATTGGTGATTTGATAAGCCTACCTATTTTTTTAAACTGGTGAGAATTAGTCATTTGTAAAGTTTCCCTAAGAAATTTTGTGCTAGCTTTTATTTCATTTTTTTATGTGAAAATGTGGCAAACGAGGTAGCGGTTCACCTGATGTTAAGTAATAGGCGCCGCCCGTGGACATGGAATGCGTTGCAACCTTTAAATAAATAGCCCCGGACAATCCTGCCCATTCGTGCAACATTGAACACCATTGCGTTGGCCCTACCACAGTTACCATAAGAAATCTTGCGCAAGCTTTTATTTATTTGTTAATTTTATTTAAATAAAATTGTTTACACCTAAACTTAAGGCATTTTTTGATTTTTTTTTTTTTATGTGAGGAAGTGGCAAACGAGTTGGCGGTTCACCTGATGTTAAGTGATAACCGCCTGCCCATGGACATTTGCAACACTCGTAGGGTTGCAGATGCGTTGCCACCTCTTAATAATGTGGGCCCCGGCTACCTCACTCACCAGACGAAACGCAGAAGTGCAACACTTCTACTTTACGCCGGTCTTCTGTGAGGTCGTGGTACTAACCCGGACGGACCTGCCCATTCGTGCAACAGCGAACACTGTTGCGTGGCCCTACCACCGTTAAACTATGATTATGGGATGTTATTTCAGTCCTGTCCTGTCGACCAACATTTACTGTTAATTGTAGCGTATAAACAATTATTTTTCACTTTATAATAAATTATGACCTATAAGTTAGGGGATAGTTTATTATATTTATCATATACACGTGTGCTTCGAAATTTACCTTTACATATTTGTAAATGTTATATAATTTGCCCATATATTGCACAATTTTCGGTGTCTCCGTAAAGTGTACTTAGAACCTAATTAAATGGGTTTTAATTTGGGATTAATCTTTAAATATAATAGCAGGATTTCACCCAAAGACGGCATAAGAATTTTGGAAAAGCTTAGATGCGGCATGGAACAAAAAAGGTTGGAGAAACACTGGGTTAGGTTCTGAAGATTTTATTATATTAGATTTAGTATTATTTAATTTTTTTGTTGCACGAGTTGTCTAAAAGTTAAATTAATTATTAAATAAAATTCCGTTTCAGTGGTCATTTTCAATGGCAAATTTAATACATGTGTTAAAATTTTTAAGCAACGAATAAAGTTTTTAACAGTTTCATCATCATCCTTTCAGCCTGTTTTAGTCCGCTGCTGAACATAGGCCTCCCATTTAACAGTTTATCTACACATTTTAATAAATTTAATATTCATTTCATTTGATAGACTAGTAAGTAACACTTCATCGAATGAAAAGTTGTGAGATAGCCATATCTCACGAGTAGTATTTATTAACATATCTTGATAAACGATATGAAAAAAGAAATGAAATCATACAAATATGAGGATATATTTTATTGCATGTCGTTAGTGGTACTTAAAACTTTTAAGACCATACTTAGAAAAATATATTTAAGACTTCAGGAAACTTTCCCTTGAACTTTCTTGAAAACACGATAAGCGCTTCATCTAAATAAAACATAAAATAATTGATCATAAATAAATATGAATTTCAATAAAAAGAATACACTACGACTCAATCTTTCTGTTGATATCTGAAAGTTTGAGGAGGAGATTGGTGATGTCATCTTGTAATTAGATCATAAGTGTGTGATTCACGATGTTTAATGATAATCACAAAAAAAATCATAGTTGCGAATCGAAAGTATTTCCGGCCTTTAGCAAAATATATATATATATATATATATATATATATATATATAAATGGCCAAAACTTATCGTTGTTGTTAAAACATGTAAGAATTCAAAAAAAATCCCAAAAGAGGTGCTTTAAATCATCGTAAGCCGATTTCATATCCAATGACGAAGATGGTTTTGTGAATAGCAAAGGACGTCACAGTATAAACAATTCAGGGCTTGAGAAGTAAATATCTTAATGATTATTAAACAGTAAATAATCACTACATAGTATTAAACAAAGTCGTTCCGCTGTCTGCCTGTCTATGTATGCTTAGATCTTTCCGGATTTTATCTTTACTACACAACGGTAGATCCGTTGCGTAGTAAAGATTTATCATATTTAAACCTTAACACAGTAGACATTGTATTACATTTAACATCTGTTTCGGGAATCATAATTATTTTTATACTCACCTTAACCTATAGTAACCTGAAAGTTTACAGTATTACTATTATTTTATAAAAAAAAATTACTACCTTTTTCTTCCTTTTGAATATCAAAAGGAAGAAAATAATTAAAAAGCAGTACACAGACAGTGGGTGATCACTGCGCGCGATGAGCATTCGTAACATCACAGAAACTGAAGAAGGGTTACCGTCCTTCAAGTTAAGAATAGGCTCTGATCTTGAAAGTTGCTTAGTTTCAAATAAATTAAAATTCTTCATCACCATCCGCATTTCGGCCTGCTTGACTCCAGTTCTAAAGATAAGCCTCTCCCACAGATTGCCTTAAAGCACGATGCCACCTGCATCCTACGACGTCCTGCACACTTGCACAGGTCGACACGAAATCTATTGGGGGTCGCCCTACACTACGATGACCATTGGTTATCGGTTCTTCGAGCTATATAGCCAGTAATCAAGAAAAGGTCTATACCAAAATTATATTTAACTAGCGCCTGCTTATTTTCCCCAACCATATTTACTGTATTGTACCATTAGTTAACGAATTTCTTTAAAAAATAAAGATGGGGGCTTACCACGATGCTTGGAGACTGTAAAGCAAAGGGGTATAAGTACCTTATTCACTATAGAATGATGGGCGGTGCGATTACTGTTCTTGAGTGTTAACCGCAAAACACATCGCTACGCGTTACATACAAATGGCCCGATTTCAACAGAAAAGTTTTGTCAAGCAATTGATTTTTTTCGACGTAAAGGCGGAAGGTATCAAGAATTTTTGTTATGATATTAAAACATCGTTTTGTTGAAATATGATGTTTTTTCAGGATAAAAAGTGGACTATATCACTCTTCTGACTTAAAACTATCAACTTTAAAAAACATGTCAATCTGTTGCTTTCTTAATATTAAAACATGGGGACTTACTCCGTGGCTTATACTCTGTAAGTGAAAAATATTTTTTTGTTTATTCTATACAAACAAAATAATTTTCATTAAGAAGCGAGTTCAGTTACAGTCACAGATCTAGAGATCTAGCTATCTGTAATAAGGGTGATTATAAATAATGTTACGTGTTAGGGTTCGAAGGATTTGGAGAGAAAGACTTGCTGACTCTTTTGAAGACTTTATTCACTAGCACTAGGTCCAAACACTAAGCACTAACGATGTCCTAGGTCTAGTCAAGTTAAAGGTTTCACTGGTATCGCTCTTGATCACTATATCGCACTTGTCACTCCGAAGTCGCCTCGAAGAAAGCTCAAACTGAACTGAACTGGCTCGCCTCCTTGCGACTTTTTATATGGGTCGAAACGAGTCCCAGACTATTCCAGAAAGTTCCTTCCTAGAACGGACCAGACACGCGCGAACGTGATCGTGATTCTGGAAAGGTCCTAAAAACCTACTAAATATCCCCTTTTCATAATTCTTTAATTTACGTATTTTTGTAATTCTAATAATATGGTTTCTTTTTTTAAAAAGGCGCTGTAGTATGCCTCTCTTTTACTGAAAAATGTAAATCACCTTATGAAAATTCTTTTCATGCCACTTTCTTTCAACGTAAAAGAAGTACGAAGTCAAAAATATTTTTTATGATAGTAAAACATCGTTTTCTGTTGAAATATGATTTTTTCGGGGTGAAACCTGGACTGTGTCACTCTTCTGACCTAAAACTATCAGCTTTAAAAAAATCATGTCAATTTTTCCGTTGTTTTCTTAGAATTAAAAACATGGGGACTTACTCTAGAATTTGGACCCTGTAAGTGAAAAATATTTGTTACTTTATTCTGTATTAACAAATTATTTTAAAAATTGTTGATTTTCATACGTCAGAAATTCAAAATACGAACAACACTTAGGCAACATATATTTGAATTCAAACAGAACTCAAATCACAGATGAGACTCCTTGTGACTATTACATTGAACAAGATATATTTTATTACTAGGTGTTATAATGTCTTAATGCTAGAACTGCCCCGAAACATATTTTTGGGCCCTTTTTAGCGACCCGCTTCCATTGCTTCCATTTTAATTTTTCACTTGTACATTGTTCTTCGTGTTCTAGGCTGATATTCATTTTGTTAAGTGATTGTTAAAAGACAAAAAACACATCTTCATTACACAGTAATGATAAATCTAATGAAAAATTATTCCAAAGGCCCTTGCTTAGTAAAGATCGCCATCAGAGATACTATTTCAAAACTTAAATGGTCAGCGACTTGCGACTTTGACAATACGCGATATCTGTGTGCTAATGTTTTATTTAATTCTTTACATTTTGAAGTAACCTTCATTATTTTAGATCAGTTGATGTATTCTGAATTGTTGTGTTCTTTAAATATCACACGGGAATTCAATTAAGAAACTTTTATCACACCCAAGCATTTACTATTTTCTAACGTATAAAAATGTTTCGTAGATCTGCATTTCGTCTAGTCGGTGAGAGAGTCCGCCATGTACCTGGCAGATTCTCCCCAGTTAATCATAGAAGCGTTCCTGAAGTTTCTACCGCCTCTTCTTCTCCCAGCGCCAACGCTTTCCGAAGTTGTATTAATGTTAGATCTAGAAATTCCCCCCAACCCGAGGTCCCCCTCTCGGGGACCCTTGAGCCTGACCACTCCAAAAAAAAAAGGAGGGCACACTGCAACGGTCTGTATAAGAAACAGCGCTCGCAGTGTTCGGGGGACTTTCTCGTCAGCCGTTGTAGCGTCCGGAAGCTCTACTCGAATTAATAACGATCGTGTCGGTAACTTAGCACTGTAATTAAACTCTACGTAGTTTGGCTTACTGGCCACTAAGTTCTTTTTACAAAATCAATTATCCTTTCTATTTCTAAGAATACTGTATTTCTCTTGATGTTACTACATAGAACTTAAATGCACCTTTAGAGTTCTTTTGGATAGACATTCCATATTTTAGATTTCTTATGTGTAAAAGCCTCCACTACTCTATGCATTAACTTTCTTGCTTTTTCTATCTTTTCTGTACGGCGAATGGCTGAGCACAAAACGTATTATTATTATTATTTTTTTTATGTGAAAAGTTGCCAAACGAGCAGACGGTTCACCTGATGTTAAGTGAATACCGCCGCCCATAGACATCTGCTACACCCGAGAGTTTGCAGATGCGTTGACAACCTTTTTGGAAATTGGGTTCCGCCTAAAGTGGAAGTATTTGTCATACTTCCACTTTACGCCGGTCTTCTGTGAGGTCGTGGTACTTATCCGGACGAGCCTGCCCATTCGTGCAACAGCCGAGGCTGCTGCGTGGCTCTACCACCGTTAAATACTTATTTTTGGTACACATATTTTTGGTACTTTTAAAGTTATCTAAATAAAAGTAAAAGTTAAGTATCAGACTATACATGACCCACTGCTGGGCAAAGGCTTCCTCTGTACAGAGTGTATTAGAACATAGTCCACCACGCGGCCCCACTGCGGATTGGTGAAGAGGGTGATTTTATATTTTCTATATGTAATCATCGCCGAGTTACTTACGAGTGATTTTAAATATTTATCATTTTTAATATAACACTATTTATGTCTAGAATTTAATTAAAAAAAATGAATACACTTAGAAAAGCCACCCTATATAGTGCAGACATGACCAATAAACATAAAAAATATCGTAATTTATGTTTCTTTGATGATGGACCAAATCTAAAAACGGTGGTAGGCGCCGCAAATTCACTTTCTACTTAAATTATCGTTTACGTGGTAACATTATGAATGTGTCTACATTTATATCATACAACGTAACATCTCACTGCACATACGTAGAATGAGATAAAATTAGCAGTCTAAAACTAAAACCTAAGTCGAACAACAGAATACTTAAAATTAAAATGGACTACTTTATTAAAATTAAAATGGACATATACAAATATAAAATAAACACTACTATAATTAAAATTAAAATTTACATATACAAATATAAAATAAACACTACTATAATTAAAATTAAAATTTACATATACAAATATAAAATAAACACTACTATAATTAAAATTAAAATGGAACATATTAAATTTCTCACCTGAACCACTTTTCTAGGCCTATTGTTTGGCTTTATACTTCCACGCACTTTTCGTTTTTCGCTATAAAAAAAAATCAATCAATTAAAATGAATTAACATTTACTTGTGGACGATAAGCAAAAAAATCTTCACAGTGAATAAAGGTTAGTCGAATGAATATGTCCAACGGTGTTTGGATCTTTGCAACATGAAATTATCAGCAGATAAGTCAAATACGAAACCTGTGTTGGTATCGCTGTGCCATTTCGTAGGTAATTTTGTTTGTACTAACTGATGTTTTTGCTTTCAGTCCCGAGACTATTAAAGCTTCATCTGACGCAGAACCGGTGGGCTAGCCAGAACCCACGGGTTTGGGCCCTCCGCTGTGGGTAGGGCCGCGCATGTGCCCATGCGTGCGTTTAACTATGACGTAGGTAATTGAATGTCACTCGGGACACACGGTCCAGCCACATGGTGCCGTATGGGGGCAATGTACACGGGGCCCCTCTCGATTCCTCTACGGGGCAGCAGTTAATCCCACATCTGCCACCCCAGGGCTCGCTATCAGCCGCTCCGACTGGGTTCCCGGGTTGACGGCGAAGCTCAGAGGATCCCACTCTGGGCCGACCTGTAGTATAAGGCTGGCCGAGAGGAGCGCTCCGAATGGACTCATTGAGCCTACTCTGGATGCGTGCTGGAGGGTGCAAGGGACAGGTTGAGGGTGGTAGAGGATGAGCCACTCTCCCTGTCTTCTGCTACCGAGGAGGAATCACAGGGGAAAAGGACTGCCGGTATTGCGTTTGGCCGCCCTCCATATCCTCCGCGACTCGGCGGGGCTGCACCGTTGATGCAGTGGTGGTGGCCCCACATCCCCATAATAAACAAGATAAAATAGTTGTGTTAAAAAGAATTCATTACTTGCCCTAATTCTATTAGTATCTGAAAAGTACGTAAATATTTTTAGTTTTCTTTTTTTTAAAGACGTAGCAACAGTTACATGGTGGAACAAATTAAAGTAAGTATCTAATCTTGATCAATATGACAAAAAATTAAAGATCGCTACTAAAATAATCTGACTGGCACCTGCTAATATTTTTCCAAACCATTGGGCTAAATAAATTTGAGATTAGGCTTTGAACGCCTTATATAAAAATTATTTTTGAATATAAATTTATTTTTATAAATTTATATATATTTATGATTTCCCGATACAATGTATAAAAAATAAGGAGGTACTCACATTGATACTTGGACGCTGTAGTGTAAAATTTTTTATGTAAACAAAATGTATTAAGACGCTGTATGTCATCAAAAAGATCCATCAAACCTTTTTTAACAAAATACTTATATAGATACTTAATAACTTTAGCCGCGATAGCTCAGTGCGCTCGCCTGTAATTCAACATACTCGAGCAACCTGAGTTCGTTCCCCGGTGCCGGCACCAACGAAAATGTTAATTTTAGGTGCCGAATTATCTCGTGCTCAGCGGTGAAGGAAAACATCGTGAGGAAACCTGCATATTTTCGAAGTAATAACAAAAATTTTTTTTTCTCTTTTAATCTTTTTTTTTTACATAACTTTAAAAGCACCAAAAAATATGTTATAATCTTAACCGTATACATCATAGTGCACTATTGTTTTCAAAACATGTCCTAGGCAAAAAAAATATTTTTTATTAACAAAGAACTAAACCGATTTCAAATATTTTCAATTTGATTTTGAGGTTTTATCCTTGAACTCCAGGGAACTCCAGGGGAGTTCCTTTGAATTCAAGTTTCAACAAAAAAAATTCCCAGCGTGGAAATATAGATAAGGTTCAAGTTTATCCTTGTATTTATAGAAATGTATTATATGTAACACTGACGAACCCTGTTTAACCCGAAGAAATGATACAGAGGTAGCTTCTGGTCACTACGTTTTAATGAGGTCATTAATTTCGAATACGTTTTGTGCTCATCCATTCGTCGTACAGAAAAGAAAGAAAAAGAAAAAAACATTAATGCATAGAGTGGTGGAGGCTTTTACACATAAGAAATCTAAAATATGGAAGGGTCATAAAAGAACTCTAACGTTGTATTTAAGTTCTATGTAGTAACATCAAGAGAAATACATTATTAATACTATTTTTACATTATTTTACATATTTTTTAATTACTCACCACAAATTTACTTTCTGGATTATGTATGATTGATCTGTTATATCCGTGTAATTTGAGCTTCAACGCTTTTGCATACTGTTTATGTTGTAAAAATCAAATTGAAAGGTTTATTTGGTGAAGTGAAAGCAAAAACTTTATCAAAGTAGACAAAAAAGCCGGCTAAGTGCGAACCGAACTCGGGCGGGAAGGGTTCCGTACCCGATTCTATAAAAACCGGAAAGAAAAAAGTCCCAACTGAAATATTTTGTTCTGTTTTTTAGTAGTTGAGTGCCAAAAGAAATACAAAATCTTTGAAAATTTCAACTGTCTAACTATCACGGTACATGAGACACAACCCGGTGACAGACGGACAGACAGACAGACAGCGGAGTCTTAGTAATAGGATCCCGTTTTACCCTTGGGTACGGAACCCTAAAAAATGAGTAGTTGTGGAACGCCTGAAACATCGAAATTATTTAGTAAGGAATAAAATATGCAAAATATGTATGGGCGGCGGATATCACTTAACGTCAGGCGAACCGCCAGCTTGCTTTGCCAACCAATAATTTTGGCAACTGTGCCACGGATTCATCAAAATTCTCATTAACCTATTTTGATAGACTAACGCCCGGTTTCTGAAAGACTATCTGATCATCGTAGAAGTTAACTAATCAACTGTCAAATAGCTTTTCAGATGTTATTTAAGTTGCCAAAAGGATGTTAAATTTTTAGACAAAAGTACGAACAGATTGTCGCCGCTGTGGGAATCGAACCCACGTCTTCGGCATTCACGGCCTGACGCTCTAGCCACTGAGCTAAACGGCTGACTGCCACACCGACGACAATCTCAAAGTCTTTTATCTACATTGTTTTTTTTTTTTTGGTTAAATTCTTTGAATTCATCATTCTGATCATTAAGAAGGTCATTCTAATCAATTCAAAGAGATGACCCACATTTTCTACAATGATCAGTGTTGCAGAAACCGGGCGTCAGTTTGTTCTGATCAAGTTTGTGCACGTCCTGCATATAAACAAAGTATGTATGTAGTATGATGATTCAATGTTTAAAATAATAATAATAACTTGCCTGTGATTCGCGTAAAAGTCCAGAAATGAAAAGAATTAAAAGGAGACCCAACGTAGGTGACATCATCATACTTTTTATGAAATTCCTTAAATACGAAAATTTACCCCGCGATTAGAATTTCCAATTGCTACTATTGATAACGCGATAGAAGTACGAAAAATTGACTTAAATAACAAGTATGTGAATTGGACACGATGCACAGTTTGAAGAGTAATTGAGCAATTATAAAAACAATGTTTGATAGGAAGAATTTAATGAAAAATTTTATATTGGTCATAAAGTGATTTTAGCAACGATTAATGTAAGTTAAACTAAATAGGATGACGTGTAAACTTCAACAATTTCATCGATCCAACACCGTTAAAGGCAGGCTACGTCGATAGATGGGAACTATGTTAGAATGAACATAATATGATAATATGGGCTTTATCATTATTCTTTTGAATCTATCTTGCCACAGTCGAGCACCTAAGTATTGTACAGAACAAGAAAAAAAATCAACTGCGTTAAACTTTTGCAATATGACCACAGCCGCAGGATGAAAAGTAAAACTAAATTAATCTACAAAATTTGATTCCACATAATGATATTTTCATATATTTGAAATTCCCTCTTAATTCATAAGTGTTTAATATTGACTACCGTTTAAATGATAAATATTGAAATATTATAAGTGTCCTTTTGATCCATAAGTCACAAATATCGACTTCCGTTTAAATGATATAGTCGACAGTATTGGATTTTTTTTATCATAGGAGCTTGCAATTTGCGAATTTTTTTTATAAAAAGTATAGGTTATAGAACATTTCGTAACTTAGCGCCAATCCATTGTATGGCAATTGTTTTATTGTCACCGCCCTTATCTATTAAAGTTATTTTATATATTATCAAGTATATATCATATACTTGTTGTATTTTGATCGGATACATGTACTTGATGACATTGAAATGATGTAATAACCTTTTAAATATTGTTTATGTAAGTGGACAGTTCCGGAAACTTAAGTGTGACCTATATATACGTAGTATTTTAAGCAATTCTATAAATTATAAAGTGTAAGTATATATTATATGAATATTTAGTATTAAATATAAATATTTCTGCTTAAGTGAAGTCTATTCTTGGTAAATATAATAAAGAGAAAAATATGTAACAATTTTTCGCGGTATAGCTTAGATTGGATTCGGTAGCCAATTGATAGTTTACCTGATCGGTTTCATCGGTCACATACCTTTTAGGTGGGGGTATTCTGATGTGTTATACATAGCCTCTATCGATTAAGAGGCTGAGTATCGTTCTTACCAAAATCCTGTGATTTTTAATGTGATCAAAAAAAATAAAAAAGCGTGGAAATTGAAGCAAATTAATTTTATTTTCATTTATACAGATGGCGTTATACCGTCACACACAATTGCATGTCAATACACAATGGTGACTTGAAGAAGAAAGTAATTAATCATAACTAATCTCTATTGCAGCAGGAATTTACACTTATTCTCATACATACATATCATACATATCCCAACATCATACATATCCCAACTCGGATACCCGCAAGTAAAACCTTGTACTTAAATAATTTCAATTATCAGTTTCTAACATGTAAACAAGAATTTTTTTATATAAAGACAAACATTGAACACAATTTTTTTGTCGTTGTGGATACCCCAAATTATTTTTAGTGCAAAAGAAAACCTTACGTATTTTCTCACGAGCTAAAACATTTTGTCAGAAAAACCTCCCCTTGAATCGGATTTTATTCACAATGTAATGGGTTTTTCTAAAACAAAATTACACCATGCACGTACACTTTTCTGGCAATTATAAATGCTATGTTTGGTTCGACGAAGAGAATTAAATTACTGAATTGTACTTTAATAAAAAAAATTAATTAAAACAGATACGCGTGCAATTAAAATTAACGGTATGCGAGTCTTATTATTCATACAACTTGGATCGAATCCTGTTACATTTGTAATAAAACGGTCAGAAACATTGTCGATTATGTGATGAACATTATACATTTTCTAATCAATTTAATTTGCGTGACTTGTTCGTCCATTTTTGTGGTGTTCTACCAAACCTACTTCAAATATTTTCTTTACTTCATTCATTTTGAATTTCTTATTATTTTTTGAGACGCACTCTTTTACCAGAGCTCAATTATTTCGCCTCTATTTATTACCATCTCCCAATGGTAAGAGGGCAGTCACAGAATTGTGAGGGCCCTACTCAGCCATCTCGTCTCAACAAATATCTAGTTATACGTTAAATTTCACTTTGTGTTTCTTCACAATTTCATTTATCTGAACTTTTATCAATACAGATTCACATTTTACTTGATCTTCATTTCTAAATGATATTAGTTTTTAGATACATTTTTATTATACTGCGAGTGAAGTCATCAAAACGAAACATACAAATTGTGTTAAAACTTTATATTTAGGTATTTCCTACTACTACTTTATAATATAGGTATTTCCTATGTTATTAATTAAATAAGCTGTGATGGTTTGGTGTTTAGACCTAGGTTTTCAATTATGATTAATCTGGTTTTCAATTATATTTATCTCTGACCTCCCTTTGCATAAAGTGACGCTTAGGCGCATTGTTTCTAATGATTATCTCAAGTCAATGAGAAAAGGGGATAATGGTGTCCTCCTGTAGTTTGATATATTATCGCAGTTTGCGATCTTGATCTGATTTGATACAAAGAATTATATAAAATTTTACAGCTTAGTGTACACAATATGTAAATTCGCTTTTATAATATTTCGTTCGTATATGTAACATGACTTCCAGTGACTGTTTCAACGAGCTTCATAGGATCACAAACTTTATAGGCTTTTGTCAATTAAGATACTGGATTCATCTAATAAGGATCCAAGGATTTTATAAGTTGATGAAAAAATAAAAAAGTTTTAACATTGCCGCAAATCAATTTTATTTCCACTGATATTGATACCGATGCATTGAGGAATTGACATCTTGGAATACGGAATAAAGATTGAAGACGAAACAAATTAATAATGACTAATCTTTATAAAAGAATGACTCGGATATCTGTAAGTAAAATGTTGCATTCCAATTATGTTTTAAAAGAACCTTATTTTATCCGTAAGAGACAATTATTTAAACTTATAATCTATTTTTGAGGTTATACTTCTTTTTGCCCGTATGGGAAAAGATATGAGAGTAAAATTTCTATGTTGTGCGCGCACAGCGACCCCCAAAAGCGACATGATGAAATTGGTAACCAATAAAATCATTTTAACATATACCTATAATGCCAAGTTATAATCGTTATCAATGGCATTTAATATATTTTCAGAAACAAAGAGTAATGGCTGTATAGAAATGAATGTAGTAATAACAGGGGAAGTTAGTCTAAAGAAGTGTAACTTCTTAAGTGCGTATCAAAGTACACACATACACACTTTTTATTACAAGATACTTTTTTTATTCCAAGATACTTTTCATTTATAATTATAAGTAGTTTAAAACGGTACAATTTTTATAAGAATTAACGAACCACTTTTATAGATGTGATAGGAATGTCGGCTACAGATTATTGAAGTTAAGAATGCGATCTGTGACCCGGAAGATTGCCGACTGTATTAATTGCAACCTCTACAAAACTTTCACTACTTAGATCATGTGCATTATTAACCCTATGATCAGCTTTACCTTTTCAGAGTAAAGATACAGCTAACCCAATTCTTTATTCAGCGCCATAATTTTATCTCATCTCGTTACATTGCACTCAATCTTTTTCAATACACATGGTCATATTAATTAGACGTATCGTATAATAGAAAGAGATAAAAAATTCGTGTAAATATTTAAAAGTTTTTCAGAAAATAAATTTTTATTTTGCTTGAGCTTCACTTAGCATAGGAATCCATGTTTTAGTAAATTGATATATTAATATTATCGTAAAAACAAACATGAACAAACAAACAACAAAAAACAAAATTATTTCACAATAAACATGAGTTAGAACTTATGACCCGACTTGAGCCAAATAAAGTCTCAATTATGTCGACTATTACCGTAAATGAATATGGTCATAATTTTTATGCTCTGTCTCATTTAGTGCCGAAATATATTCTAATACTCACAGAGTGGTAGTCATCATCATAATTTGCATAGCCAGATTGACGCTGTAAAGTGAAACATAATATGTATTATGAAATATTTCGTAAGATTAAATCTATTCCCTATTTCCCTCTACATTTTACTTTTAAAATGAACTACAATCATAGACAAAAACCTAAATTGACAACGGTGACCTTGTTCTGGTAACCTCTTTTCTTCCTATTTTCTTTACTTACTTTGTATGTACATAATAAAAACTTTTACAAAAAAGTATTCGATTACAATTTATCAGATAACTATTAATTTATTTTATAGATACAATTAAAAAAAGTAAAGTATCAGCCCATACATGTCCTACTGCAGGGCAAAGGCCTCCTCTGTACAAAGGGTATCAGGGCATAGTCCACCACGCGGCCCCACTTCGTATTGGTGGACTTCACATGTCTTCGAAATATTTTTTTTAAGTTTTATTTTTTGGGATACAATTAGGGATCCAGAAATATGAATGGAAATACTTCATAACTTATTTAGTAGTTAAGAATTCCCAACGTGGATGTGTATGTAAAATATGATTGCTGTAAATCACATTTTACATACAAACTTTTAAGCAGCCTTTTCCATAGAAATTATACGTTCAGGACGCGCTCATCAATTTATAGTCCGACACCCTATAGCATCGCTATGGTGACTTTTAGACCAAAGAAATCCAGTCCACAAGACAATTATCAAGGCACGTCCAGGATCTTAAATCCAGGGCCTAGTCACTGCCTTATTGAATGAATGTAATTAATTGTAAAATATTAATTTGATTTTATAAATATTTACCTGAACTTTATTTTTTGGGTGGCGCCAATATTTTCCAAATCTTAGCTTTTCAGTCTTCAATGATTTCACAAACTTTTTATGCTGACAAAAATACACGAAATTAAAAGATATATCATGCGATGAAGATAAACAAACATTTTCATAACACAAAATAAATATAGGGCATTCCAGTCGTTACGCGCGGCTTCGCCCGCGTGGTCAGAGGGAACTAATAATGAATTGTTTATCATACATGACACATTCCGAGTGCACGGAAAAATAAGTAACAGGTCCACAATTAAAAGATAGTAAGAGGAACCCGAGGCAACGCTGACCACAGACAAAGTACGTACACTGGAACTTTAAGCTAACCTCAATAAAAGTATGCCGGTGAACATATAGTGAATCAGATAATTTCAATTCCGGTCCAATTTTGAGCAGGCGCGCCGTGCATTTATATCCTATGTAAGACGTGTTCCAGGTACTAAAACGTGAGACTTCGACATATAACAACACTTGTACAAAGAGATCGGTTTGATAAAGTTGTTAATGTTGTCTTAGGCGGTGTTGATACTCTTTTTGGGAATTTTTCTCGTTAAATAAATGCGCTCTCCATTTTCTAAGTGCAGGGCAAGGTGGGTTACTGTTTAATATATTTCATGTTAAAGAAAGCAGCCGCCACGCTGCCTCATTACGGCACAAGGTCCTGCTTTTAATTATGTATATCATTTAGGGGATCCACTCCAAGTTCATTCCTGACATTAAATATCGCCTTATTGATATCGCTTTATTTATATACTTGTATATACATTTGACTGCTAACTACATAACAACACTAATGTGAACATCAAAAATTTTACATGAAATGTGTGAATAGTGGTCGATCTCACTACTATTTCGTACGCTCCAGATCAAGCCTATAGTTGCAACTTGGGCCACTATCTTCGATACTCTGCGTCTGTATAACGGGTAGTCATTGTCATTGTCTACAGTGTCTTTTAACAGCTATTTAGGAAATTTCTTTGCATTTTTACATTTTCTATCTTTCATGCAAGGCGGTTCAAGATTTCGTGCTCCGCAGGGACCGTGAACTATTTTCGTACTATTCATACAATTATTTATTTCACTTAGGATCCTGAATATCGCTCTCCGCTTATTAACTCATCCATTTAGATGGGCCTTAATTACTCTTTAATTCGTATCACTCTGAAGATCTTACCCCTTGTTATATTAATTAATTTTTGTACTTTTAATCTAAACTCTCTAGCAAATTAACCGTGTCTGTCAGTACTTTTTTGTCCCGGCATTAATTCATTGGTTAATTCGCTCCATAGGGGATTGCAAGTGAAAGTAAAAAATAGGTCTGGTCTACTTAAGTTCGTACATACATAAGTGCATGCGTTTTGCGTGTAATTTGTAATGATACCCTTCTTGTTCTTTGCGATAACTGAAATAGTAAACACCCAAATATTTCTCATTCGTTACTCTTCTGTAGAGAAATATTACCTTCTCAGATGAGTCTTCTTGTATCTTGTATTAACTGATGTTTTTGCTTTCAGTCCATTAAAGCTTCATCGAACGCAGAACCGGTGGGCTAGCCAGAACCCACGGGTTTGGACCCTCCGCTATGGGTAGGGTCGCGCATGTGCTCATGCGTGCGTTTAATTATGGTGTATCATCTAAGGGCCGTCGAGGTCGCGGTTCGGACCTAGACCCCGACGGCCGTAGACTGTGCATTTAGCTAATCGGTGGCTGGGAGCGGTGAGAACCGCCCCGGAACGCGGGTGTACCTTGTGTACGCGTTGTGTGGGTCTCGCCGTGCTCGGAGGCGAGGGCGAACTGGTGTGATTGTTGTTACACTAACTGTGGGTGTAGTGTTATCCGGCTGGACCCCCGGCGGTGGGTCCATCGTATCTAAGTCCTCTTCGTCGACCGGGTCGATGAGGACGTTTCGCGGGCGACGCTTGTTTACGTTCGCGTTAGTGTCCGCTTGGTAGTTTGCTGCGCTTACCACCAGAGGGTTGGGATGATGCTGGGCTCTATCGAAGAACCGTTTTATCAAATCTTTAAAATGTGCGCGAATCGTCGGGATTCTGCAATCGCTGTGCAGATCGACGTTGCGCTGATACCATTGCGCACCGGTTGCGCGGCGGATAAACTTACTTTGGACTACTTGCAATTTGTTAATGCGCGTAGGGTTTATATGAGCGAAGATCATGCATGCGTAGGACATGATTGGCCTTACGCAAACTTTATATAACAGTAATTTGTGCCTTAAGGGCATTTTACTTTTCTTATTCGTTAAATTGTGTAGCCGGCCGGAGACGAACGCGGCTTTATTACGGACTTGATTGATGTGCGTAGTGAAAGTCATACGCGAGTCGAAAGTGACTCCTAAATATTTGACCGTTTTCTCTCAGGGGAGAGTTTGGCCATATAGTGATATTTGCCCCAACTTTCTGTACTGGCGAGGACCTTTGTAACGGTGTGGCGGATGGGGGTTGGAGGTGCTACGCGTGAAGTGAATCGCCACACTTTTTTCTGGATTTATGTCTATTCTCCATTTGCGGAACCAATCGCCGAGGCGGTCGGTGGCGCTTTGGAGTCGAGTTGTTAATTGACTGAGGTTGCGATCTGAGTAAAAGAGCACCGTGTCATCCGCGAAAAGCGCGAGATTGACGTGGGGGTCTCTAGGTATGTCACTCGTGTAGAGCGTAAATAGCAAGGGTGAAAGGTAGGAGCCTTGTGGTACGCCGGCCGTGAGGCGGCGGCTTTTGGAGAGGGTGCCCTCGACTCGATATCGAAAAGAGCGATTCAACAAGAAGGCCCGGATGGTGTGTACGAGCCTATCTGGCACTTTGAGTGTGTACAGCTTGTAAAGCAAGCCGTTGTGCCAAACCTTGTCGAATGCTTTCGCGACATTGAAAAAAAGAGCTTCTGTACTGATGTGTTTAGGGTGGTTTAGGCCTTTTAGGATGTGATCCGTTAGGCGGTATAACTGATCGGGACAAGAGTGTCTAGCTCGAAAGCCGAATTGTTCCGTCGGCAGAAGGCCGTTGGAAAATACGTGCTCTTTGAACCTGTTTAACAAGAGCCGATCGTAGAGCTTCCCCAGGCAACTGAGGAGGCTTATGGGATGATAGCTAGAGGGCTGATTAGCTGCTTTATTCGGCTTGCGAATGCCGATAACCGTGGCCAGTCGTCCGGAAAGGAGCTACTGGAGAGAAGGGTATTGAAAATGGTCGCCACAGATGAGTCGATTCGTTTGTGGAACCAGTGAGGTGATGTAAGCTGTTGTTACTCAAACACAGTGGAAAGGTGTTCAATTCAAAAACTCAACAGTTCCCACGAGCTGCTTACAGAATCAAGATAAATGCATTCTGATGCAGCTATTGTTGCGAGTTGTTATAGGAAGTTTTGTTAAGATGACTAGGAGATACTGGGATATTAATCTTGACGACCATATAAAAGTAACCATGTAAAAAAAAATAAGAAATAATAAACTTAATAATCTTACCGATTTGAGCACTTTGTCAAAACAATTGTTTATTCCTTGGCACGTGGCAAGCGCTCTCTGGAAAAGTAATTAACTTTACAATCATATAATTGAAGCTGACAAATTCAATTATTAGGTGATATTATCGGAACATATTTCATTCAAACATAAAAGTAGAAGTTTTCAAAACAAATGCTGTGGTAGGGCCACGCAGCGTTCTTCGCTGTTGCAAGAATGGGCAGGTCCGTCCGGAGAAATACCACGACCTAACAGAAGACCGGTGTGAAATAAAAGTATTATACTTCTGCGTTTCGTCTGGTGAGTAAAGTCACCGGAGTCCACTTAATAAAAATGTGGCAACGCATTTGCAACCTAAGGATGTTGCAAATGCCCATGGCCGGTTATCACTTAACATAAGTTGAAATTCCAGCTCGTTTCAGCAGATCTACTAGATAAATACCTGTTATGTATTTAGAGATGCAAGCAAACTACGGGGCGGTCAGTTACACACTGTCTTTATTCGCGCTCGGCCAGCGCCTCGCGTAATACATAATTATGTACCCTCATATACTAGATAAATACCGAAATATCTTATACATCATATATTGATATACAGGGAGGCTTTTTTAAATGTATCCATTTTTTTATTAAATTCTAGACTTAAATAATGTTATATAAAAATGATAAATATTTATAATCACTCATAATTAATTAATTACATTCATTTGAACTTATCTCAAAAAGTTCGTGATTTATGGGCAACTCATTTATGTATGCGCGATCATTCATAATTAACACGCACACGAGTTCGTTCCAAAAGTATACGACGCATTTATGAATGACTACCGGATTGTCAACAAGTTCTGCTTTTTAGTGAATTGAATGTAAATTTTTTTGAAATAAAAAGTTTGTTTTATTTTAAGAAACGAGTTTTTATACTACGAGTCTGAACCTCCTGTGTGAATGTGGGCACCTTTAGAAAAGCCACCCTGTATAGTTTGTAATATATTCATATCATATCTAAATATAAATAAAATATATTCATGTATATCTTTTAAATAAAAATCGGTGTCGTTGGCAAAGTCCTAAAAATTTTTCCTAATGACTCATAATATTTTAAATCAATTTGCGTGCCTTAATACCGAACAATCTGCTGCCTTGATTATTTCCAAACCGAATGATTTAATTTTATTCGCATTAAACTTACATCATACAATCGAATTGTTTGAACAATGATGATTAATGATATTTAATTATTCCATTTACACGAACACAATATGTGCTCAAGAAGTTGTTATATATTCTGTATTATATACAAGAAAATAAGCAGAAGTTAACTTAATTAACAATAACCATCTAACCTGTGATTCAGGGAAAAATCCTGATATAAACAGAATTATAATAAGACCAAGTGTCAGTGACATCTCTTCTTACGAACTATAAACACTTGCTATATTACAAACTTTCACAAGTGCTTTAGCTTAAAATGTGATTGAAATGACTGAGGTAAGACGTACTTAAACATGATGAACGGTTTGAAAGCTAAAAAGGTAATTATAGATGCAATGTTAAACAGAGAAATTAAATTACTTAATTTAACATCCATAAAAAAAGGAATTGAAAGCGATAATCACTCATTTAAAATTAAAAGGGTGCAAGTTTTAGTATTCATCTCACTTATTTCAATATATTCATCCGATACTATTTGTCATTTCCAAAATTTGGTTTCATTCCATATTTTGGAAAGTGAAGAAATTGTGGCGTTTAATTTAAATAAGTTTAACAAGAAAACAAAACAAGGTTTTTCTGGAACTGCTTTTCGGTTTTTGAGCTTTGGATACGTTGACAAAGCTGCAGCAATGACAGAGCCCGTGGTAAGGCTGTTTCAAGGTACATAAAGATATACAGTCACATTTTATACCATTTTGTAACAGCTATTTTAAACGTTGGCAACGCATCTGCAAACTCTCAGGTGTTTATTATGTCCATGGAAGGCAATAATATTTTTCTTATTATTCTTCAAATAGGTGAATTATTATGAAAATACAAATAAAAATATGATCTTCATATGGTCACCTAGTCAGTGATCTTGTTTACACTCTGTATTTTTATAGTGATGAGATCACTTTTACCAATTAAGAGACTTATTAACTAGCTTCCTAACAGTGTACCGAGCAAGAGTGTGAAGTAGGAGGTGGCTCCGACACTGTCCTATTTAGCCGTCCATCATCATTACTATTTCGTACAATGTCGGTGTTCTTCTTATTATGCGTTTATTTTAAAAAAATGAAGTAGCAATTCTTCTATGTTCGTTGTTTTGTAATTGAATAAAAATAAAAAAAAGCGTGTGGGAATAAATTACTATTGAAAATTCGTCAGTGACTGTTCTTCCTGACCGATGCAATGTTTGCTGGGACGTCTTTTTCATATTTTTAATAATTGTTGCCATACCGCATTTCTCAATTGTATTTTATTGTAATTTTGTGAATTTATAAACACGTGTTTGCTTTTTTATATTTCGATAACATCTCCTAAGCCCGTTGTGGCTAAGCTTCGAAATTACCGCTCCTTCTGGCAGTCCGCTACGCAGGACGCCAATCCTCTGACACTTGCGCGGTGGACTCAGGGTCGGATTTATGGGAGGGCAACCCGGGGCAACAGCCCCGGGGCCTCCACAAACGAGGGGCCCCCACAATAGAGACTTCGGAAAAAAAATTACAAATTAGTAAACAACTTTTCTTTTCACTTTTACCTACAGTACTTTGTAACAACATGATTACATTAAATATTAACAGAAACCAATAGAAAATAATTTGGGACCAAGAGACCGAGAGGAGACCTCTAAATCTGGCCCTGGGTGAATTGTGAGCGGTGGGCAGATCTTACAGGTCTCTAGCAGGACGCAATTAGAATCCTGCTCGATGTTGCCGGTTATCGCGCAGGTTGCGAATACATTCAACATACTGGCAAGACCAATACATAAGCAAGGTAGAAAGCAACACTGTACTAATTAAGGAATTTCTCATTGCGTTTGTCATGGCAGGCCATTTCCGTTACAAAAACTGAAACGAAACTTCTAAGCGAACGCACTGCGTCGATTGACTGTGATTGGTCCATTGCGGATCTATTTACGTGTTAAGTGTATAATAAGTTATCAATTAAAATACTACATAAAAATTCTATAATTTATACTTACTTTAAACTCTTAGAAGAGTAAAGTCCTAAAGCCACTAATAACAATTGAAAAACAGGATGTACTATAAGGTCTTTGTCCGTACGTAAGTTTAGTCTGATTTTTATCATTGGTAGAAGTATGAAGATGTATACCGTATTTTAAATTCCTCTTCATTGTGGTAATCGAAAGGATTTTGAAAATTCCGTACCACTTGTAGTAATTAAACCTTCCTTCCTTTAAATTATCATTGACATAATTATCAAAGGACTGCTTTCGTGCGCACTATGTAACCTCATATTATTGCTCTTGAAGACAGGATGTCTTTCGTTACAAAATATTGTGAGTATTAGAATAAAAGGCCTTAAAATTGCTGCTTATTCATTTTATTTCCATTGACAAAGCGTTATGCTTTACGCAAGTATCATTATAGACAGAATACAGATAAAATAAGTAAACGTAATAACAATTATCAATCTTTATGGAAGGGTGACTTTTTTTGGCCTAGTATATACATATATATAGTATACTAGGCCATTTATTAGCATTATTTTATATGCATTATTTTTAGGCATATATTTAGACAAATAAACGATTATTATTATTATATATTAGAAATTTCTTTAACCGTTAGCTGTAAATAAAAGGTTCTTTTTAAATAATTTTAAAAATCAGTGTTTGGGTTTTTTTATGTGAGGTGGCAAACGAACAGGCGATTCACATGTTAAGTGGTGACCGCCCACTGACATTTGCAACAGCCGTAGGAACGCTGATGCTTTGCCACCCTTTAATAAAGTTGGCGCCGTCTATATCACTCACCAGACGAAACGCGGAAGTATAACACTTCCACTTCGCGCCGGTCTACTGTGAGCTCGTGGTGCTTACCCGGACGGACCTACCTAATCGTGCAACAGCGAAGATTGTTGCGTGGCCCTACCACAGTTACAAACCACGGTTACCTGCTAAGTTCAATCAATTATGGATTGTTACAAGCTCATAATAAACTCATATCGTCATTCAGCCTCATATTCCACACCCATCCCGCCACGCGACTCATGTCAATGTGAAATAAACTTATCATGAAATAAGTGAAATCAAAAAAAAATATAAATATTATAAATGTTGCTCAAAATAAAATGGTATACTTGCCCTTTCCAGAAACCCTGAAATTCAGAATAATATACAAACCAATATATAACAACCTTGCATTATTATGATTTCCTGAATTCAAGGGTTTCCTATACACTTATGATTAAACTCTTTATATGATTAAGCTCCTCGCCTTTCTACATTTTCTTTTAACTAAAGTTTTCCATAGTTTTAGGGTTCCGTACTCAAAGTAAGCAAAACGGTTGCGCGGCGATTAAACTTGTTTTGAACGATTTGAAACTTGTGCAAGCGAGTAGGGTTCGTGTGGGCGAAGGTCATACATGCGTAGGACATAATAGGTCGTACGGAGGCCTTGTATAATAATAATTTGTGTTTTGTTATTGTCAACATGAGTCGGTTACGACGGTGAGGAAGGAGGTTGGGATGGATTGCGCGGAAGGCGCGACGGGCGAGTTCACGGCGGCGGATGGCGACGCGATGACAGTATCTAGTGTCGCTGAAGGCGACGGAGTACTCGGCGCAGAGGGCGCGGGAGAAGGCGGCGACGCGATTGCCAGTGAAGCCGGGCTATCGCTGGCGTATTTTACTAGCAATTTTCGCTCGGATGCGTAGGCGAGAAAACCGCCCCACATTCGGTGCGCAGGAACTCCTCTAAAACGAAGCCCATATCGGCGCTTGTGCCTTTACGGCTTGCGCCCCACCGGCGTGTAAGTTTTTAGCTAAGCCTCCCTATCTTGCGGCAGGGAGGAGTTGCCCAAAAAAAATTATAATTAATTCACCTGCGCTTTAGGTGCGCTAAGATGCACTGTCGCCTAATGCAACAAGCACACAATAAAAAGAGAAAAAAAATTAACAATACCTCCCCTAGGCCTACGAGTACACCCCTCCGACCGGGTTCCCGCCTTGACGTGGCGGAGGGGCTTAGTAGCCGTGGCTTGGTCCCCCACGACGAAGCTAAGAGGTACCCACACTGGGCCGGCCTGTGGTGTAAGGCCGGCCCGAGAGGGCCGCTCCGAGAGGGCTCATTGAGCCCACTCTAGATTCGTGCTGGAGGGTGCACGGGACAGGTCGAGGGTGGTAGAGGTGAAGCCACTCTCCCTGTCTTCTGCTACCGAGGAGGAGTCGCGGGGGAAAAAGAGTGTCGGTATTGCGTTGGCCGTGCTCCCCATCCTCCGCGACTCGGCGGGGCTGCACCGCTGATGCAGCTGTGGTGGGGCCGCGGGGGGAGAGGAGTGTCGGTATTGCGGTGCGCCATTCTCCCTATCCCCCGCGGCCGAAACGTGGTGTGCGGCGGAGCCACAGACCAGGTCCGCCGCTGGGGGCTGCGAGGCGTGCTGCTAATCAGTACTGGCTCTCCTGGCTCCCATGGCCCCGGTCAGCGAACTCGGGGGAGTTCGTTGGCCGTGAAAATGGGGCCGAGTAGGAAGTCGCGCTGAATGTTCCAGCGCGGCTTACCTGGAGGAGAGGGGAGTTGCTCCCCGTGAAGGGCTGCTAAGGCGGCCAGCGCTAGCAGGGTCGCGGAAGTGTGCGAAAGCGTTCCCGTGACCCTGCCGATATGCGCCTAGGTGTAACATCGTGGGGGTTTTAGTCGGTGCGAGTCCGACATAACCCGCTCTTGCCCCCGCGAGGGCGGGTATGCGTAGGCATTTCCCCACGTCAACAAAAAAAAAAGCCTACGAGTACAACACTAAACACTACTGCACTGCTTGCACAAAGATTTAAATTGCAACTGAGGTTGCGAGTAGCGAGCGTCTCATTCGGGTGGCATGTGCCCTCCGACGTAGAGAGAGGTCAATTCCGTACGAGAGCACAATGGTACGGAACCTTTCCGGCGAACCTTTGGCCGGGTTTTTTTCATGTTGTGCCAACAATCAACAAAAAATATGAGCCGTAATATTACCGTCAAAACACACATAATATTATGTTTGTCTTGGTAATGGCAACGTAAATTGCATAGGATGTCAATTATTTCACAATTACAACAAAATGTGACAGAACTTATGTCCTGACTAGGTATTGTGCCAAATAAATTTGACACAATGATTACCGTAAATGAAGATGATTTTATATGCGTCTGCCTAATTTAGTGCACAAATATTATGATTTACTTACTATGTCCTCAGTGTATAAGTCATCCTGTAAAGTGAAACATGTTATAAAATATTTCATAGGTGTTAAACTATTTCCTATTTCCCTCCAACAATCTTTCACTTTTAAATTAATACGATCATAGTCAAAAATCTAAATTGACAAATGTTGATATTGCTCTGGTAACCTGTTCTTCTTCCTATTTAGTCAGCGGATTTAATACTGGCCACCAGTTCAGAACCGTTGGATTATGAAATAGGCACTTGAAGGAAAAGGCCTGCTCAGACCCTCATTATGATTTGGAGTTACTCCAGGCAACCTTGATCAAAGCAGTCGCCGATTTTGATAAGGACTTCGTTAGTGAAGCTATAGTCGACTAACCACGCATAATAAAGCCAATCACAATTGCGAGGATGACTTTGAGTAAGCTTAGTTATCATAAAAAGTTAATTTTGCTATATAAATATAACCGTAAAAACAAACATGTGACAATCTTTTTTCTTTTTTTCTTTTAAGTGAAAAGTTGCGAAGCGAGCTGACAGTTCACCTGATGTTCATTGAATACCGCCGCCCATCTGCTACAAGGACATCTGCTACATCCGAAGGTTTGCAGATGCGTTGACAACCTTTTTGAAAATTGGGCTCCGGCCACCTCACTCACCAGACGAAACGCGAAAGTATTATATTTTCACTTTACGCCGGTCTTCTGTGAGGTCATGGTACTTACCCGGACGAGCCTGCCCATTCGTGCAACAGCCGAGGCTGCTGCGTGGCCCTACCACCCTGACAATTATTTCACAATCACAATAAACATGTTACAGAACTTATAACCCAAAATAGGTATTGAGCCAAACAAAGTCAACAATGATTAAAAGTAAATTAAAATGAAATTAAAAGTAAATTTATATGCGTCTGCCTAATTTAAAGCACAAATATAATGGCGTACTCACAAATTTAATATCGTCTCGATAGTAAGATTTATGCTGTAAAATCAAACATGTTATAGCATATTTCGTAGGAATTAAACCATTTACTATTACCCTCCAACGACCTGTTACTTTACATTTTAGAAACTACGATCATAGACAAAAAAAAAATTATAACCTCTGGTCACATATTTTTCTTCCTATATTCAACTTAAAGTTAAGTTGTAGAAGTTAAGTATAATACAAGTGAATTATACTTAACTTCTACAGCATAAAACAATAGAAGTAAATTATACTTTTTTGATAATAATACTATTAACAATTACTTCATAAATGGAAATATCTAATGATGTGACATAATTTCCTCAGTAATAAAGAGTTCCTAACGTAGAAATACAGCAATCATACACATTTAACAAACTTTAATTTTTTTTTGGGCTTGATGAGCAACTGTTGGTCTTAGGGGCCTTTACAGTTTCACCGGACTTGCGGTGGCCGGGCGCTTGGGGCGCCTAGCCTGAACCTCGGCGTATTATTACTAGGCGTTATGGTGACTAAGCTCGAGAGCTCCCGAGGGAGCCTCGGCTCACCCGACCCGACAGCGTGGCGGCCCCGTCACGCTATTATTATCACCGGTTTGGGAGGCCGCCAAGCTCTTAGGGCGCTTTGGCGGACGCTCCATGGAGTGACTAGGCTCAAGGGCCCCCGAGAGGGGACCTCGGCTTGGGCTGTCATTCAATACCCATTTAGCATTCCGATTCGAGGGTGCCTGAGAGAGCCGAACCTCGGCTCGATCGGTAGCTATTATCTGACTGGGAAACTTTCAAGTAGCTTGTTGTTTCTATACACAATGAAAGATGGGATCTGTTCAGAAAGTTTTACCTTGCTCTTTAATTTATAGCCGGGCATTTTCGTATGCCTATAGCATCGCTATGGTGAATAATAAAACAAATAAAGCGACAATAAGACAAGAGCGTCATGGGCCGTGGTAGCTCAGTGTCCGGGCGCTCGCCTTTAACTACATTTACTCGAGCAACATGAGTTCGATCCTCGGTGCCAGCACCAATGAAATTTTAAGTGCTGAATTATCACGTGCTCGGCGGTGAAGGAAAACATCGTGAGGAAACCTGCATATTTTCGAAATAATAAAAAAAAATGTTTCGAAAATATGTGAAGTCCGCCAATCCGCAGTGGGGTCGCGTGGTTAACTATGTCCTGATACCCTCTTTACAGAGGAGGCCTTTCCCCAGCAGTGGGACACATATAGGCTGTATGTGTACACATATATTAATTGTAAAGTATTATTTTGATTTTTAAATATTTACCTTCATTTGTTTTCTTTGTCTGCTTCTCTTCTTATATGGGTAAAATTTTAGCTTTTCAGTCTTCGATGCTTTCACAAACTGTCTATGCTGACAAATATGAAATTAAAAGATATATGATTTATGTGTTGAAGAGAAACAAACGTTTTCATCACACCAAATAAATATAGGACATACTAGCAGTTACCTTCGCCCGCTTGGTCAAAGGGATGAGTTGTCTTAATAGACATTTCAATTTATTATTTTTATTTCAAGACTTTACATTTTTATTTCATTACATATTTCAAGTGCAAGGTTAAATAAGTAACAGTTCCACAATTAAAAAATGCTAAGAGAAACCCACACACAGCCCACTTTATTTAAAGGTGGCAACGCATTTGCAACCCTACGGGTGTTGCAAATGTCCATGGGCGGCGGTTATCACTTAACATCAGGTGAACCGCCAGCTCGTTGGCCACTTTATCCCATAAAAATAAGTAATGCGGACCACAAAGTACGTAAATTAAATAAATAAATATTTTAGGACACATTCTTTTTACACAACGTTCTCTAGTCCCAAACTAAGCAACGCTTGTACTATGGGTACTAGAAAACTGATAGACATACTCAAACATACTTTTCTTTTATAAATAAATACACATTATACATATATAAAACATCCAGACACTAGAAAAACACTATACTCATCACACAATATTTTTCCAGTAGTGGGGATCGACCCCATCTGGCGCAGAAGGCAGATACACTACCGACTACGCCATTCGGGTCGTCAATTGACACATTGGAGCTCCAAGCTAACCTCAATAAATCAAGTGGATTCTGCCCGCGTATGCAGCCAATTCTAACGTGAAGAGTAAACATTAGTGTGGCTTTCCGAATGGGTGTGATTTTTAGGGTTCCGTACCCAGAGGGTAAAACGGGAGTAATTCAGTAATTGAACAGAACTATTTATGCAACAGGCGCCGTCACTTAAACATACTTTTCTTTTGTGTATACATCATCTACGCCACTCTTCTGTGATGAAGAATTACTTCCTCATATGAGCTGATTTGTTTTTGCAACCAGTACATTGATGTGAGCTGTTATTGCCCTAACACAGGGGAAATGCGTTCAATTTAAGAATTCGGATGTTCCCACGAGTTTGTTTCAGAATCGAGATAAATGCATTCTGTAGCCAACACGTATGGCGGTATTTTCTTCGGATGCAGCTATTGAGTTGTTATATGAAGTTTTGTTGTTCTTGTCCCATACGATGACAAGACAAGGAGATAATGTGATATTAATCGCGATGAAGAACTATCAGTGGACATATAAAAAATAACAAATATTACACAAGCTTACCGATTTGAGCAGTTTGTTAAAACAATCGTTTACTCCTTGACATTCGGCAAGCGCTCTCTGGTGAAAATAACTTGATTTATAATAAGTTGAGAAATTCAAACCTTACGTGATATTTATTATCTGAATATATTTCATTCAAACATCAGAAGAAGGATTTCCATCTTCTGTTGTTGATCTTCTGATCATGAAAATTTAATGTAGTAATTGCCCCAGTCATTGGCGACTTTAACTATTGAAAAACCACAATATTGTGCCATGGTTGCTTAAACTGATGCTCCCATAAAGAAAGTAAGAAAGAAAAACAATTAAAATTTCGAAATCAATGCGCGAAGGTCACTCGGCATTACATCGCAAAAATGAACAAGATTTCATGTTATTTCTTTTCTTTACCAATAATGGTCGTCTCTTCTATTCGCCTGATTTTAACTTCTTACCCAGCAAGCTCTTGGAGCTGATGTGTTTATAGAATTCTATATCGTTTTACACATCATCATTCAATCATATCTTACCGTTGTAAATTAAACGGTCGCCTAGCAATAGCTTGGTTAAATAAATTGTAGCATATCATTTTAAGATTTATAAAATTTCTTGATTAGTTTTTTAACATTTTCAAATACAGAATGTTGTAAAACGATTAATCATATTTTAATTCAACCAGATTATTTCCAGACCGATAATTTAATTTAATTTGGATTTTTTCGAAAATACTTTAATATTTATGATAAATGACGACGTGATCAAAACATGTAAAAATATTTTTTTAAATAATGATTAATGATATTTAATTATTCCATTTACATGAACATAATATACATATGGATAAAGTTCTTATGTATTCTATATATAAGCCAAAATATATACTGAGCTTAGCTTAAGTAAAAATGACCATCTAACCTGCGATTCAGGGAAAAAACCAGATATTAGCAGGATTATAAAAATACCAAGCTTCAGTGACATTTCTTTGGAACTAAAATCTTTGCTAAATTACAGATTTCCACAAGTGGTTTATTAGCTTAAACGATGAATTGACTGAGGTAAGACGTATTTAAACATGATGCACGGTTTGAATGCTAATGAGGTAATTATAGATGCAATGTTTAACTACACAGTTAAATTCCTTAATAGAACGTCGATAAAAAATGGAATTAAGAGCGATTATCATGCAAATAAAATTAAGAGCGTAAATTTTTATAATGATCTCACTTATTTCAATACATTCATTTGTAATATTTTCAAAGACCAAAGTGTTGTTTCAAACCATATTTTTTGACGTAAAGAAACTATGGCGTTCGTTTAAATCAATTTCTTATTAATTGAACGGAAACACAGCACAGAACAAGGTCATTCTGGAATTGCTTGTCGGTTTATTGAGCTATAGGTATATACGTAGACTATAAAGCTACAACAAGCACAGAGCGCGTGGTAAGGCTTTAACAAGGTTTATCTATTTATTTATTTAATAATTTGTAAACATCCCAACTTAAGGCTAAACAAAAGGCAAACTTAATGATAATAAGCATTCTCTTACACTCGAACCTGGGAGTAGAAAAAATTTGACGCAGGTGCAAAAGAAAATTCGCGAAAGAGTAAAAAAATAAATAAAATAAAACAAAAAATGTTCTGGATATTTATATTTGAAAAATGATTATTATTAATAAGTATTCCTCATTTTCAAACGTTACAATTTAATCCGTCTCAGAAATATTAATAACATTATATCAATCCAACTTGAAATGAACTATAATATTCTCTAATAATTGTTAACGGTGTTTGTAACTGAACTCCTCCGAAACGGCTCCACTGATTTTTGTGAAATTTTGCGTTCATATCGGCCAGGGTGGAGAATCGGACAAAATCTATTTTTCATTTTTCATCCCCCTAAATGTTCAGTTCACCCCTAATTTTTTTTTTTGATACAGCATACAAAAATACAAGCAAACCTAAATTTTCACCCCATGTATATTGACGTGTATTAATTAATAATTAATATTATCAGATAATATCGTTTAAGTAGAGCTGGAGTGTGAATTATAAGACCTTGACATTTAATAATGTATGGTCTATCAAAAATGAAATGAGTCAGGTCCGACTCGGGTAAGGCCGACAACAATACTTTAAAAAGGTTATGAACACGGGCAAGTAAAACGATAGCGTGCTTTTTCCTACGTATAGCGCCATCTAGTTACATGAAACATTAACTGACCTGCTATAATAACAGCCGATATAAATCTCTTTACCCATTACTTATAATAATATAAATTTATGATTGATTATTTTAAAGAATATTTTAATAAATGCTTAATTGATAATTCTTATTTAGTATTCATAATTTTACGAAATCATTTAAGGTGTCATCAACTGCCATTTTTTAAGCCAATTGTGTTTATTGCGTATTGCATTTGTTTAAAAAAAACATTATTGTATTTGCCTCGACCCAATAAGGTTACCTCTTATGCCCGGTTTCTATATTCAACGAACGGCCGTTAATTATATAACTTCCATAACTTTCTTAACGACTCGTTGTAACGACTTCATAATGACAATGTAACTAACGGCAGTGGCACCACACTGAAGAATACACTTCCAGCTTTAAGGCCCATTTACATGGTGCCAGTTTCTTGCCTGTTGTATACAATTAAATTGACGCAATAAATGAGTTGCATGGTCTAAACAACAAATGGTCTAAACAATTATTGCGCGCAATTTATTGCATTCAATTATTGCTCTTGTATGTACAAGAAAATGGCATCGTGTAAATGGGCCTTAACTCATAAGATGTACGGCTAGATAGTGATGCCACTGGTAACTGTCGTTGGCAATAGAGCATTAGTTATAATTATTTTGAAAAAATGTGTTCTTAAGTAACGAAAAATATTTGATTAAAACTAGATCAAATATCTTGGCTAACAATACTTAAAACTCATTTGCCATCATTAAGAAAACTAACAATGATATAAATATCATGACAAATAGGAAATATCATGGATTGCATGACTTCCCGCTTTATTAGCGATGCCAACTACAGTTATTTCGTTAATTATTTCATAGCAAGTGCGCTTGAGCGGTGGACAGCCGTCTCTTCTGATAAATATAATAAATATAAGATACTATTGGGCATCTGGCATTGACGTAACACAAGTTGGCAGCATCAGAAAAAGTCCCACGTCCTTTCAGATTGTCCACGAAAGGCAGTGTGCAAGTGATCTTAATGGGGCCGCCTTTCTAAAAGTTTAGCATCGCTACCTACCATAAGTAGCACCTACAGTTATGTTGCACGCACCTTTTTCTGCACTTGAAATGATAGCATGAAATGGTCATTTTACGGAATATCTTAACGGACTGTCTAGTTTAGGGTTCCGCACCTAATTTTGTAAAAACGAAACCATTATCTGTCTGTGAAACCCTTTTCTTCATGAACAGGTCTTACCCATTTATGTTGGAAAGATTTAAAAAATCAATCTTGGATTATTTATTGGACTGTCGATAAAATGTATAAGTATTTATTGCCTCAATAGTTTCTATCAAAGTTATTTATAAGTTCATTAATAACTGCTATTAAAATTTTAGTTTTGTTTACATTTTTCTCACAGTAGTTTGTATATATTAATTTATTTTAATTAAGATATAAGTTTATGTGTTCACGTATAAATAAGCTAACTATAATATATACACATATTTCAAAATCACAAATAAGTAAACGCAACCAACCAAACACAACCAAATTACGCAAAAAAAAAGTATTACATTTGAAGGAGCACAACTATAAAACAAACTACCTACTTAACTAGTTTATATCTCAATTATCTCAATATGTAATTGATAACTTTCCTCCTTCCGTTTGAGACAAAGCTGTCGACTGTTTGGCGGCCATTACTTTAGTTAATAATTGTTTAATATTCACATGTAAGTATTGTATCGTCTTGTTGGGAATAAATTTCTCTATACCTCCTATAAGCTGTGTTCATCTACAATTGCTGGAACACGAAGATTTACGACTTTTTTTACTTTTTTAATTAATTTTCATGATGTATGTGTCCAATACCGGTGAACCTTAAAAAAATTGGTGTGTTCGTTTCAACCTAGTTACAAAAAATTGGTATGTAATGTCAAATGGACACTTCGAAAATTCTTGCTCACCCGAGCAGCTACAAGTTTCATGCAGAAAATTAAAACAAAGCGAAATGCATAGCGAATATTCCTATTTCATGGATTAAACAGCTGTTGTTCAGAATTAGTAGCTTAGAAGAAATGAATAATTATCTTCACATTATTAACATGATTGTAGCCATTTTCAATGCCATTAACAGCTTTCGCAAATTGCTGCAATTTGAGAACGTAGGTATGCTATCTATTATGCGTTAAAAGGATATTATTTTTTTTTTATAATTAGACAAGACGAATATTTGAATCAACTTAAAAACTAAAACATTAAGGGGGCGTGCTTTTACTTTATTACGAGTTATGCTATCGCTTTCAATCCGCAAACTATCGAAGCTCCATATAAAACAGAACTTGCTAGCCAGGTCCCACGATGTCGCTCCGATCGCTTCATTGTTAGTCCATCGCACCATAAGTTTAGTACCATACTTTTCATAAAAGGATGGATATATCTTTTTGAAAGTCGCTTCCAATGCAGCATCTTTTCCCTTAGGGTACTTATTTATCAGACTTTTAGCCTCAGGCTTATAGAATAGGGCTAAGGTATCCCCTGCCTGTCTTTATGCATCGCAGCGAGTCTAAAGAAATATGGTCATCAATGTCGCAAACTCCCTCAGGGTACTTAATGGGTAAAAACCACACATAACCCTGTCATATAGGGTGACAGGGTGTCTTTCGAAGATTTCCACCGATAAGACAAGGGTTTCTTTATAGATTCCGATACGTTCTTATTGAATCATGAAATTTGGCGAAAATACAAATTCCGTATTACACACATAGATATTGCCTATATGCTTTTCCCTTCCAGGATCATAATCTATAGTGAACAATTTAAAAAATATGTAAATCCGAGAAGAGTATCTAAACTCTGAATAGTAAGTTTGATCGCCTAACTAGTTATTTCATGTCAGAAGTTGAATCGCTTATTTCAGGATTTAGTAAAAAAAGAAAATCTCGAATATGAAGTTTTTACTTTTATGTGAAGGGACATGTTTCGTAACCAAAAACGGCAAGAAAAATAATTGCTACGTGCTGATTACTTAGACCAATTCATGCCAGAATCAGCAGACGAGCTGTAATAAAAATATAAATTATTCGCTTCTAATACGATGTATACGACATAAAAATCTAAATGACTTTCAGATCAAAACAGCCAGTTGTAGCAATCACCATCTCCAATGGATATTCCAATACAGAAGTGCAAAACTATTATTAGTCTTCTGCAGGGGTATAGGCTCCCTTTTTAAAGGACCATAAGTCGTATCAGAAATATGTCTTGTGAAATGTGAACTGTTAACGTTAACCACACAGTTAACGTATGAACAGATGATTTCGCAATAAAGCAAACGATGCTGGAGTACTCGTACCAACCATCTTAACGGTAGTAGTAAGCAATTGCCGTTAGGGTCATTATTTAAAAAAATTGAAGACTGCTTAAACTAAACTAGACTAAGGAGATTTTCAACTAAATGTTTAACTAAGCCGACAATGTAAGACAGATTGAATTATTGTTTTTGGACATAAAATTGCTAATAAGTAACTTAATGTCTCCTTAACCATAAATATAAGCTATGGTAAAATACATAATTTGTATTAGAGATAATATCCCTAAATAGTGTAAATAGCAATAACCGTAAAAGAACTATCAGCCGTATCATTAAATAGTTTTCTTCTTTTGAGATCTTCGCGATTTTGTCAGATTTGTTAATTACCATGACCATTTGATTTTATAGAAAAGAACAAATTAACTGAAACTAAAAGAAGACAATATATTTTGTACTTATAATGAGCATACTTACTTTGAATCATCCTAAAAAAATTATATTGATTTTAGATAAAAACATGCAGTATTTTGACGAAACGATTATGTATCAAAAATAATATAGTCAAAAAATATTTTGTGTATTGTAATATACGATGTAATCGTGTGAAGGCGACCGAGCCTCTACAAAACTATGAAAAATTTACTAAGACTATTAGTATATATATAGTTACCGCAGTAGATAGTTTCTTCAGAGTTTATTAATGTAAAAATAAAAATGAACTTAATGTATTTTTACAAAATTAAAAAATATATATTCATTCTGAAATATTACTTCTTAAATCACAACTTGGTGCTTAGTTCATAACTCCATGAACATTCGATATATTTCAAGGAGAATCTCGATTTTAAACTGGAAACTGACAGAGTTCATCATCAACAATTATCAGGAAAATACAAATATTTCCCTGAAAATTGTAGGTGCATTAACGGCAAACCGTGCTAGGTGTACAAATATTGCTATGATTTTAATCTCTTATACTTACTTCAGAGATAAAATTAACCTAAAAAGAAAAACGTGGATTTAAAAAAATAAGATAGCGGTTGAAATATAACTAGAAAAAACAAATGGTATATATCATTCGTTGTCTCCTTTTCAACGACGCGGTAAACTTGCATATTACCAGTGAGTGATGTTTCTGCAACGGCTTATTTGACAGTGTATTAAACGAGTGAGCGGTTGCACGGTGCATGGACTACCCAGCACAAAGGATTTCGCAAAATCCGTATATAGTTTAGCAGCGCACGCAGACTTTGAAAGGGTGAAACTCCTATTACGACACTCGCATTAGGAAACGGGAAAATGTAATAACCTCCTCTTCACGTTGGTCTTCTGCCGATCCGCTTAATTTCCCGAACCATGCAAAAGCTACTACCTTTTTTACAATTAAAAAAGATATAAAATTTATCGAAAGCTGTTTAATTACTCGATTATGTAATAAGGTAAATTTTGACTCAGGATCATAATCGATGTTCACATAAAATGTTTTATATATGATATGAAAGAAATAAAAATCCGTTAAGACTTACAAAAATATTTCCGCCCGGCTGGATAGTAGTCTTGGCCGAGGGGATGGGTGGCATCGTGATTTCCTTAGTGCTGAACTCAGGTGTGGGGAATTCTTTAGGAGGATATCCCTCTTTAGGATATCTCTCATTAGGATCTCTCTCACTGGGATATTTCTCAATGGGATATTTCTCATTAGGATATTTCTCATTAGGATATCTCTCATTAGGATCTCTCTCACTGGGATATTTCTCCTTGGGATATTGCTCATTGGGATATTTCTCATTAGGATCTCTCTCACTGGGATATTTCTCCTTGGGATATTTCTCATTAGGATATTTCTCATTAGGATATTTGTCATTAGGATATCTCTCATTAGGATCTCTCTCACTGGGATATTTCTCATTGGGATATTTCTCCTTGGGATATTTCTCATTAGGATATCTACCTTTAGGATATCTATCTTTAGGATATCTTCCATAGGGATATATTGGTTTTATATTGATGAAGATGTTCTTGACTGAAGGGCGGCGAGGGCTGATCTTCTTTTTTACAAGTTTCTTCTTTGAAGCTATTTTTCGGTGTTTTTTCAAAAGGACCCTCTTTTCGTTCTCCTATTAACATTTAAACTAAACTTAGTTTAAGTAGTACCTATTACTAAGATGATAAAACATCGCAAGTCGAATGTAAAACATTTTAAAGTTTGGTGGAATGAGGCTTAAACATTTTCTTAATGTGACAAGCTGGCATGCACGCAAATGGATCACCTGATATTAAGTGTTAAGTTCCGCTACCCATAGACAACGTTAACGGTACGCGACGTAATGCTGTAGTGTTCTGTGCTAGTAACGATGAACCACCAGATAGATTGCAGATCCATCGGGGTTTCGGTCCGAACCGCGACCTCGATGGTCCTTAGATGACACACCATGCTTAAACGCACGCATGAGCAGATGCGTGGCCCTACCCACAGCGGAGGCCCCAAACCTGTGGGTTCTGGCTAGCCCACCGGTTCTGCATCAGATGAAGCTTTAATAGTCTCGGGACTGAAAGCAAAAACATCAGTTAATACAAGAGATTACAGATGCGTTGCCAACCTTTAAAAACAGTATCCGCAAATCACGAGACACGTGAAGATTTACTAAACGAGCAAGCTGTTGTTGATAGAAACTGATAACAGCTTTCCATGGATATGTAAAACATGAACGTTGTACAACAACGGAAACTGATGCTCCGCCTTACCATAGGACAAAACTAAGATAGCTTATACTAAGTTCGTTTAGACGCAAACAGTACCAATGGCATAGTTAGATATTGGGATCCCTCAAAGAATCATGGGTTTAATGCCCATTAGAACTATAGATGGGTATAGACAGATATTTGACCGAGTTTATTTTGTCGGAAACGTAACAACCTGTTGTGGAGCCAAAACTATTTTGCTGTTGTACGAATAAGTCTCGACCGGGCTTAACGCGAAACCAGCGTATAATTAGATAATTATAACTAACTAACCTAACCATTTTTTTTGACGTGGGGGAAATGCCTACGCATACCCGCCCTCGCGGGGGCAAGAGCGGGTTATGTCGGACTCGCACCGACTAAAACCCCCACGATGTTACGCCTAGGCGCATATCGGCAGGGTCACGGGAACGCTTTCGCACACTTCCGCGACCCTGTCAGCGCTGGCCGCCTTAGCAGCCCCCTCACGGAGAGCAACTCCCCTCTCCTCCAGGTAAGGCGCGCTGGAACATTCAGTGCGCCTTCCTACTTGGCCCCATTTTCACGGCCAACGAACTCCCCCGAGTTCGCTGACCGGGGCCATGGGAGCCAGGCGAGCCAGTGCTAATAAGCAGCAAGCCTCCCAGCCCCCAGCGGTGGACCTGGTCTGTGGCTCCACCGCCACGTTTCGATCGCGGAGGATAGGGAGATCGGCGCACCGCAATACCGACACTTCTCTCCCCCCGCGGCCCCACCACCACTGCATCGCTATCCTCCTCGGTAGCAGAAGACAGGGGGAGTGGCCCCACCTCTACCACCCTCGACCTGTCCCCTGCACCCTCCAGCACGCATCCAGAGTGGGCTCAATGAGTCCACTCAGAGCGGCCCTCTCGGGCCGGCCTTGCTCTACAGGCCGGCCCAGTCTGGGTTCCTCTTAGATTCGCCGTGGGGGACCAAGCCACAGCTACTAAGCCCCTCCGCCACGTCAAGGCGGGAACCCGGTCGGAGGGGATAACTAACCTAACCTAACGTAACCTAACCTAACCCACCAGATGGTGGGTGAGGTAACCGGGACTTCTTAAGTGGTTGAAAACCCACCTGCAAAGCTACGGCTGCTCACACGATCACGTCACGATTACATAACATTAAATAAACCACTTAAGCGCTTTTCACAAACACAACATTGAAAATTATTTTCTCATGCATCCGCCAGACAGTGTTAAAAAAACCGGCCAAGTCGGAGTCGGCCACGAAAGGTTCCGTACCATTATATATAAAAAAGGCAAAATAATCATGTCTGTTTTATGGAAGCACCATTGGAGCATGTTGTTATATCGGCAACAGAAATACATCATCTGTGAAAAATTTTAACTATCTTACTATCACTACAGACGGACAAACAGACAGCGAAGTGTTAGTAATAGAGTCCCGTTTTATCCTTTGGGTACGGAACCCTAATAAAACGAAAGTCTTTCGCCGATTACACCTTTTTATGTTGCTGGGGAGAATATGTGTGTAAAAACTTTATGTTCTGCTGTTAAACTTACAATTTTACTTCGAATCGCGTCGACACAGTTTAGCCTCCCGCGCCCTTGTACACATATTTCCCCGCTGGTTAGGGGCGGCTGAAAATTATTAAATAATTTCATTTTAATTCGTTGTTGCATTTAGTGACGTCATTTTCTTTGCCCACAGCTTGATTGCTATTAGTGGTCCTATCAAACAATCCTGTAAGATTGCATCTTTAAAAATTATTGTTCCAATAGTGAAATCGATACAGTGCATGATACGTACCTGTTCATCTTCAAACTATGATAAAGAAATAAACAGAGGATTTAACTGATATAAAGGAGTTACTATGATTAGAACACCTTCTTTTGATACGTACCTCTTCATTTTCAAACTATGATAAAGAAATAAACACAGGATTATAATTATGATTTGTAAAAAGGATTAATTAATTTTACTGACATGACAGTGTATTTCATAAAGAAGTAACAATGATAAAAACACCTTCTTTTCATTCGTACCTGTTCATTTTCAAACTATGAGAAAGAAATAAACATACAATTATATGATTTGTTAAAAGAATTAATTAACTTTACACGACGGTGCATTTCATAAAGGAGTATCTCTATGCACTGATTTTTTTAAGTTTTACTGTGGTAGGGCCATGCAATAGTGTTCACTGTTGCACGAATGGGCGACTCCGTCCGGGTAAGTACTACGACCGCACAGAAGACAAAAATAAATTAGAAGTGTTACACTTCGGCATTTCGTCTGGTGAGTGAGGTAGCCGGGGTCAACTTTATTTAAAGGTGACAAAGCATTTGTAACTCTACGGGTTTACTACGGCGATTATTGCTTCTCACTTAACAGCAGGTTAACGCAGGTTTTCTCATAAAAAATGTTAATGGCACGGGTGAATTGAGTTAAGATTTAGCTAACTTATTAACACGTGTTAGGCGTGTAGTTCGGAAGTTAGTTATACATTCTGACTACATATATAGTCTATATAAAACGACCTCAGCACTATTGAACAAATATTATGTAGAGGAAGTATTCACAAAAATTAAACAATGACGGACGCAACGTGGACCAATACTCGGATAGACAAATTTGCGAACCACACAAATTCTGTGCGGGGATCGAACCCAAAACACAACGCGTATATAAGCAGTCGGGAAAGCCTAAACGTAAGCCTCTGGCCAACTGTTTACCTCCAAATCGAATGCTGCAGCGCATGTCAGCAACACCAGAGCGCAGAGCAAAACTATAAAAAAAAATTTATAACTGAATAATTTTCTTTCACTCATCGTAACAAAATATCGACTCGCCCTAAGACACTAAATCCTATGTGTATGTTTCACAAACATGAAAATTACTGAAACAAATTACACAGACTCAATACAACTGTATGTGGGATTTACGTATAGGACAAATTTTTATTCATTTTCGGGCAATAAAAACTATTGATCTCTGTGCAGTCAAATAATTTGTATATAAAATAGTTTACATTATATAATATAACATTAAATAAGTACATAAATACTTTGTAAATGTATAGAATAAATAACATCTACAGTGGTAGGAAGTCATAGAAGTCAGGAAGGTCTGTTAGGACCAAGTAACTCTTTATATTTTAAAATACCTTTATTACAGTACATAATCCCGTACTGTAAATAGTTTACTTCCTCTGCTTTCACCTTTGACAAGGTTCGAAGGTGTTTTACAAGTGAATGCTATTTTTCTCACGGCCCTGAGGTGAGGAATTGTTTTGTTATATTCACAAATTTCCAATTATCATGGGTTGATTAAGTTAACGGTAATTAATCTGTTAATTAATGACAACATTCGTTAGAACCTATAACGAATTGCTTAATTCTACGTTAATCAAAATTTCCTGAAATTTTATTCGTGGGAAACCTCAAAAGTAATTAACTTGTCTTTGGCTAAGATGCTAGTTATTAATTAAAAATCCACTCAATATAGTATTGCTGCATCAATTTTCTTTGATATTTTTGCAAGCGTACCTATGTTTTTTAATTTAAGAAGATGGCAAGTGAGCTGGCGGATAACCCGGCTTACTTGATCTTAAGCGTTAACCCGCCACATTTGCCACACCTATACATCATAGGGTTGCAGATGTGTTGCAACTTTTTAATAAAGTGCGCCCCGGGCACCTCATTCACGAGATGAAACACAGAAGTATAACACTTCCACTTCAGATCGGTCTTCTGTTACATCGCGGTACTTCCCCGGACGGACATGTCCATTCGTGCAACAGCGAACCACAGAACCCACCCCTGTTAGTACATAATGAAAAACTAGACACACCAGTCAGTTGACGCTCTTTCAGTTAGCATTAGAATCCAACTCGAAATCATCATCGCTCACCATCCTTCGCAAGACTTCCACACAGAGCTGGTGGAGTACTTCCCGTTTATGCATAGTCCCCACTACCGTATCGATTCGAGGGGCCAGGCGGTGTAAAAGTTCCTTCTAAAGAGCTCAAAGGTCCAGTGATTATCCATAGTGAGACTGAGATAGTTCATCTCCGATCTCACCTGGGAACGTAACCAACGCGAACCAACCAGCTGGGTAGCTCCTTTACTCTACAGAGTTTATTTTTATTTCACACCAAAAAAATGTAATAATGGTCTAATCATCGAAAGTTTTATCTTCACGCACACATTTGTGGCTCACAACGATAAAAGATAGGGCAGTTTCCAAAAATATGAAATTAAAACCAATATTTATTGATAAAGCCTCCAAGTTACATAAATAGCGACATAGAACAATAATTTTTAATGGACATATTATAATTACATATAGGAAGTGTAAAGTAACAGCAGTTATATGTGCAAATGATGGGCAAAGGCCTACTGTGTACAGAGTCTATTAGGGCATATTCCACCACGCGGCTCCACTGCGGTTTGACGGACTTCACATAAATGTTCAAAATATTATTTATTTTTAGAAAATATACAGGTTTCCTCAAGATGTTTTCCTACACCACTAAAACACCACATAAGCCACCACATAAGTCACCACTTAAAATTCAACTTTTCATCGTATAATACTTCTGTACGTTGGTATGTCACTGAACTCCTCCTAAACGGCTGAACTGATTTTGAATTTTTTTTGTGTGTCTTCAGGTCGATTCGAGATTGGTTTAGATTCAACAATTGGTTTTTGTTTTTTTTTTTTTTTATTTATAAGTTGTCGGATTTAAGTGGTGTGTACGGGACAGCGTCTGTTGGGTCGCTAATGTTACATATTTTATTAATAGAGGGCGCCCGGACAATGAGCTGTCACGGCACCCTCTCTATCTTGCATACAGAAAAGAAATAAAAGTAAATTAGTCCGGAGTATCAAAATGTAGTTTGAACCCAAATTTTGGTCGTCGTGCAACTTCAACACTGAACGCGATAAAACTGTAAAAAGTATTTAGTAGTAGTAACTTCACCTAATTTTTACATTGAAAAATAAAAACGACTTGCCTTGAAAAGAATTTAAAAAATGCACATTGAGGATATAATATTATGGACCAATTCTAGATACATTTCTTAATTTGGTCTATTTTTTGCAAGCCAATAAAACAATACAAAATTGTTCAAAGGAGTGATGAATAAAAATTAGTAGGAATTAAAGACGTATAAAGTCATTTTTCAAAAAATCTGAAGTAAACAACTCGATACTCTTCAATTTCAGAGCATTTAAGTTCTATGAACACCTACAATTACTGGTTAAGCTCGAAGATTTAATTTATAATCGAACATAACACCAATCTGTTAAATTAAAATTGGCAAAATTGGCATGCAAATTGGCATTGAATTGCGATATCGCGTGCAGTATATTTTAGGATTCATAACAGCAGTAAATCTTACACCATGGAACAGCTCTTGGTGATATTGCTCTGTGGCCTAGCCGCGTCAAAGGTGAGGAGCTTGATAAAAAAAAACGTAATTTAAAATATTAGAAAAATCAGGCTTATGTCTGATTTCCCATAAGGCACAAGCTTTAAAAATACATTTACATCATTTTTCTAATGTGAAAAACAAAATTAGGTACATTTTCACCAGGTCAGTCATGATGATACTGTAGTAGCGATTAATTAATAATGACATTAACATGGCCAAGAAATGGAATGTGTGCTACATTTCTATCCTGGTCATGTTTTTTGAAAGTAATAATTACCTTGTTAGTTACAAAGCAGATTCAAATGTAAATCCAAACAGTATTTCTAATGTGTGTAATTCGCGTGAAATTGGCAGACATTTGATAATGCATACCTTAATCCTTTGGCAATCCGATTTTTCCTGTGGTTGGGAAAATCTGCTCCTTAGTATATCCCTGTGAAAAAGTAGATGGCAGAATTCAAACCTGGACGAGATGACACTCGATTCGTCTGTCTAGCAAAGGTGTCGTCCTCCGAGACAATGTTTGCGTTCCGTGTCTGTAGAATCAATGACTTATATTAGAGACTGAAGTTTGAAATTATTGCCACATCCGGCTTATTCTTCTGATGTATTACCTTTTACTTTAGACTGATCCGCTTCCAAACCTAAGAAAAACGCCTTGGTGGGCGAAAATTTTCGTCGAAGCTACGGTAAACCACTATTTTTCAAGACCTTGAAGAATCATTTAATTACACTGGCATGGAAACCTTAGAAAGCGAGAGTAATAAATTTAAAGGGCTTGGCATAAATACACGTTAATTTTTGGCTATGCCCGAGAACTGTTGAATAAATTCTCTTTTTTAGATTAATCGGTTCAGTACCTGATTCGTAATAAGAAAAAGAACTTAAATAAATAAATAGATTTTAGACTTCTAATAAATTGTTGAAACCTGTTACAGGCACCGCCACCATTAGATGGTTGTATGACCATCGAGGGAACCCGTGTCTGCTTAGTTGTAAGGATAATATTTCTAATATGATCTAAAGACCATAACTATAACTGATTTTTATACCCATAACTAACAAATACTGATTTGTAAAGTGAATTCAAAATTCACCCTATGATTTTGGAGTCGATCTTCAAAATATCGATCGAGAGGGCAATGTTATTGTTTATATGGAAGGAGCAACCTTAAATACAAAGTATACATACGCAATAGTATAAACATTGGTTATTGGCGATGGAAACGAAGATGAAAAGTAGAAATGAAAAATATTAAAAGTTATAAAATGTAGACTCTCAACTAAATCCATCAAATTAAAAGATCGCGGACGTAAAGCGCGTGCACCAAAACAAGTTCAAAATTATTATTCCATTGAATACTGAAATATTCCAACAATCATTATCGTCATCATTTCTTTTATTTTTCTTTTTTTTTTTACATTACCTTTACTTTAGAATAACATTATCCTGTGTTGTAAGGACGCTTTACAAACATACATTTTTCGCGGACAAACACCCAGATGCGAAACAACTATCTGTGGATCACACAACTTGTGTTGTTGTCCCGAGTGGGAATCGAACTCACGACCCCCGACACCAAAGTTAATACCTTGGCAACTGCGCCACGGAGTCATCAAATTTCAGCTTGTTCAGTCTACTGGTGAACATAGTGCTCGCCCACAGAGTGCCACGATCCTGAGCCACCCGCATCGACTTCCCGTACATTTGCACATTCCATCAATACGATTACACATATAATTTAAATCTGGTATAGTAATAGTTGAAACATAACCAAAGAATAGCCAGGCTTGAACAAACAGCCCTATTTAGTGCTCTTAGAAAAGGCCGCCTTTAAATAGAAATGTTCGCACTTTTGCGGTCCTGTCGGTCGACGAGGACTCGTTGCAAGTGTCATTGAGCGAAAAACAATTTACCATTACATCAACCATTTCCTCTATTTCTTTTCATTTGAAAAGACAGGTAAAAACAAATAAATTTATATATAAAAAAACTTACAAACATAGCAAATACATTTTAAAACCAGACCTTTCGGTGGAACTCCTACGGTTTTTTTAACATTTTTATGTATTTTGTCTGTAGACTAAACCTGACGGAACCCCACAATTCTCCTTGACAAAGGTAAGAACAATGCGAGTAAGGGATTTTTGGTTTGTTCTTGTTTCCTTTTACCAGCTCCGTAGCTTTCCTAACCTAATCAAAATCAACTATACCATGAACTGCGAAAGCGACTTTAATCCTTACTAATATTATAAACGCGAAAGTTTGTATGTATGGATGGATGTTTGTTACTCTTTCACGCAAATACTACTGAATGGATTTTACTGAAACTTTACAATAATATAGCTTATAGATCAGAATAAAACATAGGCTATAATTTATATACATATTTTTATGTATATCTGTCTGAATGTTACGCCTTCAGCCTATTCTACGCAAACGTAGTCGCGGGCAGCAGCTAGTTAACGATATTTCCAAGATAAGCGGAATAATTTTAAACGCTGCGCAATAGACATGCGTCATCTATGTTATTAAACATCATTGTTTTAATCAACCTCTTTTGTTTTTCCTTTTAAAAATATTTTATATATGTTTATTTTAAATATGACTTAATATAATAATAGGGAATCATGTAAGCTCTGAAACTACTATCACATGTGATGTTCCCCAGGGCAGTGTGCTGGGTCCAAGTCTTTTCGTTATTTGTGTTTTATGGTGAAACTTGGGAAAAGGTATTTAAGGTAGCGGAAAATGAGTTTATTAAAGTAAAACATAGCTCAGACAAAAATTGCTGACACTAAATTTAGAAAAAACAAAATTTCCTCCTTTTTCCATTCGACACGACAAAACTTTGGATATATATGATTACATAAGAGCTCACGATTGTTGTGGAAATGAAATCCGAACACGAAACACTGATTGCTCATGCCCTCGTATCGTGGTGGTTTTGAAATATTTAGGAGTTTTTCAATACCAACTTAAACCGGGCAATATAACATTAATATGCTATCAGGCCGAGTACGTAAGCGAATATGGGTATTTAAAAGACTATTTTAAAGACTTCTTTAAAATAGTCTTTTAAATACCCAAATACCCAATACCCAATAGTTTTAAGCGGGCTCAAAGATCTGTAGGTAATCATGAAGAAACTGAGGGATATGTATGGTCTTTTCTGCATCCCACGATTCAATTGTATTCTGACTGTCAATTACTCTCAGTGCGCAAGTTATTCATATTACATTGCATTCTCAGATATCACAGGTGCTTTGAATTCGATCCAAGACTCTATAAAACAAAAAGAAGATATCGAAATATTTGTCCTAGCGTAAAATGTAACACCGTTTTTTGCACCGCTTTTATTGCTTTCTGGCACCATATCTGTACAACGACCTTCACAAGAGACTCGATAAATATTTCATTTGGACCAATTTGCCTGTAAAAAATGTACAAAAATACTTACTACAATCGAATTACCAGCAGACAGAAGACTTACTAAGGTCAGCAAAATTACTTCAGCACGCACACTATACAAAACAATATCAATACACTTATATTATCCATATATAAAATTACACAATAATTTTTGTAACTTACTTAATTAAATGATCCTAGGATCATTTAATTAAGTAAGTTACTTAGTTAATCTAGATTAGCTAATCGAAAATCTGACCCCTCGTCACAGGTTGCTAACCTAGTGCAAGGTTCACTATGCAAACGTGAATAGGATTTGTAAATGTACATATTGTATTTAATACTGTAAAGTGATATTTTTTTCCCTACAATTTGTTTAAATAAATGTTTAAAATGAAAAAAAAAAAACTTGTTTAGACTTGTAAAAAATTATTGAAAACTTTTTTACAGATACCGCCACCGTTAGATGGTTGTATGACCATCGAGGGACATCGTGTCTGCTTAATTGTAAGGATAAAATTTCTAACAAGATCCTTGAAAGCTTGCTAAACTTATTTTATTAAAGAAGACCATAACTTTAACTGATTTATAATCACATAAATAACAGAAACACCGATTTATAAAGTTAATTATAATTCAAGCTAGGATCTGCTTCAAAATATCGATCGGTCAAGGCAATGTAATCGTTTATATGGAAGGAGCAGCCTCAAATACAAATTATACATATGGAATGGTATTAACATTTAATATTGGCGATAGAAACGAAGAAGGGGAAAAAATAATAAAGTTAAAAAAATAAAAAATCATATAACAAAAAAGTACAGACTCCAAAACACTCTATTAGCAATAAAAAGTTTTCAATAATACTAAATCTAATATAATGAAATCGTGAAAACCTCTAACAAAATTTAACAATTATTGAGCTTAAGACTAAGAAAAGGCCGCCTTAAAGTAGAAATTCATAATTTGTTGCGTTCCTGTCGGTGGATGAGATGAGACTTGCGTGTGTCATTGAGCGAACAATAATTTACCATTATATGAATCATCATCATCATCATCATTTCAGCCTGTTTGAGTCCACTGCTGAACATAGGCCTCCCCCACAGAATATGAATATTTGATGTGATAATGATAATTTAATATGATATATGAATATTTATTTATAAAAAAATCTTTCCAACATATTAAATACATCTTAAAACAATGCATTTCGGTGGAACTCTTACTGTTGCTTTTAGAAATTGTTAACAGTATGATGTATTTTGTGTGTAGAATAAGCCTGGTGGATCCACAGAATACTCCGTTACAAAAGAGGGGACAATACGAGTAAGTGTTTTGTTTTATTCTTGTTCCTTACGGAGCTGACCTCCGTAGATTTCTGTATGCTGCGTGTTGTGTGTTTGCAATATTGCAATCCTATTTGTTTTTTACCGTGCTAGAGTAAATCAGCACTTTAGTATGCCTTTTTTTTTAACGGGGGAGCAATCTTCAAAAGATACCTCCTGTCCACATAACCCTATCATCTTACATGACAGGGTTATGTGGGGTTCTTACCCACTAAAACCCTCGGTGGCCACCCTTTGTACGTTTGGAGGGACTTCAGGATCTCCCACGGAAGCCCTTTACAAAAAATAGATCAGAACTCAAACCTGAACAAGGCACCATTTAAGATAAACCTAGCTTCGCCTGGCTCGCAACGTCTATTACGGCAGAAGAAAACATCGACAAGGGTGTTGAAATCAACGTCGGATATGCCAATAGGAAATCTATAGACATACCAAAAAATGTATAAAGCTACGCATAATTAAATAAATCGTTTTAATATTAATGGAATTAGCACGTGCTTAGTAGTAAAAAAGGAACTTAAGTGAAAAAATATTATGTAGAGTTGCGATAAATCGTTGAAAAACCTGTTACAGGTACCGCCAGCGCCAGATGGTTGTATGTACATCGAGGGACACCGCGTCTGCTTAATTGTAAAGATAAAATTTCTAACACGACTTTTGGCAGCTCACCAAACTTATGTTATTAAAGAAGATCATAACTATAACTGATTTATGAAATACTGAACTGAATACTGACTTTATAAAGTGAATTCATGATTCACGCTAAGATCGGCTAATAAATATCGACCAAGGCAACAAATAATTGTTTATATGGAAACCTTAAAGGTAGTTCATAAATTACGTGAGGTGTTTGAGGGGAGGAGGGGGTCGAGTCAAATCTCATCTAATCTTACGTTGGAGAGAGGGGGGGTCTCGGCAAATATCAAGCAATTTTTTTTTTCTGATTGAAACAAAAAAATTATACTATTTAGGTCCATTTAATCCAGATTGTACATGCTTAAGATTTAATCTTGGGCGTAATCGCGTAATACGATTAAGATCATTCACTAATTCGTTCGAAAGAAAATAATTCCTTGGGACCGTGCATGATTCTACATGGATTGAATTAGAGTAGATATTATTTTTTTAATACACAGTAGTTACGATTTAAGTATTCTATTGTTAAATTTTTATTACACTTATAATTAAACTCTCAGCGATATTGATTACTAGTCTTAACTAGTCGTAAATAAAAACACGAAGCAATTTTTTTTTCTTTTTACAATAACAATCCAACGCGTTTACGTAAGAAACCCACATTTTGAAAAATCTCACGTGAGATTGGGGGATGGGGGAGGGGGTTGAATAAAATCTCATGACTTCTCACCAGGGACAGAAAATTAAAAAAAAACACCTCACGTAATTTATGGACGCCCCCAAATACAAATTATATATATGCAATGGAAAAAACCACGGTTATTGGCGATAGAAACGAAGAAGATAATAAACTAAACAAAAATACAAGTCATTAAATCTATACTCTCAACTAAATCCATAAAATTACAAGATCGTGGATCGTAAAGCGTATGCAAAAGAAATTCAAAACTATTATGCAATTGCATATCCAACAATCACCATCATCATCGATTTCAGCCTTTTCAGTCCACTCCTGAACATAGGCCTCACCCACAGAGTCCCACTAAGCACGATCCTGTGCGACCTGCATCCATAGACTTCCCAAAAATTTGCATAATTCATCAAAAATTCAATTATACACATATTTCAACTTTTTTTTTGGTGGATGAGGAACCGTCGTGGCGAGTGTCATTGAGCAAAGAATAATTTACCATTATATAACCATTTGCTCTGTTGCTATTTGTTTCAAAATATAGATAAAAATAATATATTTATTTGTAAAAAAAACTTATTAAATACCTCTTAAACTATGGCTTTTGGAATCTTACAGTCTGTTTTAGAACTAATAAATTTTTTTATGTATTTTATCTATAGGATAAACCTGGTGGATCCGCAAAATTCTCCGTGACAAAAGTAAGGACAATTCGAGTTGAATTTTTATTTAAATAAAAATGTTTTAAATATTTTAGGACACATTTTTACACAACATCACCAAACTAAACAAAGATTTGTGCTATGAGTACTAGATAACTGATAAACATACATAAACATAAAATTTGTAGAAAAAAGTACGAAAGTTGCTCGCCGCTGTGGGAATCGAAAAAAATTATATAAATGATACTTAATGTTTAATCTTAAGTGCAGATATTAGCACTATATAAAAATTATAAATAAAAAAAATATTAAACATTCTTTTCTTTTTGTAATAAATACATATTCATATCTAAACACCCAGATACTAGAAAAATAGTATGTCATCACACAATATTTAACCAGTGGTGGATATCGAACCCACACCCTCTGACGCATATCTCTAGACGGGACACTATTTAAGATAAGAAGAAAACATCGACAAGCATGTAGAAATCAACGTTCGGTATGCCGATAGGAAATATATTGGAAAAGGAACTTAAATGAAAAAAATATTATTTAGACTTGTAATAAATTGTTGGAAAACCTGTTACAGATACCGCCACCGTTAGATGGTTGTATGATGATCGAGGGACACCGCGTCTGCCTAATTGTAAGGATAAACTTTCTACCACGATCTTTGGCAGTTCGCCAAACTAATTTTATTAAAGAAGATATAACTATAACTGATTTATATACCCATAACTGACAAATCACTGGTTTATAAATTGAATTTATAATTGATGCTATATGGAATGAGCAGCCATAAATAAAAAGGATATAATATATGCAATTGTATTAGTTATTGACGATAGAAACTAAGAAGAAGAAATAATAAACTTAAAGAAAATTAAAGTCATAAATTCTAAATATTGAGCAAAGAATAATTTGTTTTTTTAAACATTTAGAATAACATTATCCTGTGTTGTAAGGACGTTTTACAAACATAAATTTCACGTGGATCAAAACACAGATGCGAAACTACTATCTGTAGGTCACACAAATAGTTGTCCCGTGTGGGAATCGAAACCACGACCCCCGACGCCGAAGCCAAAACCTTGGCAACTGCGCCCCGGAGTCTTCGTAATAATACATCATTTACCATTGGATGAACAATTTCCTTTGTTCCTATTCATTTCAACATGAAAATGCAGGTAATAATTTTTTTTTTTTAAATATAACTGTGGCACTCGGGGACTGCTGCGGAGAAGCTATTGCATAGCATTTTTTATCAACTTATGCAATTATAATTATTTATTTATTTTTTATTTATGCAGTATTTTTTTTAAGTTTATTAGTTTTTCTTTGATATTAATTCAAGTTACACTTTTTGAGTGTGGTGACCGATAAGAAAAAACATTTTTTTTCTTTTATTGAATAAATGAGAAATTAATGTCGTTTAAAATATTTTTATTGTCTTACAATACACGTAGGTTATTCAGGAATTTTTATTATTGAAACTATAGGTTTATGGTAACTGAAATAAGAAACCATAAGTTTGAGACTTGATATCCTCTAAATATCATATCATCATATGATAATATCATATCATCATATGATAATATAATATCATGTGATAATATCCATCCCTGCGAGTTTCGTACAGTCGTACCATATACATACACGTTAAGCGAACGTTAGGTTTTATTTTCGTTTATTGAATTTCATGATTCGGTCGCCGCGCTCAAAACCCGCGATAAAAGCTATGCTATTGCATAATATGTTGGAAAGATTTTAATCTTTCGGTAGTACTTTTATGGTTTTTATTTAGAACTAATTAACACTTTGATGTATTTTGTATGTAGAACAGACCTGATGGATCTGCAAAATACTCCATTACAAAAGAGGGGACAACGCGAGTAAGTCAAATCAAATATTTATTGTTCCATCAGCTCTGTAGGTTTCTGCCTGCTGCCAACTACTACTTTAGAATTACCTAATCAACTAGATAAAGCATGGACCGCCAAAGCGATTTTCAATATTGATATTTGCGTATACAACGGTGAATAATATACAATAGATCGGTTCAGAAAGTATATTGGTGATTCTCAACCGATCTCCTGGCCGTTAAGATGTGCTCCCACTTCATGATATCACTTACTTGCTTTTTGAATATGTTACAATTTTAAACTTTAACAATTGGAAACCTGCCTTGTTTTGTTCTATCTATATTATAAAGAGGAAAGATTTGATTGTTTGTATGTATTGAATAGGCTCCGAAACTACTGAACCGATTTGAAAAATTCTTTCATTGTTGGGAAGCTACATTACCCCTGCTTGATATAGGCTATATTATATTTTCAAAAAAAATAGGGATCCTTACTAAAACTTCAATAATGTAACCCAAAGTGTACAAAAATTACTTAAAATATTCTTTACATCGCGTGCGCTGCGAAAATTATTGATGATAGAATAAAATAATGTACTACGGCTTTGTAAAACACATCATTATTTACAAAAAGTGTCGCGACAGCATATGTCTAACTATTATGGTTATGCCACAATAAGTGTTATTTTATTTTAAAATTTTGATTGAAATGCCGCCGCTAGAAAAGGCTTTTTATTTGTATCTTGATATTAATCCTTATAAAAATAAATTACTTCATATTTAAGACTGTTTCAATATCTTTATATAACTTTTTGAATTATTAAATTCGGACATTCCATTCGAGAGATATCACAAGTTTAAAAATGTTAGTATATTGGAATTTAACTATCCAAACAGCTTAGTGACTGACTTAGTAGTTCTTATAATTTTTCAATCACATTTATACTGGTAATTCCTGTTCGATAGTTAGCATATTATTAAATACGAAGACAGTTTAATTTTTTTTATCATTTTAAAGATCTCATCTTTCTAGAAATAGTTTCCAGGCGAGGGCATCAAAAATACGTCGTAATGAGGAGAATCTTTACCGGAAACTGAAAATAGCCTTAAAAGTCGGAGAGAGTCAAGTAGTGTTTGCAGCGGCTTGAAGAGCATATTAATATAAATATACAAATTCACACTAGGGAGTCGAGTTCTGAGCGTTCCCAACGCCTACGAGATTAGAGGGAAAGACAACAAACGTCAACGATTAGAGATCGTAATCGACTTTTAGCTCACAGTAACAGATCAGCTTTAATGCATTAAGCTCAACAGTCTTTTGTCCAAATCGGAGCCATGAATAAGATCTGCTCTAAGTGTTCTGCCAAAAAATGGGTCGATGAACCAAATGGTATGTGCTGTGCTTCTGGAAAAATTAGTCTCCCCAATATCGAGGAGCCGCCACAGCCAATAAAAAATCTTTTGACAAATATCATTCACCATCTGGACATTTTTAACCAATATTCGAAAGTGCAATAGCTTCTTTCAAATGATTTCGTTTAGCGTGAACTTTTAAAATAGAGGGACAAGTATACAAGTTATCATTATCCTCCTGCCCCTATCCCACCTAGGTGGGATCGGCACAACTATATTTTTACAACCAGCCGCCTGCCTGACGTCAAGCCTCCTTGGGAAACAAAATCCCACAAAACCTAAATTCAAAAATCAAATTTCAACTCTGTAACTATCACGCTTCATGAGATACAGCCTGTTGACAGAGGGACAAACTTATTAGGGTTCCGTACCCAAAGGGTAAAACGGCACCCTATTACTACGACTCCGCTGTCCGTCTGTATGTCCGTATGTCTATCCAAATGTCACCAGGCCGTATCTCATGAACCGTGATAGTTAGAGTTGAAATTTTCACAAACGATGTATTTCGTTGTCATTTCTTGCCACTATAACAATGAATACTAAAAAACAAAAAAATTATAAATAAGAGGGGCTCCCATAAAACAGACATGATTTTTTTGCCGGTTTTATAGATAATGTTGACAGCAGTAGTGTTTTTGACAATATGTAAGAGTAATACTTCTATATTGAATAAAGATATTAAAACATGATTTTTTTTAATGTGATAAAGTGGCACACGATCAGGCGGTTCACGTGATGTGAAGTAATAACCGCCGCCCATGGACATTTGCAACACCTGTAGGATTGCAAATGAGTTGCCATCTTTAAATAAAGTGGGCCCCGGCAACCTCTTTCACCAGACGAAAAGTAGAAGTATAACACTTCTATTTTACCCCGGTCTTCTGTGAGGTCGGTACGGAACCATTCGTGTGCGAGTCCGACTCGCACTTGGCCGGTTTTTATTCAATACATTGTCGATATGATGGAAAAAGATATCAGAAAGATTGAATTACATATTATGTCGTAATAACCAGAGACTGAGGGCTGGTGAAACATTAATCTTAGAGATGCTTTAAATCAAGACATTGGCCCATCAAATATCGGTCAACGCGTAATCTGCAACGTCATATTCATTTACAGGTTCTCCTACGTATCTGCATTAAAAAACCAAAGATGCGATGATTTATGTCTAAAGTTATGGGAGGCCAGACTTATTTGTCACTTTTACGTGTAACCCCGAATGTCCCGTAATTAAAGCGGAACCATTATCTGGTCAGCGATCTTTCGATCTTCATAACGTAATTTCAAGGATATTTCATTAAAAGATTAAGAAATTCATAAAATTATTCACCACAGACGAAACATTCGGAAGGTTTTATGTGTGTGTATGATAATTTTAAATTTTTTTATTTTTTGTTAAACTTATTGTGACCCGTGCGAAGCCGGGGCGGGCCGCTAGTAACTAATACTAAACACAAGACAACAAGTATTTCTGTGTCCCGAAGATGCCTAACTGGCCACGCAATAGCTTCGGTTGTTGCACGAATCGTTATGGATAAGTACCACGATCGCACAGAAGACCGGCGTGAAGTAGAAGTTTTATACTTCTGAGTGGGGTAGCCGAGGCTCACTTTGTTATGTGGTGTTAATGCATGTGCAATAAAAAAAGTAAAGTAACAGCCTATACATGTCCCACTGCTGGGCAAAGGCCTCCTCTATACAGAGCGTATCAGGGCATAGTCCACCATGCGGCCCCACTGCGGATTGCCGGACTTCACATATCTTCGAAATATTTTTTTTTGTTATTATTTCGAAAATATGCAGGTTTCCTCACGATGTCTTCCTTCACCGCGGAGCACGTGATAAGTCAGCACTTAAAGTTAAAAACTTCATTGGTGCCGGCACCGGGGATCGAATTCAGGTTGCTCGAGTATATTGAACTAAAAGCGAGCGCCCGGACACTGAGCTATCACAGCTCTGCATCTGCAATGCTACTGCAAATATCCATAGGCAGCGGTTATCACTTAAAATCAAGTGAACCGCCAACTCGCTTGCCACCTTCTCACATAAAACAAAAAAAAAAGATAATTATACTGGATCTGGGTTCAGTTCTCAAGGTTTGACGTCAGGCAGGTGGCTGGTCGTAATTAACCTACACAAAACCACTTACACCATGATTCACATGCCGTGCCGAACCTACCTTGGTGGGAAGAGGGCTGGATGTTGATGATTTTCAGTTTTTTATAGAACTGTTAAACATTTTGAATATATTGTGTTTATAGATAAATTACCGTGGATCCAAAAAACTATTGCATAAGAAGGAAATGCAAGTAAGTATTTTAACATATTTTCATTTTTCAGTACTTTTATTGCAGTTCCACATGTTGCTGTAACAAGTCAAATCCTTATGTTCAGTTGAACATAAGGACCCTAAAGAACCTAATAAAGGTGGCGTAAGCAATTTTACGAACAGACAGGCTCAGAAAGACCGATATGACTGTCGGGATATGAAATTGCGTACTGAACATAGACAAAAGACTATTGTGACTAATTTGAAAATGACGAAATTAATGATATAATAAAAACGAAATTTTTATATTGATAACTGACACTAGCTGTGTGTACGAACGGCAAACAACAAAGCAAAACATCATAGTTCTTGGATTCAGATTTTCAGTACTGGTTTATTTTGATGGGCTAATTTAGCACCTTTTACTTCAGACTTTAATCCGTTTCCGACCTAAGAAAAACGCCTTGGCTGCCGAAAATTTTCATCAAACCAAGGGATTGAAGCAACCGTATACCACTTTTTTCAAGACCTTGTAGAATCAAATACCAATACTGATATGGAAACCTTAGAAAGCAGGTGTAAGAAATTTAAAGAGCTAGGCATAAATATATTTCATTTTTTTTATTACGCCCGGGAACTTTTGAATAAATCCACATTTTTAGATTATTCGATTTAGTCAGTGCTTAGTAATAAGAAAAAGAACTTAAATGAAAAAAAATATTATTTAGACTTGTATCTTCCATTTGTAATAAGAAAAGGTACTTAAATGAAAAACAAATCTTGTTCAGACCTGTAATAAATTGTTGAAAAACCTGTTACAGGTACCGTCACCGTTAGATGGTTGTATGAACATCGAGGGATCCCGTGTCTGCATAGTTGTAAGGATAAAATCTCTAACACGATCTTCGGCAGTTCGCCAAAATTATTTTATTAAAGAGGACCACAACTGTTCTTTATGCCCATAACTAACAAAACACTGGCTGACAAACTGAATCCATAATTCACGCTACGATCGGCTTCAAAAGATCGATCGAGAAGGCAATAAAATAATTGTTTATATGGAAGGAGCAGTCGGAGCGAAAGGAGCCTTAAGTACAAAGTGTACAGTTTCAATGGTATAAACATCGGTTATTGGTGATAGAAACGAAGAAGCTAAAAAAATAATGAAGCTAAAAAAATTAAAGACATAAAATCTTAGACAATGAATAATTTACAATTAGATAAACCATTCCGTCTGTTGCTATTCACTTGAAAATATGGGTAACAACACATAGATTTATTTGTAAAAAAAACTTTGCAACATATTAAATATATCTTGAAACAAGGCCTTTCCGTGGAACACTTACGGCTTATTTTAGAACTTACTAACATTTTGATGTATTTTATGTGTAGAATAAACCTGATGGATCCACAGAATACTCCATTGCAAAAGCAGGGGAAGTAAGTGTTTTGTTCTGTTCTTGTTTCTTATATCCGCTCCGTTTTAGGTTTGTGTATGCTGCCAAATACTTCTTTAAAATTATCTTATCAACTATACAATCGAACGGGAAAGCGATTTTCATTGGTAACAATTGAATAAATATCGGGGAGACCAGTTTATAAAGCATATTGGTGATTCTCAACCGATCTCCGAATTATTAAAATGTGATTATGATGGTATCGCTTACTTGGCGTTTTAATAAACTAACACTATTAATAAACCTCTTTTGGTTTTCCTCTGAAAGCTTTTAAGTATGATGTTTACTTTAACCTAATAAAATATAATTAAGACACAAAAACTTCGATCCTTCTAGTTCACAAAAATTGAATCGGCACTTTCGGCCTTCATCAGACATAAAAATGATACTATAAAAAAGTGACATTTGTTTAGATAGTTTTTAATTAATAGCACATATCAGGACGTCTAACTACGAATTTAAATAATGATTTAAATAATGATTGACTACGAATTTAAATTTTATATTATATTCAAAACGTCGGGCTTTAAACTTTAAAATAAACGCGATAAAATTGGATTAATATAAATGAAAAACTTTTATCGTGTAAGATGCTCTATGGTTAACGTTTTTTTTTTTTTGTATAAGGATTTTCCCAAATAAGCGCGAGCAACATTGCAGTGTTTAGATCAAGATGTATTCTCAATAATGAAATAAGTGCTTAGCTTTCTCTGTTAAAGATGTGTAAAGTATAAAGGTGTCTGATAGGTTAAATTCCTTACCCACTTGATCGGTGTAATTACGTACTAAATGAAACTTAAAAAAAATTATAAGTGTATTAAACACAAGCAGATTAATATTCACAATTGAGATTCTATGAATTTATATTTCATTGAATTTAAATGTGGATGAAAATTGTTAATAGAAGAAAACATCGTCGCCATAAATAAAGAAAACAATCATACCCGATACACTTAGTTATACGCCTTAATTACTTTTAAAAGATGAAAACAAATATAAAACATATTAACATTTGCAGAAAAAAAATAAATGAAAGTTCCTGGTCCATTTTTTCCTTCATATTCTAATATGTTTCATTTTAAGTGCAGAGATGTAAAAATAGCTCATATCTCTTTTTTATTTTAAAAAATAAGGTAAACGAGCAAGGTCACCTGATGGTTAGCGATCATCGCCACCCCTGGACGAAATAAAAGTAAAAAGATATTTGAAATTGTTTGTGTGCTGTAAAGAACATAATGATATGTGAATGCGCCAAACATTACTTAAAATGTGAAAAATCCATATACAAAAATATATTGAGATTTTCGTCGGTATGGCAATCAGCCATTTAGCTTAGTGGTTAGTGCCTGGGCTGCGATGCCAGAAGACGTGGGTTCCATTTCCGTAGCGTCGAAAATCTTTTGTTCATTTTTTTCTACAAATTTTAATGATGCATCTTAATTAAAGAGATCATCACCTTCATCAATACCATCATCATCATTTCAGCCTAATTGAGGCCACTGCTGAACATACCCTTATCCAACTAAGGTTGCCCTTATCCAATCTTAGTCGGGTAAGAGCAGGATGTTAATGATTATTCTTCGATTTTTTGTAGAACCGTTAAATATTATGAATATATTCTGCTTATAGATACGTCATCGTGCGTCCAAGAAACACACAATTTCAAAATTGGAAAAGAAGGGCATGCAAGTAAGTGTTTTATGATGTTTACATATTTTTAGTACTTTTATATCAGCTATATTGCTGTAAAAGTCAAATCCTTACGTTCAAGTATATAATAAAGATTGCGTAAGCAATTTTACGAACAGACAGGCTCAGAAAGACCAACATGGCTGTCGGAATATACCAGCCTGATGAAATTGCGTACTAAACATATACAAAAGAGTAGTGAGGCTAATTTGAAAATGGCGATATTAATGAAAAACTTAAAACGAAATTTTTAAGTCGCCTTTAAATGTTTAAAAATTAAAACAATGTACAAATTAAAAATAAAAATTAAAACAAATTACATATTAGTAGACCCTTGAAATTTAGGGTTGCATTTTTTAGAGGACGCAATTTTATTTTTTAGATATCAGTTTTATTAAGGGTTGCAATCCCACAAACTTGGATTTAACCTAAAACTGACACCCCGCCCCCCCCCCGCCCCTTGATATCTAAAAAATAAAATTGTGTCCTCTGACAAATGCAGGCAAAGATTAAAAAAATTCAACATTTCACATATGTAAGTAACATTTTGTATGAAATAAGATAGTTATTTTTTTTTTCAAACTTTTTTATTTCTGTTATTCATAGTAATCATCCATGCAATAGATGTATGTTTTGCCAACGCAATGGTAGTTTGTTGGTGGCCTTCTTGTAAAAAATCAGCTCTCTTGGTAATTGATTTTTTTTCCGCTGAAAACATGTCCGAATTATGAAAAAAGTTATAGCCGGTAGGTGCAAGGTCAGGTGAGTATGGCGGATGAGAGAGGGCTTCCAACCAGAACTCTTGCAGCTTGGAGACTGTCCGTTGTGCAGTACGGGGTTGCGCGTTGTCATGAAGGAGCAGCGGGGACGATTGATTGACGAAAGCTGGTTGCGCATGTTCGAGATTCTCCATCATTGCCTTCAGTTCTTCACAGTACACATCTGCAGTATTGCTCATGCCGATTCGTAGAAAGCTGTTATGAATCACACCGACACTAGACCATTAAACATCGAAAATAATAATATTTTATATTGCCCTCTATCTATATGATTATAGGCACCATCTGGACACAAAAAAAACACTATTACAAAAGTGCATAAGAAGAAAATGCAAGTAAGTGTTTTACGATATTTTTACTAGGTTTTGACTGATATTATTAATCCTTTTCCAACCATAAATTCATGTTCTTGTAAAAACTTAAAAACTCTAGTATGAGTATGACTGACTAGCAATTATCACAAAGCAGATCTCTGTGATAATTGTTAACCAAATCTCTCTGTAGATAGAATATTGAAACCGACCGTTAGGTGATAACATTTTATGTTTTTAAATTCATTTTTCCATAATTATGAAATGTCAAATTTTGGACAATCAGCCCATTTTTTTAATCCGTAATTTATAATTAATTAATTAATATAATATAGTAGTTTCAGTTGTTGAATTTTAGCTACAGTTTATTTTTCTTCGGATTTTTTTTTATCCTCCCTTGCATTATTCTGTTATTACATGCTATCGCCTGCATAGTAAGGGCCTTAAAACACTTCGCAGCTTTAGTGTATTGTTTTCAATTATTCAGATTACTTCATAACCAGTGTTATGACTAATATTTAACCCCAAAATACAGTTTTTTTAAGGTTCCGTGCCCATAAGGTAAAACGGGACCTTATTGCTAAGACTTCGATGCCTTTCTGTTTAATTTTTACAGATGATGTATTTCTGTTGCCGCTGTAACAACAAATATGAAAAAACATATTTAACTGGGGCTCCCATACCACAGACGTGATTGTTTGCCATTTTCATGAATATTTGCACAGAACCCTTCATGCGCGAGTCCGACTCACACTTGTCCAGTTTTTTAATAAACGGCCCCAGTTACCTCGCTCACCAGTCGAAACAAAAGTTTAACACTTGGCTGGTAACGCGCTGATCTTTTGTGACGTCGTGATAGTTTCACGGACATTCGTGCAACAGTGAAGACTGTTGCGTGCCCGTACAACTGTCAGTGGCTAGAGCATCTGAACTTGTAATCCAACTCGCTTAAGTTCCAATCTTGGTAGCGGAAAAATTTGGACAGTTTTTAAGATTAATAAGATTAGTATTAATTCAAGTCCATTTTATATTAACGAAAAACAAAACCGACTTCAAATATCTCGCTCTGTATTCATTTTATAATTGATGATAGGAGTTCCCCAAGTATCTCCGGAGCCCAAGATCAAATACCAATGAGATTATTATTATTTATGTTAATTATTATGGGAAGCACCAGCTTTCAAATAAAAAAAGAATCATCAAAATTGGTTCACTCACTATAAAGTTCTGAGGTAACAAAAATAAAAAAATACAGTCGAATTGAGAACGTCCTCCTTTTTTGAAGTCGTTTGAAAATAAATATACCGATACAGTCCTCTATTTATGCTTAAAGGGAAAACCACGTGGACTCCATAAAAACACTATTAGAAAATTGCACGAGAAGAGAATGCAAGTAAGTGTTATATGATATTTGTACTTTATTTTGACTGATATTATTAACTTTTTTCTTAAAAAGATAGTTTCTTTAAAAAGATAATAATCGCCTAAGTTAATGATCGAATAACCAATTTTTCGAACTGGCAGGCTTAGAAAGACATGTATAAGAGTCGAGTTATGCTTTTATATATGCCTGATGAAATTGCGTACCGGCCACCTATATACAAAATAAATGAGACTAATTTAAAAATGACGAAATCAGTGACGTTTTCAAGTTACCTTAACGTCACCTCGCAAACTAGACGAACGGTAGTTTGAGCGGGGGATTGTCCTATTGACGAATTGGTTTTCCAAACCTCGGTTTCCTCAGTAAATCATCTTATTGTTTGTTATGTATACGTATGTTTACACGTTATCAATTATCCTGTAATGAGATTCGCTTTTTTATTAATTTCTCTTATTTTAAAATTTAATACGGTGACAGACAAGTTATTGTAAACTTATTAAAACTAAGCCCACTATTGTTTTTCCTTTGGCAGCCTGTAAGTATGATCTAGACTTTATTACCAACGTTTAAAGCAAAGTTTTTCAATAATATTCTCGGAACTCTATATTGCTCAAAAATTATAAATAAGAATCACTCCACAAATGAATACAGTAAGTGATTATCGATTCGCACAACGCGCCAAACTCTATTAATCAGGTTATTTCTCAACCATTTTTATGGTTAATCTTTAAAAAAATATATATTTTTTAAATACAGTATTTTTATAATAGCTGTGACAGGAAAACTGTGTCAAATGTTTCGGATAAATCAAAAACACGTCTGCGCAGTTTAGTTCATTATCCAAATATAAATATCAAATAAATATCCTCCTGCGGAAAAAGACAGAGACAATAGTGTGTTGATGTTTATGAAATAAAGTTAACAAGTTTAATGAGTGGATATGTCACTAACTCGTCTACAATTTTCGTAAATATGATTAATACCTGGGCATGCTTTACAATTTAAATATCGTAAAATCCGTAAAACAGCTTGCAAAAATGATTTAATTTGTATTTATTTTCCTACAGGTGTCCCTAGTAAGTAGTAATTAAGAAGTATTATAAGTTTGTTTAATGTATTGACAATCGAAGTAACGGATTTGTAGACCTTTAGCATCATTTAATAATATGCTTGGTTTTGTTTCTACAGCCTGTAAGTATTAATCAATACAACTTTAAATCGGTCGAAAGAAAAGATAAGCGATCCTTAATAGCACTTTCCTTCTCACCGATAGGTAGGTTAGAGGTATTGTTTACCTTTATCATCTTGGAGGACAACACACATCAACATGCTTATTCGTTGTTGCTCATCCTTTCTTTTCTTCTTTCTTTCTTTCTTCCTTTGTTTTATAAAAACCACTCTTAACCACACCTGTGGTAGGGTTTCCTTTCCCACGCAACAGTCTCTTCTGCTGCAGGAATGGGCAGGTCCGTCCGCGTAAGTACCACGAACTCACAGAAGACCGGCGTGAAGTGGAAGAGTTACACTTCTGCGTTTCGTCTGGTTAGTGATGTAGCCGGGGCCCACCTTATTAAAAGCTAGAACCGCGTCTGCAAGCCTACGGGTGTTGCAAATGTCAATGGGCGGCGGTTATCACTTAACATCAGATGTATCGCCAGCCCGATTGCTACCTTCTCCCAATTAAACCTAACAACTGCCAGCAACTGATGCCTTGTCATCCGCACCTTTGTCTGGTAACCCGGATGTGGTCATAGAGATGACAAAATCTCTCTTCAGAATCGCAGTGTTGTAGCATAAGTGTATATAGAGTATAAAATGAGAGTTAGGTATCAAGAAAAGAATGAGCTGTGGACGGCGAAATTAGTAATAAATATTCGGTCTTCAGCCATGAATACTCCTCGCTTGGAAATTGCAATTTCAAGCATAACTCGACAATGGAAACAAATTCTACAAAAACGTGGTACTTACTTAATATTGTTTCACCCTGAATAAGAAGAGTTTGCCCGGCTGCGAGCTAAAACATTAGATATTTAGAAGTTTTCTACTATAGATAAGTGAAAAATATCTTACTACGATGTCAGCTAAACCAGTATAATTGCAGGTTACCGTTATAGTCATGAAATATCAACTATATTCCTAATGTTGCTAACTGAAAGTTATTCTTTTCCTTACACAGCATGTAAGTAAACTTTAATATAATAAGTAATATAAACCTTTTTTAAACGGTTTTAGCTTGACCTGTTTGGGTCAAATCTAGTAATTGAAATTTGATCCCCTTCCTGTTGACGGATTGACCTGAAATTTGGTACGCACCTTTAGTTCTGATGACAATGCAATTTAATACATTCGATATCATTGTAAATCCAAGATGGCCGCCGCTACAAAATAATTACATATTTTATCACTACTTCCTCAATATGGGTATCAAATGAAAGGGCTTGATTAACAGAATAGAGTTATCTATGAAAATTAAATGAAAATCCAATATGACCGCCAACAAAATGGTGGGTTTATTTTTATTTCCCGCCCTCTCGGCGACAAGGACGGGTAACAACTGCTTTACTTGTTTTGAATAAGATTTTCTACTCTTACCATACGTAAAATAAAACTTATAAAAACTTTCAAATTTTCAAATTTCTGTCCGGACTAAAATCTAAATTATGGCCTGGTCAGTCTGTAAAACAATATCAATTGATATTTAACATATTGTCTTTATTTTACTGTCGTGCAGTACCCATGGGTAAGTTTTACATAAAATCTATTGTAATAGTTTATAATATATCAACGGTTAATCAAAAAATTCGTAGAGAATTTGCTAAATTACTTTAATAAATAAATTACAACTAGTTTTTCTGTGATGAATATACATACATAAACGCAGTTGATAATACGTAAATTAATATTTTTTTGCCCTTTAGGTGACGTGGGTGAGTAATAGTTAAAATACTGTTAGCGAAGTGTATCTTGTATCATCTGATGCTAACGGAGAGTTTCAGTTTCGAGAATATTAAAGCTTCATCAACGCAGAACCGGTGGGCTAGCCAGAACCGATGGGTTTGAGGCTCTCCGCAGTGGTTAGGGCCGCGCATCTGCTCATGCATGCGTTAGCTAAGGAGTGTCGCCTACGGGCTATCGAGGTTCGGTGCGGACAGCGACCCCGATAGCCGTTGACTGTGTTTGTTTGTTAACGAAGTAAAAAATGTTCAGTAGTATGTGTTTACATATCATAATAGAGAAAGGTATCAAGAAGATTAACCGTGAGTGATTTCCGAATTTAGTTACTTTACTCCTTACCCTAATTTCGCCGAAGTGACGCCGGACTAACAGACTTTAAGATATGATTGAATAGATTTCACTCTGTTCGGGAAGAGAGAATTGTCATAGCACAAGTATTTTACACGTAGCCACAAACCTAAGTAAAAACAGTTTTGATTTTGATTTTGTGTAAGGATAAAATATTTGCGGATTTCTTCGTGTACAATTTTAATTTTAATTCCTATTATTTAAAATACTTCACACCTTTCATTAAACAATTTAGTTACTTTAATATATTCGATGTTCACAATATTGAATCTAACTAAATTACATATTATCTAAATAACTAAGTGGAGCCAAGGAAGCTAGCTGCATTTCCACGCCGAACAGTTATGCTTAATCTTTGAGCGAGGAAAGAACCAGCCATCTTGTCACCAGCCGAGGCGATTAGTCTAGGACAAAAATTTCGATGTATTTATTACTCAACAATTTTTAAGGTACACTAAAAACGAAATAATATATTTTTTTTTGTACAGCAATACGTGCGTACAAATGAAAATAGATCGAGGGTAAGTTTAATTTATCCTGTGGGCCTAGAGTAAAGTAAATTAAAAACTATAGTAAAAAAAACGCACGGCACGAAATTTAACCCTTTCTACTTATAATATACTATGTACTTTGTATTTTCGAGTACTTTGAAGTGAATATACAACCTGAAAAATAGTAATAAAAATTAGTGATAGTAAAAATGGTAATAAATTTAAAATTGTAAAAGATGCTCACGAAAACGTTTTTCTTGGTCTTTGATCATCATCAACATCGTTTATTTTCAGCCTGTTTGAGTCCACTGCTGAATATGGGTCTCCCCCCATAGACTGCGACGAAGTACGATGAGCCACCTGCATCCATCAACTTCCCGCACATTTGCACAGGTAGTCACTCCATCTAGTGGGGGTCGTCCTACACTGCGATGGCCAGTACGAGGCTGCCACTCGAGAACCTTCCTTTCCCAAATTGCTCTTCTCGAGTGGCAGCCTTCCTTTCCCAAATTGCATGATACACACCTTTGATGTTAATCACAATAATTGTAATTGTACTCAATATAAAAACGAACTAAAAATATTTATAAAACTACTTTAGCATTTCATGATGCTTTAATTCGTTAATCGCTTAGCAAACAAACATTGAATTAAAAGTAGTGCAATCATTACAAAGGTTTTTTTTAAATTATATCTGTTTATTTTTCTACAGTTACCATGGGTTGTAAGTAACTTTTCAATTGAAAAATTGAATTCAATCTGAAAAATATTACTTAATCTTGTCCAACGAATACACAGAATTTTCGTTAAATGTAATAAATATAAAAAATCGTTTCCTACTCGATACATCATATATATATATATATATATATATATATATATATATATTATATGGTCGAATTGAAAAACCTCCTCCTTTTGTAGTCGGTTAAAAAGACGATTCTCTTTTATCTTATGTATTTACCTTATTAATCCAATGATGTACGATCAACGATCATTAATGTATTTATTATTTTATCTGTATAATAATTTAAAGTATTATGATAAAAATCATTTTTTTTTTTTTTTAAATAAGTTCGAGCAACCTGAAAGGCAGGATGAGGTTAGTTTAATTTGAACAAGCCTTTTTTAGTGTTACGAATAAATTATAACTATATTAAATAGGAGTGACGACCTGTTCGGGAAGTCGATGGATGCAGGTGGCTCAGGATCGTACTTCTTGGCAGTCTGTGGGGGTCGCCTATGTTCAGTGGTGGACTCTAACAGGCTAAAATGATACTGATGATGATATTAAATACATATATAAAACTAGAGTGCAGCAAACAAATGATAAAATTGTAACTTTACTAAACAGAAGTCGATGTCAAAACTATTTCAAACATTTTAGTTCCCTTAAATGGAATTCACTCTTAACTTCACTCTTGTCCTTTATGAACGAATTGAAGGTCGCAATTCGTTCATAAAGGACAATGGCGAACTCCCATACAAATTTTTGGTGAACAAATTTTTTTGCGTCTTAAGACTTAAAATATTTAAAAATATAGAATTTAATGTTCTGAATATATCATACAGCTACTTGCTATATATAACATACTTGCTATTAAAGGAAGTGTGGAATTAAAGATATTACATACATTACATCTCTAATATTCTATTAAAATCAATCACACTAAACCGCAGTCTTATGCATTACTTCAAGTGTAGCATTAGTTTCTGAATGGATTTTTCTCTATAGTTATTGATTAACAGATTGAGAATAGATTATTGATTAGTGATATACCATTTTCAAGCCACTACGAAGGTTATCAATTCACAATTAGACAGTTTCAGAAAAGGCCTGTCACAGCAAGGCATATAGATATTGAATCAAGTAGTAAATTATATCTCAACCTAGAAAAATAATGAATACTTCGGCATGGCAATAAGCCATTAAGACGTAAGGTTTCTTTTTAGTATCATCATCATTATATCTATCATTATATTCAAGATAATCTTTTATCACATTATGGAACTTCGTAAACTTGATATATAGCTGCCACTCTTCATCTCTGGGATCATCTGGGATCTGTAAGTGTATTATTACTTACAGCTCTCGGACCACGAAGGCTGTTGTCTCCAAAGCTCTAATTTCTGAGAACTTAGCCATATTATCCTATCCCTGATTTTGTATACAGCGCAGCATCAAAGTGTTTCGATGTCTACAATTGGTATAACAGAGATACTGATAATTAATTATTGTCTTACTATCAATAATAATTGTATTTTAACAAACTTAACGTTGTTAAATTGTTTCCAGTTTGAGAACGTAAAGTACCTTCGGCTTGAAACAGACGTAAGTTAATCAACTCTCAGTACTGGTTCTATCTAGGCAGTGTATTTGCTGCAGATTTTAAAGCTATTGCACTCTTAGAATATTTTACAGCAATCGTACGGAGTTCTGTTCTTTTACGAAAAGACACGCTCGTCGGCGGAAGTAACTACCGCGGCCTAACAGACGACCGAAGTAAAGTGGAACTGTATTTTAGCATTTCGTCTAGCGTGTCGGGTTACAGAACACACTCTTTTAAAGTTAAACTAAACCAACTGTGGAAGACCCACGGAACTGTGTTCACTGTTGCACAAATGGGCAGGTCCGTCCGAGTGAGTACCACGACCTCACAGAAGACCGGCGTAATGTAGAAGAGACTTCTGCGTTTAGCCTGGTGAGTGAGGTAGCCGGGCCCACTTTATTATAGAATCTGCACACAACCTGATGTTGCAGATATCCATTAAATTTACACTCCCAATGATAAAAGGAGCCATGTCTTTGTGAAGAATCTCAATTGTAGTAGAAGATAAAGGGGAAGTTTTCACGATTCCCAACAATTTGTTTTTCCGCAGGAATACATACTCAGCTTCAGGGAGGGTGATTTATGAAGTTTGTAATGTTTTCACAAACTTAAATAAACGTATAATCGTACAATTGGCTTTTCTTTTTAATTCCCGCTTCTCACTTTCCGCCTCCTTCTCGCGTCTCTATCTACCTCTGATAGGTGCTAGTGGATAATTGAGTTAAAGAAGAGAGTTAGGAAAAGAATGTGGGTACTCGTATTTACGTTCTCGTATGTTCCTTATTTTTCTTTCGGCAAAAGAACGTGAAATTGTTTAACGATAAATTTGTAAACTCTTAGAAAAGAATAATTTCTTAAATTTCAATCTACCTCTGATGGAAGCTAGTCAATATAGAAATTAAGAAGAGAAACAGAAAGAAAATACACAATTACTTTTTACTTCACTTCATCGATTTATTCAATGATACAAAATATAATCATATTAGTTGATAATACGATATTATAACTTACTTATCGCATTTGTAAACAGTAAATTGGAAATTTGTTACACAGCGAAAGCGACAAATTGCTTCTCACGACCCCCGGCCCAATGACCACTAACATGAAATCATTTAAGCATTGTCGAAAAGATATCGCTTAATATTTCCCGTGGCCAACATACCACACATTCCAGTGGCACGAGGTGAAACCCAGCAGAACGTGAGCCGGAATTCACCAATATACATTTACTTAATTTTTTGGTATAGTTATAATCTCCCACGATCTCTCTCCACGCCACGGGTTGACTGGGAGAGAACGCCCCAAATGGCATTAAGTCCGCCCTTTGTAATCCTTTTTTTTGCAATAAAGCATAAATAAATAAATAAATAAAATAATTCATTCTAGATCTAGCATCTGTTTGATTCACTACCGCATTAGTTGTAATAATTGATCCGTAATTTTTATGTTATAATAAAGTACTTTAAATTAATCTTTATTTATATCGTTCGGCTGCAGCTAACGTAGACGTGTTAAGTGATCTTAAATCAAAACAATTCTTTTAACGTAAAAACGAATCGCATTTCCTCAATTTTTCCCGACTTCGCGTCGCAATTGAGGACAGTGTGTTTATCAGCCTATGTAATAAGTTCCTTGGAAGAGCTCTAGAGACCAAATGCACGGGCCGATATTGAAGAAAATTCTAACTTCAATCGAACTGTCTTAATTTTGCTAGTGACACTAAAGGCTAGTAAACAAAATTCAATATACATAAATCAGACGCAATATTGTGAAAAAATTTTTACTGCGAATATATGTTATATGCAAAAGGTATATTGACATTTTAAAAAATGATGTGTTTCTGTTGCCGCTATAACAACAAATACAAAAAAAAATAAGTTGGGCTCCAACACAACAGGCATTGGCTCGGCCACTTGGAGAGGATGGGGGAGGATCGTGCCGTCAAGAGAGCATATATGGGGCAACCAAAAGGGACGCAGCCTGTTGGTCGCCCCATATATCGCTGGAAAGATGAAGTCCAAAAGATCTGAGAGCTCTCCAATCAGACAATTGGCAGAAACAGCCCAGAACAGAGAGCAGTGGCGTCTTTTCGTGTCGGAGACCAAGATCCTCTTGGGTCGCTGAGCCAGCCAAGGAAGGAAAGGAGGACAACAGACATTGTATTTTTCCGTTTATATAAATAATGTTACGGAACCCCTCGTGTGCTAGTCCGACTCGCACTTGGCCGGATTTTGAAGGTTGTCAACGCTTCTGCAAGGTCTCAGGTTTCGTAGAGTTCTACAGACAACTTCCGCCATTTGAAAAAAATTATGCACGTCTGATTAGAACCCCACCGAACACTAGTCTAGATTTCGAGTTCCATCAGTTGGTGGTACATTAGAATATCTTTTGCTCAGGTAAAGTCACGCAGCCGGTCATGTCATTACATGTATTATACTAATCTGGGGAAGCAAAGCGAGGAAACGAACTGGGATAGGAAAAAATCCCGATAAAATACCAATACTTTGAAATTTCTGATAAGTAACATACTAAACGTTTTATACGTCTTACCTATGCTTCAGACATGAATATAAACAATATGCCAATCAAGAGGCATCGTTAAAACTGTAATAAAAACAAACGTTTTATATCGATATCGATCGAAATGAACCGGAGAACTGTTTAATACTGGCATTATATAAACGGGTCTCGGCTTTGAAACGTTTAGTATCAATTACTTTTATCCAGCAGTAACTTGTTGAAGTACATTCAAGATGAAGACAATTTTCATACTCTGCGCCTTACTTCCACTTATGCGAGGGGTTGAGGTAACATTTTTCTTTTAAATTTTTTTTTTAATTTGAAAGGTTGCTAAGCGAGCAGGTGGTTCACCTGATGTTAAGTGAATACTACCGCCCATGGACATCTGCTACACCCGAGGGTTTGCAGATGCGTTGACAACCTTTTGAAAATCGGGCTCACTCACCAGACGAAACGCGGAAATATTATACTTCTACTTTACGCTGGTCTTCTGTGAGGTCGTGGTACTTACCCGGATGAGCCTGCCCATTCGTGCAACAGCCGAGGCTGCTGTGTGGCCCTACCACCGTCAATTAAAATGATTCTTTTAATAAACTAATATCAGTGGCCTTACCTTAAAATTTAAAAAAAGGAACCCTTACAGGATCACTCTCTTGTCCGTCTGTCTGTCCGTGTCACCACCTAGTTTCTCAGGAACGGGTGGTAGCTAGTTGAGATTTATCCCAACGAGGAGAGGAGAGGTTTATAGTCCCTATTCGTATGTAAGAACAAAGTAGCGGTATGTAGGAAGAAATATTTTTAATAAGCATTAATTTTTAGGGTTCCGTACCCATAGGGGAAAACAGGACACTATTACTAGGACTCCGCTGTTTGTCTGTCTGTCTGTCTGTCTGTCTGTCTGACAGTTTTCACAGATGGTTTTTCTGTTGCCGCTATAAAAACGGAATAAAATATTTAATGGGTCTCCCATATAACAGTCATGATTTTTTGTCATTTTTATAAATAATGGTACGGAACGCTCCGTGCTTGAGTCCGACTCGCACCTGGCCGGTTTTTTTCTATTCTCTGCACTTAAGATTAGGGATTTGTAGAAAAAAAATGGAAGAAAAAAAATTTTTCGCATGCTGATGTCTGTGGCAGACCCATGTTCAGCAGTGGACTCAAACAGACTAAAGATGATCTGCTATCTCTTTCCGTATCATACGTTCTATATCATCTGTCACATTCACTTATTAAACGGTTTTATTTAGCTCGACCCGTACGGAATTTATTTGTTTATTTATTTGGGTCAACATTAGAAATTGAAATTTAAGCACCTTCCCGTTTGTCAGATTGATCTGAAATTTGGTACACACATTTAATTTAGATGACAATACAATATTGTAGTTTTCAGTGCACAAAATAAAATAAAACCGTTTAACTTAAAAGTTTTTAAACGGTTTTATTTAGGTCACATAATGAAGCGGAACAATTTCTTATCGCAGTATGGACATGCGTAATCCATATTAAACATCATTGGGAAAGTTGCAGAAGGGGAATCTTTTGTTCAAAAGTAGACTTAAACAGGCTGAAATTATGATGATTGAAACTTGAACGATGAATATTATATTTTTGTAATCTTAAAATTGGAATAAAATATCAACCAATATAATTTTGCAGCTGGAAGACGCCTTGGAAGGGTTAAAGGTGAAACATAAAATTTTCATTTTGATAAAATACGCCATATTGACTTTTTGATTTTACGCGAATGTTATACATATTGAATGAGATTAATTTACGGATTTTATCGTGTTTTTATTTTGATTTTTAATTCTCGCCGTATCGAACCCCTTCCAGCATTTATCGTCACGGGACAGACTAAGAAACGTCGGGAATTTCAAATCAAAATAAAAACGCGATAAAATCCGTAAGTTAGTTTCATGTAATATCATCGTAGTTACTTATTGAAAGAAGTTTCGTTATCGTTGTAAAACGATATTCGAAATTGTTTTTAAGGCTGTAAAAGATTTAACAATAGATATTCCAATTGCTTGAAATACGAACAAAAACAATATAGATTAAAGAGGTTGAGAATTTAGTCGGTGTAGCAATCAGCCCTTTAGCTTAGTGGTGAAAGCGTCTGGGCGCGAAACCCGACGACGTGGGTTCTAACCCCACAGCGACCAAAAACTTTTCGTACTTTTTTCTACTCATTTTAAAGAATTTTCTGTATCGACTTTAAGGTTGATGGTCAGAAATGATGATCAACTTAATGTTTTGTTTCAAATAATCAATGATTAATTTTTGACTTCGAATCTAAAATATTCTTAAATAAAGTTCTACCTACGTTCCGTTTGAAACAGTGATGACAATCACATGGCTTTTTCTATGTTAATAAACAATTGTTTTACTTTTTTTCAAACGTTTTAAATATGTCAAATTTTTCTTCTAGATCGCTAAGCGTGAGCTTCCACGTGTAAGTTTCAAATAATATTATTGATAATATAAAAGAAATTACCCGTAAAAGGATAACTCTGCACATTGACTCAATATTTAGACACGGGAATTTTGATCACTTTCTAATCTGGTCCAATCTTCCATATATTCAATTTCAATTGTTTCTTATCCATGTTTCTGAACAATTTTTTCTTTCACCACCCCAAAACCAGCTTACCCACATCCCATACAATACACTTACACGCGCCACATACCACAATGATACATTACCCAAAGCAAAACGCATAAACGATACTAAAGGATTTTGGAATGAATAACGTAAGTCATTATTGCTTATAGTTGTGCACAGCTGTATTCACAGAACTAGAAACTGGAGCCAATACTTTTGTATGTTTTCACGGTAATTTTTGTAATTTTATATATTTGTTTAGGCTGCTTTGCTAACCTTAAAAAAAGTTTACAAAAGGCTAAATTGTCAATTAATGTCCAAAGATATTCGCTACCAGTTAACCCAGGGTGTGTAAGAATAATATGATTTACATACCTATATAACTTTTATAGGTACTTTGGCGTTCAGCTGCGTCAGAATTGGAAAGGGTGGATAACATTAAGTCCATACAAATCTAAATAGTTACTTATGTATATTACGTAAGATGCGCATATATTCAAAACAAACATCCAAACTCTCCTTCTTTCATACCATAAAGCAGCTATGAGAGGGGTAGGGCTAACATTTTGCTTTTAAATTAAAACATTTATTTAATAAACTACTGTCAATGGTAATCATATTGAGTTTTTAAGTCTATTAAGACTTACAGCGGGTTTGTAGTTGCTTGACAATTACATGTTCATATCTTTTTTCATAATGTTCAGGCATAACGCATAATTTTGGATTTCTTTGGAAAGATCGATTAGCCTAGCCCTATCAATTAAGATTTATATTCCAATTTTATAAATTTACAAAAAATAATAATTTTGCAGCTGGAAGGCGCCTTGGAAGGGCTAAAGGTAAAAGAGCAAATTTTAATTTTGACATAAATGAAAGCAGTTTTATTGTATTGGATAAAAAAATATTGTCTATGAATAAATAAGTATTTGGGAACATGTTTTATTTTTCTCAACGGCGACAAGCTTGTCCAGATTACTGATGAATCTACACACTTCTCTTTTTGTAAATAAATACTCATTGCAGATATTTAATTGCCTTTGTTTCGATTGTAAGATACTAAACATAAAGTTATGGTAAAAACATAGCTTCTTAACTTTTATTTATTTATTTAATGAGTGCCTACATGTACACTATTTAAAACTAAAGATGTTAAATATACATCTACTGTTCGTTAGTACTGTTCATTACAATGTTGGTTATGTGTATTTTTTTTCTTTCAGATTGCTAAGCGTGAACTTCCACGTGTAAGTTTCAAATAATTTTATTAATAACATAAAAAAACTACCCGTAAAAGGATAACTCTGCACATTGACTCAATATTTAGACACGGGAATTGATCACTTTCTAGTACAATCTTAAATATTTTTTCTTTTGCATGTTTCCCCACTACTTTTCTTTCACCGTATTAGTATATTTACCAGTTATAAAGTATTTTAGGTTAGATAAGAAATATAAATTCGCTCGAACTCCCAAATAGGGTTGACGTCAGGCAGGTGGCCGGTCATAAAAATGAAGCCAATAACTGAAATAACAACATGGTTCCGATAATAAATGACGGATATATTGTGCCGACCCCACCTAGTGTCTATAAGGCCAGGAGAAAGAAGAATAAGTGTAATTACTGTACTGTATTTTAAATTAGGTTACTCGTATACCGAAATACAAGAAATCTTCGGAACTGTTGGCTGCTCGTATACCAAGATACTATATCCTCGACAATTTTAAATCTAACCACAATTTTAAATCTAACCACACTCACGCCCGGTTTCTGAAACACTAATCATCGTAGATGTTAACTTATCAGCTGTCAAATGACTTTTCAAATGTCATTTGAGTTGCCAAAAGGTTCTTTGAATCGATCATTCTGATCGTTAAGAAGATCATTCTTATCAAATGACATTTGAAAAGCCATTTGACCACAGGCGGATATAGCAGGGGGACCGAGTGGGCCATGCGCACCCCACTATCGCCTAGTGCCCACCCCAGAATTTTGGGTTAGTGATTCAAAATTTTAGGCTGGGTAAACAAGAAACTTCATAAAAAATCATTGTAAACAAATGTATATATATCTACAGCCGAGAAATCTATGTACATACTTAGATTTTATTACAATACATTCCTTTTATTTACTTATGAATACACAACGAACTAAATACTAATTAGTTAATACTACTATTATAAATTAATAATTAACTTAACTTTATGCGACGCATAGTGTTCCATTTTTTTTTTTAGTAAAGGCCCAGGCCCACCCTAAAAAATAATTCTATATACGCCAATGCATTTGACAGCTGATTAGTTAACATCTACGATGATCAGTGTTTCAGAAACCGGGCGTTACACTTTCACCGGAAAGATAAGTAGATTTTGGATCTAAACTTTCGCATTATCTCACCGAGACAACCTTACACAGATCCCTTTCAATACACTTACACGCAACTCATTCCACAATGATACATTACTCAAAAATATATATGCTAAAATAACCGTTACTAAAAGATTTTCGTCACGATTTGCAGGTAATGAATAACGTAAGTAACGCAAATAATAACGCAACTATAAGCATTATTGCTTAATAGAGCTTCTAATAACAATACCCATTAATAACAGTGCCCATAGCTTACAGAACTTTAAAACTGTAGCCAATACTTTTATATGTTTTCACGGAAATTTTTGTAATTTATAGATTTGTTTATGCTGTTTAGGTAACCTTAAATAAAAAATTTAACAAAGGGCGGACTTAATGTCCAAAGACATTCTCCAAAGTTTATAATAACAATATGATTTACATACATATATACTTTTATAGGTGCTTTGGCGTTCACCTGTCTCAGAATTAGAAAAGGGAGAGTGACGTAAGTGCATACAAATCTAAATTGTTACTTACGCATAGGTGTGCATATATCCAAAACCTCCACCATTCAAACTATCATCCTTTTTTCATCCTTGTTAGAGCTCTTTTGATCATTTTAAGGAGCGTAACGAATTAAAGTGAAAGAAAATTACTAAAACTAGTAAAAACAGGACAGATAAACTTGTCCCGAAACGTGATCATAGATTTAAAAATTAACTAATTTCATAAATAAAAGGAAGCTTTCTCACTGTTGTATCTTTTTCCACTATACTATATTAATTGAATGAAAATTTGCAGGAACATGATAACTTACAATAATAAAGTATCACCATTTAATTTTAAATAGAACAAAATTAATTGCTATAAGTTATTATACGACATGGTTCGGTCATTCCCTCAAGCAAAAGTAACCATCGTCCATTAAATGTCTCATTATGGCACTAACTTAGGATCAATCTTTTTATTTACAGTTTCGAGCAGATGATGAAAAAATAGATGATCTAATGGCGAGGACTAATGGATTAGTTACATCATTCTAATATTAAATAACTGCAATGAATAAATGTTTTCTTTTCAACCTAACACACGACCACACCTACAAATATATATTTGTTAAGAATCACTTAAAATTCTAGAAGTTCCATTTCACATGGTACCACAAGTTATAACATTAAACTGTTTTTAATATTTTCATAGCGTTTTATTTGTATTGAGTTAGGTTCGTGTTCCCGAGAGAGTACTACTCATGTATTCGATATGGTCAAAATTCAATTAAAATTGTAAAAATAAATTTATTCATTTATGTATTCGCATAATCACATAAAAACCGTTAACGATCCAACTCTTAAAATATAAACCATGAGCGATAAAATTAAAATGATATCTGTTTTGAGATATAAATTAAAAATAAACAACAAAATATAAAATAACAGGAACTAATAAAAGCTAAACTATAACAAAAGCTTAACTATAACAAGAGCTAAACAATAACAAAAGCTAAACTATAACAAAAACTAAACTTAGTGGTTAAAGCCGAAAACCATTTTCTAAAAATTTTAATATTCCATATTAAGTGCAAAGATATAAAAATTTAAATTGCAAATGACAATGGCGATATTTCTCGTTCGAATCATCGTTGCAAAAATTTATTTGAATTTGTTTGTGTGCTATAAAGGACATACATAATACATGTTTAAAATGCGAATAAACAGTGTAGTTAAAATTTTTATCACCGTGTCAAACAGCCCTTTAGCTTAGCGGTTAAAAAATTCTACTAAAGAAAAACCCTTCGTCCATTTCTCTACAACCTTGAAAAAGTAAACAAATCTCATCAACTACAAACTAAAATCGTGTGCATCCATCCCTCCAATTGACAGGTTACAAATTGAAACGAATTAAAATATAAACACGCAAATACTAAATTAATGATAGAATACAATTATTAAAAAAAACATCAAGGAACAGTTGCGAAAAGAACTAACAGAAAATTTTTTGTTTCTTTTTTTTTTAAATAATAAATGTACAAATAATAGGGAGCTTAACATAGATTACAAATATATTAACTCGAACACATCCTCTTAGGGTGGTGACAGAGTTTACAACTATATAAGTCGAGTGATCAGTAGTTTCCGATGCAGCTAAGTAGAATCTGTTGTTCAGGTTGACCCGCTATGTGTTACCGACCATGACAATAAGTTTTTGTTTTCACTGTATAGTTCGTCTATAATAGCCTCGTGGCTTCAGTCATCTTTTGTCAATTGTTCGTGTGGCAAACGTTACATTAAACTGTTTCTAACCTCTGAAATGGAGAGTCTTAAATTACATATTCGTCATATAATGCTTTAGGAATTTAAACAGGGCAAAAGTGCTAAGGCGACAGCTGAAAAAATATGCAGTGTATATGGTGAAGGACTAATAACTGATCATGCAGTTAGAATTTCGTTTATAAAATTCTTTTCAGGAAATACCACTTTAACAATCGTAACTAGGGCGGGACATCCCTCTTATCTTGACGACAAAATTTTAAAGGAAATATTGTAGCAAAATCCAAGTATAGCAGAACGGTTCAATACGTCACAATCAACTGTTAACAGTCACCAAGAGAAACTAGGCAACGTCAGCAAGTTAGGAGTATGGGTACCTCACAATCTTTGCCAGCGGAATAAAGAAGAATATCGACAAAAAATGCCTTCATAAGGATCAAAAAACGCTAAAAACTAAAAGACGCAATGGAAATGCATTTGAAGGGACTGGTAATTTGGTTAGAACCAATACATATTTGCGCATCTAGCACAGGCACAGGGTAGCCAACCTCTCGATTTTCAACCGGTTGAATTTCGAACGATATTCTTAGCTTCGTGAATCGCTCCCTCCTTCACCGTAACGTCATCTGACAAGTAGACGCTTGGCACAACTCCATTCTTTTGTAGAATATATTCCACATACTCCAGATGAAACGCTTGTTTTACAATTAAGTACTATCTTTTCTATATATATCTTTCTTTCTCTACTATCAAAGGTCTGAAGTAACGTGCTGGATAAAGACCCCCACAGACTGCCACGTAGCACAATAATTGAAATTGAATTATTCTGAACCACCTGCATCCATGTACTTCCTGCACATTTACTCAAGTCAAGTACCACCAATAAATAAATTATTGGTTCATTACATTCGAAAAATTCCAATTATCACGGATTAATTTTAGTAAGAGTAATCAAACAGTTACAACCTATTATATTTATGAGAATCTGCGACGAATCGTTTATTTCCGCGTTAATACGATACGTGAAATTTTGATTATAACGCGACACTTGCATTCCGCGGGACTAGGATTCTTATAATTCATGAAAGATCCCTTTCAATATGTAATGACTGATACATCTGTTTCCTTTGATATAATTGAAAACGTAGCCATATGTTACATTAATAAAAACCAGCGTTATTCCCTGGAGCCACATGTAAACAGTCAGGTCTATCGATAGTTCTAGGGTGAAAATTGCATCTTCCTTGTGCAGAGATGGTAAAATGGCATGTGCATTGGTTACGCTTGTACTACTTGTCGTACGACATTGATATCCCAAGCCAATAGGGAGGGCATCCATGGACTCCTGAAAGTATGTCCAGATGAGTAGGCAGCAAAAGATTCAACAAAAATGGCGAATGACATGTCTGGAACCGCCGAGGCCTATGCCACTATCTCAAACCTCAAACTCACTCGCCGGACAAGGCAAAACTATAAAAACAAATCTTTAAACAATAAAAAAAATAACACAAGGATTATAAATAAATACTTTTACTTCACACAGACATTTTGTACTGGTCTGTTTCTTTTGCCGCGCAAAAAGAATTAAAACCCATGTAATTGTAAATAAAATCCAATTCAACGGTTAGGTTTACTGGTAAATATTTGAATTTGTGAGGGAATCTTTGTTTTCTTGGCAACAAAAATATTTTTAAGGGCCCGCTCTATAAAAGATATGGGTTGATTATGTCTTCTTAAATTTATATATATATTATTATCTGTAATGTAATGAAACCAGTTGATTCTCACTTAATCGCCTATTAAGAATTATGGTCACCTAATTTAAATCGTGTACACGCTGCTAAAATATGTAAATATTTATTTAAATTCTACGACCACATGGTGAATGGAGTAGAAAGGTTTTCGAGTGGCTGCTTCGTATTGGCCGTCGCAGTGTAGGACAACCCACACCCCCCTGTCCTAACGACCTGTGCAAATGTCCAAGAAGTAGAAGCAGGTGGCTCAGACTATGTTGTAGGTCTATGTTCAGCAGTGGAATCTATTAGACTGAAATGATGATAGTCATGATGAAAATGATGATGTCGTACTGAATAAACATTTTAGAAGTCGACATTTTCAAAGCATTAAACGTTTTATAAATACCTACAATTACTAGTTAGTACACAAGCTTTAATTTCACAGAGCCAATGTGTTTAATTAAAATTTATAATTTGAATGTTGAATAGCGATATCGACTGCATGTGATATGCCGATATATAAGGATTCATAAGTGTAGTTATTCTTACACAATGGAACTTCTTTTAGTGCTGTTTCTCATTAGCCTAGCCGCGTCAAGACCGGTAAGGAACTCAATTGGAAAGAAACGTGGTTTAATTTTAAAAAAGTAGTATACAAGAACCACTCCGGGCAAAAACTAAACTTAAAATTACTTTTGTAAATAATTGTCCATAATCAGAATTCATTTATTACTTACCTTGTTGTTATTAATCAAGGATGTTTTAAAACTAAAAGTTAAAGACGCATTAAAAGACATTTGATGACGATTTCGATCGTAAATGTTTCTCAGTTTTAGCTCGAACAAATTTAATTTTTTTTATATGTATAAAAATATAAGCATTAAAACAATTTTTGGGGCACGTAAATATATGTTGCCCATGTATAAGATACTGAATATGTCATTTTCTAGGTTAAATATAAATTAGGAGATTTAAAGAATAATGTTTAAAAAAACATCTTATAGGTACCGTCGCCGGAAAGTGGGTGTGTAATCATGGGAGATATCCGGGTCTGCGAAATTGTGAGCATAATGTTTAAATAAAACGCTAATCTTTAAAGTAAATCTCCCATTTTTGCTGCCGGCTAGCCTGCTGTACGAATAGCAAAGTGACACACACCACAGTTTCAAAGAAGACCCGTGAAAAATAAAACGGTTTGTACTTTAGAGTTTCATTGGATGAGTCAGGTAGGTGTGTGGAGTCTTGCCAATGTTGACTCTAATTAATCATCAGATGAACGTTCTTGTTCCCTTGTTGTTCCTTTGAGATTATTGATAAAAATGTTTCATCATCATCATCATCATTTCAGCCTGTTTGAGTCCACTGCTGAACACGGGCCTCCCCCATAGACTGCCACGAACTACCATCCTGAGCCACCTGCATCCATCGCCTTCCCGCACATTGACACAGGTTGTCACTCCATCTAGTAGGTGGTCGTCCTACACTCCGTGACCAGTACGAGGCTGCCACTCGAGAACCGTTCTTCCCCAACGGTTAACTAATTAATTATGAAATATATATATTTTACATTTACACCTATAAAAGGAGACTTTAATATATTTTAAACAAAACAAGGGACCTAAAATTAAGAACCTTAAAAAAATATATAATATAATAACTAAAATATGTTATTAAAAGGAGTCCCTTTAGGCAAGGTTCCCAAGGTACTGGCAGCGTTCCTCCTTTAAATAGCTAGACTAATTCTTTGTCCGAGGTAGCTGCCAGCTCTTCGGTCTCCCGTGATGTCGACTAACCTTTTTGTTATTGCCTTAAAAAGCCTTATAGCGCTAGGACCTCACTGACGAAGGGTCCCGACGCTGAATGGGACAAAATCATATTCGGAGCATAGACCTCTGTATTTGCAAGCTGTAGCTTTTTCAACCGCTTGACAAGCCGCACCAGCTCTGTTGTATATTTTTTAATGTTGCTGACTCGCTAAATAAAGCTTAGAACATAGCCTTACGAAGGAACATTCTTAGATCATTAATATGTAGAACTAACCAACTCAACATTTTGCATATATTTTCACTTATAGAATGAAGGCGATGGACCCCCAGAAACCTTAAATCAGGTAAGTACTATGTTTTGCTGTTTGTTATACGTGCTCCGTATGCTTCGGAAAACTTCTACTTTCTAATTACGTCGTCAACCAAGCAATGGATCGCGAAACTGAGTTTTGCTAAGGGCATTTGGATATACCCCAAGGGCATTTGTACATACCCCTCGTTAAGGTCATGACACTACGGTATATATTGTCACCTCTCCGAATATGCACGCTTCTCAAATATTTCTTCAGAACCTTGCTAGATTTTGACGTCATTACATGCTTGTACTCGACACTGGGATAATACTATGGTGAGTTTATAATTATTATTATAAACAAACAAATATAAAGGTAAAAAAAGCGCCGAAGTTTTCGTTCATTTATCTAAAAAAATTTTACAATTTAAAGGTTGGAATATAACGTTCAAGTACTTCTTACAGATACCGACACCGAAAAATGGGTGTGTAACCATGGCGGGGATTGACATCTGCCAAATTGTAAGCATCTAATCTCTAAATTACAAAACTTATTTAATTAATTTAGACCGCAACCCTAAACTCTTTACACCGATTCGATGAACAAAAAAGTCATCTTTTAAGTGCGTTTTACTTAAGTCCGTCTCAAAGAAGACCTGTATAAAATTAAAGAATTTATGTCTTAGGCCAGCAGTGAATATAATTAATGGCTCTGATGAACTGCTGACCCTGTTGGAATTCCTTTGAAAATGTAGATAAACTGATTTCATCATCAATTCAGTCTGTTTTAGTACACTGCTGGACATAGGTCACATATATTTCATCATATATTTCATACATATCTTACGGTCTCTAACAGACCGTAAGATATATATGAAATATATTTAAAAAAATGCCATTGAATTCAATTAATCTTAAAACAAGAAAGTTTTCCGGGTTATAGTAGTTATTGACATTTTGCGTTTATTTTCATATAGAAACATGATGGATCCAGGGGAGCTTCTAAAAAATTGAGGAGATTGCGTGTAAGTGTTTGCTCCAATGTTTCTGTAAACTGCGAACTTCTATTTTCTAATTGCCTAATCAACCAAGCAATGGACTCGGAAGCGACTTTTTCTAAAGGCATTTAAAGCTGAAGAAGACCAATATGTCTTTCCAGAAGTGACCTAATACGATTATATGGTATACCTTATCGTTTAAAAAGTGGAAAAGGGCGTTACCTGAAATTTGCGTTATTCACAACTACTTGTTCTCAGACCCGTGAGAATTTGTGTCATGTGTACACACATACACATCACATGCGATACTTGAGCCGTGTCCGGGCGCTCGCCTTTAATTCAAAAAACGAGTACTCGAGCAAGCTGAGTTCGATCCCCGGTGCTGGCACCAATGAAATTGTTGATTTTAAGTTCTTAATTACCACGTACTCGGCGGTGATGGAAAACATCGTGAGGAAACCTGAAACAAACGAGCAGACGGTTCACATGATGTTAAGTGAATACCGCCATCTGCTATACCGGAGTGTTGCAGATACGTTAACAACCTTTTTTGGAAATTAGGCTCCGGCCACCTCACTCGCCGGACAAAACGCGAAAGTATTATACTTCTACTTGACGCCGGTCTTCTGCGAAGTTTCGTGCAACAGCAGACTGCTACTTAATAAGTAGAATGACATAGGGTACATTTTACCACGGTAAAACATCTTACTCCCCTGAGAAGATCCGTATGCGTATTTTTTTAAAACATTGCCAACATACTTTAGGGTAACATTATCTTGTGTTGTAAGGACGTTTTACAAACATGTGGAGAAATACCCAGATGCGAAACAACTATCTGTCGGTCAAACTAACAGCTGTCCCGTGTGGGAATCGAACCCACGACCCCCGACGCCGAAGCCAATACCTTGGCAACCACGCCACGGAGTCATCAAAAGTATTTGAATCACTCCATGGTAACAATGTGTTGGTTTTTCTCTAACTCCGTAAAGGATCTATGGATTGATATAAATTTATAGGTGAAAAACCATATCCAAACCTAACAATTATTATAAATGACGACGGGGGGAAAAAGGGCAACCCGAAAAAAAAAATTTGTTTTTTGTTTGTCCTTTTTTTGTCATCGCAACGGAGCAATATTATGGTATGCTTTTCGTGGCTAAACTTACCGCGGTAAAATGTTTTACCTACACACTACATGATGGATCCTCCCATGGACATGGGATAGTAAATATGTTAAATGATTGGGCAAAACAATGTATATTTGTGCGATAACAGCAACCGTGGTTGATTTTATGTAATTTTTTGAAGAGTTCCGTTATCTATCTATGAAACTCATCATCAAATCTATATGAAATTTAAATGGGATCATTTCGGAATAAAACCATTTCGAACAAAAAAATGATTGTGTAAATCGGTCTATATATATATATATATGACGGAGTTATGAAGGAACATACATGAAAAGATATAAACATCCAAATTGATAACCTCCTCCTTTTTGAAGTAGGTTAAAAATGCAGGATGCACCAGGAATATATAATGTATGATTCATTCATTATTATTCATTCATTCATTTTATCATTGTTAATTCGCTTTGACCACGCGGGTGAAGCCACGGGTAACGGCTAATTATATGAAATACTAGCTGCTGCCCGCGACTACGTCTGCGTAGAATAGGCTGAGGGCGTAATATTTAGACAGAAAGACAGATATACATAAAAATATGTACATAAATTATAGCTAATATGTGCTATTCTAATGTATAAGCTATGTTATTGTAAAGTTTCATTAAAATCCATTCAGTAGTATTTGCGTGAAAGAGTAACAAACATCCATTCATACATACAAACTTTCGCCTTTATAATGTTATATATATTAGATATTTATATATCTAATATAGATATTTATATTATAGATATTTATATATCTAATATATATAATAATCCTTACTTATGTAAGGATATTAAAAATGCCATCTGATTTACTAAAATTAAATTAATCATGGTCTTCGGAAGAAACTTTCTCAGGTTTTGTGTTATTAACATTTTGCATTTATTTTCATACAGAACAAAGATAGTGCGATAAATTTAGTAAGTGTTTTTTTTTTTGTTTTTACGTGCTCCGTATGCTTTTATTGTTTTATTTATTTAAGTTTCATTGCTACACGTTAAGCTAAGGGCTACAATGGGCGGACTTAATGCCTAATGGCATTCTCTACCAGTCAACGCTTGTCATGGGGAAAAGTAGATGGCAGGTGCTAAATGAAGACTATAAAAATTAAAGTTAATACATGAATAATATAATGAGAAAGATAATGAAATATGACATACATGAAAGGATGAATAGGTACATAAATATATAGATACATACATATATATATAGAAATAAATACATATATGGATAAGAAAAACACAAATGGAATAAGAGAAATAATAACAATGATTAAAGAACAATAACCCGGTCGCTTCAAAATCAAGTCTCCTATCTGACATTTATCAGACACTACCTGTCATGAGCAGCTTCGTTCGCGACAGTTGGAAAGATTGAAATCTCGATACAACGATAGATAGGCTAAATGTCCACAAAATCAAAATAAATAAGTATATACCGAAACACTGAACTTCATTGTAGTTACTTGATTCTGTAACCTTAAATCCTTAATGTGTAAACTAAATTCTCATCCCAGCAAACTCAATCCGTAACATTTATGCATATGCATTTATTCGGTTACAGATTGAGTTTGCAGGTACATGTATAAAGTTAATAGTAAGCCATCTAAAATCCGAAATGCAGCACTGAACATCTAATTTGTAACTCTCTTACAGATACCAGTGAGTAGTAATTACATTAAACTATATAAATACCTACTCATCCATAGAACAGCCTCCCGCCGGAGATGGAGCCATCACACACTGCCAAACAGTGGTTGCTCCTAATCTGCAAACGGTTAATTCGTTATCCATACTATTGTCGCTGGCAACACTGAATACCGGATATGACGTTATCTACTCGAGCAAAGGGACACATGGTCGTATGTGTAATAATACAAAGAACAATAAACAGGAATTTAAAAGGTAGCATGGTGTCTTACTTGTGAGTGTGTTGTGTGTTTCTTACTCTCTTCACGGTGTTTTTTTTAGATCAAGTTTTAAGAAGAATCTGTTAAAAGATTTCGGTAAATTTATCTATTAAATGTGTGTTGGTAATTTATCATTAAAATACTTTACGTAATTTTAAATCATAAGTATTTCGTTATATTTCAGGGTTATGTACCGTATAACAGAAACAGAAAACAACGAAAGGTAAGTTTAATTTGATCTGAATATCTAGAATTCATATGCACAGACAAAAAACTTGACTAAATAGAGTAAAATCTAAAGTAAAGGATTTGTTTAATTATAAAAAATCACATGTCTTCGAAATATGTTTTTTTTTTGTTATTATTTCGAAAATATGCAGGTTTCCTCACGATGTTTTCCTTCACCGCTGAGCACGTGATAATTCAGCGCTTAAAATTGACAACTTCATTGGTGCTGGCGCCGGGGATCGAACTCAAGTTGCTCGAGTATAATGAATTAAAAGCGAGCGCCCGGACACCGAGCTTCAATTAACAAAATTTTATTGACTAGGTCTACCGAATCCTATAAAAGACAAATAAAAGATTATTATATTTTAAAGAAATGAATGGATAGAATTTCTAAAAACGTTCTATTGATCTATGTGGTAGGGCCACGCAACAGTGTTACACTTCTGCGTTTCGTCTGGCGAGCGAGGTAGCCGGGGCCCACTTTATCAAAAGGCAGCAACGCATCTGCAACCCTAAGGCTGTTACAAATGTTCATGGGCGGCGGTTATCACTTAACATCAGGGGAACCGCCCAGCTCTTTTGCCACTTTCTCACATAAAAAAAAAACATTAAGCTAAATACAAATACAAACAACAATAGAATAAGTATTTGTTGAGTGAATCACAGATAATTGTTGTGATACACACAAATACTGTGTGTTTATTCCCAAAGAGTTAACGTTAGGCTGGTCGTAAAAAAACCTAGCCAATACCATTAACAACATGATTCACATCATTTGCCAACCTCACCTAGTTGAGATAAGGACAGGAGTAAGACGAAAGAAGATTCATTGATAATATCAGTTTGTTTAAATTCTTAGAAGAGAAACAAATTGAGGTATTTTTATAGGTGAAAAATTGTCAAGCTAGCAGGCGGTTTACCTGGTGTTAAATGAATACCGCCACCCGTGGACATCTACAGCACCTGATGGTTTGTTGATGCGTTGACTTTAAACAAGTAGGCCTCGATTAGTGCACTCACCAGACGAAACGCAAACGTTTAATACTTCCACTTCACGCCTGTTTTCTGTGAGGCTGTGGCACTCCGCTGGAAGAGCTACGATAAGTAAAAAGTATAAATAAACAGTTTTAAATTGAACATAATGTACAATCATATCTCTATGTGAATGCTCTGGGACGATGGGTGCCAATAAAAGGAGGTGTAAAAAATTGATGACTCAGATTTAGATAGATCGGATGAGGTAGATCGGAAAGGTCGACTGATGGACTTCTGTACTAGAGAACAATATCATCTGTCGGGAAATACTGTCACCTACTTTAATGTAGCCATCATGAAATTATATTAATAAAAGTGTGAACAACTTCGGTGCCGTTGATTAATACTAAAAGTTGCAAAACATTACTGGGAAGGAAAAGATTGTTTGTCTACAAAGAGATTTGTCATTTTTTGTCTACAAAGACTTTACCAAGGCTTAACCTTTGCGTTTCACTTGCTATAAATTATTTTGTGTAACATTGTGCAACATTTTGTAATATTTTTGAAGAAGCCTGTATTTGTTATTAAAAAAGAATCCGTTTCTATGTAAAGCGAAGAGAATACAAATAATCACATTTATAATAAAGGTATTTAATATTCTGTTTCTACATCATTGGTTAAGAATGCTTTTAAGCTGGTTAGATTTAGGTTTAAATTATCTTCTTAGGTTTTAAATTGGGTGAAAGAGATTGTTTCAAAATTATGCAGATATAAAAGATATTTAAAAAAATCAGACAAAACCTATTTGATGCAGGTGACTCTGGATCGCGCTCGCAGCAGTCTGTGTAAAGGAAAGGATGTTCAGCAGTGGAAAAGCAGTCCTTGGATAAGGGTTGTAACTTCATCATCATCATATCAGCCTGTTTGAGTCCACTGCTGAACATAGGACTCCCCCGCAGATTGCCACGAATCACGATCCTGAGCCACCTGCATCCATCTACTTCCCGCACACTTGCACAGGTCGTCACTCCATCTAGTTAGTACTGGGTCGTCCCACACTGCGATGGTCAGTTCGAAAACCTTTCTACTCGAGAACCTTAATGTTGTTAAATTATTTCCAGTGTGAGACCTCAAAGTGCCTCCGGCCCGAAACAGACGTAAGTTGATTCCCAATGGTTGTATCTAGGCAGACTATTTGCTACTGTGTTTTAAACTATTGCACTTTTAGAACATTCGCAGCAATTACTTTGCAGCAGTAGTTCTAAACAAAGTTCTATTGTTTAACGGATAGGTATTTTTCGGTCGAGTACCACGGCCTCACCTAAGACTGACGTACAGTGAAACTATAGGCATTTTAACATTTCTAGTGTGTGTGAGTTTACGGGATCCAACTCTTTCAAAGGTTGGTATTTGCCAGGTGTTGCAGATGTGGTGATTATCACTTAACGCCCTATAAGTAGGATTTTTCCACTCCCAATAATAATAACTGACATTTCCTTGGTGCCAGGTTTTTATTTATTAAAAAATAGTTCAAGATACATTTTTACACAGCGTTATCTAGTCCCAAACTACGCATGTACTAGGTACTAGATAACTAACAAACACTCTTATACATACCTTTTCTTTGTAAATAAATACATATATTGTGAATATATAAACACCCAGACACTATGTTCATCTCACAAGATTTTTCCAGTAGTGAGGCAGGAACACTACCCACAGTTTAAGTTTCCCAAACAATTTTTTACGAGACATCAATGTTCCGCCATATTTTAGTGGCGTGGAACTAATTTTTTTGTTATTCCTAGCAATTTCTTATTCCGCAGGAATATATGCTCACCATTGGGGAGAGTGATTTCGGGAGTATGTGGAAATAAATGTAATGAGGTTTGAAATTGCCTTTTGTTTTTGTAACCCGCATTTCCCATCTCCTCTGAATGAAGCTAGACGATAACTGGAATTAAGAAGAGAATTAGGAAAAGAATATTCTGTGTTCGTTCTTTTCTCTTGACCAAAGCACGTGAAATTGTGTGCTAATATGTTTATCAACTGGATAGAAGCTAGTTTAATAGATAGAAAAGTTAAGGAAAAAATTGAAAAAAAATTCAATGATATGAATAAATATAAAACTTTAAATGATACCGACGTGAAGTGGAAGTGTTATACTTCTGCCTCGTCTGGTGAGTGCGATAGCCTGTGCCCCCTTTTCTAAAAGGCGACAACGCATCTACAACCCTACGGGTTTTAAAAATGTTCATGGGCGGCGGTTAGCACTGAACATGAGAAGACCTGCCAGTTTACTTAGCTACTGACATAAAAAAAATATGAAAAAAAGGGTATTATAATATATACAGGAAGGCTTTTCCAAGTGTATCCATTTTTTTTTAATTAAATTCTCGACATATATAATGTTATATAAAAATTATAAATATTTAAAATCAGTCGTAATTAATTAATTACATTCATTTTAACTTATCTCAAAGAGTGCGTGATTTATTTTACGCGCGATCATTCATAACTAACACACACACAAGTTCGTTTCAAAAGTATACGACGCATTTTCAACAAGTTCTGTGTTTTAGGGAATAGAATGGCATTTTTTTAAAAAAAAAGTTTGTTTTTAATTCAACAAACGATTATACTACTGAGTCTGAACCTTCTGTGTGAATTTGGGCACCTTTAGAAACCACCCTGTATAATAACAGCAATTTGAAATTTCTAAGATATCTTTTGAATACGTATTACCTTTTTGACGTGATTATAAACCCGAATACAATTATATCAATCAAGACGCATCGTTATGACTATAATAAAAACTAACATCCGTATCGAATTTCGATCGAAACGAACCGGAAAACAGTTTAATGCTGCCGTTATATAAAGGAGTCTCGGCTTTGAAACATGCAGTATCAACACTTTTAGCAGGGGCTGTAGTACATTCAGGATGAAGATAATTTTCTTTCTCTGCGCCTTACTTCCACTTATGGGAGGAGTTGAGGTAATATTTTGCTTATAAATTCAAACGATTCTTTGAACAAATCGCTCTCAATGATGACTACACAAATGTATTGACTTTAAGTAACTAATGCCCGGTTTCTGAAACACTGGTCATCGTCGAAGTTAACAAATCCTTTACTATTCACACATTATAGATTGATGACTCCGTGTTGCAGTCGCCAAGGTATTGGCTTCGGCGCCAGTAGTCGTGGGTTCTATTCCCAAGGGTCCGCTATTTGTGTGACCCATAGATAATTTTTTTCTTTGTTTTTAAATTTCACATGGACAAACACCCAAATGCGAAACAACTACTGTCGGTCGCTTAAATAGTTGTCCCGTGTCCATAATTTCTTCTGATCTGGCTATTTTTCTACGTGCAAATTTATGTATTTAAAACGTTTACAACACAGTATAATGTTATCCTACAGTAAGCGAAATGTTTATTAAAAAAAAAAGGTTTCCTTAGTTATGAAATATTGGTAAAGTTTTTATCGTTTTAATATTACGAAAATTATTATTCGTATAAACATTTACACAATTACAGGTTGAAGGTTCATCGGAAGGGCTAGTGGTAAGTGCATAAAAATTTGTCTGTAATACAATTATAAGTTTTGTTCAAGACCGTTCTCTACCGACGTGAAAAAGAAAGAGTTAAATGAACATTTTATTGAGAAATCATACCGTTAACTATTTCAGCACATCCGAGATGACTTCAGGAGTGCGAGAGTGAGTACCTAAAGTTCTAGCAAATTAAAACACCTAAAATTAATCGACGACCCAATTTGCGTAGTGGATAGTGACCAAACACTGGAAAAATAAATTGCTTTGGAGCATGATTAAGATCTTCCATTTAGAGCTTACTGGGATGTGACGCTTTCTCTGTAAAAGACAAAAATTACTTATCTTGTATAAAGAGGTGAGTTTAATATTACATAACGGGTCATATCCATATGGGTCGTGTTTAAGAAGTTTTTAAAAGATGAAGCATTGTTAGCTACCTACTATCTATCTCTATCTACTACTACTATCTACCTCGTTTTTATATTAAAAACAATAATACATAATAACAATCGATAACAATTTTCAGTTAGAAGGAGCGTCGGAGAGTTTAGAGGTAAGACATATTTATAGTTAATTACGGAAAAGATAGTGTTAACGGCGAATGCGTGAAGAAAGCATAAATTAATTTAATTCGTCCGAGGTAAAGTTCAAAAAGAACTAATTTTTACTGACATAAAAGCTGTTGCTGTTCTAACCAAGATAAAACAGAGTATTCAAGTTAAATTAGGACCATTGAAATATATCTTGCAAACCCGTAATCACTAAACGCTATGTGATTTGTCTGCTAATTCTTCACTCTCGGCATGTTCTTATATATCCTGTTATTGAAAGAGTTCTGAAATCGGAGCTTTAATTTCTTCACTATTAACTCTCTTCATATGCTTTCATGTCCAGCGTCCCAAAAGGGTAAGTAGTAGACTTATTAACGTTTATTTTACCCTTTTTAACATTTTTTTTTACAAATTTTGGCAATGAAGTCCACTTTTACTTATTTAGTATTTTTCAAAAGACATCTCATTAACTGTCCTTGTATACAGGAAGGCTTTTCTAAGTGTATCCATTTTTTTATTAAATTCTAGACATAAATAATGTTATATAAAAATTATAAATACTTAAAATCACTCGTAATTAATTAAATACATTCATTTTAACTTCACACAAAACATCTCAAAAAGTGCGTGATTTATGGACAAGTTTGTTTTTAATTCAATAAACGATTATACTACCGAGTCTAAACCTCCTGTTTGAATTTGGGCACCTTTAAAAAAGCCACTCTGTATTGCAGCGATTTATTTATGACTGTAGACTATGTCGCGAAATTGCAAAACTAAATTTAATTTTATAATAATGATTACTTTCAGCGCGTCAGATCTTTGAGAGTAAGTAGTCCTCGAACTTTCATTTAAAACATTTTCGTACGAAAGAAACAAAATGAACACCTTAAAAGCACCACTAAAATGACATTTTTTTATTACATTTTATTTACATTCTGTATCCAATTATCAGTGGACTCTATACCAAAATCACTGGCTCACAGTGACTTAAAGACGCTGTTTCCAAATCTACACATTGGTATATAATTGAACTTAGTATGTTTACTTATGTGAACAAAGTAGACAGAATTAAAAGCACCTAGTTAAGTAGACCTTTAGAATCAAAATGATCCAGTTAAAAAGTTGACTTTATGTCAGAAAACGACCTAAAACGACTGCCTTTTTCGACTATTATTAAAACAAGGGTCGATTTTAGAAATCTACATGACGTATACTTCGGTTTTTTTTTACTCCCCTCCAATCACCGCGTTTATTCAAAGTGCTCAAATCATTTTATCTATATATAACTCTGAAGTTGCCAGTAGTCCCGTCACATTATGGTGTATAATGTGACAGGACTAATTCCTACCGAGTCCATACACAATATTTATTGTCTTTTAATTACAGATGGTGACCAAGGTAAGATTAAACATTGGTAATTATAAAGCGTATGTTAAATTACAAAGAGTCGAATAACAAACTAGAAGATCGTTATTAATAGACTATTAAAAAAATAAATCTGTAATTTATAAAATAAAATAATATAAAATTACTTCCAAATAACACTAATCGGTATATTTTACTATTTTGTCCAATTTACTACGCTCTTTTCGCCCCACGTATTAAACTATGATGAATGTATATAGTACATGTCTATGGTCAAATCATTTGCCTCCATATTACATCTTTACGTTACATTTATCAAAATAAAGAGTTACTGAATTTAATTATTTTTATCGATCATTTCTTTTATCTAATTTGTCAAATCTTATTTACCGAAATACTCCATAAGGTAATAATAATGTCCCATAAATACACTTGTAAACTTATATACTTTCGACCAATGGTATTACAAACAAATACGAGGTAGGTATGACACTAGCGCACCTAAACTGAGGTACTCAAATTACGCCAACTAGTGTCATTAGATTGCAATTCTGTAGACTGCTATCTCTTTCCGTATCGTACGTTCTATATCATCTGTCACATTCACTTTTATAAATAATATAATATAAAACGGATCAATTATTAAACGCCGCGCAGTATGGACATGCGTCATCACTACATAGTACAAAAAAAGTCCCGCTGTCTGCCTTTCCCTATGTATGCTTAGATCTTTAAAACGACGCTACGGATCTTGATGCGACATTTTTTACTAGATAGAGTGATTCAAGAGGAAGATTTATATGTATAATACATTGCAACCGTGCGAAGCCGCGGCGGGTCGCTAGTCTTTATTAAAACATCATTACTTTCAGCTATTCTGGGACAAGCGTTGCGACATTGATTGTTCGGAGGATGACCATTTACGAGTTAGTAATTTAATAATGTCAATTAATTTTTTTATTGATTTTTGAATAATTTAATAATTTTGTTATGAACAAGCAATGATTAATTGTAGGTCGCAATCTAAGAGACTCTAAAATAAGGTTCTATTTACGTTCTGTTTGACCGAGTGATGATTAAAAACTCGGCCTTTTCTATGGTAGTAAAGTGTTATTTCTTGCTTTGCTTTAAACGTTGGTCATATGTCATTTTTATTCCAGATCGTAAAACGTGAAATCCCACGTGTAAGTTTCAAATATATATTGATAATACAAAATAAACTACCCATAACAGAGTATTTCTGCAGAATACCATTTAAACAAGCGAATTTTTCGCGATCTGCTCCAAATGGATTGTTATTAATATAATTGTGGTAAAAAAAATCTAACCTTTCAACAGCATCACATTATCTCACGTCTCGTTAGTGAAATGACAAATATTAAGTGATTCCTATAACCAAAAACTAGGTTTTTGCTTATAGGAATCTAGGTTTTTGGTTATAGGTTATAGAATATAGGGTAGCTCGACTCTGTACACTTTTCGTAACGGGTAGTATGCAATATTATTGAGGAGGCAGAACAATTCGGTTTTCCCTGAACAATTCGGCTTTCGGCCGAATCACTCCTATAAAAAACAAATTTGTTCAAGCACAGGCTCCTTAAAAACATTACAACAGGAGCTCTCTTCCTTGATATCGCAAAGGTATTCGAGAGCATGGCTTGCTTACAAGCTGTTTGCACTCTACTTTCCAGAACAGCAACTGCACACCGCTTCTGCTTCCTGTCCGCAGTCTGGCGTACTTTGTTTGTTTATGTACATACAATATAACTTTACTTATAAAGAAGAAAATGTTTAACTACATGGTCAAAGAGAAGTTCATATTTCATGGATTTATTTATGTTTTATTTCTGTTGTTAACTCCCGATTCAGTTTCGAACACTTTACTGTATTTCGAAGAAAACTTAACTACGGCATAGATCAGTCCCGTAAAAAAATTAATAAATCTCAAAACAGTTTTACATAATCATAATATGCAGTATTTGCGTGAGCACAATAAATTATTGTTACGTTTACGTTACACAGTATTAAATTACACTTACATCAATTTCTTTCAACCAGTATTTTTTGTGAAGTTATCCTGATAAATTCGCATACCTTTATTATTTCAAATAAAAAAACTTCCTGCAATTCAGGATATTTTCCTCTCGAACCGAGACTGATTATAAAAGGAAATACATCAAAATTTGAATTCTAACAATACTTACACTTTTCTGTGAGGGATAAGTATGTAGATTTTGTATTATATCACCGAAAATTCTTACACACATGCCTTTCAAAGCACTCACAATCACCTAATTCTATGCTAAATTTAACCATTACTTTTTGTTACGATTTGCAGGTAATGAATAACGTAAGTAATGTTTAATTGAGCTTATAAATATTCGTATAGCTTATAAATGTTCGCTGTACTCATAGAACTTTTAAACTAGAGTATGTTTCAGCTAACGTTTGTATTTTTACACGATATGATTTAACTTTATATAGGTGCCTTGGCGTTTTCCTGTACCAATATTGGGAATGGAGGATGACGTAAGTGCATACAAATCTAAATTGTTGCTTATGTTTATGTTTAACGGTGGTAGGACCACGCAACAGTGTTAGCTGTTGCACAAATGGGCAGGTCCGTCCGGGTTAGTACCACGACCTCACAGGAGACCGGCGTAAAGTAGAAGTGTAACTTCTGCGTTTCGTCTGGTGAGTGAGGTAGCCGGGGCCCATTTTATTTAAAGGTGGCAACGCATCTGCAACCCTACGGGTGTTGGTATAAGAGATGCCGCACTCAATCTTCTGAAATCGTACTTGAGCCATCGAATTCAGAGAGTTGACGTGAATGGCAAGAGATCTCCCGGGGCCCTGGTAAAAATGGGGTCCCGCAGGGATCTAATCTTGGGCCTTTTCTCTTCCTCATTTACATAAATGATCTACCTTATCTTGTTAATAATAATCATGAGATAGTATTGTTTGCTGATGATACCTCTTTAATCTTTAAAGTAAATTGACGTTCTTTAAGTTATGACGATGTAAACAATACTCTATCTACTGTAGTACATTGGTTTAGTGCTAACAATTTACTGTTGAATAATAAAACAACTAAATGTATTAAATTTACAACTTCCAATGTTAAACATGTAAAAACTGATGTACTTTTATATGGGGAAGCGTTGGACCCTATTGACTCAACTGTATTCCTTGGCATAACTATTGATGCCAAACTGCAATGGGGCCCCCATATTAATAGACTGGCGAGTAGACTTAGCTCAGCAGCTTTCGCGGTCCAAAAAATAAGACAGTTAACTGATGTAGATACGGCTCGCTTGGTACATTTTAGTTATTTTCACAGTATAATGTCTTATGGCATTCTGCTTTGGGGTAACGCGGCTGACATTAATACAATCTTTATCTTACAAAAGAGAGCTATTCGTGCAGTTTACAATCTGGGCCCCAAAGAATCGTTAAAAAACTTGTTTAAAGAAGTTAAAAGGTATTGACTGTTGCTGCTCAATTCATTTTTGAAAATGTTTTGTATGTCCATAAAAATAAGGATAAATTTTTAAGACATAATAATGTTCATGATATTAATACTAGGAACAAAAATAAATTGATCCTACCCACAAGTAGATGCGTAAAATAAGTAAATCTTTTATGGGACAATCAAAATGCATCAATAGCTAAATTTAAAAAAATAGTAAAAGAACGTTTGTGTGTTAAATACGCTATTTGATTTTGATTTTTGTTGCAAATGTCCATGGGCAGGTGGTTATCACTTAACATCAGGTGAACCGCCAGCTCGTTTGCCACTTTCTCACATTAAAAAAAATGTATAGATGGACATATAATTAAAGCCTTTACCATACGAATTCTCCTCCTTTTTATCCTTGTTAGACCAGCTATGCAGAAAATTTCAAGGAGCGCAATGAAATTATCGGCTTAATTAGTAAAGACAGGACAGATAAATAACCGGAATTTAAATTGTACTAAATTCTGAATTTCAGGAAACTTTAAATCTATAATATGGCAAATATCTTGTTAATTGTTACTATATTATTAAATTTTAATTGTTAACGTTTAGAACATTTTACAGATCCTTAATCTGAAAGGTGATCATAAATGTTTCTGTGGTATGGCCAGGCAACAAAATCTGTTGCACGAATGGGCAGGTCTCTCCGGGGAAATACCACGAGCTCACAAAAGACCGGTGTGAAGTGGAAGCATTATACTTCTGTTTCGTCTGGTGAGTGAGGTAACCGGAGCTCTACTAAAAGGCGGCAACGCATCTGCAACACTACGGGTGTTGCACATGGCCACGGGCGGTCATCACTTAATATCAGGTGAACCACTAACTCGCTTACCACCTTCTAGCATGAAAAAACGCGAATTCCGTAAATAGAAGAAATCAGTGACCTTTCACATTGTCATTTATTATACACATAATAAAAATTTTCAGGAACATGATGACTTACAATAATAAGGTACCTACAGTGTATATGTTAAATAAAATTATTGATTTTCATAGAATTAATGGCTCTTGTTCATAAAATTGATACGATCATAGATTGAAAGTAAAATTCATTTAATATTCTACTTGATTATCCCGAAATACGAATATCCTGTTTTAAAAAAAAATATCATTTGTTTCACCTTATATATGTACTGTTACTACCTATACAGGCAATGCAGGAATATATAAACCAACAGCCTAATCTATAACAGCCCATTCTATACTTATCGGGGCCTCTTTTTAATTGCATAATAAACATTAGGCACTTAAATCAATTAACAATTAGAATTACGGCAAGATTTCGAAAGTAAAAACTACTTTTAAAGCAAAACTTTAAAACAGCTAAATAAATACATATTATATTATCATTATTTAAAGTATTCAAATTTCCAACAGTGACGATCGAACCCATAACCCTGGCGCAAGAGACAACTCCACAGTACAAAACACCAATCGGGTGCCCAATCATTTTATTTTAATAAAACCGTTTTTAACAATGTTTTTATTTTAATAAATTTTAAGCGTCACATTAATGTGTCATATATACTCTAGATGTCGCTATTGCTTCGTCGGTTGGCAATCAGTTGAAGCGTTTGGGCGCGAATCCCCAAGACACAGCGGCGAAAAACTTTTCGTACTTTTGCTACATATTATAATGTTTAAACTTAAGTGCATAGATTAGCACTATAAAAGTTTAAATTTCTAATTGCAGTGGTGGCATCTCTCGTTCGAACAGTTTCCTACGAACCACCAGTTTTCCGCCATAGTTAAGTGAAGTTTTAATAATGGAACCCATTTAAATTATTTTCCAAATAGTCACTTAAATAGATACTTGAAGAAACTCGTAGCTAAGAAACCTTGAGATAGTTTATACTTGGTTACCAATTTGTGTGCTGTTTCACTAAACGTTGCTTTGGTTGAAGTCTGACACCGCGCCTCATTATGATTCAAGAATCCCTAACAATTTGCTTTTCCACAGCATTACATTCTCACCATCGCGATCGGGGAGGGTGATACATGGAGTTTGTATAAATAAATTTATCATATTCTAAACGATGGTTTTCTTTTTTGATCCTGCATCCCCCATGTTCTTCTTGCGTCTCTCGCATTCAGCTGAATCAGAGTATTAAATTGCAATTAAAATGAAGTACCTTTTCATTCAGTTCAAATCCAGATTAAATCACATGATTTCGTTTATAACCCTGATTTACCCTTTTTAATACAAGTAAATCGTCTAAAAATTAATAAACCTTTTTAATGCAGCGAGTTACAGATTAAAAATAAACTGGCAAGTGCAGTTACGTCCCCCGTTGGGATGGAAAGAATGTTATCAAACTTTAATTTATTGCATACCAAAATGAGAAATAGTAGAGACTGAGGAACACCCAGATTAGTTTTTCTTTTCAAGAATGTGAACGGGAAAATTAATAATGAAAAAAGGATGAACATAAATATCAAAATACGTTGAGTGAATGCAACTGAAGCAATACCTTGGTATGGAATGTCGACAAGTATCTCGTCGACTTCAATCTCATTCGGGATGCCTCTTATAACAATCAGAATTTTGAAGTCCTCTGGTAGTGTCTGGTAGTGAGTAGGTGTGGAAACTTACTTTTTGATCGCGAAGTTATTTGGTATGTTTTTGTCATTTATATGGCGAGTACATCTTGAAGTGACTTCAAGGATATTGTGACGCTCAAACCACAGCCAGTTTTTGTTCCACTTAGCCATCTCCTTCTCTTCTCCTTCTTTAGCCTTCTCCTGGATGATGATGGAAGGAGAAGGCTTGGCTTAACCATCGGCGGTGTAGGAAAGTTACATTAGGCGTTTCTTAGCTACGTGCGCTTGAGGCCGTCTTTTTAGCGTGAGTTGCACGCGCGAACTACTCGAATCCTATTTATCATTCTCAAAAGTATCCTGTTTATCATTATTATCATTTTACTTTCTGTTATAGTCCACTGCTGGACATAGCCTGGACATAGCCAGGACATAGATTGTTTCCAAGCAGGATCCTGTGCCACCTACATCCATCAACTGCACGCGTATTTTCAACTTATCGGTTTATTAAATTTCTAGACTTCCAATTATCGCGAGTTCATTTTAGTAAAATTAAAAACGGTTATTGCCGGTTATAGGTACTCACGAGAATCCGTAACGAATCGCTTATTTCCACTTTAATACGTGAAATTTTGATTATAACGCGACGCTGTCATTCCATGGAACTGGGATTCTTTTACTTTAAGAAGAATCTCTCTCGATATATATTATACTAGCTGACTGGGCAAACGTTGTTTTGCCATATAAATTATTTCTAGAGGAATCGGAATGCACGCATAAAGTGTTTGACAGGTTACACAGACATAGCTGACAGGTTGACAGGTACAGTTTGTATGGAAAAATAAAATTGTGGCTATTTCGATTCTCCATGCAATTTTTCCATAATTTCTGATCGTTTAAACCTTCCCTGGACTGACACAAATATTTCAAAAATTTGCCAAAATTAGCCAAATCGGTCCAGCCTATCTCGAGTTTTAGCGAGACTAACGAACACCAATTCATTTTTATATATAAAAATGAGAATACGTCAATTTCATTTGAAACCATAGGCCATATGTTACAACGTTATGAAAAAAACCGGCCGAATACGGGTCGGACTCGCGTACAAAGGGTTCCGTAACATTATCTACAAAAGCGAAAAAAAATCATGTTTGTTGTATGGGAGCCCCACTTAAATGTTTTTTTATTCTTTTTTAAGTCTTATTGTTATAGCAGCAACGGAAATATATAATTTGTGAAATATCAACTGTCTAACTATCACGGTTCATGAGATACAGCCTGGTGACAGACGGACGGAGAGACAACGGGGTCTTAGTAATAGGGTCCCATTTTCACCTTTGGGTACCGAATCCTAAAAACCAAATGGACAACACTATTGACGTAGTTAGTAACTTCCGCACTAATTAAGTATATTTAATGACCTACAAGTACCTATTTTGATGCTTAATATCCCCGTCGGCCAAAACTCTATGAAAATGGTAAACTAGTCAGACCCATCGATGTATGTTCGGTGAAAAGTGCTTGAGAGAGTACAGTGCTTCGCCTTCGAAGAGAGCGATGCTCAATTGCCAACTTTTCTCATATAAAAGTATTACTGACAAATGTTTGAATTTATGAGAAATAAGACTTGAAGAATTAGAAGAGTTTGTAATAAATAATTAGGGACTCGCAACATATAAGAAACGGGCCAATTTTACCTCTTAAATTTTATATATGCATATTCTACAAATTCATAAAATCAGTTGATGCACACTTATTTTTAATCATGCAACTTTAATATTTTTTTTAGTTCTGGGGACTTTATAAACATTATTCGAATCCGGGATTCAAAGTATTCAACGACTTAGAGATATCTATAATTACTGCTTATTCCGTTGGTATAATTTCACAGCACCAATCTGCTTGATTAAAATTTACATATGTAATGTTAGTCGCGATATCGCATCCAGTATGTTTGTTTTGTTTGTTGAGGATTCATTACTGTACGTATTCTCACGACATGGAACTGCTTTTGATGTTGTTTATGTGTGGCCTAGCCACTTCAGGACGGGTGAGAATAGAATAGTAGAGACGGTAGATTTAAAACATTAAAAAACACTCCGGGACGAGCTGCCAACGTTAATTAAATTTTGCAAAAATTGAACATAAAATGTACCTAATTTTCGAACTTGAAGTCAGACTTGAAGGAACTTGTCAAGCTCAAGACTAGGTACACTTAATTGGTGGTTAAAACGAAAGTAGCACTTAATTTTTTTTTTGTGTCTCCTAACATTGGGGAACGATCGTGAAAACGGGCATAAGTACAACAGATACATCACATTTGTTAAATGACAATTAATACAAAATACTGTATTTTCAAGTCTGACCTGATCAAAATTAGGTACATTTTACGTTTAAACTTTTTTGGTGTACCTTAAAGTTAGGGATCGGTACTGAAAACGGGCATTGGATTTATAAAAACGTCGTACAACTCGATTCTTCCCTTGTTTTTTGTTGTAACCAAGGCCGTCTTAGACGGGTTTTAAAATCAAACTCGTAAATGACTCTCTGATATTTGGTTGATTCAACAATTTGACGCGCGCTTAACGTTGAAACGTCGTTAAGAAATCCACATCATGATGTCTTTATTATGTACCTACAATGTTTGAATTGATTTTTTCTGGTTATTTCTTGTCAAATTAAAATATTAACATTTTTTTCATTATGGAATGATTATTTAACATTATGTCAAAGTATGTACTTCGTCTAACAAATCACCCCGTATAAGGTCCATATTTTGCCCATGTGTAAGATAATAAATATTCAATTTTCTTATTTAAATAAAAGGAGATTTAGATTTGAATGCCCGAAAACCTCTTGCAGGTACCGGGGCGGGAGTGTTTTACCATCGGAGGGATCCAGCTCTGCACACTTGTAAGTAAAAGTAAAGTTACAGACTATACATGTCCCACTGCTGGACAAAGGCCTCCTAAATACAGAGGGTATCAAGGCATAGTCCTCCACGCGGCCCCACTACGGATAGGCGGACTTCACATGTATTCGAAATATTTTTTGTTTTTATTTCGAAAATATGTAGGTTTCCTCACGATGTTTTCCATCACCGCGGAGCACGTGATAAGTCAACACTTAAAATTAACAATTTCGTTGGTGCCGGCACCGGGGATCGAACTCAGATTGCTCGAGTATATTGAATTTAAGGCGAGCGCCCGAACACTGAGCTATCTCGGCTCCAAGTATAGACTTATAAGTATAAAATTGTAAATTAAGTAAGTAAGCCTTAAAATAAATTGGTTGAGCACCAATGACCGAACTTTTTTCAAAGACTGCCACTTGAGATTTTTGGCCCTAAATCCCTGAATCTGACAAGAGATTATCTTAGAGAAAGTTCTCGTAGATGTGAATAGTGAGTAATAATTAAGAAATCATCAATCGACAGACAATAAAATTAATGAACTCGTAGAATTTGTACATTCAATAATAATAATGTTATATTTTTTCTTCCCTTATACAGCCAGATATTGCAGAAGATTACCACTACACGTCAGCCGAAATAGATGACAAAAATAAGGTAAAAATTATGACGTTACTTCTACCCTATGGTAAAAGATAGTAGTGTATCGTACATTTGCAAGCTTATTGGGCACCTTCCTGTAGGATATCGACACATCACAGTACTGTGAAGGGCTCCTCTCATGTAAACGATTAACTCCTTGTCCATAACGCTCATAAGACGTACGGAGTATCGGAATCCCTTAATCCAATGACTACCGGTGAGTCCCGGTGACAGTAGATGTCATATAACGTAAAGCGGAACAATTTTCAGACGTCGCGCAGTAGGTACATGCGTAATTATTATTAAACATCATTAGCTTTATTTACTTGACAAGAATATTGTATATTTACTTGACAAGTATATTGTATATTTACTTGACAAGTATATTGTATATTTAATTGGCAAGTATATGCCAATTCACTCTTGCCTTAAGGACACCGACGCAAGTATACTACTTTCACTTCACGCCATTTACATGGTGCCAGTTTCTTGCCTGATGTATACAATTAAATTAAAGCAATAAATGAGTTGCATGGTCTAAACAACAAATGGTCTAAACAATTATTGCGCGCAATTTATTGCATTCAATTATTGCCCTTGTATGTTCAAGAAAATGGCATCGTGTAAATGGGCCTTAACTGCTATCCCACCTGATGGTACTTGGCATTCCAGGCATAGATGGTAAATACACTAGATAAGTAAATACCTAGATTCAATAATATTATATACAAAGACTAGCCGACCCAGCTAATCATTGTTTTGCCATATAAATTATTTGTAGGGTGGAAAAAAAAATTTAATTGCTTATAAACCATTCTCATCTATATGCCAATTTACTCTTGCCTTAACGACACCCACGAAAGTATACAACTTTCACTTCACGCTGGTGTTTCCGATCTTTATCTTTGTTATACTTCCCCGGACGAGCAGATTTTCTTAAAATAAAACCTTTTCAGCGGCGGTTAAAAGACACCGAAATCAGTTCCTTTGCAGCATATCTTTGTTTATTTGTTTGCACACTTTATTATAGCAACTGGTACAAACGGCGGGCTTAATGCCATAAGGCATTTTCTACCAGCCAACTGGAAAGTTAGTGAGAGAGAAGTGTAGGTGCTAGCTATATAAGGATTATATAATATGTATACAAACATTATGATAACAACTATTAAAAGTCATAAAATACCTATAAATTGACCATTCCTCTCTTCATTGATAAATTTAATCACGGAATCTCGAAATTTCATCAGATTAGATCAGAGAGAAGAAATGTTGTAAACTTGTAAATAATTGATACTTTTTTTACGTTACGGTTCGTCTGATAATTAAAGTTACCGTTGACAAAACATACAAAATTTTTTGTCAAAAAGGTATTTACTGCCGAGAATATTCAATCAAAACGTGCCACCGGAGGCCTATCCGACGAAACAAAATTTTAAAAACAAAATAAAATCGTGGCTACTGAATGCCATTGACGACCTGTAGCCCAATATTGAGTTATTCTAAGTTATTAAACTTTATTAATTATTAATTTAATTTAAGCTATTCATTTTCTTTCTCTTATAGCCTTGTTATTAGTTTAGTGATAAGTGTATTTAGGTAAATACCAGAGTGGTAAAATTACTGACATTTTTAGGGTTCCGTCCCCAAATGGTAAAACGGGTCTGTCTGTCTGTCACCAGGATGAATATCATGAACCGTGATAGACCGTTGAATATGATGATATTTAGTTGATTCAACAATTTAACGCGTGCTTAGGGGTTAAATATGAAACGTCGTTAAGAAATCTACATCATGATATCTTTATTATATATAAATCTATGTATGGACATAAAACGTCCATATGTTGTCCAAGTGTAAGATAATAAACATTTAATTTTCTTGTTTAAATGAAAGGAGATTTAGATTTTAATGCCCAAAAACCTCTTGCAGGTACCGGGGCGGGAGTGTTTTACCATCGGAGGGATAAAGCTCTGCACACTTGTAAGTAAAAGTAAAATAACAGACTTCATGTCCCACTGCTGGACAAAGGCCTCCTTAATACAGAGGGTATCAGGGCATAGTCCACCACGCGGCTCCACTGCACATTGGCGGACTTCACATACCTTCGAAATATAATCTGTTTTATACGTAAACATAACACTGATATCTTAAGTAAATCTGTCATTCTTGATTGACCAATAACGATATCGAAGATTTATCAAAGGCATTGTGACGGGTTCAGTTGTAAATGCTTTACTAAGACAAAAAAGATGTCTACATAGTTCTGTTTATTATCTAAATGTGAAGAAATTTGTTTAAGAAGATTTTAAAGACATTTCGTTTTTATGGACAAAAACATAATGCTTGAAATGTGGAATGTGCAAATCTAAAGTTTAGTTAGCTTATTATTAGCTTGTCAAGCTAATAAAGCCTGTAATATTTACCCTAAGGTAAATTGGTCGAGCACCAATGCAGATAAGAACTTTTTTCAAAGACTGTCACTTGAGATTTTTGGCCCTAAATCCCTGAATCTGACAAGAGATTATCTTAGAGAAAGTTCTCGTAGATGTGACTAGTGAGGAATAATTAAGAAATCATCAATGGACAGACAATAAAATTAATGAACTCGAAGAATTTGTACATTCAATAATAATAATGTTATATTTTTTTCTTCCCTTATACAGCCAGATATTGCAGAAGATTACCACTACACGTCAGCCGAAATAGATGACAAAAATAAGGTTAAAATTATGACTTTTCTTCTACAAAAGATAGTGTATCGTACATTTGCAAGCTTGTGGGGCATCCTCTTGTAGGATATCGACACATCACTCTCATACTGTGAAGGGCTCCTCCTCTCATTTAAACGATTAACTCCTTGTCCATACCGCTCATAAGACGTACGGAGTATCGGAATCCCTTAATCCAATGACTCCCGGTGAGGCCATGGAGACAGGCAAGCTTGCAAGTGTCAAAACTAATGATTTTTTTATAAAGGACCTCTAGTGCTTTAAGGCCCATTTACATGGTGCCAGTTTCTTGCCTGTTGTATACAATTAAATTGAAGCAATAAATGAGTTGCATGGTCTAAACAACAAATGGTCTAAACAATTATTGCGCGCAATTTATTGCATTCAATTATTGCTCTTGTATGTTCAAGAAAATGGCATCGTGTAAATGGGCCTTAACTGCTATCCCACCTGATGGTACTTGGCATTCCAGGCATAGATGGTAAATACACTAGATAAGTAAATACCTAGATTCAATAATATTATATACAAAGACTAGCCGACCCAGCTAATCATTGTTTTGCCATATAAATTATTTGTAGGGTGGAAAAAAAAATTTAATTGCTTATAAACCATTCTCATACCTACTGAAAGTGTAATTCTATGTACTGCTATCTCTTTCCGTATCATACGTTCTATATAATCTGTTACATTCACTTACAGTAGATGTCATATAACGTAATGCGGATCAATTTTCAGACGCCGCGCGGTAGGGACATGCGTAATTATTATTAAACATCATTAGCTTTATTTACTTGACAAGTATATTGTATATTTACTTGACAAGTATATTCACTATCAGATGAACCGTATGCTCGCTTGGCAACTTTTCACATAAAAATACCCTCCTTGGGAATAAACACCATGAACCGGAATGATTATCCGTATACAAGGGCCAGGTTATAAATACTTTTCGTTACAAATACAGTGTTGTATTACAATAATAATTAAATGACTGTGACCACCAATATTTTGTCTACGATTTTTTTTAATGAAACTATTTCGTTTTTTTAGAAGCTTTTTCTAAGAATACAAAACAAAAAAGAGTAAGTTTAATTTTATGTAATGGCCTTTCATTCACAATATGCACATTAATGAAAGTTGACTAAATAAATAAAAAAGTTTGACAACGTTTTAACATTAGGCAGTAACTAGATTAATTTTAAAGGTAAACGTGATAATTCCCTATTGATAGTTTCGTTTATTTATTTTCTTAAGGTTAGCCAACATTGGACACATTATTCATGAAGCTAAATTAAAAAAATCGTAAATGTTCCAACAATTATAGGTGAAACAATTATAGGTAAAAAATTATACCCATATTAAAATAAATTGATATCTATAAACTTGTGTGAGCAAAGCACTGTTTTTTTTATGTGAAAGTTGCCAAGCGAGCAGACGGTTCGCCTGATGTTAAGTGAATATCGCCGCCCATGGATATCTGCTCCACCCGAGGGTACAGATGCCTTGAAAACCTTTTGAAAATTGGGCTCCGGCTGTTATTTAACCGGGCCAATCCAACGACAAATTTCGACCTATGTTATATGGTTCCACGTTTTAAGATCGACGGTAGTCCATAAATAACTGAGTCTCCGCCAAGCGCCACGAATGCAGGTTTTTAACAGAAATTTCTAGCCCAAGAAGTAATAACCTCTAGCGTCTTCTTTACGGTTAAAGGGTAAAACGGGACCCAACCACTAAGATTCCGCTGTCTGTCTTTCTGTCCGTCTGTCACCAAGCTGTATTTAAGAACCGTGATAATTAGAGAGATGAAATTTTCACAGATGATGTATTTCTGCTGCCGCTAAACAGAATAAAAAAATATTTGAATGGGGCTCCCATACAACAGACACGATTTTTTTGCCGTTTTTATAGATAATGGTACGGAACCCTACGTGCGCGAGTCCCACTCGCACTTGTTTCTTCGTATCTTTGTAGTAGTCTCTTCCTGAGCGATCATAGACTAATTTGCCTATTCGTTATGACTTCGAATCATAGATGACCTCATACGCAGTTTGATTTCTCAACCCGCCCTTATTTGGTAAAGAAAGGTTCATGTATGGCACCCGTGAAATCACTTTGATTGTAGAGGATAAGAAAGTTGGTCTTCTCACATCGTTCAACCCGCTGACTATGTCGAGCAATTAACTGTTTTTACTTTTTCAATCATTACATAGTAAATATTTTACTTCTTAGCAGTATATGGGCGGCCTATGTTCAGCGGTGGACTCAAACAGGCTGAAATGATGACGACTATTTTAATTAATCGTGAGCTTTTAATTCATACCTATATGAGACACTCCATAGGCAAAAAAAATATGTTAATTTAGATTTTTTATACTATAACATTATGCGAATGTTCTTCAAACAGATCAGACCCGGCCCAAAAGCTTCTACGATGAAAGTACCCCGTGTGAGTTCTTTTGTTTATGAGTAATTTATAAATTATTACATCAGTCTAGAGCTACTACTATATATCATATATCTAGCATATATCTAGACTACTATACATATCTACATTATTTATACGGCTGCATATATCTAGACTAGTATACATATCTACATTATTTATTTTTATTTAAAAATTATTGTTTACACCCCAACTCAAGGCTAAACAAAAGACGAACTTAATGCTAATACTCTTACACTACGCTCATACGCATTTTCTTCCAGTCAATAGACACTCTTAAATTTAACAAAATACGCGAAATATCGTTTATGACAAAAGTAGACTGTAATGTGATCGAGATCGGATATTAAAACCACAATTAAACTTTAAAAAATCCAGAAATGACAAAAATTATGAACTTTTATGAGAAATGGACATATCATTTAGATATTAGAGAATATTATGTTGAACGGTGAACCTTTTCGATGTGAAGTTGAATAATAATTAGAAAATTTCAATTTTAATTTATATATGATATTCTTTGATTTGATTTTTATATCAAACTATACAATAAGAAAATGAGAAGTACTTATTTATAATTTTTAAACTAAATCAGAAAACTACTGTTGACAATTTTTGAACGCTATACATAAAAAAAACACATTATTTAAGAATTTCCTTTAATTTTAATTTAACACAGCTTATCATTCAGCGTATATTTCTCTAACAGGTGAAGCCTGGCTCAAAAGCTTCAAAATCTAAGGCAGCCCGTGTAAGTTCTTAATTTAACAACAGTGCAGAGACACGTTATTTTTATACACGATATTTCAAATGGAAATCCAACGCAATAGATTTACGCGCTGATCGATGTGGGGATGAACGAATCCTGAACTCGAGAAACGGGTAGTTAAATCTAGCACGGTGGGCGTTCCTCAAGGCTCCTGCTTCTCTCCCTTTCTTCTTTCTACCTACACGAATGACATCTAAAAAAACCACAAGTCGACCTTGCGCTCTTCGTGGATGGCATTGCTCTCTTCTATTCGAACAAACGTATTGGTGGCATAACTTTTTGCCTCCGAAATGCCGCCAATCGTCGCGGCTCCGTAAATGGAGAAACAACTTTAGACGTCTAAAAGATCGTAGTAATACACTGACCCAAGCTCGCCACAACTAAAAGCCAACGAAACTTATTTTTCTTGAACTTCGTTTAGTTAGAATCTGTCAATAGCATTGAATTTTAGCTTAACTTAGAGCCCTGTGCCTGGTCAAGATTGATTAGACTGCGGGCTGAAGGAGTACACATCAAAGTTCAAAAATAATCATTGGTGTGGCAAAGATGTTTCTTATTAGTCCTTTGCATTTCTTAGATATTATACAGGAAGGCTTTTTTAAGTGCATCCATTTTTTTTTTATTAAATTCTAGACATAAATAGTGTTATATAAAAAATGATAAACATTTAAAATCACTCGTAATTAAATACATTCATTTGAACGATTTATGGACAACACATTTATTTTACGCGCGACCGTTCATAACTAACACGCACACAAGTTCGTTTCAAAAGTATACGACGCATTTGTCCATTGTCAACAAATTCTATTTTTTTGGGATTGGAATGGCAATTGTTTTTATTTCAATAAACGATTATACTACCGAGTCTGAACCTCCTGTATGAATTTGGGCACCTGTAGAAAAACCACCCTGTATAGTTCCAATGTTTGGATGCTAAGTACTAAAAAATATCAGAACAGCTTTTTCAGGGAATCTAACCTGTTAAAGCAGTTGCTGTTGCAATCAGCCGTTCAGCTTAGTAGCTAAAACGTCAGGCCGCGAATGTCAAAGATGTGGGTTCGATTCTCACAGCGGCGACAATCTTTTTCTACAAGTTTAAATGTTTAATCTTAAGTGCAGAGATTAGCACTATAAAAAACTTTAAATTTCTAACCTGTTAATAAATAACTTACTACAGCTTAACTATCTGCGTATTTTTTTCAAACAGGTCAAATCCAGGTCAAGATCTTCAAAGTCGAATACAGGCTGTAAGTTCCTCTGTTCCAGGCAAATTTTAAAATAATTATTTATCAGTTCGGTGATACAATGATCTTTGTAACCAATCTATTCACTCTCTCTTCTCAACGCGTTTGCTCACAAATATAGCAGAAGATGAAACCGACAAGGGTCTATCCACCTTTAACACTGTGACACTGCTGGTATAGTGGTTCTGGCGAATTTGCACATCTCAATCTCACACGAAAGACTACAAGGGATTAAGGTGCCTTCCCAAACAGGTATCTGCAAAAAACTGGTGTTCCGCCACAGTTTGGTAAAGTTTTATAAGAGACTAGCTGCTGCCTACGTCTGCGCATTACGTCTGCGTAGAATAGACTGAAGGCGTAACATTCAGACAGAAAGACATATATACATAAAATATGTATATAAATTATAGCATATGTCTTATTCTGATGTATAAGCTACATTATTGAAAAGTTTCATTAATATCCATTCCGTAGTATTTGCGTGAAAGAGTAACAAACATCCATACATACATACAAACTTTCGCGTCTATAATATTAGTAAGGATGTGAAAGCCTGCCAAATAGATAACTGAAGGTAGTTAGGTAGGAAGGTAGTTTGTCTTGAAGCAGTATACAATACTTCGGTACTATACCAATTCACGTGTTTTCAAAACGTTGAGACTCGAACTATGTCACCGCGCCTAATTTAATAAAATTTGCGATTGCCATTTTGTTTTCCCACAGGATCATATCTTCACCGTCAGGGAGCTTGATACAAAAAGTTTGTGAGAATAAATGTATCAAGTCTTAAACGTGGCTTTTCTTTTGTATTAAGAGAGGGCCTTCAAGAAGGGAGACTAATCCTACCTTAAAGGCCGGCAACGCAATTGCGACCCAAACTATGTTGCAAATCCATCGCTTATCCGCTTGCTTGTTTGCCTCCTTTTTCCATTAAGAAAAAAACCCGCATTTCCCATCTCCGTTTCGCCTCTATCAACGTCTGATAAAAGCTAGCAGATAATTAACATGAGCAGTTAACTCCGTGGTGTAGTTGCCAAGGTATTGGCTTCGGCGTCGGGGGTTGGATTCCCACACGGGACAACTATTTGTATGACCCACAGACAGTTGTTTCGCATGTGGGTGTTTGTTTGTTCACGTGAAATTTATGTTTGTAAATCGTCCTTAAAACAAAGGATAATGTTATCCTAAATTATAAAATATAAATGTTTAGAGAATAATTATGAAAACATTAAATGCTCGCATTCATTTTTAAGCCGTTCTCAATGATGAAATAAGAGCTAATTTGTCTATTAAATTTTTATTAAACACTGAGCACATTATGATACAAACCGAATCCAAGAGCATTAATTACAATACAGTTTTGATTTCAAATCATAAATGCCTTTGCAAACAGTCTTTGTAGCGACACATTGATGTCCAAACTCCATGACTTTTAATATTTGGCTGTAGTGTGAAAATATAATTTAACATTGGAAATAAACATCATTTTATAGTATACATAACTCTCATTATATCATTACAAGTACCCAAAACATTATTCAACACAACAGAAATAAAATAAAGCCTTTCAACACAGAGGTCAAAATGTCTCTCAAATCTTTAAATTTACAGAATAATTATTTAAATTAATATTAAAAGAATCCCAGTCTAAATGAGGAGTATATTTGATATTTTATTCATCTAATCAAATATAAAAAAAGTATAAGTAACTACAAAAACATTTTTTATTAAGATTTTTAAAAATGGAAATTTGAATTAGAGAAATACTTTTCGTAATATCATTCTATATTCTAGATCCGGAAAAACTATCTGTAGCAAGTGTTGACAATAAAAAACATTTATATTATTATTTTCATAACATTATCTTAATTTTAACAATTCATTAATGAACTTTAGAAAATTCTTACATTGTTTCTTAACAAACTAAGGTAGCCTGTGTGAATATTCAATGTCTACAGTTTGGAATTTTCAATATAAGTATGTACAATTGTTAGACAAAAATTAATTATTTATATGTCCATACAAAATGTACTGATACATTTTGTATGGACATGATGTATTAATAATAGGAAAGAGAGAGATAGTTAGAGGGAGAGAGACAACAGCAATGGCTTAATAACATAAGTGCAACTTCCGCGGTCGCATAAAATACAGTAAATAATGGAATTTTGGTCATTACATAATAATATTGCGTTAGAAATAATACATTTTAATACTAATTGAAACTCGTGAACAATTAATACAATGTCCTAATCGTCTTTAGCATTAACTCGCGCGGGGGCCTAGTTTACGGAGACACGATATTCCCTGTAAGCAAAATTATCATTAAATATTTTAATCATATTTCAATCATTTAAATCTGAGAGTACAAAAAGGGCAAATATTTGCCAAAAGTCAGCGAAGACCTGCAGAACGAAAGTAACTAAATACCACACATCTTGTCTTCTTCAATAGTGTACTAAAAATATTATATTTTTATTTTGGGTTCGATTCCCGCATGGGACGTTCATGTGTGTGTGATTGTTCCAGTTCTGTTTATTGTTGTCTTCAGGGGGCCGGTGGTGAATAAAAATTCACATGCTATGCTGATTCCACCAAGTGGAGTCAAGTTACGTTTGCTCAATTAATTATGGGTGTCACTGCTTTTGTTGATTATTCTTAATACAGAGGCATATTAAAAACTATCAATATAAAATGGCCTTTATTCCTAACGGAATAAGCGCTATTTAACCTGTTTCTGAGGTCAAAGAGGCTTGCTCAATTATTTCTAGATGTATGTCACTGCCTCTGCTGTTTATCCTCAATACAGTGGCATATCAATAACTTAACGTAAAATGGCCTCTATTACAAAAGCATAAGCGCTACATTACCTGCTCCTGATACTCGGCCCTAGAGAGCCAGAAGTTGTCCCTGTTCTTGCACACCTCCGCCAACACTGCGCCGCCAATGAACACCATGTCCTTACGCCGTGGCGGATCTTCGATGCGGATCTTGAATTTCTATTAACGCAGTCATGTAACACAATAAGAACAATGGCATACGATTAATAATAGCTGCTCCTTGTTCTAGCTCAGCTGGTGTGTAATACTGTAGTTTAACTCTTACAGATTAACAGACTACTACTGTACATAGTAATGAGTAAGGGGATATGGTGAGGAAGAATATTGTGTATTTCTAATATACACAAGGAATACGGATTTCCGCTAGCCGGAATCCGCAAACAGGTCATTTGTCTTCCCACATCCATGTACTCTTATTAAATATTTATGACAATGGATACACATATTCAGTGTTGTACGAGTTAGTTTGTAACAGAATGAGACTTTGTGGGTGAGTGAGTGAATGAGTGATACTTTGGCAATGGGTGAGTTAATGTGTGTTACCTTGGGAATGAGTGAGTGAATGATTGATATTTTGGGAGTGAGTGAATGAGTGGTGCTTTGGAAGGGAGTGGGTCAATCAGTGACACATTGGCAGTGAGTGAATGAATTAGTGAGCGTCGCTGTACTGACCGCCAGCTTATCGCAGTCGTTCCGCAGCACCCTCTCGAGGTAGAGCTGCTTAATCTCGCGCTCCAGACGAGAGGGCAGCCCCGGGTACATCGTGGAGCCCCCGGAGAGCACGATGTGCTTGTACAGCTCGTTGCGCATGTCGATGTCGGCCGCCTGTGAGAGTTATATTTATTGTGACCCCACTGGCGCCGGAGGGTGCGGGTTCGATTCCCACTACTGGATAAATATCGTGTGACGAACGTAGTATTCCAGTGCCTCGGTGTTTATATATCAATAACATGTGTTTATTTATGAGAGAAAAGTATATCTAAGTATGATCACCAGTAACATAGTGCCTGCAGTACAAGCTTTGCTTAGTTCGGAACTAGGTAGCATTGTGTAAAAATATATCCTGAAATATTTAAAATGAAATATTAAAATCCGAGCGCAATCATAATGATGAACAAACACACGAAGGTTCGTTCATCAAATCAACAATTTTTTTTTAAGTTAAAAGTTGCCAAGGGTCGTCTCAGCGTTTCAAGTGTTAGTTTTAAGTGAATACCGCCGCCCATGGACATCTGGTACACCTGAAGATTACAGATGCATTGAAAGCCTTTTGAAAACTGGGCTCCGGGTACCTTACACACCAGACGAAACGCGAAAGTTTATTATACTTCCACTTCACTCCGGTCTTCTGTGAGGTCGCGGTACTTACCCGGACGAGCCTGCCCATTCGTGCCACAGCCGAGGCTGCTGCGTGACCCTAACACCCGAACTCGTCGTGAACTTTTTTGCTTTTTGTTGGCGATTGCCCCCTGGGAGTACCTGGATAGTGTTGAAGACCAGCTCCGCGATCCCTTGACCCTCGACGTTGATCAGGTGCGGCTGGAACAGGGCCTCGGGCGCTTCGAACCTCTCGCCACCGACTTTGATCACTCGGCCATCGGGGAGCTGTAAAGAACCAACATCTGCTATGCAAAAACTCACTCATAGTATCCGTTGAGAATCGTCGACTACTGTGACATAACTAAAAAAGATGATACAAAACAGGTGAACATGGTGAACAGAGATGAATTAGAATGGCTGGAAAAATCAAGGTTCTTTTTATATGTGAAAAGGTAGTAGGTAAACAGGCGGTACACCTGATCTCAAGTGGTGACCGCCGCCCATATACATTTGCAACACGGATAGGGTTGCAGATGCGTTTCCACCTTTTAATAATGTGGGTCGCACTTTTGCCACATCATGTCATATCTTCTGATAAACACGGGTGACCGAGTACTTGTAACTTGTAACTATTATTCAGACCGGCGTGAAGTGGAAGTGTTATACTTCTGCTCTTCGTCTGGTGAGTGAGGTACTACATTGGTACTACATTGGGTATTGCAAATGTCCAAGGGCGGAGGTTAACACAGGTAAAACGCCAGCTCGCTTGCCATCTGCGTACACAATAAAAAGAAACGGTAAGATTGTAGACTGACCACATAGGGCTCGACCAGCACAGTGGTTTCCCAAGCCAGCCGCTGCTCCTGCTCAATGTTGTAACCGATGTAGCAGAGTTTCTCCTTCATCATCCGCACAGTCTCGAAGTCGGCCGAGTGGTTGAACGCGTAACCGCGCAGTAGCAGCAACTGTTCAAAACGACAGCAATCTGAATACAAATCTATCTATACGGTTAAATAAAGTTGGGGTGTCTGTTTGTAAAATTAAAATGACCGCTTTTTACTAAATGCACATGGATGTATACACGGCACATATACCAAAAATTTTTTTTTTACTTTTTTTATCTCTGAAACAACTTTCACTGTCAGATAGCTGATGTAATAAGGAGTAACTTAGGCAACTTTTCTTATAGAATTTTTAACTCTTTTAAATTCCACGCGGACGATGTCCCACTAGTTATACATAGAATTAATAATGTATTAGGTTTAAATGATTTTTTTTCTATAGTGCTATTCCCTACACTAAACGAGAAATTAAGGATTTAAAAACGAAAAGTTTTTCTCTGAGCTCAACGGCATCGTCCATTATTATTACAAAATTCAAATAAAAATCAAATAAGAAGTAAAATTTTGCGAATACAAATATTTTAAGTTGTTAAACATGTGAACTTCTATCTATGCTTCCGAATTAAACTTAGTTTTATTTAATAATAACAAAACTTGCGTATTTCTTTGCTTTGCTTTGCGTAGAAACGATTCATTAGCGATAACTAACTATGGAACAAGTTCAGCAATTATTATCACAGATATAATAAAAAAAAATTTTTTACCTCAATTACGTAACTATAAAGATCCCATGACAGAAGTTTCGCTGATTGCATATATTTAGACATTAAAGACTACTTAATAATTTAACTACGATATAGGTATATATATATTGAAGTATCATACAAAAAGGAATGTCTTGTCAAAGAAAATAAAAAATAACATCAATATTAAAAACACACTTGATGTAATTAAAATATCTACAGGATTCGTAGCCAGCGTCTCAGTTTTCTGAAGATTGCATTGTGAAGAACCCGTTACAGCCCCATTATAAAAACAAGATTCACATTCTCACCTTGATGAGATATCTGGTGATATCCCTTCCCGCAATATCCAATCGTCTAGTCAGATGCGGAAGGGCAAATTCCTCGTACACTGGACAGATGTGTGTCACACCATCCCCTGTAAACAGGTATTTTTGTATTTTCAGCGGAAGGCTGCAACTAAAAAGGATTCATTGTAATTTTCCCTTCGAAAACATTGCCAGATTACATTATCATGTGTTATAAGGATGTTTTACATTCATAAATTTCATGTGTACAAACACTCAGATTTATTATAGTGATAGATGTATTTCTTTAACAATTCTGCTCATTACTTAATACACTCAAAGAAAAAAAACTCACTCACCCGAGTCCACCACTACACCGGAGATGAGACCTTGAGCATACAAAGTCAGCACTGCTTGTATTGCTATGTAAGCGCTGTCGAAACCGTACTTTTCGAACATGACCTGAAAGTATTTAACAACACATATATTATAAATGTAAAAGTCAGGAATAGGCTATGCCTGTTCTCTGTTCTGGCTTTGACATCTGAATGCATTTTCCGAAAATATTCAGTGACCTATTAGGCTGGATTGCCCAGAATGAGGCTCTTAAGGCATTACTTAGAGACATATGTTATTGGTAAGTTAGATATAAATTGTTAATCTTTTTTCTTACATATAGACATTTCATAATAAGCCCCTAGACCAGTGGTGACCTTACCTTATACCAGTGGAGACCATATCTTAGACCTTATACCAGTGGTGTCAATCATCTGATTGACACCACTGGTATAAACTAGTATTTCTGTATACAAGCCAATGCATTCATTGTCCCCAGTGGTATGGTAAAGATGGTCACTTTTATTTGTGTGTTAAGTCTAAAATGTGACAACATTACCGTTCGTCCTACATGTCTACACCATTTCCAAATAACCTTTTGCAAGAATCTAGCCAGTCACTGGCTAGATTCTTGCAAAAGGTTTTTGTGCAATAATTTTAATGAAGAACTAACTAAAAAAGCGCAGTTTAAATGTTCAAAAGCTTGGTGTGTACCACTGGGATTCGAATATGCAACCATAGATCGAGTCAAAATGAAATCATTGATGGTTTATTAGTACAATTATGATCTTAATGTAGCTGTCTCAAATTCGTAATAACCACAAATAATTTCATATCACACATAAATTTCAATTATTCTATTTATTTACATATGACAATGGGTACAATAAGCACTTTTGCTAACATTGTCAAAACCATAAGTCAAATATATATGAGGATTATTACTCATTAGAAAGTCAAACAACCTCAATCATCTTCTCTCTATTCTTTGTTGGGTTCATTGGGGGCTCGGTGAGCAGTATCTTGGTCTCTTTTGGGTCCACGTTCATCTTGCTGGGGCCGAAGGTGTAGTCCCACACGTGGCACATGTCCTCCCAGTTGCGAACCACCTGGAAGCAATAAGGTTTACTAAATAAAACCCACAATATTATTACAAACATGGATTTCAATTTTGTCTTACTTCTGGTGAAAAAATAGGATCTTGTATAATACAAAATAAGTTACTAAATTATCATTGAATTTCATCCTCAGATAGTGGACAGCAACAATTTTTAAAACCACACAAATATAAATACATTTTATTTTGACTTCATCTGTAATTTTTCATAACCCAACAAACTTTTCTTAAGAATCTTACATTACAAGGGAGCTTAAATAACCGGTTTAATATTTACTGTGGTGAGATTATGACTCTTTATCAGACTTGACTGTTTCTGTGATGGAACGATTGAGCCTACTGCCTGCTGAAAATATTTTATCCCACAGTAATCACAAACAATAAACTTTTACTTTTAAATCCTACAAAATCTCATGAAAAATTAAAAAAAAATAACTCACTCCATTCTCCATGGGATAGCTGACTTCGAGCATCGAACGCAACTGTGACGCTTCATCACCCACCATCAAATCCTGAAATTAGAATATACAATCAAATAGAAAACAATAACACAGCTTCGTATTACTATTAATGATTAGTACAAATGCTATAGGTGCTGCTGTGAGACAAAAAACAAAAACAAATTCTAATCTGTTAGTCTATGTACAGTAAAAAAAAAACAAATAAAAAAAATTATATTTTAGATTAAGAACTCACTATTTCATTTTTAACAACAATTGATAATTATACCTGTCACTCATAAGGTCCTCATGCTATAATCAAGGTTTCCGTTGCTGTCCTTCTCTACAAGTTACTAAATATATTTGCCTGGCAATACTAAGATTGCAACAAAACAGTTAAGCAAATACTGCTGTGGCATGTTGCAAATACCTGATACTTATTTTACCTGAACAATCTCTGGGTCGAACGTCTGGTATGCATGAAATTATACATTAACATTTTCTCATACGCTTTTTATATCCACTTAAATTATTCATAAATTCAGACATTTTAACTTGTTTTCTGAAAATGTCTGTCAGATGTTTTCAATTTATAAGAATTTGCCAACATTGAACCAAAAGTAAACAAACTGTCACCATTGTTATGGACGAGTGCTAAAACATAAAGTTTTATATCCCGAAATTCAACGAAAAGACATAAAACACTTATGGAAAATAAACATTAATATTTATTTATAGAAGATTGTCTATTATCCATTTAGTTTGTTCATAGTATTTTAGCACTGTAAAATATGAATGTAATAATAATTTATGCCCGATTAAGAAACTGATACATTGCAATGCATTATTAAAGGCTCAGAGACAAGTTGAGTGAATAATTTTTGGGATAGTCTAAAATATGCTCTATATTTAAAAAAAAAATATCTTCACGTAAATTAAAGTAAAAGATTATTTTCGGTTAGTACAAAAAAAGTAACAAAAAAACATCTTAAATTAACAACTTACACACAACAATGTCCAGTAACTTTTAGATACCCAATTCACACAATTTTTCTGTTAGTAAAAATTATCACATTCAAGGGAAGGAAAACAAATTCATAAATTTGGAACTGCACATAATTGATTATGATATGTATTAAAACTTTAAAACTTGTAGAAAAAGTGCGAAAAGATTGTCGCCGCCGTGGAAATCGAACCCACGTCTTCGGCATTCGCGGCCTGACGCTAACGGCTGATTGCCACACCGGCGAAAATCTTAACGTCTTTTATCTACATTGGTTTTTAGCATTTGATAGCAATGCTTGGCACATCTATTGTTACATCCTTTCTAGCATACAAACAATTTCGAATATCGTTTTACAACGATAACTCGAACGAAAGATGTCGCCATTTCTTTTTAGAAATTAATAATGTAATCGACACACATACAACATGACAATTAGTTATGCGTAATAACTTTTAATAACCTCTGATATCTCTTTGTCTCCACAGCTATACACTAACAAATACATGCACATATCCACAGTTCATACATCCACCCCTTCAGAAAATAGATAGCCAATCTAGTTGAGACATTGTAATGACACACAAGTTGATTGTTAAATATCTGGCCAATTATTTTAAAAGTATTATGGTAAACATCATTGAACACAATATTTGGAAGTTAATTATTTGTCCTTCACTCTTACGGTCATGCCCAAACTTTATTTTCCATGTGAAAACGTACATTCTTTGAATCACTGTTAGCTTGATAGCTATATGTTTTGGCTTTCACAACAGACCTTATCACAATGTTAAATCATCGCTAGAAAACTTACATGCTAAGATAAATAATGACTTACTCCAATACACAAATCCTGGAAAATATGACAAATATTATAAACAGATAAAAAATATTACTTTTTAATAACAAAATAATGACACTTACAGTTATTAAAAATTAAATAATTGAATCACTATTTACAACAATTTTATAGGTTTTTTTTCCACCAAACTCAAAATCACTGAATACTACCACTTTAAAAAATTATTTTCTTGCTAAGTAGCAAGTAACATAATAAAGTATTCATTCATTCATTCATTCAAGTAACTGATTAGTCATATTTTCTGAATAATTAAGAATTAACAACTTACACTTCTTATTATAATTTAAAAAAGACTTTTAGGTCTGACTGACTTAATAACTTAATAACTATTTTGCCATTGATCAAATGGAGGAACATATTTGAATACTATTATTAACATATATTTCTACAAACAAAAAAAAGCCACTTGAACACAGAATAATTTGTGGTACATACCAAATATACTAACTAGTAAAATAAGAACCAAATCTGTTCATAAGTTGTTCATAATGTATGCACTGTTCAATTGATTATGTAAAATATATAATTGAGCAATGCTAAGTTTTAAGTCCACATAATGGCTGAAGTAAAGACTGCATTGTTGAGGAGTGTGCATGTGATCCAACAAACCAATTTTTCATTTATAAGATTATATACAACACTACTTAAATTGTCAGCTCATGCCCGAGACCCACATATTTTGGATTTCGCATTTCACTCAAATTTTGGATTCCAGTAACAGTGCATGATAAAGCTCCCAGTATAACAGTTGCTTTATCACTCACTGTATGGAACATATTTCTAGCCTTATCTTTCAAAAATGTGTGAAAATATACATGTTTATGTAAATAAACATTTCAATGACTTAAAAGTTCAAGTTTACTAAATTTATAATTTTACTGGAATTTGATAAATCTAGTTCCGTGAATATAAACAATGATTAATCTCACCTTAACATCAATTTCTCCTATCTTGTTTTCCGCTCGAATGATGGGTCGGCCAACCATAGAAGGGAAAATAAATGCAGGAAAATTGCTGCCGGCATATCCGCACTTCACAAACTGGAATACAATTATATTTCAATGATGAATCAGTCCCTTATCGGCAGAGTTGTAGTCTAAGAAAATTTTAAATAACTCACCCCAGTGCCATTATCGCAAACAATAACCTTTCTTCCTTGATCGTCCATTGTTGGTTTTTAATACAATTAATCAGAACTAAGATTATGTACAGTAAAATAATATTTAATCAGCTTCCAGGAGTCAGTGAACAGCCACAAAAGTAGATGTTTATAAAATGACAGTTTGTATTGTACAGACTATGACAAATAATTTGTAAACTTCAGTGTTTTACAAATATTATGTTTATTGACCAGTATTTAAGAGATAAATTGGAATGGCTTTTTTAGTGACACACCTAATGGTTTTATTTTATGGTCTAGAAAAGATAGTAATCTTATTTATGTATCATGCAGCCGTAACTCAGAAATAAAAAACAAAATAACTGTCTCATTTATTAACTCTAAAAATGTATGTATAGGACATAATATGTCCGACATATATGTAAAGAAAATACATATTTTGTAAATTATTAAGCATTAATTTTATACTACTATGGAATACTCTAGGAGAAGGTTGACGGTTTACCTACCAGACAAAAAAAAAGTGACCTCAATAAAAGAGTCACAATTTTCGAGATATTGTCGTTTTCGAACTAAACTACAATTAGAATATAGATTTACTCTACATGTTCAGTCAGACCGTCATTTCAGTACCTAGACTAACTTTTTAATATACCACAGCAACCTGAGTTTCATCCCAGTGCCAACATCAATAAAATTTTTAAGTACAGTCTATGTTTAGATTTATTACATTTGCTTTTCGTCGAGGAAAAAGAACTGACTGACTTCGAAATAAAAGAATAGAAAAATAATTTCAAATATATATCATGTAATGGAATCGAGCGGTGTACAAAGCCGATACCTAGAATATTGAGACATATATATATTAACGATATTATATTTTGTGAACTTTGCTCAGGCAAAGTTCATATAGACTATTCTACTTTAACGTAATATAACGTACATAACGTTTTAAAATTACTTAGACGATTTAAAATTACTTCCTCATAACAGTGACATAAAATCGGTTATTGAAGTAATGTATACTTTTCGTATCTATAAACGATTTGTATTGCGCACTTCTAAAATTAATATTTGTAAACGCTAATAGCATAAAATTTAAAATAGTCATGTCATTGAAATGAAGCGTTGAATAAACGTCAATTCAACTAATGTCATTATTCTTCTGTCAATGATAAATTTCACGTTTCACGTGTTTGTGTTTTGTTGTAAGACTTAGTGAATGGTAATGCAAGTTTTATTTATAATATATAAAAATGAAACATAAGAGGTTTGAGGAAAATATTTTAGTTGATGAAGCTTACACAAATTACGGCAGACCAGATAAGAATGAAGATCAAAAAAAGGGTTCAGGTATTGCCAAAAATTTTGCAGAAACTCTAGAGTATGGGGAGCGAAAGAAATGGTATCATCAGGTAAGTTAATTTAAAGTTTACAGTCTTCGTTTTTAATGTGAAAAGTTGTCCAGCGAGCAGGCGGTACCCCTAATGTTAAGTGAATACCGCTAGCTCAATGACATCTACAACACCTGAGGGCTTGCAGCTGCGTTGACAACCTCTAAAAAGTGGGTTCCTGTTACTTCACCCAGACGAAACGCGAAAGTTGAGTACTTTCACTTCTCGACAGTCTTGTCTGAGGCTTTGGTACTTCCTTAAGTGAGCGTGCCCATCCATGCAACAACAGAAGCTGAAGCATGTACCACAGTTAATCTGCGTCTTGAATCCTTTTACTTCCAAATATTTTAATTTTTATTCAAATGATTGGTCTTATTATAGGATAACCTGACCCTGTGTTGTTTACTAAGCCAAACAAATCCTTTTTGAACAACATGAATTAATTGATCGTAGCTACTTAATGTGATTTTCTATAATTTAGTTGTGAATATAGCAAAAGTGTAATGATGGCCATTATGAACCCTATTCTATAAAATTTTTAAATTCTTTTTTAACTACCTTTGCTCTCATGTAATAAAATTTAGTGTTTTCACATAGTTTCACTTTTTTTCTTTGTATGTATAGAAAAATAGCTAAATAATAAAAATATTATATATTATAATAGTTAGAAAGATAAGCTTTGTAATACTGTATTATTTATGAAAACAAAACTAATTGAATTTTTAATCAAAAATTTAATAACACAATGGTTTTAAAGCTTCCAGAAGAACCAACAGTAACCAATAAATCACTAAGTCAAGACAAAATTGAGGAACTTAGGAAGGAAGCAAGCAGTGCCTTACATGGAGACACATTAGCTTATGAAACAAGTACGTTTATATTAGTTTACTAGAGGACTGGACAGACATTGTTCTGTACACACAACTTGAATCTGGCAACTACATATAATTAAAAATAAAAATTGTGAATCTAAACCAATCTCAAATTGATGTGAAGGCACAAAAAATTTCATTAAAACCAGTCGAGCCTTTTAGGAAGAGTTTAGTGATATACACACATTCAGAAGTTAAAAGTTCAAAATTCAATTCAAAGTTACAAAATTCACATTTAAAAGTCCTCACAAAAATAAGTGCAAAAGTTATTTCACCTTTTTTATACAGCTTGTCATTACAATCGCGACAGTAAATGAACACTTATAAAGGATAACTTTTTAAAATTTTATTAAACATTTACAGTCTTTAAAAATCAATATTTACCGAGTTATTAAATTTTACAGAACAAAGAATTTTAGAACATCCTTACATATAAAACTGTAACTTCATTTATAGAGGTCACAAAGCTTATGAATGGGTTGAATGAATTTAAAAGAGACCAAACATACTGTAAGTAGGAGAGGCTTGTAATGCAATGCTGTGGCAACAAATGAAAAAGTCTCTGAATGTATGAATCAGTCAGTTGTAGTTGTATAAGATGTTACAAATTTTGTTTCTTTTTTACTTAAATTTGTATGAAAAATATTTTTTTTATTATGGATATGTTTTAACATTAATATTTTTTATGATTATTGGCTTGTAGTGTTAGACGTGTGTTCATTGTGGCGGTTGTAACGACACGCTGTATAACAACCTGCTAGTGATGCCATAATTAGTTGTTAATTAATTTATAAGTAACGGAAGTATCTGTTATTAATAATTGCTGTATCAAAAATTACTTATATTCATAATTAGTGTTATTTGTCTAGAAACAAACAGAAACGGTTCTTCTGATCAACAATGGGCTCGTACGCTTCTTAATAAAGGTGCTATTGGTGACAGAGTTGCAGCTGCAACCATTTTGATTCAAGTAAGTGGCAATGCACATTTTTTCAAGTACTCAAAGTCTTTATATTTATAGCAGTGCTTAATAATTTTGAAGCTGATTGTAATCCAGCTTATTATTAAGATGCGAAAACAACATTATTGTGCAAAGTTAAAGAACTAAAGCTAAATAATCTTAGAGAGATTTAAGCAGAAGTTGTGTTTTTAAGTCCTAGTATGTGTTTAATTAAATGTTTGTTTCATATTAATATATTTAAATACAATTTTTTAAGGATAACCCCATTTACAATTTGATGGCATTAAGAAATTTAGTCAGCAATGTGAAACCAGCTAAGAAGAAGGATGGAATTGTAATTATAGGTAAGACAATTTAATTTTGATCATACAATATTTTTCCAGTACTGGGGATCACACCCACACCTCTTATATAAGAGACAGGTTTTATTATCCATTACTTCAATTGAAATACCTCTTAAAATAAGTCCATTTTTTCTTTGTTAACACAGTTCTTATTTTTTTATTCAGCTGATATTAATTTACTGTTTCTTTATGCATGTATGTATTAAATAAAATTAGTCTAGAGATTTTGTCATGTTTTAATTTAGATTTTTAATTCCTGACGTTACTAACACAGGGCAAAAAAAATCCGTAAACTAGTTTCATTTCATATGTATAATATTCGCGTAAAATCAAGAAATTAATACATGTTTGTTCAATTCTCCAGACGCCCTGTCGGAGCTCTTTATCTCTGAGCTGCTTCTGCCTGAAATCAAGCTACGCACCTTCGAGCAACACTCGCTGGGGCAAGTAGACGAAATGACATCAGGCAACAAGCAGGCGCGCCGGAATCTTCTGAAGCTCTGGTATTTTGAGGATCAGCTAAAGGAGTTGTATGGAAGTGAGTGGGGACAGTTTCATCCGCTACTGAGTTATTTCCACCTTTGGGTGTTTAGACGCTAGCAATGGATCCATCCTTTTGTTGTAGATTCCACACACTTGAACTAACCGTTTTGCTATGTTTATACATTAAGTGTACTGTAAAAGAATGGAATAATTTCCCTCTTCTATGAATGGCAATAGTGAATTGTAGAATTGTGAAATTTTGGATTATATTTGAAATCACAGATACACGCTACAATTTTATGATTATTGGTATTTTCATACTGACATAATAATTGATTCACAGCCTATGTGGAAGCATTGAACAAGTTTGCCCACGACTCTGTGGAGGCGAACAAAGAAAAAGCTGTTAGCTCTATGTCATACTTGCTGATGCACCATCCAGAGAGAGAAAAGGTGAAAACTGTTTATTATTCTAATTTTTTATTCATGTACCTTGTCATTGTGTGACTACAAAGTTTCAATCTTTCTTAATGTGGAATTATAAATACGTACTATAGATATTTATCTAAATACTTATTTATCAAATCACACTGTGACACATTTTAGGGTAAACAAAACTGACAACTCTGTATCTATACAGAGTTGTCAGTTTTGTCAACTACATTAGGCTAAGTGTTGTTTGATAGCTGCATTTGGCACCTTTAAAATAATTTATTTCATGTGAGATGGCGCCAAGTGAGTAGACGGTTTACTTAAGTGACTATTGCTATCCAAAGACATGGACAAAAAGCTTTTTAAACATATGTATAAATCTTCTCAAGATCATTTTATCTTCAAAATGCGTGCTAAATCGTAACTTAAAATTGCAATTAACCGTTTTATAGTTACGAGGATTTGATACCTAATTATAGCTTCCAGACATTGGGGCTCAAAAACTATATGAGACTTGAACTGTTTTCAGATGCTCCTGACGAATATTATAAACAAGCTTGGTGACCCATCCCAGGCTGTCTCGTCCAAAGTTATATACCACCTCTGCCAGCTCTTGTACAACCACCCCAACATGAAGGGAGTGGTGTTAGCAGAAATCGAGAGAATGCTGTTTAGGTAAAGAGGAGGTTTTCTATTCGGTTGTATTTTTTTATGTTTGTTACCTCAGAACTCTGTTAAATATGAACCGAATTTTAGAAATTATTTTTGCATTGGGTTCAGTTTAGCTGCCACGTGGTTCCTACACTATACATTAGGGGACGATAAAAGTATAGTGAGTGAGATATTTGAAGTGTGTTTTGTTTTTTGTTAATAGATATGTAGTTGTGTAATATTTAAGTTTTGTGAAAGTACCATTTTAACATATTAAAAGGGGAAAGAATGTTTTTGATACAAATGTTGTTGTATTGGTAAAAGTTAAAAATTAACAACTTTCAAAGGTCCAACATCTCTCCACGGGCACAGTACTACGGCATCTGCTTCCTGAACCAGTTCTTCCTCGGAAAGGACGACTCTAAAATAGCGGAGAATCTCATTCGCATCTACTTCTCCTTCTTCAAGGCCTCCATCAAGAAGGTGAGTGTTGTCTTATAACATGACCCGAGAGGAACCGGCGAACGGAAACTCATCGGGACGTTTTAGATTTCATTCATTCAATTCGTTCAGCCTGACCGAGCCGAGCCGAGAGGAACCGGCGAACGGAAACTCATCGCGACATTTTGGATTTCATTAGTTCAATTCGTTCAATTGTTCAGGGCGACATCGACACGCGCCTCATGTCGGCAATACTGACGGGCGTGAAGCGCGCGTACCCGTTCGCGGAGGGGGGGCGGCTCGCGGCGGCCGCCGACCACGTGGCGGCCGTGCACCGGCTCGTGCACCTCGCGAGGCCCTCCGTGGCGGTGCACGCGCTGGCGCTGCTGTTCCACGTCAGCTCCGCCACCGAGGGCGGCGCCGACCGGTGAGTGGGTGTGCGTCGTGACGTCATGTCTGTGCGATTGGCCCTCGTGGCACATGCTCTGGCGCTGCTGTTCCACGTCAGCTCCGCCACCGAGGGCGGCGCCGACCGGTGAGTGGGTGTGCGTCGTGACGTCATGTCTGTGCGATTGGCCCTCGTGGCATATGCTCTGGCGCTGCTGTTCCACGCCAGCTCCGCCACCGAGGGCGGCGCCGACCGGTGAGTGGGTGTGCGTCGTGACGTCATGTCTGTGCGATTGGCCCTCGTGGCATATGCTCTGGCGCTGCTGCTTCACGCCAGCTCCGCCACCGAGGGCGGCGCCGACCGGTGAGTGGGTGTGCGTCGTGACGTCATGTCTGTGCGATTGGCCCTCGTGGCACATGCTCTGGCGCTGCTGCTCCACGCCAGCTCCGCCACCGAGGGCGGCGCCGACCGGTGAGTGGGTGTGCGTCGTGACGTCATGTCTGTGCGATTGGCCCTCGTGGCATATGCTCTGGCGCTGCTGTTCCACGCCAGCTCCGCCCACCGAGGGCGGCGCCGACCGGTGAGTGGGTGTGCGTCGTGACGTCATGTCTGTGCGATTGGCCCTCGTGGCACATGCTCTGGCGCTGCTGCTCCACGCCAGCTCCGCCACCGAGGGCGGCGCCGACCGGTGAGTGGGTGTGCGTCGTGACGTCATGTCTGTGCGATTGGCCCTCGTGGCATATGCTCTGGCGCTGCTGCTTCCACGCCAGCTCCGCCACCGAGGGCGGCGCCGACCGGTGAGTGGGTGTGCGTCGTGACGTCATGTCTGTGCGATTGGCCCTCGTGGCACATCTGCTCTGGCGCTGCTGTTCACGTCCAGCTCCGCCACCGAGGGCGGCGCCGACCGGTGAGTGGGTGTGTGCGTCGTGACGTCATGTCTGTGCGATTGGCCCTCGTGGCACATGCTCTGGCGCTGCTGTTCCACGCCAGCTCCGCCACCGAGGGCGGCGCCGACCGGTGAGTGGGTGTGCGTCGTGACGTCATGTCTGTGCGATTGGCCCTCGTGGCATATGCTCTGGCGCTGCTGCTCTCGCCAGCTCCGCCACCGAGGGCGGCGCCGCCCGGTGGGTGGGGGTGCGTCGTGACGTCATGTCTGTGCGATTGGCCCTCGTGGCACATGCTCTGGCGCTGCTGCTCCACGCCAGCTCCGCCACCGAGGGCGGCGCCGACCGGTGAGTGGGTGTGCGTCGTGACGTCATGTCTGTGCGATTGGCCCTCGTGGCATATGCTCTGGCGCTGCTGCTTCACGCCAGCTCCGCCACCGAGGGCGGCGCCGACCGGTGAGTGGGTGTGCGTCGTGACGTCATGTCTGTGCGATTGGCCCTCGTGGCATATGCTCTGGCGCTGCTGTTCCACGCCAGCTCCGCCACCGAGGGCGGCGCCGACCGGTGAGTGGGTGTGCGTCGTGACGTCATGTCTGTGCGATTGGCCCTCGTGGCATATGCTCTGGCGCTGCTGCTTCACGCCAGCTCCGCCACCGAGGGCGGCGCCGACCGGTGAGTGGGTGTGCGTCGTGACGTCATGTCTGTGCGATTGGCCCTCGTGGCACATGCTCTGGCGCTGCTGTTCCACGCCAGCTCCGCCACCGAGGGCGGCGCCGACCGGTGAGTGGGTGTGCGTCGTGACGTCATGTCTGTGCGATTGGCCCTCGTGGCATATGCTCTGGCGCTGCTGCTTCACGCCAGCTCCGCCACCGAGGGCGGCGCCGACCGGTGAGTGGGTGTGCGTCGTGACGTCATGTCTGTGCGATTGGCCCTCGTGGCACATGCTCTGGCGCTGCTGTTCCACGCCAGCTCCGCCACCGAGGGCGGCGCCGACCGGTGAGTGGGTGTGCGTCGTGACGTCACGTCTGTGCGATCGGCTCCCGTGACACCGTGGCATTGTAACTGACCGTGCTCAGGCCCTGCTGGTCCATGAAGGCAGTACCGACCGGCGAGTGGGTGCGTCGATGGCGACGTCACGTCTATATGATGGATAGGTGACTGGGTGTCAGTCGCGACGTCACGTATGTGCGATGGGCTCCCGTGGCCTATGAAGCTGAAGTGCTCAGGCCCTGCTGGTTTACGTTGCCTCCGGCAATGAAGGAAGCGCCGACCGGTGAGTGGGTGCGTTAGTGACGTCACGGCCTGCGAGGTCGTGACGTCACCCCTGTTTCACGTCAGTCCCGCCACTTAGGCGAGTGCCGATCGCTGAATGGGACCTTAGGGACCTTGAAAAAGAGAGCCTACTTCTACTTCAAACGCCGGTATCGAAGATGTGACTCCTAAGATGTTGCTAGTGTTGATGCTTCGCTTGCCCGTTTGTATCCTTTGCCATCCGTAGTCTCGTGTCATAGTTTTCTTTGTGCAGATACTGACTCCACTCGAGCGCAATCAAGTTTCGCTACCTCTATGTGTCGATTTAAAAAAAGGAATCCTCCGCCCGTTTTTCAGATACTACACCGCGCTGTACAGGAAGCTGACGAGCGCGGAGATCTTCAACACGAACCATTCGGCGCTGCTCTTCTCGCTCCTGTACAAGTCGCTAAAGCGGGACGGGAATATAGAGCGGGTGACGTCATTCGTGAAGAGGCTGCTGCAGATCAGCTGCTGCATGGCCCCGGCGCAGGCGTGCGGGATGCTATTCCTCATATCGCAGGTGCTGAAGGACGGCGCGAAGAAGCAAGCGATAAAGCTGGTGTGGAGCAGGAGCGAGACGAAAGAGGTCGGTCGTACTCCGGTCACTTTTTATATTTATAAGTGTGAATGAATGAATGAATGATAATTTTACTTATCATTCATTCATTCATATACACATCATTCATATATACTTTTAACAAATATCACAGTTAAGTTAACAATTAAAATAATGTTTTAATTGTTAACATAACTGCCGATTATGACTCACCGATTTTCAGGACATACCAAAAATTTTAATAATAAATACCAAACTGGAACTAAGATTAACACAAAGCCGGTACATAAATTAAAAGACACGATAACTAATAATAAAAATTTACATCTATAAGGATGAACCGGTGAACAGAATAAAAAAAACAAATTTACTAGGTCGACACACTAACCTACCAAAAAAAAAAAAAACAAGACAAAAGCTGTTTAGAAATTTAACCAACTTTTAATTTATTAAAAAACGCCTGCGAAATTTGTTATAGCAGTAAGTCCTAATTAAAAGCTTTATGAAAAAAGTACAGATGTAACTTCTGCTGTTGCATGAATGGGCAGGTCCATCTGGGTAAGTACCACGAGCTCACAGAAGACCGGCGTGAAGTGTAAGCATCATACTTGGTTGGTGAAGGAGGTAGGTAGCCCGGGCCCGCTTTGTTGAAAGGTGGCGACGCATCTGCAACAATACGGATGTTGCAAATGTCAATGGGCGGTGATTGTCGCTTAACATTAGATGAACCACCTGCTTGCTTGTTAAATTTTCATATAAACAAATTAATAAAATAACAAACCTGACTTCAAATGTCTCATTCACTATACAGTTTCTATTTGATTTTGAGGAGATTCTGATGTATCTCGGGAGACCAAGGTGAAACACCAATAAAATTTGTTTAGGGATCACATGGGAGTTAAATCCAGTCCAAAAAGAATTTTTGAAATTGGTTCATAAAAACTTTGCTCAGTTAACCGCCATTCTGAAATATCTTGTGATAATATCACAATATCTGTTTAACTACATATGATTGTGACAAATTGTTAAATTAACTTTTCCATGTAATTTTAGGAAATAAAAGAAGAAGAAACGGAAACGCAGGAGGGAGCAGACGCAGAAGTTGATGAAACGCTGGACACAAGCGCAGAAACAGAAGTGAAGGAAGACGAGGAGAAAGTGGAGAACAAGAAAATAGACCTTCTGCGTGGTGATAAGAGAGACCTATTATTGGGTAAGAAGATTGTCACCGTGATAGCTCTTGACATGATCCCAACACATGGTACCTTACGAACCTATATATATAATTTTTGATGTAAAATTTGACGATTCCTAAGAACGCGCAAGCGGCTATTTGAATAAATATATTTTTGATTTGATTTGATTTTGATGCGACCATTATAGTCATGTTGCTCCCTTTGCCTTAATGGCATGCATATAAAACTATTTTATTTGATTTTATATAAACATACATTTATTTTCTCGCTCTATGTCTAAGTGTTTTATATCTATATAATAAATTCATAAAATAATTTTTTTATTAAACATGTTTTATTTTTGTCAAATAATGGTAAATAAAAATTTCCCGCTGAGTTTCTTTCACCGGTTCTTATCTAGTGGCTTTTCTTTTCCTAACCGTTGGTAGCGTTTTGACAATCAAAAAGTAAGTGTAATACTGCTATATTGAAAGAAGATATTTGAACTTGAATGTCTCGAGAAAGTAAGAAGTTGTACCGTTAAAATAAATGTTCCATTCATCCATATAGATGACGACGAGGAGGCGTACGTGGATTTGAAGATCGACGAGGAAGGAAACGTGAAGCCGAGGAAGCGACGCGGTGGCCACGTGGCCGGCTGGCACCACGCCAGGGTCAAGGCTGAGGTGGACCCTGGGCCTGAGGGCACCGCTGATGATAAGGAGGCCACCACCAAGATCCAGCTGAAGAGGGTCGCCAACATGGACAAGGCAGGCCCTACACTACATAGTATAAAACAAAGTCGTCCCGCTGTCTGTCAGTCCCTATGTATGCTTTTATCTTTAAAACTGCGCAACAGATCTTGATACGGTTTTTTTTACTAGATAGAGTGATTCTAGAGGAAGGTTTATATTATAATACATTGAACCCGTGCGAAACCGGGGCGGGTCGCTAGTGGACAATATGACGATGACAATGTATTGACTTCAATTCACACAGGATATATTAGTGTATTATAGTTGTTGCCGTAGTTGGTAGTGAACCTGCCTCCTGCGCCAGAGGTTTTCCCCGATTCGATCCCCTGTGATGAACATAGTGTTTTTCCAGTGTCCGGGTGTTAATATAAATAATAAATAAATAAATATTTTTAGGATAAATTTTTACACAACTTCCTCTAGTCTTAAACTAAGCGATGCTAGACTATGGGTACTAGATAACTCATAAGCATAATTTTCTTTTGTAAATAAATACATATTATACATAATATAAACACGTAGGGTCGTCAATATGTATATATTTACCAAAGAAAACTATGTTTAAGTATCTATCTTTCAGTTATCTAGTGCCCATAGTACAAGCGTTGCTTAGTTTGGGACTAGAGAATGTTATGTAAAAAAGAATTCTGAGTATTTTTCATGTGTAACTTGTGTTTGTAAAATGATTTTTTTAAAATAATTAATAATATTAATATTATGTTAGCGTTAAAACCTCCAATTGAGACATTAACGAATGTTAGCCAGGTTAACTGTTTATTATTATTACCCGTTGATATTTATTGTTCGATGGATGCAGGTGGCACAAGATTGTGCTTTGTTCAGCAGTGGATTTGATAGTATGAAACGATGATTCCAGGTGATATCGGAGTACAACCCTCACGTGCGGAACCCCTCATTCGCCGGTGCCAGCTGCTCCGCCTACCTGGAGCTGCTGCCGCTCTCCAAGCACTTCCATCCGACGGTCAAGCTGTTCGCCCAGAAGCTTCTATCTGGTAAGTACCGATTATCTCACCCGAGGGTTGCAGACGCGTTGGCAACCTTTCGAACATTGGGCTCCGGCCACCTCGCTCACCAGACGAAACGCGAAAGTATTACACTTCCACTTAACGCCGGTCTTCTGCGAGGTCGTGGTACTCACCCGGACAGGGTTGCCCATTCGTGCAACTGCTGCGTGGCCCAACCACAGTTAAAGAAATATGTCTCCTTCGTACATCCACAGAACAGATCATCCAGTACAGCGGAGATCCGCTGAAGGACTTTGCCGGCATCCGCTTCCTGGACCGTTTCGTGTTCAAGAACCCCAAGAGGCGCTCGGAGGTGCGCCAGGACGGCGACGTGAGGAAGGTGAAGGGCTCACACCCCAAGTTCGCCATCAGGAAGAACTACTCGGCCAGAGGTGAGCGGTTCAACTCTTCTGGTCCTGATATTTGCGCTATATACTTTTACTCAACTTTAAATTAATCTTCTAATATACAGCGTGTCGTTACCATCGCGACAATAAATGAACACACATATAGAGGATAACTTTTAAAAATTGTATTAAACATTTACATTCTTTAAACATCAATATTTACCGAGTTATTATATTTTCCAAAACAAAGAATTTTAGAACACCCTTACGTATAAAACTGTAACGTAAAGTTCATTTGTATAGGTCACAAAGCATATGAATGGGTTGAATGAATTTAAAAGAGACAAAACATACTGTTAAAAGGAGAGGCTTGTAATGCGACGCTGTGGCGCGAGTTGTATAGGATGTTACAATTTTTTTTTCTTTTTTACTTAATTAGTTTGTTTGAAAAATATTTTTTTTTAATTATGGATTTTGTTAAACTTTAATTTTTTTTTTGATTATTGGTAAGTTGCGTTAGACGTGTGTTCATTTATTGTCGCGATGGTAACGACACGCTGTATAAAATTCTCGTGTCACGGTGTTTGTAATTGAACCCCTCCGAAACGGCTCGACCGATTTTCGTGAAATTTTCTGTGCACATCGGCCAAGGTGGATATTTCTCATCCCCCTAAATGTTAAGGGTGGGCGGTCCACCCCAAAATTTTTTATTTTATCTTTTATATAAAATTTTTTGTTTTTTATTTTTTTATGATACAGCATACAAAAATACATACAACCCTAAATTTTCACCCCTCTACGCAGACGTAGTCGCGGGCAGCAGCTAATTTATATACATATGAGAGATTTCCACCGATAATTGACTCATCACGATATTTCTGGAACCAAGAGGCGTAGAGACTTGAAGTTTGGTAGGACTATTCCTTTCGCCGAGTAGAGGTTAGCTAAGAACGGATTTTACGAAATGTTACCTGTTGGGTCCGCTAGTATTAGACATCGTCCTGTGCACACTACTTACTAGCGGACCCAACAGACATTGTCCTGTGCACACTACTTAAATCCGACAACAACTTATAAATCAAAAATGTAACAAAAAAAAAACAATTGTTAATCTAAACCATTCTCGAATTGACCTGAAGACACACAAAAAATTTCATCAAAATCGGTCCAGCCGTTTAGGAGGAGTTCGGTGACATACACGCATACATAAGAATTATATATATATAAAAGATTATATGTTCAGTGCTAAGGTATTGTCCTGTAATTTGTATTCACGGGGTTGTGTGTTACTTTAATAAAGGGAGTGGGCGGCTAGTATAATAAATCCTATTTTTGATTAAACAAACCAAAATGTAATTAAAATGTTTCCTCATTTACAGATGTTATTATTATTTGAGATATATTTTTATATTTGCTTATGCAAAGGGGTTTTAAGTTATTCAAAGCTTACTTATTGTAATATTTAAACGCCCCCATATACGTCTTAGGGAATGCAATTACATAAAATGACACTTGCTTTGCCAATGATACTTGTTAGTCCTTTGATGTGCAAATATTGAAGTTTCTTATTCCACACCTGCTTTTATTTGTATAGAATATAAGCTATTACTTGGGAATAATGTAGTAAAAAACTTAAGTAAATTTTTTACTTTACATAATACATATCCCAGTTTTTGTTAAATGTTGACAACATATTACTGACGTTGACAATTTAAATTTTCAGGTCTGAAAGCCATACCGGTGACATCCTCGTCATATCTAAATGAGGACGTCAAGAAGATACCAGTGGACGAGAAGTTCCTCTACGAGTGAGTTCTGATACCATCACATAGCATATCTTCATCTCTCTCCGAATTAATGGAGAGTAAACGCTAGGATTCCATACCCAATGAGTATAATTAACTTTTCACTGTCTGTCTGTCCGTCTGTCACCAGGTATCTCATGTAGGGTGATATTTAGACAGTTCAAATTTTCACTGATGATGTATTTCTGTTGCCCCTATAACAACAAATAATAAAAAAATAATAAGAAATATCTAAGTGGGGCTCCCACACAACAGGCATGATTTTTATGCCGTTTTTACAAATATTTTAATGGAACAGAACCCTTTGTGCCCGAGACCGACTTGCACTTGGCAGGTTTTTTTGTTCTCTTTTAAGAAGAGCATTACACTTACTGTGGTATTTATTGCATTATCCTGTGCCTTAAAAATACATGGACAAACACACAAATCTGGCACAGTACATGTATAAATACACAAACTCCCACAACTTATATTACCGGTCCAAACAAGAAATATGGTATATGCCTATAACAAACTCGGGACTCAAGAATCTCACTTACTCTAAAGAATATCACTTCCTCACAAGAATCTCACTTACTGTCAACAATCTCACTTGCTCTCAAAAATCTCACTTGCTCTCAAAAATCTCACTTGCTCTCAACAATCTCACTTGCACTCAACAATCTCACTTGCTCTCAAAAATCTCACTTGCTCTCAAAAATCTCACTTGCTCTCAAAAATCTCACTTGCTCTCAAAAATCTCACTTGCTCTCAAAAATCTCACTTGCTCTCAACAATCTCACTTGCTCTTAAAAGACACAGAACGTTGGCATGTATAAGATGAATCCCGCGCGCAGCTTCCTGCAGCGGCGCCGCGCCGTCCGCTCCTGCGAGGAGAGCGACAGCGACGCGGACTCCGTCACCAGCGAGGACTTCAACAAGTATCTGGACTCGGTGACTGGTGCCGGGGCGGCCGACGGTGAGTGGAAGATGATAAGAGAAAGAAAGACGGTCAAAACGCCTTCAGCGTCGGAAACATTATCTTTATCTTTCTTCTTCTTCTCCCTTTATGGCGCTTTTATGGATTCGCCAATGACATGTGAAAGATGCTTTATCAGTTTAAGCTTAGATAGTAACTTTATCTTTATTCAATATGCAATATGTTATAGGCATATACGCAATTGCATTACACTTACTTATTGATTGACAAAACCTCACCACATTATACAGATAAAACATAGTATCATCCCTTTTGTCTCATATAAATTTCACTAATAGTGAACACCCAAAGGACTTATCGTTAAGTAGAAGTGTAACACTTCTGCGTTTCGCCTGGCGAGTGAGGTAGACGGGGCCCACTTTATTTAAAGGTGGCAACGCATATGCAACCCTACGGGTGTTGCAAACGTCTATGGGCGGCGGTTATTACTTAAAACCAGGCTAACCGCTAGCTCGTTTGCGACTTATTCACATTAAAAACAATCAAGTTCCATACGCGACCTTTATTTGGACCCTCAGATTTTGACGAGGAGCTGGACTACCTGGCGGAGATGGAGGCGTCGAAACAAAAGCGCGGCGCGAAGAAGAATGGCCAAGAAAGCGACGATCAGCTCGACGGTGATGATGACGTCATCGATGACGGCGACGACGATGATGATGATGACGTCATCGACGACGGCGAAGACGGTGGCGATTTCGACGACGAAATCGACGAAGGTATGTGACGCGTTTTAGTAGAACATCGTTTTGATGAAATAACTACGATATCGATGATGGAATCGGCAGCGGAGGCTGAGACAAGCTATGTAGTATAAATAAGAGGTTTGTTGTTTATTTATATTGGTTCTGTGTTATTTTGTTCATATTAACGAATATACTATACTTCTTTTTTTTCCTTAGGTGGTATTTCATTCACGCCCGGTGTTCTGATGATAAGAATTCAGGTCAATTCGAACCATCAACTCAAATGAAATTTGAAAAGCCATTGACAGCTGATTAGTTGACATCTACGATGATCAATGTTTCAGAAACCGGGCCTAAATCTTGTAATGCTAATGGAATATAAATTTTTCCCCGCCCAATTTGCTTTGAAAGTTCTCAATAATCATAAGTGGCCCAAATAATGATTACTAAATCAAAATTATAATTTAAAAAGTTCTTCAATCTCCCCTTTTAGCAGACGACGCGGAACTAGACATGTCCGGCGACGAAGACGAACCGACGCTATCCGCTAACGAAGATGGTGAGATTTAACTAGATGCCGACTTTCGTCGTAATAACTTATTTTTTGTACGCAACAAGATTTTTAAAAAAATTTTGACGACCCAATTGGCGTAGTGGATTGCGACCCTGCCTCTTGAGACAAGGGATGTGGGTTCGATCCCTACTACTGGAAAATATTGTGTGATGAACATAGTGTTTTTCTAGTGTATGTGTGTTTTTATATGAATTCAGTCAGTCACAGGATTATTTAATAAAATTATAAGCACAATCACATTCCACAGAGCTACAGTTAGAAGACAGTAACGACGAGGACACTATAGACGTTCCTGGCAAGAAGACCGCAAAGGGAAAGCCTAGGATGAAACTCAAAGGTATGGCTGCAGAACTAAAATTCAGAAAGCACACTTAATAATTTATTTATTTAAAAACTTTTTACTCAATCGCATACAATGATGGACTTACACCGTTTGGTGTTCACTACGTGTTAATCGATGAGTAAAGAAACTAATAATATTTTACATATAATTATATTTTAAAACACAAATTTAAAAGAAAAACCGACTGTGAAAAGGTCAATTCCACTATCGTAATTTTTTGATTTTATTTAATAAAATTATTTTCGGACAACTGCGTAGGCAAGGACGACTTGGGATCGCTGTTCGCTTCCGCGGAGGAGTTCTCGACTCTTCTAGAGGAAACGGCTACCAACAAGAGCCAGGGCTCCAGCCAAGCGGTGGCCAACACGGACAACGCGAGCAAGAAACAGCTCGCCTGGGAGGAGAAACGCGACAGATGGATAAAGGGCTACAACAGGAAGATCCTCGGCAACAAGAAAACTGGCAATAAGAAGTTCAACGGCAAACGGAACGCCAAAGGCAATTCCAATATGGCGGACAAGAAAAAGGGCGGCAAACGGAAAGCCGGCCGCGAAGATGGCGCGGGCGGAAAACGGAAGAAGGTTAACAAATAGTTGTCTGTATAAAATAAAATTGCTTGCAACTCCTGCGTTATTTATTTACACACAATAATCATATTGTTTCGGATTATCATTTTGAAATGGGATTAAGAAAATGGGAGAATAACTATTTCGAAAATATCATGCGAAATCACATATTCAAACTTGAATATAAATGCCTCGAGTATTAAGTTTTAGTTCATTTTACCGGACAATGATACAGTGGCTGATTTACCAACAGGCTAAGTAAGCTAGAGCTTAGGGCAGCAGATTTGGCCCATTTTTGTCTTTTTTAAGGCCCCGTCTATATAATTAGAACATGATTGATTTTAAAGGTCAGAAATATACCCAAAAACTATTTTTCATGTAATCTGCACTGAATCGTGGGTGTAAAAATAATCGAGAAACTGACCAAACGAAACCCTAGTTCAAATTCATGCTATTAACAAGATAAAATGGATTATATTTTATTGACAGAACAAATTTAACACTGAACAGCCTAGGGATTGGCGGCAAATTTGTAAATTAGCCACTGCAAAAACAAAGCTACTCTGATGTAATATTCAAATAGAATATAACTACTACGTTTTACGTTGGTAATATTAAAGGTGAATGTAGTTGTGCGCTCATTGCAATGCTGTTAAATAAGTTTGTATGCAAGGAATCACTTTCGTGAATATGACAGTAAAATATTAGCTATAAGATATAAAGTTTTTAGTTTCTTTGTTGTTGGTGTCGGTTTATAATTAAATTAAAGAATTTTTAACACATACTCAATTATGATCTCTTTCGAAGCCATGTCCAATAACAGACATGTTCTATTATAAAATTAACTACAAAATAATGTTTTAAACTTCCGTTAGTTTTTTTTTTACAAATTCTAATGTTCCGTTAGGTCGTCATTGATTATTTATCTTCATTTCATCTAAAACCTATAAATTTCTAACCTAATCCTTATTCCTTATAATTAGGTACCTACGTATTTCAAGGGCAAGCGTAATGTATGTGACCTTGGCATATTTGTATCGCAAAAGATGGCGCTGATTGCTGTTAGTGAAATTAAAACAGATCGGGACGAAACCATTACTCATTACGGTTTTGTGTTAATCCTTTCTCGAGCTCAAGATAAATTACCGTACACGGTGATTATCAAGTATAAGTGACATCCACTGCTTATTTTCCCGCCTATAAATAGGCAACAAAAGAGTAACAATCAAAATGCAACAGGTGACTAGATTAAAAGATATATTACTTGTTTATTAAAAGATCCCAACATTTTCATTCGTTTTTTAATAAATGCATTCGAGTCGAAGAAGTATTTTTAATCCTGATAACCGCCCAATGGACACAAAATGATCGGAACTGTTTGTTGACATTAGTACGTCACACAGTTGTGTTGAAGACTGCGTAAAGGTGTCGTATCTCGCGCTAATAAAATAAAATTGATGTATTTACACACAAATTACACGAAAGACTTAAACAGTGAAAGTATTTGAGTGTACCGTTGACATTGTTAACATTGTGAACGACACTGTTTTAGTGAATGAACAGAAAAGAGCGGGGAAAAATCAGTGCAAATGACGATTGTCGTGCTATTTTTAGCATTACCAATGGCGCGATAACGATGTATTTAAGAATCTATATGTGTTATTATTGTAAAATTCTTTTCTAATTGGATTTTAAGTGAGGAAATTGATAACGAATAAGTAAATAAGCCATTGCGTTGACAACTTATTGGAAAAATCAAGGCGCCGAAACAAGTTTGACAGTTCACAGATGCACACATAAACTCAGCCGGCACTGCGCATGTGTGCGTGTACTCTACGAAGTGATGTGAAATTCTTGCGCTTATCGATTATTAAGATAATTTCAAGGACGTTGTTATAAATGGTCGCTCGGATTCTACATTCATACTTGAGTATCGAATGACATTTATGATTTTTATATTGTAAACATTAGTAGTGCGTAGTATTTTATAGGCAAGTAATTGACGCTATCACCATGGAGTCTACAGTTAAAGAAAACAAATTATCAGATGAGATCGTTAAGCCAACATCAAGTTGTAACCAAATGGCCGTTGGCGGTTTTGATATTGCAGATGCATTCCGTAGTAGCTTAGATCATTCATCTATAATTGGGGAGAATGTTGTTATTGAGGAAAAGGATGGAACTGTCGACAACCCAAATACTGACCCAATTGCATCACAACCTAATAATCCAGTAAACACGCCAGAGACACCCGAAAGCCCGAGACTTAAATCACCCCCAATTTTGGAAACTCCTAAACAGATCGACGAAGTTATTGTAAAACATAAGCCGCAGACTCTTTTTAAACTATCTTTGACGAAGAATAAAGATGATGTTTTTGTTAAACCGTCCCCTGTCGCCGAGTTAATGTCTCCCGCCAAAATGCTCCAGTTCGAAATCGATTTAACTAATAGCTCCACACCAACAATGAAGCGGGCTGCCATTGATTTTAATTTCTTCAATAAAAACAACTTTGAGGAATATTTTACTGACGTACCTAAAGTTCTAAATAACCCTGACGCTGAGACGGAAGGTGGGGCTTTTATTGAAACGCCAGTCATTGTCAAGGCCGACACTATAAGACATGAAATTGGTTATGGTAAGTATATTAAATTAACGAGATTTTCTGTTGTATTAATGTTTATAATTTAATTCAAAATTACATGCCACCTTGAATATTTCATTTATGTTGATTTACAGGTCAATAAAAATATCTTTACTCAGTGTTATTTCCATCAACTGCAGAAGTCTACGTTAATGGATTTCATTTGATACGCTTTTCTACGAAAGCGGTAAAACCGTATTCCATTTTATTTCTTGGAATACTGCTGATTCTGTGGTAATATTAAAGTAGGTATATCAAATATCGAAACGTATTTTTAAAAATCATGTCAGCAACAAGAACACAACAACAAAACTGACTACAGATATCTCACTCACTGTACATTTTTATATTTGAGAGGGTGGCAAGCAAGCAAGCTCGCTGTTCACCTGATGTTAAGAGTTAACCGCCGCCCATGGACACTTGCAACACCCGCAAGGTTGCAGATATGTAGCCACGTTTTAATCAAGTGGGCGCCGGCTACCGGACGTCGTGGTACTTCCCCGGACGGACTTGCCCATTCGTACAGCTGCGAACCGTTACGTGGCTTTGATTCTATCATTTCGTTTTCTATTAGATTTTAAGGAATTCCCTAAAGTGTCTCCGGAGTACAACCTTCAAAACCAATGAAATTAACATGGGACCACATGGAAACTAAATCGAACAAAATTCAAAAATAATTTTTAAAATCGGTTCATAAATGGCGGAGTTCTGAGGTAACAAACATAAAAAAACTTGCAACCAGATTGTGAACGTCATCCTTTGATAGCCGGAAATTCATTGGTACTACATACAACTAAAATATTCAAAAACTTTATTTGAACCGTATAATTATGATGTGTTGTTTCGTATTATTTTTATGAACACTACGGTGCGATATTACTTAATGTTACCGTTTCTATAATTAAAAAGTTTCCTGTTTTTATATACAAATAAAATGTTTATAAATATATATTTATCTTACCATCTTTATTATAGCGTTAACTTAACATGGCATGCGCATCGCCATGCTGCCAAAATATGATTATTCGGCCAGCAAGGCATTTTCTACCTTCCTATGTAATTTTATAAAAGATTATCCTGAAAAAAGAATAAGAGATACAACTACGCAAAATGCGTTCTGTTTTGATTACTGAAATAAAACTGGAAAGGTTTTATTTCTAATTCTTAGTTTTTATTACCTAATGTTTTTTTTACTTCACTCCTAATAAGCATCATACCTTATTTTTATAAAAAAGGAGGCGTTTTATAAAAATAAAGCATGATGCTTATAGATGGTTCTCTTCAGTAGATGTGGTGTCACCCGCTGTTTTCGTCTTTACGCGGTTACCGTGCGAGAAGACCACCGCAGTAACCTACTACTGCTTTTTTAAGTGAAAAGTTGGCATGCGAGAAGGTGTTTCATTAGTTTTAAATGATTACCACCGTCAATAAACATCTGCAATACTCTTCGGAGTGCAGATGCGTCACCTTATAAATAGAGGGATGAATGGATACCTCACTCACCTATTGAAACGCGGAATTATAATACTTCCACTTCACTTCGGTATTCTGTAAGGCCGTGATATTTCCCCGTGTGAGTCTGCCCATTCGTATGCCCATAACAAAGGCTGCCAAGTGGCTTTAATTCTAATATTTCTTCATATTTACTTCATAATTAATTCGTTCCGAATGCGAACCCTACCTGTGTAAGTAGTTTGTACATCAATACTAAAAACCATTAGTTACCAAGTTTTTAGAACTATCGATAAGTCCATTTCAGGATAGTTACAACACTAAAGCAACCTGCGTATTCTTCATACAGCCAAATTGGTGATCAATTTTCACATGTGAACATGATTGAATAAAATTAACCTGTCATCTATCAAAGTTTTATTTAATTTCAGATTACTAGACGAAATTTGAAAATTATTTGAATTTATCTGAAAATTACACTTTTTATTAAGTACTTTACTTTTGATATTACTGGAACTTTTGATACCTTTCCGGGCCGGGATTCATCCCTAGACCTCAAATTAGCCTATGATCAAAGAGAATAAAACAATTTCGTTTTATGCTTACTAAGATGTTTTGTACTTGTACCTATTCCCATTGAGCTTTAATGTGTTGCCATAACTATTAACTAAGTCTAGGAACCGTCGCATCAGACTATTCTAATAATACAGACTAAAATTTAAAATGGTAAATGGAATTGGAAATAATTTTGACGTTTCAGAAATATTTGAGTTATTCAGTAATTTTAAACTAAATTACTTTAGCATATAGTTAACAAAATTGTTTTTAAACTTTGTTACGAGATCATTAGATTATTTTTGTACGTGTTAAGACGATATTACGTATCAGACTAAATTAAAAACGAAATTAAATTGTTTGAAAACATTAGGATAGGAATTTGAAACCAATTCATAACATACTTCTGTACATAATTACAGACCAATCTATAGTTATGTACAAGAGTGGGTATGAATACCTATGTAAGTTTACCATTGATGTATCATTATTGTTTAGGTATATTTTCTTTTGTGCAAATAATTTATGTTTTAAGGCTAATTGTAAATAGCATTGTTAAGGGTCGCGATGTGCCTCTTTAAGGTTATCAAAAATAAATCTACATTTAGATAAATACAATAGATTTAATATCAGTAAACGTATATACGTTTTGCTCACAAAAATCGAAAACTTAATAAAAAAAAACATTTCCAAAATGAAGTTTTAAAATCTTAAATATTAAAATGTAAATCGAAAACTTGCATCCATTACTGCGAACGGTGAGATTTGGGACAGTGAAAGTTTATGTAAAGAATAAACGCAGAAAGTTGTAAAATTTATAATATATAGTATGTACCTATGTGTTTACAAGTACATAAAATTGAATAAAACGTTCTTTACGTTCAATCTTTAAATGTCAAACATACTTGAGTGTTGTCAGTGTTATTCTCAAACAGTTGCACAGATTAAACTTAGCTGTCAAAGTATTTGAAAATGTCTGATTGGCTGAATGAGTCTGAAGAAAACTTATTTAAACGTATTTCCAAACATAGATCAAAATAAAAAAATAATATATAAAAATACGGCCGAAACTTAATCAATGGGTGACTACTAGTATAGTTTATTCGGTTAATTTTGTTAAATTCGATTTATACCATTAGGCGCTTTTTGAGGAAGGTATTGTTGACTTTGTCCCCGCTTATAGTCGTTCTAAAGAACAGACCTCTCTTTCAAACAATTACCAAACGAATCTGAGGTCGGTATCGACTACATGAATTCAGGTTAGTAAAAGGAATATAACAATGTGAATAATATTCGACGCGAAAATAAGGAATTAAAATAGAATGAAGTGAGTTCACCATACGAAGTAATAGTTAAAAAGCAAATCCATTGTCAATTTTTATTTTTTGAACCTTACCCATTTTTTATGTGTTTGCGAGAAAGTTAGTGATAGATAGTGTTAGTAACGTTACAATTGAATTTAATCTCTATATAATAAATACGACTTTTCACATTAGTTAGGGGCGCGAATCTGATCATGCTTTGTCATAAGGTTCAGTGTAGACTGTCGCTGCGATGGCCGTTGACTGTTTTAAACTTTTGCTGGTGGCGGTGAAAACCACCAGAAAGAACTAGTTGGTTTTGTTCTTTGATCATTATTTTAGCACTATTTTTGTGTGTAGTGTAGTTTGGTAGCACCCCTTTTTTTATTGTTATCGGGTGGGAAATCTTCAAAAGATACCCTGTCACTTTACATGACAGGGTTTCTTTACTAAAACCCCCTCGGTGGCCGCCCTCTGTACATTTGGAGGAACTCCGGGATCTCCCATGGAACGCACCGGTGTCCCTCGGTACTACGCCTGAGCACGCCTCGGAGAAGGATAAACCTCACCCTCTTGCAGCAACACGATTGGTAGGACCCCTAGTGCGTCAGGAATTCTTTAGTCCCCTTCCTCGCTTTGGTTCATTAAAGCATTCATTAGAGCATTACGAGATTGACGTTTCAGAGGTCGCGTTGGGGTTCGTTTGGTAATTTGCTGCATTCAACACTGAGGGTTGGGACGATTTTCGGCTCTTTCGAAAAACCCTTTTCATACATCTTTAAAATAATCAGAAGATATGGTAAGTTCGATGTCGCTAGGCAGTCAGAAGTTTCCCTGATTCAGGCGGTTGGTAACTGTGTGGATGAATTTGTTTTGTACGAACTGAAGTCTTTTCCGCTGTACTTTGAAAATGTGAAACTTGCTAATATATTGGCTTCGGCGCCAGAGGTCGTAGGTTCGATTCCCACACGGCAATTTATTTATTTTCCTTTAGTGTTTATATCATAGCTTTTTTATGTAAAGTAACAGCCTATACATGTCCCACTGCTGGGCAAAGGCCTCCTTTATACAGAGGGTATCAGGGCATAGTCCACCACGCGGCCCCACTGCGGATTGGCGGACTTCACATATCTTCGAAAAATATTTTTTTTTTGTTATTATTTCGAAAATATGCAGGTTTCCTCACGATGTTTTCCTTCACCGTGGAGCACGTTATAAGTCAGCACTTAAAGTTAAAAACTTTCTTTTGTTATTTTGACTCTTTTTTGTATTATTTTAATTTTTTATTTCCTTTATATTTTGTTAATTTTTTAGCTTACATCATGATTCTCATGTTGTGCCAATCCCGCCTAGGTATAAGGGCGACCCCGAGCGGCAGACATAGGGGGTGTCTGTCGCTCATTATGGGGCTCGTGAGGGGTGCTGTGCTTATTACACCGGCACAGCACCTTTTAGAAGAGGAGGCCCAAAAAGGCCATAGCCCCGCCGGGGTCGCGGAAGATTCCCGTGGCCGAAGCGACACAAAAAAAAAAGAAAAAATCATGGGATAAGGTGTGCAGAGTGATGATGAAGAGAGAGTAAACACTGCTGTATTGCATTTTCTTCGCATAATGTGATTATGTTTAAATTCATTACATGTAAATAAATAAAACGGTACCTACCCTTGAAACTGTAATTTACTTGCAATATTTTAGTAAAATACGATTTATCCAATTCAATTACCCGCCAGAAATCGAAATAGGCATGTAATTTTATAAAGTCCGGTCGGTTTTCTCTCGAAATAACCAAATTTTATCGAGAGCCGTGAATATTTTGAAAACATTCGTCCGGAACGTGAGACTTTTTGCTTTTCTGTTATGTACGCGAAGGTCGGTACCACTTCCGCGATTTCATTATGCGCCTATCAACCTTCCGCGATGTCACTGATTTGTGTTGCCAGGTAAAAGCTTAAACCAAATTCCGTGTTGTTCTATGTATTATTGTATTGAAGACTGTTTATCATTATTATGTTATGTCAGATGTTTTGCCAGCGTTTTATAAAACGCTGTTATATCACGTTTTCATCTCTTTAATTCTCTTTGTAATGATAATAAGAGACATCATTATGATAATTAACTAAAACTTATTCCATTTGTAACTTTCATTTATATATTGTAAAGAACCACCAACGGAATAACATGTTGATTGGTAATTACCTAAATATGACAATAGTCCTAGTCCTTAATATGACAATAACATTAACACGATTCCAATTTAAGGTAGTGATAACATGTATATAAAGACAGATATGAACGATAACTTAATAATTATTAAAATTACGAGCTAGATGACTACCAAAAAAAAATAAAACAAGAATGTAATTTAAAAATCTAGGAAAATATCATAAGATTAACGGATTTAATATCAGAGGTATGGAGAATTTTGGTAATATTTTTTTATTTCGTGACTGTGGCATTAAGGTTAAACTAACACGAGGGATTATTAAAAAAATAATAAACAGAGCAATAATAAGAAAACTGATTGTAACTTTTCAATATAAATATGATTTCTATTGTTTATTATTATTATATTACAATTACTTATGTAACAAATCAATAAACTTTTAAACCTTTTGAATATAACACTACTGACTACACTATTAACTTTGAACAATCGGTGGAGTCATAAAACTGTGATTCGCCGACCTTCCTATAATTAATTAGACAATTACATTGAGTATTGCGTCATACGTTCTTGTTATAAATAGTTGTTTTGGGTAATTACCTACTTACTTAAATAGTTAATAAATAATTTAATCCCAACCAAAAAGCACTCCTTATATTTGAATCCTTTTCAAGATCAACTAGATTGATAATAATTGATTCAACTTTGACACAATTTCATACATATAAAAGAAATTGTCATTTTACCTCAGATTTTACAATTAAGATAGCTGAATAGAGAATTATGTAGAACTACAGATTTCATGTATCGAGATATGTAGTTTTATTAACTAAGTCCTGTCTTATTCAGTGATTCATCATCTTTTATCCAAAAGTGTTTATATCTCCATGTAAAAATTATAAATTGTTCGGGTAACAATAATTCTTAAAAGGATAACTAGATATTAGTTATTAATATTTAAAGAACAAAATCTAAAAAGCGAATTAAAATTTCATAGCATAGCAACACAGATCATTAACCATTTCATAACTATATGCTATAGTTGTACAAGTAATCAAAATAATTATTTCGTTTCTTTCCCTTTTTTATTTCTTTCATTCCTAGAATAAGAAAGAGATGGATACTTTTAAACCTTTGCTACGCTGATGTATTCGTTGTCCTCTTCTGCTCGATAGATAACCAATACCTTTGTCTCGCTTTGTTTACGTCCATGAAATGGTAACTGCATAGTACATGCGCAAATGAAAGCAGAAACATATTATTTAATATTATTGTAATAAACAATCCAATGAAATCAGAGTGTCGTCTATCAAGAAAGACAACTAAAATATTCACAAGATGACATAACCGCCCTAATAAATTGTTTTATTGCAATATACGACTAAAGATTTGTGTGTTAATTTTACATGTACTGCCTGGCCTCGTAAATTGTGTTGTAGTGGGGGAACCTCCGCTCGCAAGTTGCACGGTTTCTATTTTGCGTTTCTCGAATTCAGTTACTTTATCGCGCTGAGTGGGGCGTCTCATTCGCGCGAGCATTTTTAATTTAAAAATTATATATAATTAGTTAATGTAGATTTTGTAACACAACCGGACCATTAATTTGTATGTAATTAGTAATAGGTGTAATCGTTGCAATAATAATTCGACTGTTCGACGAAAAAATAGAACGAATGATAGTGTAGTGAAGTTTTTAGTTAATATGAACATCTGGATTCAGTGATTAATTGTGAGAAATTAATCTGGACGACTAAGAGGCTGTGATTTTTATAGTGAAAAAGAAATGAAACCGTGTGATAAAACTAAATATTTGACATTTCAACCGTGCGAATATAGCCGCGAGTGATATTAATGTCGTTCGAATTACGCAGGCACTTCGTAGTTTGCGTATCCATTACAGTTATATTGACATTCAATTCGGTCGGATAATAGCCCGCAGCCGCGCCATCTGCAACGAGTTGTCTAAAGTGAACTTCGTTCACGTCACAGTACGAGTTTGAGTGTGCTCGCGAAATTTTACGTGTCGTGTTTACTTTCGTTGTAGTAACGTTCCGATTAGTTTGAAAAAATAATTAGCTTGGAAATTTGCATCTGCACACACATAAGGCCAATAACGGATGCCTGAAAAGTGAGAGTTACCGTGCTGCAGCTGGTGGACCGTGGGGGTCTACATGGTTTTGAGGGGTTAGACCATGGCGACCGCCGAAATGAGCCTGCCTGACAAGAAACCGGAACACGAGTCGGGATACTACGAAGGCAGCGACCAGGAGGGCAGCATGGAATGCGGTTGCCCATCCCCCGTTAGCTCCAGGAACTCGTCGCACTCCACCAAGCTGAAGCGTCGGCATAGTGCTCACAAGCATAAGAAAGCACCATCCAAAAAGCATCGTACGGACCACGTGAACGGTTGCATGGGTAATGGACACACGGGTAACAGTGTTGAAATTGTTGAGTGTACCAGTTTGCCATCAGTGAAGGATGTGAACAATGTTGAGGAAGTTGCGCCCGAAGCCGGGCCTAGTAGCAAGCGTAGTAGTTCTGTGGAGCTGATCGGTGGTACAGTTCCACCACCGGCAAGGGATTCAGTGGATTGGAATCTGGTAGACGCTAGTAAAATTAGAAAAAGAGGCAAAGGTCAGTACAATTTATTCTTCTTATCACCAATATTTTGTAATTTGCATTTTAATTTGTTTAATTTGCAGTTGTATTCATGTTTTTATTGTACTCTGAGGCTGATTCTTTATTATAATAACTAAAAACTTCCTTTGACTCTTAATTAAAACAAAGTAATTTTTATTTCTGTTTAATAATAAAATGTAAAAAAAAAATTTTTTCTTCTAAATATTATAGAGCAGAATAACTTTAGCCACCTGTAGAGCAACTGGAATTAAGAAAACCCAATCCAACACAAAATTTAAATGTAATTTTTAATAAATGCAGAATTTATAAAAAATATTGGTATTGATTTAATTATAAAAATCTACAGAAATTATACTGCAATGCATCTTTAGCATGTTATATAATAAAGTGCATGTCTTGATGGTGTCTCAAGTTTTCTGAAGAAATATTGATTGTATCTTATCTTGTCTCTTCTTAGTTAACAATGTTAAACAAATAAAAGTTACCAATGCACTGTAATGGTCAGTTTACATTTTAAATTGAAAAAAAAAAGTTTTAATTTTATGACTTATTAAAGAAAAATTTTTATAACTTTCATTTTCTTTATGATATTTGCTCAAAGGGGAGTATAAAATGCAATGGAGTCTTAATCTAATTATGCCTCCTGTTATTATTAAGGTACTTTGCCTACTTAAGCATGTTACAATTTTCTTTACAGACCTTACTCAACCTCAACCTTAAATGTTCAATCATTTATATACCGCTCTTAGATAATCTTATTGCTCTTATATTGAGTCCAAAAGTTTAAAGTCAACCACCAACCACTCCAGATTTTTTAAATAAGTTAGTTTTTTAGTTACCATCTATTATTTTTTAACCAGTTTCAAAAATTAAAAAATCTCTGTTTAAACACAGGAAAATTTAATGTGAAGAAGAGATAAAAGTTTCAACTCATGTTTTATACTTACTGTCTGTATAATCTGGCCCATTTAACAAAATGTTAAACATGTAACCTATATTCATTTAAATACCACAAAAATCTTGGTTCATTTTAACATTTTATTTTAAAGACTACATGAGTTACATTACTCTAAATCATGATATTTTTACACTTTTTAAATTATGTTAAATTAATTTCTTTAGTGGCAATTAAACATTAACAATTTTGCCAGTTACCCTACATATATATGCTTCTTGTCAAGCATAGTGATTCTGCCTACTGAGGCAGAAGCCCATACATATTTTGATTCACTGATATGTTAGACGCTTAAGTAATATTCTAATCACTGAGGTCATTAACTTTGAAATGACCGGCACAATTGTGTCTGTATTTATAGCACTTATTAGTTTGAAAAATCATACTTATAGTTCTTCAAATCACCCCTACCACTTAAGATTGGATAATCTTAGTTAGCACAATAGTTTTTTTACAGCAGTGACAGTGACAGATGTTTAGATACACTGTCATTAAATAGATTGAGAGGCTTTAAATGGTGTTAGGTTAGGTTAGCTTAGTTTAAAAATTATACATAAGTATATACACAAAATAAAATTATACACAATACATAAGTATTGGCATGGATAATTATTGCAATACTTACTTTCTCATAACTTTGGCCTTTATTTATGTTTTTATTTTAAACTAAACATCATTATAGATATTCCTTAATATAAAAGTTTTTCATTAAATAGTACAGTTTGATTATAACAGAAAAATTATGTTGAAGTACAAAATAACTAGAAGTAGTGAACAATTAAGAAATAATGTAATGTTTTCATTAATAACAATAACCAATTGCTCTGAACTGTGCATATTAAAAAATCTAAGGTTTTCACTAAACCTGTTCTGGTGTTATACTCATATTAAAGAAACAGCCTATGTTTAAGCTTGAAAATAATCAAGATATCTTGTAATATCTTGAAAATAAATTTAGTTCATCATTTACAAAACTTTTGCAAGCATTTTATAGCATTAAATAATTTATATATTTAAATGTGTTTAACCACAATAAACTACATAGAGTAGGTATTTTAATAATGTTTAAATTTTATTACCAATTTCTCTTTCCTAATTATGTGAAGTAATTTTGTTCATTAGGGGTTCAAAACTTTATAATACTTCCTTCAATTATCTAGATAATTTTTTATAAAACTGTTTTGCAGGCTGATAACTTTTGATTTGCTTCCTGCTATGAGATATTTGAAACTTCGGTAGGCAAAATTTAAGTTGTAAATTATAAAATTATGCATTTTTGCTTAAATTTAAGAAATATTATTTAGTTACAAAAACTTAACTATGGTATCTTCAAGGAGTGTATTATAAAAATTGTTTAAATCATCTGAAGGATTTCTGCTTTTCCAATAAATAAAAAGTAAAAGTTTTTACTATAAAATAATAATATATTTACTGCCAAATATGTTTTGCAACTAAACATACTTTACGAAAAATTCTGGAAACGTAAAAGTCAAAATAATGATAAAATTAACCGAAATACAAAAGAATTAAAAGAAGGAAATTGTATGTCAGTGACATACAATTTTAATATTAATAATACATGTACATTTAAATTTTAAACATAGCAAATTTTAACCTTTACTGCATTTGTTGTAATAAGTAATATCTTCTTCTATTAACTAAATTATTATGTAGACAAAATTATAGCAAATTTATATATTTTGGTCTCTTGTTATGGGATGAAATTCTTTTGACTTATCTGCGCACGCGAAAATGGTAAGCGAAGAGTTTCTATTAATTGTTTTTGAAAACACATTTGGTCATAATTCTTTCGAAGGGGATGCAGCTATACAATAAAGTTAAGATATTATGTCTGTCCAACATGCATCGAATGCACAATTTGCGACGACCACAAAATTTTCTTATTCTGTATTTAAAACTAATCTACAAATGTTGAAGTGGTATAAACGCCGAAGAACTTGTTTCATTATAAATAATTTATATAACGCCAGTACAACACACTGACAAATGGATATTACAAATAAAAACAACCGCGTGACCTCTGTTTCACATTTGAATTAAGTGTTTTATTTACACGGCGTACTGTTGTGAAATTATTTTTCGAGAATTGTTTCAATTAAGCGACTTTTAAAATTCAAATTAAGATAGGCCATGGATGGGAGCGACGCTCCTAAAATTAAACCTGAAAACATTCATTGATTTGAATGCATAATAAATTGATACCTTGCCTTTTTGACATATCACCGATTATAATTCAAAACCTATCCGCGATTTACATATAAATGCTTGTTTAACAAATAGTAGGCCCTAATTTAAAATCTTGTTTTTATTCTTTACCATTGCGTAGAGATGATGCGTGTGTTTTTGACCATTCTTCGTCTTGTCTAACAAGGGTAGTGCTTTGAAGAACTGTTCAGGTTAATAATATCTGCCATAGACTTTTCCCAACGCAGAAAGAAACAGTTTCACACTATCGAAACGCTTTTGATGGCTGTAATTCACGAAAAAAAAAAAGAAAAAAAAAGAAAGGCGCATTCTTTCTAGAAATTTTCTGCCCTAATGATTTTTTACTCTGTGGAAAGAATTGCCAGCTTTATTTTCGGACCGAAGCGAATTTTCTTCTCCTTTACGTCCTTCAAAAAGTGAGCCTATTACTACATTGCTGCAAATATTTTATAACTTCACCGATGTTATGTAAGTCCACATACTGCTCAAGCATTTGTCCATTCAGACTTAAAAAGTATACCGCTTTTTATCGTAATGTCCCAAAAGTAATTTATGTTATTTAGATACAGGACTATTAGTGACTCGGCCTATTGTCATTGCGCTAACTGACGAAAGTCATTCGTAAATTATTTTCGTGAGTAATCAATGCGCGCTGCATTGTATTTCGCACCCCCCGACTTTGACATAAAGCGTGACCCCTTTCAATGGGGTTGCCACCTCCCGCGGAGGCACGATGCGGGTACAGTGTTGGCTTTTGCGCGGTCTAAGTTGTTAGGGTATTATTAAAACTGTATCACTGCGTGTAGATAATCCTCCCAATCGCCATATGTAAGTAACATCCTGTACAAGACCCACTGCTGGGCAGAGGCCTCTGTACAGAGGGTATCAGGCCATGGTCCACCACGCAGGCCCGCTGCCGATGGGCGGACTTCACATATCTTCGAAATATTTTTATTTGTTATTATTTCGAAAATATGCAAGTTTCCTCACGATGTTTTCCTTCGGACTGAGCACGTGATAAGTGAGCACTTAAAAAAAAAAAAGTAAAGTAACAGCCTATACATGTCCCACTGCTGGGCAAAGGCCTCCTCTATAGAGAGGGTATCAGGGCATAGTCCACCACGCGGCCCCACTGCGGATTGGCGGGCTTCACATATCTTCGAAATACATTTTTTTTTTTTGTTATTATTTCGAAAATATGCAGGTTTCCTCACGATGTTTTCCTTCACCGCGGAGCACGTGATAAGTCAGCACTTAAAGTTAAAAACTTCATTGGTGCCGGCACCGGGGATCGAACCCAGGTTGCTCGAGTATATTGAATTAAAAGCGTGCGCCCGGACAGTAAATCATAACGGCATTGCCATATGTAGTGTTTATTTTCTATGGTCCAAAAGGAAATGTTTCAACCTAGGTTACATAACACTGGCCTCTATCAAGATCATCACCATTGTGAGGAGCGATGATTCGAATTTTAATTTTTATATTCATGCTATAGTACCCACTTTTATAAAGATGGTTTTATAAACTGTTACTGGTATAAACTGTCACTTTTATAAACTGTTACTGGTCACTGGTAGACATATATCGGCGGCAATAATAAGTTAACATCATTTGAAACGCCTTCTCAATGCTATCTCAATTAAAAAGTAATGCCATAACTAAACCACCAAGTATCGGCTTCAATAAAATCATGTGGAATAGGTCGTATGTTTAAAGAAACAGCCTTTAAAACCCGCATTCTATTTACTATTATGTTAAAAACTTGTCATATATGTCAAATGAATAGAGAGAAAACTAAAAGCAAGCTATCATT